CCACACCCTCCCAAGACATAAAAAAGGCGTATTATAGAATGGATTATCATATTTGTAACTGCTATTATGGTAACCCTCAATTCTATAGTATTACTGTTACAATAGTCTAATTGACCAAAGGGTGGATTTGAGGGTTACCATAGTACATATCGCTCTGAAAACTGAACAAAGATAGCAATGACTGCATGTTTACAACAGACAGTAACCAGATACAAAATCTACACCCGATCTTCTCTATCATCCTCATTACCTCGAACAGACCGTACTCCCGCAGACTAACAGCAACCAATACACCACTCCAAAAACTCAACCCAAGTCAATCAACCACCCAAAAACACTCCAATCCCAACAAACCAACCTCTCCACAACTTCTTCATTAAGGTACAATCGCATTCCCCCCCACAGCACCAGCACCCTTACACCACCCATTCCACGTCCCACTATCAGCTATCTTATTCCCCGCACTGTAGCACTGAGGACTAGGTAGTTTCGCAGCAAGACAGTCGTCGCAGCCATGCGCCCTGGCATCTTGACATGCATTTCTGGTGGTTGTGAATTCGAGTTGTTGTTTTCGGTCGTAGCAGACTCCGATCTGGTTTACTGCATTTACTGTTGCGGCTGATGCCAACATCGCGAGGAGAAAGCTGGTTGGGAAGTGCATTTTGCTTAATGGCCTTTAGATGTGGGTTGTGTTCGTGTGGTTGCTGGAAATGTCGATAGAGATGTAATTATTAGATGGAAAATAATCAGTTGGAAGGAAGTATGGGAGGGAAAAGTCTTAATATATAGCGTAGTGAGATTGGACATTTTGCCAGCGTTTTCGCATAAATATAATATGGTATATCATCCCAACACTGAAGCAAGGGGGCACATGAGTACTACAGTATACCTAGGTATCCCTCACCAAGAACATCTGCTCCCGCGGTGGATCTTACTTCTATACGAAATATATACCCAGCAAAACTAATTCTCTGAAGGGCTAGAAGAGCTGTTTTGTTAATGAAGAAATATACTGGCTACCTTTCTTTCCTGTCCACGTGTTTTCAATGAGTTCATAACGGTACCTTGGAGTATCCAGGTTTCAAGTTTGCAATTAAGCATTCGAAATACCGAGATACGAAGCCCTTCGTACTCGACAAGCTAACCACTTCTGTAAATTTCAAAGAGTACCTGGGTGTTTGACATACTGTACACAACAGATTCGAGAAGAGGGGCCACATAAGGATACATCTCTATCATTATAACACTACAACACAGCTGCCAACATCCGCCAAAAACAATCAAAGAGTACTCTAACCCCAGAAAACATAACTTTCTCCCATAATAGACATAGTATTATAGAACATTCCATCAAGGTCCACCTCGTACAACTACATGGCCTGTGCACCAACCCCCCAGAAGACCTCGACCATGTCCCCGTTTCAAAAACCTCGGTACTGGTATTTCCAAATTCACATCACCTGGCACTCCATCCCATCTATTATACTTTATCTGAAGCTGTACAAGCACGTCGCAGATATCGGACGGCAAACGTTAGAGTTGGCTGCCCAAGTGGCACATATAGAGAATAGATGAATTAGAATGATGATCGTATTGCTATTACGCCAAGTGTCCCGAAGGACGACTACAAACTACTTATTTCTACTTCAAATACACCCCTTAGGTCCAGGTTCCGTCTACCTACTTATACCGTAGTAAAACGAACTAGCTTGAGAAGGATACCAGGGTAAGCGGTTAGAGCACGGAACAGAGTAAACTAGAACCTCCTACTCGCCAGAAGGTATTCTTCTTATACGTGGCGTAGGAGATTATAACAAGCAAGGGACTTAACGAAAGCTATTCTCTAACTTAAGTAGCCTATCTACCAAGTAGTTTTGGTACTCTCCTCGCCTGCCCTAGTATTTATCCTTCTTAAGTTCGATTTACTACGGTACTATACCCTACGAGAACGTATAGTATTTGAATAAAACTACTCAACTACTTAAATATATTCGAGTAGTGCTTGGCGATTTGGATTAAGTAGCCATTTTCACTGCGAGAATTGAGGTGGGTAGGTACTACTACTCGACTTAACTATTCGAATTTTAAACGCTAAGAACGTAAAAGAAAAATAAAACTCGGAAGTTTCCTAAGTAAGACTTAAGAAAGGTACCTAATAATAAAGTATTAAGTATAGCAAGACGTCCGTTAATACCAACGAACAGAGAGGAGAAACTAAGGGGGAGAGGTACTCAGGTAAAGATGTAAACAAATAAATCAAGAGACTACTAAGAGTATTAAAGAAGAAAGAAATATAGAAGTGAATAAAGACAGGCTCTGTGGATATATTTTAATTCAATTATCTAACAAGTTACTACTAGTAATTCGATATCGATATCGATTAGAATCCTCAAAGGGGAAGGAGATACGTAATTCATTTCACATCTGGATCATGATTTCTATCACGGGATATAAAGGTGAAATATACGCTCTTATTAGACTTGCATGAATCTGCCAATCCACCAGACTTACCATAAAAAAGAAGCCAACGTATCAAACAAAAAAGAGGCATATAGTAAGGACCCAAACATCCATCTGTCAATTCATGACATTCAAAATTGCTTCCGCTAGACCCCAAGTTAGAGATAGAGGCTCAAGCGGTTGCTTCCCAGCACTGCACCCCCCACCAGAGTCCGTGAAGAATAATGACATCAACGACGAAAACCAAGACATGGTTCCCGTCACCTTTGAGAAGATATCAAGGCAAGACACAGTAACCATATCTTGACGTAAAATCTGATAGTGCAAAGCAGAAACCGATTGCATTGGGAGTAGAAATACACTAAAAACACAAGGATAGTGAACCCGAAAAGAGGATGGAGATGTACAGCTTTGTACCAAAACAGTAATTCCGCAATCACGTAAAGAGAGTATGATTTGAATATTAGACAAATGTAGTTCTCTCAGGTCTCCGGGATCCCTCCCTCACCTAAGCCGGTTTTGGGTCTGCCACCACAGAGTCCAGACCACAGGAAAGTAGCTCATACTGGTAGATAAGGCCCGAATATTGGGAGGGCTGTAAGTAGCATCTCAGTCCTGGGCGATGATCATGACTAACCTTGGTGTGTATCCCCAATAAATGAATAACCTTTCGACTAAGATATTAGCCAAAAGACGGGAACGGGCGGGAAGGTCCCGCAAGGTACCACTCCACCCCTTTCAGCATCCCCACCAGAAATCGCTCCTATAAATTCTCCCAGCCTCTGGTTCGTCGATGGGTGCGGGCTCGCGGCCAGGTTGCTCGCCGCTCGGCTCAGATGCATCTTTCCCCGCCAATAATTTTGGATCTCAAGTTGGGGAAAAATTCCGGGAATGGCAAGGGACTTCTCAGCGTTCGCTTCAACAAGCACCTTCTCCTATTGGAGACACGGATCATTCCATATGTGCTCGATGAAGTGTTCATTTTGAGAAGTGAGAAATATTAGATAGGAGAGTATCGGAGAGCAAGGCCCACGCATGATGAGCAAACTGAAATTGCAATTGATAAGGTTAACAGCGATCGGTTCACGGAAAGAGGGGAAATTATGCACTACATGTCTGCAGCTACCCGAGCCAATCATTTTCCCTCCTTGATGGGAATTCGGTTGAGAAAGGTACCCTAGGTACTAGGTAGACAAGGGACAAGAAGCTGCCAGTTTTGCAGCCAGGGAAATTCTTGGGTAGAAAACACAGCATTATTTCCAGATATCTCTCAAGCATATGCATACTGATGGTTGAGACCAATCCGTGATCGTATTATAAACGAGGCAACGTACACTGGTGTCGGAATGGGTCAGCGTAGCGATATGATGACGTAATGCAGGCTCTGCTATTGGGGCCATTGGATGGAAGCTCGGTTATACGTAAACGCCCACAAGCGCGCCTTGGTGGGGAGAAGTCTGCTATTGGGTAGATGAAACGGAGAGTCGGAGTCTTTGGCATGTGGCACAACGGGAGAGGTACATTGGACTAGGTGTTTGCCAAAACATGCGTCGTAATGAGAACATTTGGTGGTTGGATTAAAGGAAAAGGAAGACAATGGAGAAAATTGACACTCCTGGTTTCATTTCCTCTTTGAAGAATGGTCGGTGACATTGCTTTGCTGAGGGGCTTGAGGTCGGGTGATTGTCATATTCTTCAATTACCTACCTCGGAAATCGATCTATTGGGATTTGAGATGGTGTGTGTGTGTGTAATCGTGCTGAAAAACAATGAGTCGTGGTCCGTAGATATCTTTCTGCTGCCGTACAAGACTCCGGTACGAGACTATAATTGGAAATGTTTGTAATTGCGAAATTCATGTGCTTAGGTCGTGTGTTGTGTATCAGATGCGTCGTGTCCGAAGGATGGGATGAGATGGGATGTGATGCAAGTTGCGTGAGCTGTACCAGGGAAAGCTGTGCGTCGTATTGGGGTTACGGATAGCTGATAAAAGTTCCAATAGTCTCATGCTGCGCAGCCCTGCGTTGAAAGTACTGTTGACGTTTTGCAACTTCTTGATGCGATGCCGGAGGACTAGATGGATAAAGTCGCCAACGGGCTAACAATTCCCATTGGAGATGAAGGCCCCTGATGTGAATGTTGTCCTCCCATCGTCAAACTAAATCAAGTGGTCGTCACGGACTTTGAATTGGCAGTTTTGGTACGCCTGTGAGGTCCGAAAAGGAGGAAATCTCCCCCACAACGCCGTACGCCGTACGCCGTACGCCACCACTGCTTCTCTTTCTTGGCCGGCAAGACCAGAAGTCTGGAATCTTGTATTAGAACTCCTGGGGGTGGGTGTGCCCATCGTGCAGCGGGGAGGCACCGGAACCTCCCTGGCAGCCTTCCAGGGCCCCATAAGAGAAGCATTCGATCTATATCGGAAGATCCTGCTCGTTACGTGCCAGAAAACACATGATGGGCAGGATACGGTGCTCCGGCATCTGGGGAACCGTGCGAGAGACCGACTAACTCAGATAGACTCAGATGCTACCCGTCGTCTATCGCTTGTTTGCCCTCTGCGGATAGTTCGTGAATATCCTCGGATTGCTGCTCGCTTCGTCGCTCTGTTTCCTCCCAACGGGACCCGACAGGCGTATAGAGCACCAAACAATCTTTGCTTTCGCCCTCCTCGCTGTGACATCTGTACGGCATCGTGGAGTGAAGTAAAGTGCTCCTTCTGTATCTTGCGCATCTGCCTTCTGAACTGGTTGAGGAGCAGTGCCGTGGACGGAAAGACGCATCAAGCTGTACAAAGGCGGGGCTCTATCACACTCGTGCCGGGCCCCTCAGTAGAAGATCAATATTGACGACACCTTGCCGAGCAGATTCTGCGTGTAGAGCCAGTGCTTTTGTCATCCAGAGGCAACGCGCATCGAGCGTGGGAATTGAAGGACCAAGGGCACGCTTGCGATTGACAATCAACACAGTAGTGAGAAAGACGGCGACCACGGACCTCGAAAGGTTGACTTTTTGCATCTTGAAATGTGCTGCAGCTGGGAGTATCAACCGTTCCCTGCTCGTGCTTGTCGCTGCCGTTGCCCGCTTTCTGGCTGAATCTCTACTGCAACTTTGAACCATACCCTGATGTGCCGGGGGAACATCCATACTACCTTGTAGACCACCTTGACGACCCTGTGCTGGCCGTTGCCGTTACCAGTTACCAGAGTTGGAGCTGGAGCACGACCACGGTCCGTCGAGTAGGGTAAGGGTGCTCGTAGGGATATGCGATTCGCAGGTGCCGCCCATTGATATCAATCTCGAGGCCGGCGTCGCAAGTACAAGTGTCGTAGTCGTCGCTCTGGTCCGCGAGCGTGGTAGAGTACGGAGTAGTCGCAGAGAAGCAATTTATTGCACGCAAGCACGCCAGACGGAGACGAGAGACCGATGCGAGACAGGCAGAACAGTGCAAACTTGCGGTTGGTCGGAACATTGCTTTTTCCACGTCGTACCGGATATCTTCTCCTCGACACAAGGACCTGGACCTGGACCTGGAATCCTTGAGCGTAGACGAGCTTCTAGCAGCAGCAGCGTAGGCAGCGCAGCGCAGCGAACCAGGCGAGGTCAGAGAGTTACTGCATCGCAGCACAGTACCGCGCAGTGCCGTAGTAGCAGCATCAAGCGAAAGTTGTCAAAACTCCAGAGGTCGCCGCTCCGCGCTCAATTGATCGTGCACGACGACGACGCCGCATCCAGCAGCAGCAGAAGCAGAAGCAGAAGTCAGAGATTTACTCGGTCACAACTTGTTGGTGTTGATGCGTTTGAGAGAATATGCTCCAACCACAGCCCACGGCCTTTTCACCTTTCAACCTCTACGCGCTGCCGCTGCCGCCGTCATCGTCCACCGCTTTTCACCCATCGGGGCTGGCAAACGGAGCTCCAGGTCCAGGTCCAGGTCCAGCTCCACCCGTCTATCGAGACCACAATCACCACCACCCCGTTTTTAGTCCCGCCGCTACGACCAACCCCAACACCGGGGAACTCAATTTCACAAACAACCTCAATTCGACGCATCGTCGTCCTCATGCCCATCCTCCCCCCCGCAAGATTAGGAACAGGATGAATGACGATCTAGCTGCCCAGGAGGCGCTGGCCCGTGATTTTCAACCGGCCTTGACGGTATGTGCTGAAGCGGATAGCGGAGCGCTTTTCCAAACTGACAGCTGCAGGGTCCGTTGGTGGGCGACAAGAAGAGCAGTCTCGCCATCACCGAGGAGTACGCCAGGGCGGATCCCATATACGTTGCCAAAACTGCCGTAGATGCCCCTTCCATGAAAATGTACAAAGTTTCTGCTAACAGATCACCAGGCGCTGCCTCAAACGTACTCGCATTTCAGACCGGTACTGGGGGATGGGAACTGTGGATGGCGGGGTAAGTCTTACCCCACAGGGTCCATGTTGCATATCTTGCACAACCTCAACACTCCAGGAGACTTTTCTAACCTCACACAGCGGCGGGCTTTTCATATTTCGAGACCTATGTGCGGACCGGAAATCAGGCGGGCTTAAGAGAGGAAATTACTCGCATGACCTCACTGAACAATCTCATCACCAATATCGGAGGTTTCGAGCCATGGGTTTTCGAGGATATGGTGGAGGAGACGATAGGTCTTCTGAAAGATCTGGCTGATGCGTTACAATCCTCGATTCAATCGGCATCGAATCTACTCATGGAACGATTCAATGATCAGGGAATATCGAATGCCATCGTCTACCACTTCAGGCTTCTCGCCAGTTCTTGGTTAAAGGCAAATCCAACGGAATATCAAGATTTCATACAGGAGGAGGATGGAGTAGAGGGGTATATAAAGAACTGGTTGGTCCCAGTGGACCGAGAGATTGACCATCTAGGCATGACCTTGCTCATCGACATCCTGCTCAAGCCGGTCAACTTCGCTGTTGAGATTGTTTATTTGGACCGAAGTGAAGGCACACAAGTGAACAGTCATATCATTCAGGTCCGAGACGCAAATGGTGATCCAACAAACGCAGGAGGGCCAATGATACATCTACTCTATCGACCAAGCCATTATGATATCCTCTACAAAGATTCTCAGCCTCAAGCTTTAACTGAGGCTTTGCAGAATACAGACATGCAAGTCAACCGAGTAGCGAGTTTCACTCATCACCACATTGTCCAAAGCACTCCAGTAGCTAGCTTGTCTAGTTACAATGATGTGGACGTTCTTTTTAGTATTCCTGGTTTCGGCCTCCAGTCAAATCATGGATTTGCATCGCAGTACCCGCCACCAATTGAGCAGACTTATACCCCCTCTCCAATCTCTTCGATATCACCCATCTCACCTGGCGATTCCTCAGCTACGACACCTTCAAGTACGTCTTTACAACCATGTTTCCCACAATCACAACCGCCACCGGTTTCGAAATTGACGCCGCCTGCACCCCCACCCATCATGAATCCATCACATACAAATTTTCCACTGAGTGCCGTGCCGAATGTCCATTCACATCAACCCTTACCACACCGTCCAACATTGACGGCAACGCATACATTGCCTCCTTCAGAAATATCTTCGCCAAATTCTGCTGGTAGCTCTTTCCGTCCCAGCAGGTACGAACTTGAGGCCGACTGGGCACACGAAGGGCCAGTACAATTCTTGACTTCTACCTTCAAAAACAGCCACTATAACACGGCACATTACAACAATCCAAATTTCCAACCGGAGGAATGGACCCCGGAATCAGACGAGCAACCACCCACGAGGAAGCGATCAAGTTGATGGAATCTTGTTGAATTTGTTACACTGGAATTGAAAGTAATTGGGGAACCCTATCGCAGAATCTACCATGCCGTCTTGATGACAGGATTGGAGACAGAATTTGCATGAGCAGATAGGGTGTGATATGATCGTCGGGGGGTGGGGAAGGGGTTTGGAAGGAGATTGACAATGGATAACCCTTCTAATTCGAGAGGCAATTTAAACGGAGCAAATTGGAACGGGATTGGGAATGGGAATGGCATTTACGATTTTATTACGAAAATTACTTCAACTTTCTTCGTCTTATCAGCGAGCGAGCGAAAATTTGTTATGATTACGAAGCGGCAGGCAAACCTTTTTATTCATATTCTTTTTTTGAATCATCATGTAAGGGAAAAATGAGAGAAATGAAGAAAGAAAGAAAGAAGAGAGAGAAAGAACGTAAAAAACGTAAAGAAAAAAAACCAAAATTCCCATCCAGCCAGCTTTTTTAATTCTTAATCTAATTCAAAGTTTTATATATCCATTTGTTTTCCCGTTAGTTAGTTGGTTGATTTGAGGTAAGGAAAGGTTAGTCCTTTTTTTCTTCAACTTATGAATAAGTGTACCAGTGACTTGAACTCCATAAAGATATTCAGCGTGCTAAATTCAAGTAGTTAAGTTAAGTAGATCTTAAGTTGAGTAGTAGTAGCAACTAGGTACTCAACTCAACTCAACTCAAGCAGTCAAAATCACCTACCTACTAATCAACCCAACTCGCCAAGTACTCGATTAACTCATAAACCACTCGAGTAGAATCGGCCTACTATAATACCTCGTAGCACTAGCTAGACTCCGGACGTTTAGTCGTTCTACTAGGTCCGCAGACTGCCGCCTAGGTACTTAGAAATGGGATCTCTTGATAGTTACGTCATGTTTAGATACCTAATCGAGTATTACTCAAAAAAATAAAATAAAAAGGAACAGTTAAATCTACTACTCAACTCAACGGAATTATCTACGAGGAATTATACTTACTTATTTAACTTAACTCAAGTGCTCGAGTACAACTTGAGTTGAGCAGTTGATAAGTTTTGTTACCACGCTGGAGATATCAATGAATTCCAAAACCTTTTCCTTCAGCGTTCGGCAACTAGAATTCCATTCCATTCCAGACCCCCCCTCTGGAGTTATTCCATTCCATTTAGAGATCCTATGGAATAATTCCATTCCATTCCATTACCCCTATTCCATAGAACTCCATAGAATAAAATCACATGACCCGGATAAAAGTCCTTCCGCTCCGTTGACTAATAGGAAGCCTCGATTCTGCCCGTACGTATAAGGCCGGTCTACTAATAGACAGCTCACGTTGCCCCTTCCCCTGTATACGACTTATTACTTGTAGGAAGGGTGTAAATCTATAATCTAACTCGCTAAGCCATTTAGATTGTCCGATTCAGGTGGAATGGAGGGGAGGTATATTAGAAAGTGACAAGGGGGGCGGTGGGGGGGGGGGCTCTAGACCCTTTACTTAGACTAGGTATAGAGTTCCAAAATGCTAAGTAAACGGGGTCTAATTAGCATTCACCCCTCTTAAATACTGCTCTCTAATTGGTTAGAATAATAACCTCTGGAATTCCATTTTCCATGGGACTCTAGAGGGTGTTTGATAGAATATTCCATTCTATTTTGTAGGGGGTCTGGAATTGTTCTAGATAGAATGGAATATGGAGATTCCATGGAATATCGTTCCAGACGCCGAACGCTGTTTTCCTTGACGAATGAGTGAGTGTACTGTATCGTGACTTGATCTCTCTAGAGGTATTAATACATTTCAAACCCCGAGCTCATACACATCACACATAAACAGCCGCGTAGCAGAAACAGAGAAAGTAATCTAATGTAAATGATATTTATCACGCTCTAATCGCCCCAAAATTATGTACTCTCCACATTCAGTCAGTTAGCCTCCCAGAAGGCGTAACTAACTGTGATCTCTCATCTTCATCTTCATCTCATGCTAATCATCTATCTTGAGTCTCCCCATCTAATCCCATCCCAACGAAAGTCCCATGCCCATCCCCGAATTTCATTCATCCCATCTTTACAAATCCACACGGAAGAAAGGAAGGATACAGGACATACGCCATACGCATATCCCCCATGCCAATTCATGTGCCAAGGCAATGCACAAAAGCAAATTAAGACAAAATAGAAGCTCATGAAATGTACAAGAATAACTCCCCAAATGTCCCAAAAATTGCATCTCTCTAGAATGAGGCAATGGCAATGGCGATAGCTTGGCTGTCAGAGTGTGAGATGGAGATGCTAACTTCTCTGACACCGGCCTTCTTAGCAACTGTGGCAGCGTCACCGTGGAGCTGACGATAATATTAGCATAATTATTTGTCAACTGAGAGTATGGTAGAACTTACCACGACGATTGGTGCACCCTTGTCATTATTGGTGATTTCAATTTCCTTCAATGGAGCTCCAGCGCCCTTGCTCGATACACCGAGCGACTTGAAGACAGCCTCCTTGGCACTCCATTTTCCAGCGAACGATGCCTGTGGAGATGGAGCGTTGAGACAGTATGCCTGCTCCTTGTCGGTAAAGTTTCGCTGAATGAAGGTGTCGTTCTCAATGTTGATTGCGGAAATGTCCTCTATGTCAACACCGACCTTGGTATTTGCAGTTGCTGCACCTTTGGCCAATGACTCGACCATTTGTCTGGTACTGGCAGCATTTGACTTTTTTGGGATGTTTTTGGCGAAGTTTGGAGCATATGTAAGAGCAGAAGTCTTCTTATCGATAGATACACGAGCATCTGGGTTCAAGAATACCTCACCTTGTTGAGCGTCAGTGTATGGCGACTCGTTCTTAGCAACGAACAAGGTGTTGGTGATCAATCCATTGTGGAAGTATCTGTATGCTCGCTTCTGTCTTGACTCTACCTTGGCAGAGTATGCTTCATAAGTAGCTTCGTCGAGCGTAGCGAACAAGTACTTGGGGTGGATACCAATTGCTTGAGCACCCTTTTGACCGAAACCGAAGGAGGTGACGGAGAAAGCCTTGATGCCATCAGTTTGAATACTCTTGCTTGGGTACACGATGTAGTCGAATTGTTCCATGACTTGATCGACGTTGTCGGCATTTCGGTTGCCTGGAACCAAACCACTGTTCAATACCTGCAAGCACCCGTTCATCATCCAGGCACCGGCAGCACCCTTTGGATGACCAGTCAAGTATTTTTGGAAGATACCCATAACAGCGTTGCCCTTCTTTCGGCCAAGGTGCTTCAGCTGTTGGCAAATAACCGATGATTCATTCTTGTCGTTTGCTACTGTAGAAGTACCGTGGAAAGATGCGACATCAAGGTCATCAATCGTAAGGCCCCATGTTGCGAGAGCACCACGAAGAGGGGCAATCGAGGGGTCTTTCTTCCAGAAGGAGTTTCCAAGACTGTTAAGAACCTCACGCTCTTGACGAGCTGCCTCACGTTCAATGTGATTTGCACGCTCTTGAGCATACTCGGTCTCGTTGAATTCACCACCTTGTGCTTTCATAGCTGCAACCTCTTCGTGAAGGAATTCCAGCTCCGACTCTTGCCATTGCTTGATGTTCTTCTTTCGGTGCTCAATTTGTCTTCGACGGTATTTGATGTCCAGCAGAGGAGATGGGAATTTGCCAGGATTCTCACGAGCTGTTGTAAGAACACCCTGTCCAGGTGCTGGTACGGATCGTCCAATCTTATCGGTAGCAGTGGTGGTCAAACCAAGGATACCGTAAATTGGAACACCCATATCAAGAGCAAGTTTGGCAGTCATGATGACTTGGATACCACAACCTTGAGATTCCATGAAACCATTTCTGGTGGTGGTGGTAGGTCTTGACATCTCCTTGGGTGTACGTCCGTGCGCGAACTCATCTACAGCGTTGCTTGTTGCTTTCATGTTGGCAAATTCGTAAGAACCTTCCTCTTGGAAGTCATCAAATCCACCAACAAAGCAGACGCGTGCCTTGCCCTCCAAGATGGTCTCGTAACCAATATCAACGGATTCGACAGATGTTGCACAAGCACCAACTGGGGTCTTGATAGGACCGGTAGATGAGATGAGCAACATGTTGACCCAAGCACTCATGGTGTTGATAAAAGACTCCTGGAGAATATCCTTCTGAAGAGGCTTATCGAGGTAACGGTCCTTGTACATGCCTCGGAGAGCATTTGTTCCACCAATACCAGAACCAATACAGTTACCAACTTCGGAAATGTGAACATACTTGTAGAATTCATATGGATCAGTGATACCAGACGCCAACAGTGATTCGACCGTGCAGACAAGTACGAACAAGGTAACAGGGTCGACTTGGGAGATGATGTCGTCTGGAATACCATATTTCTTGGCGTCCCAGCCAGTTGGAATTTGACCAGCGACAAGGCGATCGAATTTCAAGGCCTTGGGGATGAGAAGGGTGGCACCCTTCTTCATGCGGACGATGTACTCGCCAGATTCAGGGATTTCGAAAATTTCTGCCTTCTCACCATGCTCACGTCGGAACTCTTCGGCTGTCTCCTTTGAAGTCTCAAATGGCTCAAGGTCTTCCTCAATGACCACCTCTTGAAGAAGTTGCTTCTTGTTAGGATCGTATCCCTTGAAAAGCTCAGGCTCGATAAGACGGATACCAGAGTGAGCGAGGATGTGCTTCTCGTATTTGCTCTTGATGTCCTTGTCATCAACAGGATCTCCTGATTTGGCGTCAACCCAACCGGCATATTGCTTGCCCTTAATTGGGCCGTTGTGATTCTTAATGAGACCCATGATCCAGGCCATCTCAACACACCCCTCAAGAGAAAATTGGCCATAGGCTTCCATCTCCCATCGAGTACGTGAGTTACCCCATGGTCCAACTTCTGCAAACCCGGTGACAACAACCACTTTCTCAAGATCAACCATACCCTTGAGGTTCTCGTTGAGTGGTTCGATTACCTTCTTCCAGCTTGGAAGAGCAGGGAAGTCAAACTTGATGTTTGCACGAGGCTCAATGGTAACCTTCTTGTACAAGGCCTCGCTATCCTCACCATTGACAATCTTGTTCTCAATAGCTGTTTCCTTGGTGACAGCTTGACGAACCTCGCTGGTCTCCATGATATCCTTTCGCAACTTGGTCATCAGGTTCTTCAGATCTGGAATGAATTGCAGACCACCGTTAAGATCAGCGAATACAGGCTCGCCTTGGCAAAGATCAACAAGGGTTGGCGACATGAGACCGAGCAAGTTGAAGGCCATTTCTTGCTGAGAGAAGGTACGAACACCATATGCCTCGACACCCTCAGCAACAATGTTGTTACCAGACATAAGACCCGTACCACGAGTCCAGCCAATAACAGCACCGCAAATAGTGAGGAAGTTACCCCAGTTCTCAGAGTGCCATCTGTTAAAGAGAGTTTCCAAAGCCAGCTTAGACTCGGAGTAGAGACCATCGTTACCAAAGGTACCGTGGTTGGGCGACAATGGCAAGACAACTTGGGCAGGCCGAGTTTCAAATCCACGCTCAGCCTTCTGAGTCTTGACGCATCCAAGAAGGCGGAGAAGGTTAGTCAACATGATACGATGAGCAAGCTCGGATTTTGAGTCGATGCTGTCAATCTCGCGACCATTTTCAGGGATAGCTGCGAAAGGAATGATGAAGTCCAAATCCCAGCCGAGACCTTTCTTGGTATCATAGATGTACTCAACCAATGCCTCAACATCCTGCTTGCTTCCTTGGTTGAATGGGACAACAATCAGCTGGGAGCCACGAGAACCATAGCGAGCATACATGGACTGGTAGTACTCTGTAACTTCTCGCGAGAAACGGCTGGTGGTAACAACGACCTTGGCACCGCCACTGATCAGACCCTGTAGCACATCGGCACCAATGGAGCCTGCTCCGGCACCGGTCATCAGTGCATTCTTGCCCTGGAAAGTGACACCAGATTTGGCTGCTTGTGCTAAACCATCAAGATACATGCCGGTAAGCTTCTTGCTGTATTCCCATCCGTGCTCGTCCTTTCTCTTCAAATGAAGGAAAGGAATGGTCTCGACCTTGCCAGTCTTGCCAGGAACGGTGGTTCGTGGAGATTTCTTGGCGCCATTCATCTTCCCATTTGCATGCTCTTTGGGGATGATTTGACCCTCGCTCATGGCCAAAGATCGAATGACGTCGCCATAGAGGGACTTGATTTGCAATTGGGAGGATTTGGAAAGCTTGTGTTGTTGCTTGATGAGCTTGTAGATGCGGCCAAGATCATTTTGAACTTTGGTGCGGTTACCATACTCGGAAATCTTTCCTCCTTCAGCCATCTCCCGCACATAATGCTCGAGCTTTCGAACGCTAGTGCGGGGAACCTCTGCATATTCGAGATTTCCACGAGCATCGATCGTGGTGTGGGGAGCAGTTGGAATTGCGACATCCTTGTAGACAGGGGAGACATTCAAGGTGTCTTTGCAGTTGTCAATAAGTTGTTGACCGAGCTCCTTGGCGAGTTTGTACGTTTCTCCGCGCTCTGTAGGGCAGTTGTCGATATGGTATTGCATGAAATCCACCAACGTAGGATTTGATCGATTCATGATGCGAATGCACTGGCTGACGATCTCACGATCGACGGCTTGCAAACGTCCGAAAATAATGTCGTAGAACATGGTGAGCGCATCCTGACGAGCCCAATTCCAAGAAGAATCGTACACTCGTGCCTTGAGCTGACTGAAAACTGGTTCAATTCCTGCGGCATAGAATTCTCCATGTTCAACATTCCACAAATCCAATTGCGATTGCAGAGCTTGCGAAGATTGCTGAGAGCCAATGAAGGCCTTCTCCCCAGCGCGAAGATCCATCTTCAAATATCTTGCAAATAACTCCAGCTGCTGTTTGAACAGAGCCCGCTGGTCTTTGGTTAAGGCATCGAGAGCAGCAGGATCCATCATCATTCCGCCACCCGCAGCACCAGCATCGCCACCCGCAGCAGGTGTTGACAAGCTGATACCCGCGTTGGTTGCGTATTTTTGGGAGACTTCATCCAGGAAAGCCTTCGCATCATTTTCCGCACCCAAACGAGCTGGAGGCTCCATGGTCAGCGCCAAGAGTAAGACACCATCTTGTCGTCCACTGGCAAGACCCCATCTGGTTTCCAAGTATTTGCGAGCTGCTGTAATGTTGAAGCCACCAGGCATCTTGGAGGAGATCAATCGGGCGACTAATGAAGAGGATTGCTTTCCAAGCTGACCATTGAAGGTTGCTTGCATGGCAGCTCCTAACTCATCAAGAGGAGTATCTTCTGGCTTTTCTGGTGTAGATCCAAATTCTTTACCCAGATCACCTAGGATTTCGTTTTGAAGTGTTGATTTACCTGCGCGGAAAAGCAATTAGTATGCTGGTGGTTTTGAAATCTGCAATGGGGGGTCAACTTACCACCGACGAGGTCTTTGATGGCTTTGCTAAGAGGAATCTCCAAAAGAGGTTTCTTTAGCTTTTGTGCAATCAAGGCACGCACAATATCAATTGCTCCGACTGGAGCATCTGGAACCTGTGCAGCTGGTCCAGCGCTGGGTGCTGGGGCAGAAACTGCAACTGGGGCGGACACTGGGGAGGAGGATGAAGATGGTGCGTTGCTGGAGGTGGCAGCTGGCGCAGGCTCATCCTCAACTGGGTCAACATCATAGTAGATTTCTTTTGCGTCCTTGTTGTAGCAGAGAATTTGTCGCTGAACCGATTTGGCTGCATCGTATGCTTCGTACTTGGAGGCCAGCGTCCGCTTGGCCATCACACCAAGGGTATCTGCAGGACCGATCTCGACGATTCTCTCCGTAGTCTTTTCTGCCAAAATGACATCTTGTGTTTCAATCCATCGCACAGGCGAGGCAAACTGGTATGCTAGCAGTTCAACGAGGAGGGTGTGGGCGAGCTCCTGCTCAATTTCGGGACGCATGATGGGTATATTTTTGCGTCCGAAGACGACTCGAAATTAATGGGGAGGGGTATAACGGATTTCGAGAGGAGGAGACAATTCGTGTTGTGTGAGGGGTGTGGTCGTAATGGGCGTTGTAGATTCTTTTTTTCTAGAAGTCTTGTGTGAGGGAGATAGGAAGGCGCTGCCGGGAGGAGAATGAATGGCAGAATCCAACAAGTTTTCAGAAAAGGTAGGCGGGACGGAGGGAGGGTGAAGATGATTTGGGGAAGTCGGACTTTGTTGAAAGAGTAGAAGGGACAAGACGTATGTATTAGGGAGGAGCGATAGTCTTACTCGTGGGATGTCCTCAAGTACGAGTACAGAGTAATCGACTGTAGGTGGTTCTTGCCTCAATTGCAAGCTCTACGAACTACCTAACCTTACCTAGGTAATTTTGGGTTGGGTCGGGCGGTGGTTGAGGGTCCTCACCCCAACAATTCAAGGTTGGATCTAGTGCAGTTTTGGTGGGTCCCACCTACCTCGACGCGCAGCTTGGCAGCCATGGATGCTGGGTGTAGCTCTGGCTCTGGGACAGAGGCAGGCACCAGGTAGTCCAAGGGACCAATTCACCAAGTCACCAAGTCACCAAGTCACCAAGTCACCAAGTCACCAAGGGCTAATGCTATCGTGACTGCCGTTCTATCCTATTCAAAGACATGGAAAGAGCGATGCTGATGCACAATTCAGAGACAGTGGGCGTCATGCCACGCAGAACATTCCTTTCTTTTGTGCAATTCCGCTCTTTGGCATTCTGAAAACCCATCTTCTGTGAGATGACATCCGATCATCCCGCTCCCCCCACCATCCCATCCCATCTCCCTTCACTACGCACGTTGAAGTGTCAAGCGGCACCAGAACCCCTTTTTTCCTCGTTCCCCGGGTTGGGGCTGGTCGCCTCTCGGCACATAGAAGAATCTCCGATGTCATGATTGCTAGTATTTTTAGGAAGACTACTTACATTCCAGCGTCAACACCATTTCTGATATCGTCAGATGAGAAGAATCATCACATATTTGGGAAGTTTGGCTAAGGGAGCAGCAATCTCATGACAACTCAACAGACACTTATGCGGGTAGATGGATCTGATGCGATGCGTTGTTCAGTTCAGTAAACCGCAACTACTATCAACCCTTCGTCTTCTGTGATGATAAATGCCGTGAGCAATGCAACCAACATTGGTGAGAAAGTTTTCAACATATCTCGCTCAAGATCCCGTCTTACCTTACCGCATGTTTGCAATCCAGAGAAGAGATGAGGGGTAGAGTACCAACTCCCATTTCCATCTCACGATAACACGGAACTCATTGAGTTGCCCCTCCACCACATTAACCTTTGCTGCAAGGCTCTGGTTCTGGCACCAGCGTTCCCTGGCCTGCATTAACCGTAGTGTAGCCTTATCAGCAACCTAGAAAAAAAAGGCGTTGGCAAAAACTTGATAAGTGCTTAACCTTAACATCATCTAGTGCACGAATAGTCAACGGGTAGAGGAGTTAAATAAATACATAACGCAATAGAATAGATTGTGTCGGGACCATTTGTCGAACTAAATCTCATGAGTAGAAGGAACGGACAGATTGACTTTCACCATCAACATGTACTGTCCTAGCAAGTGCTCATACTAGAAGCACTAGCGTGTACTAGCCTACTAGTGCCGCTTTTCGGCTCTTGGAGGGGTGGACTTGGTGTGTGGCAGGGGTGAAGGGGTCGTCGTAGGGACTGTTGAGTGTCTAGCGATGAACGTTGAGGAGCTTTGAAATAATTCTCAAGCCACTCGCTGCTGCCTCTTCGTTCGCATCAAGTACCAAGTACCCAATTGATTTCGCACTTCCCTTGAGCTCCTCATACACCTCTCCTCTCCTTCCACCCTCCCACAAACTACTGTTCTCCCCCAAACCTGTCTTCTAATACACAAGCCTCTTTTGTCGCTCCCTCCCACCATTACGACTACCACGACCGACTTTGATTACGCAGGGGAGTAATCGGTTGCAACTGCAACCTCCAACTTACGCAGAAACCTCCTGCTCTTTATTGAGATTCTGGAGCTTTGAGGGTCAGTACAAGCTCGGTTTTCCTGGATTCCAGACTGTCTGTATTTGGTCTTCTGCGTGAGCACATATTAACTGATTCTTGTGTGCAGAATAGAATTCAGAATACCCTTTCCAACCATGTACGGAACGGGAACTGGCCCACAGACGGGCGTCTCAACACCACGATCCTCAGCATCATTGCGTCCTCTGGTTCTCAGTCATGGATCTCTGGACCATTCTTTCTTGATACCCACCAACCTTCACTTTCATGCCGCCCAAATCAAAGACCGATTCCTTTCCTCTCTCCCACCAGCCACAGATGAACTGGCCCAAGACGACGAGCCTTCATCAGTACCCGAATTAGTTGCTCGATACCTCGGTTTTGTGGCACAAGATGTAGAAGAGGGAGAAGACGATGCTCAAGGCACATATGCAGAGGTTCTGCGACTGGTTTTGAACGAGTTTGAGCGCGCATTTCTGCAGGGGAACGAGGTCCACTGTTTGGCTGCTACACTTCCTGGTATCACTGCGAAGAAGCTTCAAGTGGTACAAAGCTATTATGCTGCACGCGCTGCAATTGGACGAGCAATCAAGCCTCATGAATCTGCATTGTTTAGAGCAGCTAATGATGAGGAAGCCAAAGTGTTCACTGTTTACGGTGGACAAGGAAACATCGAGGAGTACTTTGACGAGCTTCGAGAACTATATGTCACATACCCCTCTTTTGTCGAAGACTTGATTGTCTCGGCTGCCGAACTATTACAGAACTTGTCAAGAGACCCAAGAGCGGAAAAGCTCTATCCAAAGGGCTTAGATGTCATGGCATGGCTTCACGATCCAGAAGCTACCCCAAATGTCGATTATATGGTTTCTGCGCCGGTCAGTTTCCCGTTGATTGGTTTGGTACAGCTCGCACACTACACCGTTACCTGTAAGGTACTTGGTCTTACACCAGGCGAGTTCAGAAACCGTATCAGCGGAACTACTGGTCATTCCCAGGGTGTCGTTTTGGCAGCAGCAACTTCAGCAGCCGATTCGTGGGATTCCTTTGATGAGATCGCCATTTCATCTCTCACGATTTTATTTTGGATTGGTTCAAGATCTCAGCAAACCTACCCAACCACATCTCTGGCACCATCAGTTCTGCAAGATTCAGTTGATCATGGAGAAGGCGCACCAACACCTATGCTGAGCATTCGGGATTTGTCTCGCGCCCAAGTCCAGGAGCACATTGATGCCACAAACCAGTACCTGCCCGAAGACCGTCATATTTCGATTTCCTTGGTTAACAGCGCTCGTAATATGGTTGTAACTGGCCCTCCAATTTCCCTGTATGGTCTCAATCTTCAATTGCGAAAAGTTAAAGCTCCAACAGGTCTGGATCAAACCCGAATCCCTTTCACCGACAGAAAGGTCCGATTCGTGAACCGCTTTTTGCCAATTACCTCTCCTTTCCACAGCAAGTATCTTGCGAACGCGACCAAGCATTTGGCTGAGGATCTCAAGAACATCTCTATTGACAGCAAATCTCTGGGCATCCCTGTCTATGACACCAATAACGGATCTGATTTGCGAGAGGTCAAGGGAAACATCGTTCCCACACTTGTGCGATTAATCACTCATGATCCCGTGAACTGGGAGAAGGCAACCGACTTCCCCAAGGCCACTCATGTGATTGATTTTGGCCCTGGTGGCATCTCTGGTCTTGGTGTTTTGACCAGTCGTAACAAGGACGGTACTGGTGTCCGTGTCATCTTGGCTGGTGCGATTGATGGCACAGTAACAGAAGTTGGCTACAAATCCGAACTTTTCGACCGCGACGAAGAGCATGCTGTCAAGTATGCTGTCGACTGGGTAAAGGAGCATGGCCCACGTCTCATCAAGACCTCCGCTGGTCAGACCTATGTTGACACCAAGATGAGTAGAATGCTTGGTGTTCCGCCGGTCATGGTTGCGGGTATGACTCCTTGTACAGTTCCTTGGGATTTTGTTGCTGCTACCATGAACGCCGGTTACCAGATTGAATTGGCTGGTGGTGGATACTACAATGCCAAGACAATGACAGAGGCATTGCGCAAGATTGAGAACGCTATTCCTGCTGGACGTGGTATTACAGTCAACTTGATCTACGTCAACCCACGTGCTATGCAATGGCAGATTCCTCTTCTTGGCCAGCTTCGTGCGGAGGGTGTTCCAATCGAGGGTTTGACGATTGGAGCTGGGGTTCCTTCCATTGAGGTTGCTCAAGAATATATCGAGACCTTGGGATTGAAGCACATTGCATTTAAACCAGGATCTGGAGAGGCCATTCAAGCCGTGATCAACATTGCGAAGGCAAACCCAACATTTCCAGTCCTCCTCCAATGGACTGGAGGTCGCGGTGGTGGACACCACTCATTTGAAGATTTCCATCAACCCATCCTTCAGATGTACGGCCGTATCAGAAGAAGCGAAAACATCCTTCTTGTTGCTGGTAGTGGTTTCGGTGGTGCTGATGATACGTATCCATACCTTACGGGAGAATGGTCTGCCAAGTATGGTTATCCACCCATGCCATTCGATGGCTGTCTCTTTGGTAGTCGTGTCATGACCGCAAAAGAAGCCCATACCAGTAAGAACGCGAAGAAGGCGATCACCGAGGCAGAAGGTCTGGATGATGCGGACTGGGAGAAGACCTATAAGGGCCCGGCAGGTGGCGTTATCACCGTCCGGTCCGAGATGGGAGAGCCGATTCACAAACTTGCTACTCGTGGTGTTAAATTCTGGGCTGAGATGGATGCCAAGATCTTCAGTTTACCAAAGGAAAAGCGTGTCGCGGAATTGAAGAAGAATCGCGACTACATCATCAAGAAGCTTAACGATGACTTCCAAAAAGTTTGGTTCGGACGTAACATGGAAGGAGATACTGTTGATCTTGAGGATATGACTTATGGCGAGGTTGTCCGCCGTATGGTAGACTTGATGTACGTCAAGCACGAGTCTCGCTGGATCGATCAGTCGTATGAGAAGCTTACAGGTGATTTCATCCGTCGTGTTGAGGAGCGTTTCACCACCGACAAGGGCAAGCCATCGCTACTACAAACCTACTCTGAACTTGATAACCCATTCCCAACCGTCAAGAGAATCTTGGCTGCCTACCCAGCTGCCGACAACCAGCTTATCAACGCTCAAGATGTTCAACATTTCCTCCTTCTTTGCCAACGCCGTGGACAGAAGCCTACCACTTTCGTTCCTGCTTTAGATGAGAACTTCGAATTCTTTTTCAAGAAGGATTCTCTTTGGCAATCCGAGGATCTCGAGGCTGTTATCGACCAGGACGTCGGACGTACTTGTATCTTGCAGGGACCTATGGCTGTGAAGTATTCCAAGACTGTTGACGAGCCAATCAAAGACATCCTTGATGGCGTACACAATGCTCACATCAAGGGGCTCACCAAGGATATCTACGGTGACAAAGAATCAGCTATCCCAGTCGTTGAATACTTCGGCGGAAAGCTTATTGAGACCGAAGACGAAGTTGACATTGAAGGTCTTACCATCAATGCTGAGGCTACCAAGACAACTTTGCGCATCGCTACAGGCGGTAGTGTTCCATTGCCACCTTTGGATATTTGGTTCTCTCTACTAGCTGGCCACAAGCGATCTTGGCGCTATGCCCTCTTCTCCTCCGAGGTCTTTGTGCAAGGTCAGAAGTTCCAGACAAATCCTATGAAGCGAATCTTTGCTCCTGTTCGAGGCCTGTTTATGGAAATCCTTCACCCCAACGATCCCACCAAGACGGTCATCACTGTCAAGGAGCAGCCAAGACCAAACCAATATGTTGAAGTCATCAATGTCAAATTGACTGGCAAGAACCAAATCTTGGTCAACATGATCAAAGAGACCACCGCCGTTGGAAAACCAGTCGCACTGCCACTTGAGTTCACCTATCACCCAGAAGCTGGTTATGCGCCAATTCGTGAGGTAATGCAGAGCCGCAACGATCGCATCAAGGAATTTTATTGGCGCGCCTGGTTCGGAAATGAAAAGCTGGATCTTGATGCCTCTGTGACGGGGAAATTCAATGGTGGCAAGGCTAACATCACCAGTGAGGCAATCAATGACTTTGTTCACGCAGTTGGCAATACCGGTGAGGCGTTCGTTGACCGTCCAGGTAAGGAGGTCCTTGCACCTATGGACTTTGCCATTGTTGTTGGCTGGAAGGCTATCACGAAGCCAATCTTCCCACGAACCATCGATGGTGATCTTCTTAAGCTTGTTCATCTCTCCAATGGTTTCCGCATGCTTCCCGGTGCTGAACCATTGAAGAAGGGAGATGAAGTTGAGACCACTGCTCAGATCAATGCAGTTATCAACCAGGATTCCGGAAAGATGGTTGAGGTTTGTGGCACCATCACCCGTCAAGGAAAGGCAGTGATGGAAGTCACATCCCAATTCTTGTACCGAGGTGCATACACCGATTTCGAAAACACATTCCAACGCAAGACCGAGACACCAATGCAGATCCACCTTGAAACAAGCAAAGATGTCGCTGTCTTGAGATCAAAGGAGTGGTTCAACCTTGACGAGCCTGACCATGAACTACTTGGCCAGACTCTTACCTTCCGTCTCCAAAGTTTGGTTCGATTCAAGAACAAGACCGTATTCAGCAACGTTGAGACTCGAGGTCAAGTTCTTCTGGAACTTCCAACCAAGGAGATCATCCAAGTCGCAACAGTTGAATACGAGGCTGGTGTGTCCCATGGCAACCCTGTCATCGACTATCTCGAGAGACATGGTTCCTCCATTGAGCAGCCGATCAATTTCGAGAACCCCATCCCTCTCAATGGCAAGACCGCACTCCTTCTGAAGGCCCCTTCATCCAATGAGCCTTATGCCAAGGTCTCTGGGGATTACAATCCAATTCACGTGTCAAGAGTGTTTGCCGGTTATGCCAACTTGCCGGGTACCATTACCCATGGTATGTACTCGAGTGCCGCCGTCCGAAGTCTCGTCGAGACCTGGGCTGCTGAGAACAATGTTGGCCGTGTTAGAAGCTTCCACGCATCCCTTACCGGTATGGTGCTACCAAATGACGACATTGAGGTCAAATTACAGCATGTCGGTATGGTTGCCGGTCGCAAGATCATCAAGGTTGAGGCCATCAACAAGGAGACTGAGGATAAGGTTCTACTTGGTGAGGCAGAAGTTGAACAACCTGTATCCTCATATGTCTTTACTGGCCAAGGTTCACAAGAGCAAGGAATGGGTATGGAGCTTTACGCAAGCAGTCCCGTTGCCAAGGAAGTTTGGGATCGTGCCGACAAGCACTTCATGGACAACTATGGTAATTCTTCATCGTCCTATATTCAATTAATCATAACTAACATTTATTAGGCTTCGCAATCACCAATATTGTCAAGAACAACCCCAAGGAGCTTACAATCCATTTTGGTGGTGCTCGTGGTAAGGCTATTCGTCAAAACTATATGGCTATGACGTTCGAAACTGTTGGTACGGATGCTTCCACCAAGTCGGAGAAGATCTTTAAGGAAATTGATGAGCATACTACCTCATACACTTACAGATCACCCACTGGTCTTCTCTCCGCCACCCAGTTCACACAGCCTGCTTTGACTCTTATGGAGAAGGCAAGTTTCGAAGATATGCGATCCAAGGGACTTGTTCAACGTGACAGCAGTTTTGCCGGTCACTCTCTTGGAGAATACTCCGCTCTTGCTGCGCTGGCTGATGTCATGCCTATTGAGAGTTTGGTTTCAGTCGTCTTTTATCGAGGTCTTACCATGCAAGTCGCTGTCGAGCGTGATGCATCTGGACGATCCAACTACTCCATGTGCGCCGTCAATCCAAGCAGAATTTCCAAGACCTTTAATGAAGAAGCTCTTCAGTATGTTGTCACAAACATCTCTGAGGTCACTGGCTGGCTTTTGGAGATTGTCAATTACAACATTGCCAACATGCAATACGTCTGTGCTGGTGACCTCCGCGCTCTTGACACTCTTACCGGTGTCACCAACTACCTCAAGGCCCAGAAGATTGATATTCAACAATTGATGGCCACCCTTTCGATTGAGGATGTCAAGGAGCACTTGACCGAGATCATCCGAGAATGCGCTAAGCAGACTGAGGGCAAGCCACAGCCACTCGACCTCCAACGTGGATTTGCAACCATTCCACTCAAGGGTATCGACGTACCTTTCCACTCCACCTTCTTGCGCTCCGGTGTCAAGCCTTTCCGATCCTTCCTTCTCAAGAAGATCAACAAGACTACCATCGATCCAAGCAAGTTGATTGGCAAATATATTCCCAACGTCACTGCACGACCATTTGAGATTACCAAGGAATACTTTGAGGATGTTTACAGACTCACCAACTCACCCAAGATCGGAGCTGTCTTGGCCAACTGGGACAAATACCAAGAGCCTCATGCCAATGGGGTCAACGGTGTGAATGGAGTCAATGGTGTGAACGGGGTTAATGGTGTTAATGGGGTTCATTAAAAATATTTTTATTTTTTCTCTCTGTTCATGTGGATCTACGAAATGGCGTTTTGGCCGGAGCGGGGGAACTTGTTTTTTTTCTTTCGCTTGTATTTGTTTGGCGATACAAACACTTGCTTGCCTTTGTAGGTGCTTTAGAGAGGAAGAGGGAGCGTGGGTAATTTTCGCTCTTGCTCTTGCTGGATGTGTATAGCTTTTTTTCGCGAGGGATAGATATGGTAGATGAGAAGACGCAAAGCAATGCTAGATGAATTTACAACTTATAATATTTCTTTTTTGAATCCGGTGCTGGTTTTGCTTTGAAACCTGTAATATTGAGTGTGTATGTGAACTAGATCTTCAACTAGACTCTCCTCTATTTCCCTTGTGTAAAGATATAATAATTAATACAGATTCTACCCTACCTAAGTCTATTTATTTGATCAGGCTCATTAATCTGTAGACCACTTAGTATTGTTGGAGATGATAATCTTCTAAGATAGTAAACTCGCCTCTCCTATGATTGAGAGAAGGTAAGATGAAAAAAAAAAGGGTAAAAAAAGTCACTCTCTTACCATGTAGTATAGCTACCTCGTCTGTACTATGACTTTTAGGTAAGAGAGTTACCCGCTAGCCCTGAAGTTCAAGAGAGTACGTGAGTTACCATCTAACCCTGAAGTGTAGTGTACTGTTAGTATACACCATGTACCTAGCTTTGGTAAGTAGACTTCCACTAATCTCAGGGCGTATCCTGATGTTCCAAAAGAAAGGTGGGAGTAAAGGGGTTTACTACCGAAATGAGGTCATTATCGATCCCCTTTCTTACGGCCGTTAAAGTTATATCTGTGCAATCGATACTTGGTTTGAGTAGAAAGTAAGATTCAACATCCCCATCTCTTTATTATATGTACGGAGGTAGCGTCTATGCTAGTATGATACAGTGGGGATTATTATCCTGGCAGCAAGCCATAGTGATAGAGGAGTAGTGTAGTGTGGTGGTGCTATTTTGAGTGGTATTGTATGTTGTTGGGACTGGGTGGAGCTGTGAAGGGGGGGGGTTTATGTGTTACTGTATGTGGTAATTTGTGTGTGTTGGTGGGAAGGTGGTTGGTGGTTGGTTGGGAGATTTCTATCGTCTGGGTAGGTGGGTATGATGGGGGGTGGTGGTTGGTGGGTTTGGAGTTGTTTTGTACTGTATTTGTTTTTGTGGAGGTGTTAGAGGGAGATGTCAGATGTGTTTTGGACTGGACTGTTTCTGTGGTCTTTTGTGTTATACTGCTACTGTGTTTACTGGTTTGATTTTGCGAGCCTTTTGTTTGTCGGATATACAGTATTTGTAATTTTAGAGTGGATAGTTTGGGGGGGNNNGGGGGGGGGGGGTGATCGTGCTGCGTACGTAGGCGGCTTGTAAGATTTCTTGGAGGGGTGAGTTCGCGTGGTATATGTACTGTACTTACTTGGATTTATGGATAGAGGGGATGTAGAGTGTGGGAGATTGGAGGGGATTGTTTTGAGGGGGATATTTTTGTAGTTCCTATTTTCTTGTGTAGGGTGGAGCAACTTAGTCAGGTAGGTCGCGTGGCTTTTATGGGTGTCGGTCGATAGGAGGATTGCGCTTTTTCGTCTTCTTCTTTTTGGCAGGGTTCTCTAACTTGTTAAATAGGTCACTTTCAACCAAGCGACAGGATGCTGCTTGGGTTACTTCAGCCTTTGCATGATATACTACTACCGAAAAGGGCCACGACCTAGAGACCTCCCAACTTCCCCCCCCCAGGGATCGGAATGACGAATTACGAGTCACTCGACAAGTTCCTATATGATCAGCAGGCGAATATTATGTATGAGGACATACAATCTGCAATAATCCGCCACATGAGGCTGGCAGTTCCGCAAAATCGAGATCACCTGGCTTGAGTCTACATCCATATGGGCGGGGCTTCTTTGAATTTGATAAGCGGAGTGTATTTGAATCATGTCGTAGGGGAATTGGTGGACAGCTTTATTCTTATAGTTCTGGCGGGAAAAAAAAGTTGGTATGTTGCTCTGTCGGATTTGGAGTTATTGTCGGATATGGAAAAGTTTCGCTGGTTTACTTATAGTCAAAATATATCCATTCTACGGAATTCGGTGATGCTGATTGGGAGATAGGTTGAATAGCGTGGAAGTACGGGGTTGTTAGGGTTGGTTTGTTGGAACTACCACACATATGTGCGACTTGCTCAGGTACTTCTCTGGATGATCCAGGTGACGGATGTGTACTACGTTATATTTGTAGTGTGAGTTCTCATATGTATGTTACTTTCACATCTTGGTTTTGATAGATGGAGATATCTAAGTTGGTAGGGGAGATTTTGATGGGAATCTGGGAGGGGTTGAAAGGTGTTGAAGATGGGTTGATGTGAAGTCTTGGATTACTTGCTTCACAGTAATGGCTTTCCATCTATGCAACAAGGTAAAGTAATGTTGCCATAAACAAACTTAGAATGGAACTTCAAATTTCTTTACCGCCAGTCGCAATCATTATCCTCTTGTTGGCGCAATTATTGAAGCAGAATATCTCAAATTATGAGGGAAATAGTTAACTTTGGCTCTACAATCACCCCCTACCGTTTACACTCATTAAAGTTCCTCCTAATTAACCTAACGGCTAGGTCTTAATATAAATAATCTCAATTTTGATCAGGATGCCTCCCTATACTCGCGTTATAGCATCACAAGGGTTGAGAATGGCTACCCTTGAAGTGATATATCTGTGTACCCTCCAAGACCGTATTTACTCCAAAGATAAAACATAAAAGCCCTAGCATTATTCTTCATTTTTTAGAGACGGTTCATATATCACAAAAGCAGATGAACCTCAACTTCGCAAGTAATCATTTAATTTCGACTTTTTATTTGCTGTCGTATGTATTTAATCCGTTCGAGCCCAAAGGTCCGGGTCTTTTTTGGTCAACGTGGTATTTGAGATATACCTTGGTATGTTTTCCCTTGATATTGAACAGGGTGAAAAGTTTACAAAAGTGTTCAAGGTCGCTACTGCACCCCCAATATGACCTGACTGTTTTGTACTCTTTGTTTCACACAAAGGTCTTGTTCCAAACTCGTCACCCCCATTTATTCGGAGAGATGTTGTGTCTTTTCCTAATTCAAGTTTCCATCAGAGTCTTTATACCATTTTGCGAGTGGTCAAGTTAGTGGTAGAGGACTATCAACAATCGTTTGTATTAACTTATAACGTATTGATTGCCGTGAAAAAAAGATTCTGGAGGATGATCTATCTCGCAAATTTCTTCTATTACTTATTCCATAGGCAAGGATCGAGATAGGCCTATAACCAAATTTGGTTATATGTATTTAGTAAGTCACATAACATTTGTTCTACTTAGGACGGGTCGCTACAAGATAGATACCTATAGGCACGCTAGGGTAAGACTCAGGACTTGGCGCTAGCATATACTCCTGCACCGTAACGCAGACTCTCTTCCCACTTTGATACTTACACAGCTACTCTCACCGAGCCGCGATTTCGGCCTGTCTAAAGAGACCGCTTACGGAATCTTGAGGTACGTGTAATTCAGCTTCTTTTGTAGCTTAAGAAATCCTAGGAGAGCTACAAGTATATTCCTCTGACCCGTTTGAGTTCAGTGTTGTTCTTGGTTTACCCTAGCTCTAAGGGCGGATAATAATGAAAGGCCGATTCTTAACATATAGGCCTATACCTAAAACTACTATAGGTAAACCCAGATATAAGTATAACTTCCCCGTTATATATAGAGAGCCCTTTACTCTCTACCTTAAATCTTTAATACAAAAGACCTCTTCCTATTTATTCGAGTCTTTATAATAAGGATATTCTCGGGGAATAGATTTTTAAGAATATAACCGAGGATATTCTTATAGTAAGGGTCTTGGTATAGATAGTAATAAGGTTATATTTTTAAGTACTAATACTCTATATAGAATCCTATAAATAAAGTTACTACCTATAATTCCTAGTTTTTTACTTAGAGAATACTAGGACTTTTCTTAGAACCTCTTTAATAAGAATAAAAACAAGGATATCTTTAGTATTAAAAAACTTTTAGAACCTAAAAACCTAAGGATTATTCTTATTATAAATTCTACCTAATAAAATTAGGACCTAGAATATAAGAATATAACCGAGGTTATTCTTATATCTAGGTTCGCCTATACCTAAAAGGTTAATCTAGTTTCCTGGAGTAATTAAGACGAATTATTATAATATATTAGTCTAGCCGAGACTTCTATACTTCTATTTCTACTACCTAGCTTATCTCGGTTACCTAGGTAAATACCTAGTATTCTAGTAGCTTCTACTCGGTTAGGGTTATCTTATAAGACTCCCTACTTACTCTTTAGCTAGCTTCTCTCCTTATACTTATTCTATTCTTCTTCTAATATAAATTCTACTTATACCTCGGACATTATTAGAGATTCTCTGTCGAGACTCTTGTACTAAGATTACTAAAAGGCTATTCCTTAGATTATAAATTACTTAGCGCTAAGGCTTAGCTATAACGTTGTAACGATAACTGATCCGGCTAACTGAAGCTTGACTGTTGTTCGCTGGTTGGTATGCTAGGATAAGATTGATAACTAAGTTGAGCACGAAGCTCCTATCTAATGGCAGACGGGACAGTAACCAATGGAAATCCTTGGATCGCTTAGCTACTCTAAGCGACCCCTATTATAAGAAACCTGGGTGTGCACTGTCGAGGGTTGCGCCTCCTATTATGACATGTATCACGTGGACACGTGATTCGTGACAAACGTTAGGTCTCGAACCCGTATAGCTAAGTCTATAGTACTATAGTTTATCACTCGAGTCGATTATTTATAAAATACTCGAAAAATACTACTCTTATACTTAAAGGATTTATATCCTAGCTAGTAACCCTCTAGCTATCCGGAATACTAATATTCGCTTCTATACCCTCGAGCGGTATGAAGATAATAACATATGTTTCTAGTATAGAAAGGTACGGTTCGTATATATATATAAGTTATAAAGGAGTATTTAATTTAAGTTATTACTATACCTTACTCGAAGAACTTAATTTAGTTGTAAGTATAAGAAACACCTTTATAGCGTTAAGTACTAGGATAGATTCTATAGCTATAAGGTAGTTACGGATATAGACGTTTATAATAGTACTAGGGAACACGAGAAGGTAAGTATAATACTTATAAGGTAGATATTATTATTTATAGTATTATTATATTTATAATTAAATTATTAGCTTTCTAATAATATTTATACTTCTAATAAGATATAGAGTTTTAATACTTAGCACGTTTTAATTAGGTATAGTAGCGCTATAGCTCGCTTAACGCCTTATACTAAGCCTTATGTCAAGGGTTGCACCCGTGGAGTGAGTCTTGGAGTGCTCCAGCGACATGTGCACGTGACCTCTAAGCAGACTTGGTGGAACCTTCTAGAGTATTGGTAAAGGACACGTAGTGTCACGAATCACGTGTTCACGTGATACCTGTCATAATAAGAGGAGCAACCCTCGACAGGCACATCCAGGTTTCTTATAAATAGGGATGCTTAGACTAGCTAAGCGATCCAAGGATTTCTCGTGTATGTAGTCACGTGATCAACCGCATCGCCTGTATCGACAGTCGATGTTAGCGATAGGAGGTCGACTACATCGACAGGTGATGTAGGCGATGTAGAGAGAACGAAGGTTCTATATAAGACTGGCACGTCTGCCATTAGATAGGAGCTTCGTGCTCAACTTAGTTATCAATCTTATCATATTAGTTTGACATCTTTGATACAAGTAACGAGTTCACTTCCAAGTGAACAACCCGATAGTCTTCTTCTTATCATAGCATACCAACCAGCGAACACCCAGCCAAGTTTAGTTAGCCAGTTTGAGTATTCGTTACACGTAGCCAGTTCTGTGGTATATAGAGAGGGCTGGGAAGCTGCTTTGGGAAGGACAATCGAATCTTCTTGTACATAGACAACCTCTGTAGTTCAATTCATCAGCATTTGCTACAAGTCCTGACACCTTAGCGCTAAGTAATTTATAGTTTAAGAGATAGAATCTATATATTTAGTTTACTAAGAGATTATAAAAGACTTAGAGGTAATACAACTAAATATTAAGTTATAACTACTTATTATTATTTATTAAAATACACTTCAACGTGGGTATAGATTAATGTTTTAATATGTACGGTATAGTAATCTGTGTTAAAAATCGGCCCGGAATTATCCACCCTTAGAACCCTGGTCCTTGGCAACTGGTTCCGCTGAGCGATATGAGCACGAACGAAAACCCGACAGTGTCTTCTTGGACAAGATAGCCGTCGCTCAAGAAGGTATCTTTCTCATAGCCTACCTTTACTGCTTTCTGGTAAGCCCAGAGTCATGTTTACCTCGCAAATAGACCCCCGCGGGCTGTTCACCTTTCCTGAAGCCGATTTGCCCATTGTTGTGAAGCATGGATGTGAGCGTGTTATCGGCAAGGTGTCTTCTACTGCCATGTGTCTTGCAAGTCCCGTGTGGAAGAAGTTCATAAAGCCTCCTTTTGGTCATCTTGGACCCGCCAGAACTGAAGTAGCGGAAATAGAATCTTTCAAGGCAGCCGCTTTGGGTGGTCAGGAAAGTGACACCATTGGAGAATCTCAATTGGACTTTCAAGACGACAATTCCGAGGCCTTGCCACTACTTCTCAGGATAGCACATTTCCAATTCGTTACCGTTACTTCTACGCTAACATACCACATGTTATTGTCGATAGCAGTCTTGGTCGATCAGTATGACTGTGTAGAACTTGTCCACCCCTGGATTCGGATTTGGGTTGCGAACGAAAATGTCGAATCCCTAAAACCAGATCAAGAAAGCTGGCTCTTTATTGCATGGGTTTTTGGTAGCGAAGAAGTCTTCCAAACACTAGCAACCTCGCTCGTACGAAGCACAGACCTCCAGAACAAACCGAAACTTATGAATAGCACAATGCCACCTTCAATTATTGGTCTTTTGCCTTGAGCGCTTGAAGAGCTTTTACTAATGCGACGCTAGAGAGTATTTTCGAGGTTCTCAAACAAGAAATATCTAAGATTCTGGAAGTCCCATATAACCTTGCGGAAAAGTTGCAGAGCATGTTCATGAGGCGGAAACTGACTACTCAAGAGTCAGGACATCACTATAGCACGCCTGAGACAGAGTGCCATGAGAATGAGCAGGACTGTGACGATCTTTTCTATGGCTCTCTGATGTTAAATCTCACGTGGGCACATCTATGGCCTAAGAAACGTGCAGATGAAATTCACATCAGTGCCAAGGCCCTTGCCGAAGAATTGACGGAATTAAGAATCTCCCACCTGACGGCTGATGGGTGGAGCCATGAGAGTTGTCCGCCGAAAACCCATATCAAATATGGGATCTCCAATATTCTCGCTACGAACCCACCAACACCTGTACTGGACTCCCACATTCTCCATATAAAGACTCAACACAAGAGGTTGAACCCATCATATGAGGTTCCACTACTTGACAAGAATCCGTCTAGCATCATTACGCAGGCTTAGGAAGGAAAATTGCCGTTTTTTGATTTTTTGATGGATGGGTAGCAAAAGGGGCAGCAAAAGGGGCACAATAGCAAAAAACACCTACGCTACGTATGGAACAATCTTCCTAACAAACACTTAACAATGCACTTGCTTTCTGCCCCCCCTCCCCCCCAAACCACAGCTTCCCTGTTCTAGAATGTGATCTCTTCATTGATTTTTCTTGGGTTTAACTCCTCACAGTCTCTCTTCTACAAGGAACTACCACGGCCATTTGTATATTTGTTTTGTTCAGTGAGGTTCCAGCTTACGGTAAGAAATCATTTTGCTTGAGCCAGCCTTTTACATGTTTTCGGTTGTAGAAAGAGTTTCCAACCCTACCCTCATCTTCCCTAGGGTTGAAACTTAAAGTATCTCCCTTAAATCCCTTAAAAGAAGGAAGACCTTAAAAAGGATGATGTTAATGTAGGGATTGACAACCGAAGCTGAGATACACAAGGTTAAGCATCTCCTCCTGGTGTATCGAAGATCTTGAAGATTGGCAAACTGAAATCGCACTGTCTTCCCAAGTTCCCAAGGAATATGCTGTCTATCCGGATTGGTCTTCAATAAGCTCAAGGCTTCGCCATGCTCTTCTAAAACAAGTGAAAAGAAAGAAGGGCACAAAAGCCCCTGCCATGTTCAAATACCAGATGAACTGAGATTTTGATATTTTTTTCCAAAGCTGGACCCCTATTCACGTATCACTTCTTAGGAAACAGTTAGTGTGTGTGGCGCTTATGCATTTAATCACACTCTAGTTGACTGGGATAGTCTGGTAGGTACCAGGCTTGATGACAAGGAGCTTCTTGGTTAGATAGAAGTATTTATGTCGCTTAAATCATGGGTATTATCACGTTGTGCGACCCATTATATCACGACACCAAGTGTAGACGCTAACTGCTTCGGCGTTCTGCTAATGTTGCTCAGGAAGTAACAGATTAAAACTATCATAACTGCGTCATCGAACCTTTTGAGATATTTGTACTGATCACTCAAGAATAATGTCACGTGTTTACTCAAATAAAACATCAAGGATGAAGGGTACGATGTTATTAAATTTCCAAATCCAAAACTCCTACGTGCTCCTCCCAGTACTCTATGGTTGACCATGACAAGCTTTAAGAGGACAGATCAATTTATCCGGCGTCTTCTTGTGGCCACAAATCTCATGACCATCATTCGTCCTTCCATAGCTGCGTTGCCATTCCTTGATAACCACCCAGCTCACATAGCTCTTGTTGAAGTCCGGGTCATCGCAGAAAGCAGTATGATATTCATCTATGACGTTAAATTCTTCGATTCGTAATCTATAAGTTGGGTCAGTACACTTCTCAAGGTTCTGTGAGTGGAAGTGGAAACTTACTTGAGGGGTGCGTCTCCAGCACATACGTAGATAACAGTTCCTCGAAGGGAGATGATGAGAGCTCTGTGGGGGTGGATGGTTCCTCCTTCTTCGATGATGGGGTTTAATTGCTATTGTAACATCTGATAAGCCTCATCGTTCAGGAAGGGGGAGTAGAGAGGGCAACTTACTTGTCGTGCTGATTTGTAATCTTGTCTGTTGATCTCAGCCCATGAGCAGTTGTGGATTGTTGAGTCAGGTAGTTGGAAGGTCCACTTTTTGTTGTTTGGTGTTTGACGGGCGACGGCGCCGCCTCCAAGCCATTGGTTAGTCGTGTTTGTCATGTTTTGGTTGGTTGCATGACGTTTTTCTTCGGTAAAGCTTCTGATGAAGATTGGGCTTGGGTTTTCGCTTCGGAGGTCGACTTCATGGACACCATCTGAGAGGTTTCCTGGAAGCTTGTAAGGACCGTATGCTGCTGTGAGGACGGGAAGAGCGGCTAGGGCAGCGAAGGTAGCGAAGATGCTTGTGGTCTTCATATTTGCGGTGGGATTGTAGTTGATTGTTTGTTGAAAGGTGTTTGAGAGATGGCTTAAAAGTAGTTGAAAGTTGGGCAGAGAAGTTGCTTGAAATGTGTTGTCTGGTTGGAAAGGTGTTTGACGATGAAGGAGGAAAAACTGGGAGGTAGGCCCTTTATTTATACGTTTCCTGTGGTCGATTCTTTTGCGCCGCCGCTTGCAAGATGATATACTTAGTACGTGTTGATGGTTGGTATGATACTCACGATCCAACCCGTTCATAAGCTAAAATAATGATTCTGCAATTTCCTCCCCCCAAAAAGGCTAGCACTGTAGTTAGTCAAGCTAATTGTCATGCTAAAGTTACCATCAAACAGAGTACGATATAGCCATTCAAGGTTCAGACTGGATTTGAGGGGAATGGATACGAAGAGAAGGTCAAGTTCTGAAAAATCGAGATGCCTTTGCTTGAGAGACTCCAAGAACCTCCCATATCAATAAAAGTGTCACAGAAAGCGACGTTATCGAGAAGTAGATCTTGAAGTATTTACTCCTCTTCAAGGACTGGGAAACAACAAGTCAGTCGTTCTAGCGACCGTTTTGCGTCATCTATGACAAGAAACGGTGCGCCGGTCCTCATGAGATGAACTCGCTAGTGGGGAAGCCATTATGGGCAGCTCCACCGAAGCCTCAAATATCCAGTCCGTTGGAAAAATCTGCAGGTGAGCTGTTTTAGCGACCATTTTCTGTCATTTGTATGACGCAAAACGGTGCACCCATCCTTCTAGCTTAAGATGAGTTAAATATGAGGGAAGTTGTTGCTAGCAGCTCCGCCGGAGCTACATCATTGCTGCAACTTCTAAAAATATCACACCTCTCCGTCAAATAACAAGAATTATCCTCATGCCAACAGCCGGAAGAGGATGCTCCGTCAGGTTATTTTTTACCCTAAATACCAATGTGATGAGGTCCTGAACAAATAATGCTAAAACAAATTTAGCAGTAGGTGAGACCGTGAGAGCTCTAGTCACCGTTATCTTTCAAGCGCACCCCAAAGTCCTATAAACTTGACCGACGTCCAAGCTAGTCACTAGTTGGACTGGCAAGATTCAAGAAGCTTAGGGAGGAACCAGCCATGGCTTTTGTCATCGTCTAGAGTTTTGCAAGCTAGTAGAATTTTCATCCATCATACTACCGCTAGAAAATAAGCGAAGCCGGTGGAAAAATCTGTTGCTGGTCTTCTCATAGTTTATGGTGCTAAATGACTAAATTGTGGGGGATTCACAGTACTAGGAAGATCATCAACGCTAAATCGGGAAGGATTTGGAAGAGGATTCAAAACCCTGGCTAAGAATTTAATACCACAGAGAAATCCAACCCTGCGTAGCCATCAGTATAGTCTTATAGTGGGACTTGTAAGAAGCGATATCGCGTTTCGTGCTGTACTTGGAAAAGTGGACGTGAAGGATAGGACGATATATCGAAACATGAGATAAGCATAAAGACCTAAGATTTTCGGTGTCTGCAACTATCGATTATCTCAAAATGACCCAAGAAACACTAATAGTCTAGCTTGCTTAGCTTGTCCAGGTGCAGGATTCAGAAGTAAGAGGGGGCTTCGAACACCAGAAGACTGTACACCGCGTAAAATTTGAGACATCTCTTGAGAGAAGGGTACCCTGAGAATGAAACGTCCGCAGCTTGGTAGAAATGAAAAATGGTCCGTATAATTGAGGTCAGTTCAAATGAGTGTTGACGTAGATCCGAGATCTCTAGGCGAGAGCTTTAACCAATCGGCGATAGATCGGAGGAAGGACCTCCGATCCCCTACCCGCTATGCAGCTTCATGAGCCTCGTACCCGCGAACTCGCGACACGGCCGCTAATCACCATTCACGACATCACCAACCATGCCACCTTACAAAGATGATCAGCTGTGGACCATTGTGCCTGGCAGCTACACGACCCAGGTCCAGGTCAAGCTTCCAGAAAGTCTAGCACCAGCAGAACACAATATTCCAACGCGCATGTTCCTTGCGCCAGACGGAAAGACATATGAGCCGTACAGGGTGAAGGAAAACGATGCGGGCGAGCTCATTGAGTATCCAGATGATGGCGAAGGTGCCATTCGGCCCCTCAAAGGTATGATCTACCTTCGTGCAAACTTTCAATTCCCAAATCGTAATGGTTGAAAGCTGACAATGAATGGCGCAGGTGGGAAGATTGTCAATATGAATGCCTTTCTCGCGTTCCTCGAACATATACATAGCAAATTCCAACCTTCCCTTACATCCGCACTCATTATTGTCGCTCAACCTGAATGGAAAGCCCCAGAACTAGAAGAACTTACCCGCTTCGCATTCGTAACATTGAAAGTCCCCGCCTTTATGCTCATCGATAGCGCTTTGGCAGCAGCGTGGGGTTATGGACTTACACATGGGGTGGTTATTGATGTTGGATATGAAAAGATCAATATATCTACCATTACAGACAGCATGGTCAACACCCGTGAGGCGCTACCATTATGGGGAGGCGAGCGTATGACGGAAATCCTACACTCGTTGTTAAAGGGTAAACACCAGCCGGAATTTACGATGGAAATGGCAGAGGAACTCAAGAAGAGCCCTCTATGCGAAGTCCTAACACCTGTTACGCCACTTCCGAGCGCCAAAGATCCAGGACAGACAGTGTCAGGGCCAAGCGTAGAACCAGTGGAAGTCGAACCAGTGGAGGATGACCTTGCATTGGCCGAGAAGGAGGAGGGTGTGCTTGATGTTGCCAGTATTGTGGCGAGTGGGAAAACAGCAGAGTTTTTGGCTAAGAAGAAGGAGAAGGAAAATGCGGCGGCAGCACGTAAAGCTACGAAAGCAGCCGAGGCTTTAGCTGCTAAACCCGTAAAGCCGCTTCCAAACTCGAAACAATTTTGGGCGACTTGGTCTTTCAACGCCCCTAAATCCGAGGAAGAAATGAACAAGGAAAAGGCAGTAGAAGCTGCTGCTGCTACCCAAGAGCCGGCTCCAGTCACTGATGGTGAACAATCGGCCGTCGCTGAACCCGCCACTACACAACAAAAGAGTAACCTCAAGAAGGACAGCAAGAAGAAACAGTGGGAGGAAGCTAACCCAGGTCTCAGTCGCCACGACTTCAAAATTGGCGTTGAGCGTTTTCAGATAGTGGATCCTTGGTTCCTCCATCTTATTGCTGATTCAGTATTTTGTGCCATCCAGAATGTTGAACCAGCGTCGCTGAGACAGCCCGTGTGGGATAATATGATTATTTGCGGAGGAGGCGCAAAGATTAAGGGTTTCAAAGATGCCCTTCATCGTACCCTCCTCAACAAGTATCTAATCTCTCCAAGCTCAGCCACAATGTTCATGAGCGAGCTCCCATCAAACATCGCCACGCCAAGTGGTACTGGGTCGATGACACCAAGCAGTTCCTTTGCCCCAACCCATCCCACTGTCAATCCATCCAACTCACTGCTAATTGCTGCGACCACCGCATCGAACTCCGCACTCAACCCAGGTCTTAGCCAAAATGGAAGTAACCCGGCCAACACTCATTCTTCACACTCTCAAACGCCGACTGCGATCAAATTTGCTACTCCACCAACGTACTTCCCAGAATGGAAAGAGTATTACGACGTAGACTTTTTGGGGTCCTGCATAGCAGCAAAGACTATCTTCGGAGCTCCCGTGGATCAAGTCAAAGGTTACTATGTTACCAGATCTGATTTCAATCGGGATGGTCCCAAGTCTATTCATGATATGTAAGTCTATTTTGCGCCCCCTATCCCGACGAAGGCGACTAATTTCTCTGCAGTGGTCTTGTATAATTACAATATAAAAGTTCTTGCGATGGCGTTTCCGGAGTTTTCAAGCTGGGGAGAGAGGGTAGATGAATTCTGTACCATAACCAGGAATACCCAAAGGGGGCTGCGAGCGAGCATTGAACCGTCGAAAATGGATTGGATGGTTAATTTGTGCTGTGAGAATGATTTAAAGTACTACATGAGGAAAGAAAGTTACAACTCACCCCCTTCCCATATCTCATTGTGCTCTGAAGTATTGTAAAGTTTTGATTTAGTCAGTCAGCATGGGCATAGCAAGAAAAATGCTTGGCTCTTTGCAGATCAGATTTTGAAGTGGTGTAAAACTCTGCTGATGATCCAGACAACGAAATCTGGAAATTCATACTTGGGTCGTGCTATCATGTAGATATGCAAGGTCCTTGGATAAATTATCCCTTTTCACTTCCATTGCCTCGCTGAAAATGGCGATTGAGGCATTGACAAGAACCTTATCTGGGAGAAATTACAATGTCATGGTATTTTCTATTTTGTCCTGTAAGAGCTTATCCATTGTTGGTTGCTTATTTAGCCTGCTTTGATTTGATAGCTGGGGCTGGTTTTCCTTCCAGTGTTTTTCTAGGGATGTTGTTGTAAGAGGTCTGAGTAGGCTACATACGTAATAAGTCAAGAAAGCTGAAGAAACATTAATGAGGAACGGTGCCTCTAATAGGGCCGAAAACCGACAGTATTATTGTGAGTAATCTAATCTATTTCTGAATTGTATGTGCATTGTTTTGTTAGTTTTGGTTGATTGAGATTCTTTAAGTGTTTGGGGAGCTTGAAATATGAGGGGGATGCAGGCGCCAATTTTAATTTCAGGCTTTTTGTTGTATGTTGCAGCAGTCTTGATGGTATGACCTGGCTGGATGGATTACGAGCTCCATGTAGTATTTGTCTTTCTCTTTTGGTGCTTCATGTCATAGAGATTTGAGTAAGTGACAAAGCATCATGAAACTACATTCATTATCTTTGTTGCTGCTCAGTGCTCTGCAATTTATGAAGCTCTGAGATATTACAACTCAAGTGAATAAAGAGTATGAGTGTACCATCAAAGAGTTTGATGTGTCTAGATTATTCCAGCGTTGGTAGGTGTAGGGACTGTGGTGGTCCCTCCATTGTTCCTTCCTATCTGCTAAGTTCTTTAATATATCACGTGTGGGTGAATGCAACTTCTAAGAATTTCATTCACCTTGCAACTTGCAAACCATGGAAGAAGTTCTTCTCCCAGTTCTTAGATCGCCATCCAGTATACTTTTGCTAGGTTGCTTCACTACTGCTTTGCGTCATCATGGGGTGACCCAATGCTTGTGCTTCTCTAGCCATAGCAACCTCAACGTGTGGCTTAGAGGGAGGAAGCCTTGGAGTATCAAGGCACACGGCTGAGAACCCTGGACCCTGGACCTTGTCTCTCTACTCCATAATCTAGTTATTGTCTCCTTTCAAATATATCCGACCACAACCATCGCATCCTGAACATCACAGGCTCATTCAACTGTCAGAGTAAGCATAGCCCCTCACGTCCTTTCCCTCCCCTTTCGCCAGTCACGGTGCACACATCTCCAGAGTATTCAACTCTCTCTTGAACAAGCCGCTAACGATACGTGCTCTAGAGTTTTTGACTAGACTAGACGCGCTGCGAACCCCAGAGTTGCACGTGTTTGGATGCGACAAGGGGGAGGACGACGACGATAACTTTCTGGCTTGCCTTGACCACCACATAAGACCAAGACCCTTCTTGAACCATCCATTCTGCCTTCCGACACGCCACCGCGCTGCAAAAAAGCACCACCACGCCAATCATGCGATCCACCAGAAGCAAGAATGGCAAGTTGCCAGCCAAGATCGTTCCATTTGGCGAGCCTATTCTCGAAGGCGACATCCTCGACGCGGCTATCGACAAGATCGAGGAGGGAGTCGCCAACGATGTGGCAGAGGTAGAGCAAGCAACTGAAGTTGAGGAGGTGGTCGACGTTGCGATGGCTGCGGAGGCAGTTATCACTACAATCAATGCCAAGCAACCAGTCCAAGATGGTGTCTATATCGTTCGCTCTGTAGGCAAGGGAAAGCTGGAGCTTGTCAGCATCCAACATGCTCATACAGAAACCATGGGATCGATTGAGTTTGGAAACATTATTCAGAGCAATGCTGATCGAAAGGCTCTTGTCGAGTCTGTCCATGAGAATCTCCCGAAGATCACCGCGAATATTGTGCAAGCTATTGACAGCGCCAGTGAGTGTCATAACTATTTGTCCTGCCATGAATATATTCCATATTAACAGTTGATTTAGATAAAAACATCTTCCGTTTCCTCAATCTCACTCTCGAACTACGATACATGATTTATGACGAGGTCATCAAGTCAGACCATATGTTGACATACAACCACAGCGGTACCCGTTGCCAAACAATGGGCTTCTCTCTTAGAGGTGTCAACAAGCAAATCCGTGACGAGACTGCCAGATTCTTTTGGTCGAACAACTTTAAGTTCCATGATTTCCCTAAACTCGACCCACAAGTAAAGCAGACCTTTGACCTGGTATCCGCCAGCCTTACAGAGGTCACATTCCAATGGTTTGTTCAACCTCGCAAGGATAAACTCACTCTGGAGGCGATTTCAAAATGTCCAAACATCAAGATCTTCAATCTCGTGATCACCAAATTCAGTATCAAGGACTCTTATGATCACTATTACCAACGCCGATGGTTTTTTGATCAACGTGATCGCGCTCCAAAATTCACCAGAACTAGAGGTATCGAGGATATCCTTAAACTTCGCGGACTTACTAAGGTCAACGTAAAGAAATTCATCAACCTTTTGGGTCGCCCAGAGCCCGGCCAAATTTTACAATCCGAGTTGAATGAATTTCAGGCTATGCTGAATGAGTATATGACCCAACCCAAGGTTGCTCCGAGCCCAGTTGTAAGTGCTTCCTACTCTTTTCCTCGCAATACCCTTTTGACGTATTATAGACATCCGCCTCAGCGGCCAAGCTCAAGGCCAAGAGAAATCGAATGAGCAGAGGCAAGACTGACCGATGGGATCTTGGCTCTGATGATGACGCTGATTATAAGGGTCCAAGTCGACGTCGTCGCACACGTTAATTGACGTCCTGCACGTAAATGTGGCGTTTATACGGCTCGCTATGGGTGGTTATATTACATGATGTTTCTGCCTCTTTCTTCCTTACTTTCTTCTTTTCCTTCCAGAAACATTACACCAGATCAGTTTTGCTATTGCTACGACTTCAATTTGGTAGATGGGTTGTGTGGATTTGAAAGCGTGGGAGGACAATACCGCTTTCCTTTTGTTTTCTTTTCCACCTTGCTTTCTATGACATTCGGGATACCCTTACAAATGAGACCTTCTTTCTCTTTTTGTCGAGAGACTTTTCAGATGAGGATATTTTCAGACAAGAGAGATTTTCTTTCTCTTTTCTTTTCACACGGAATGGGTGGGAGTACGGTACATTGATTGTATAATCGCAAAGCCAATTTTTCTTGCCGTATGCATATTCCGCGTCATTCGCTGTGGGGAAATATGGCCATGCATAGTAGGTAGTACTTGCAATATATCTGTACCGTAACCTCTGGACCTTTTGACTAGTTATGTGCAATGCTTTTCTTTCGCAGCTTCAGCTTTCTCTAAGATGTAGAAATGTAAGTATGTGAGGTAGTAAGTAAGATTTGGGATATAGTCATCCAAGGATTGATTACATATTCCATACCTGAGACTCAATACATACGTGCCCTTTGAGCTACCATATAGAGCAGGTCCTTGCATCGTAACCGTAGTCCACCATACGCCATCTCTCATCCACTATAGATTCAGTAGCAGCATAGCAGTAGCTACTACAGTCAGTACATTAGACGAGACAAGGTCGACCAGAAGAGTGTGTCAACACACTCACCCATACATACTTCCCATACATACTAACCGTAACTACACACCTACTCCATCTAGCTCATGCGGACTACTGGTACACAAACGACATCAGATCAGATCAGATCAAATTAAACTTTCCTCGCTAAATCCCAGACTCTCGATTCACGTTCCCGACTCTCCTGAAGAAGAAGCATGACACGTAGAAGCTAAGTGAGACTTTGGCATCACTGCCGTCTACGAGTCGTTCGAGGGGTGCGATGTGCAACGAATCTGATGGATGGGCTTTGATCTGATCTGATCTTTGTTACAGAACTTACTTATTGTTTGTGATTTAGTTCGTTGTTGGTTGTGGGAGGTTGGAGGTGGTTTGAAGGTAGAGGGTGGATGTGGTTGGTGTGGTACTGGAGGACTGTAAGCGAGATGTGGGGTTGTGGGGATTGGGTGGGGTGGATTTGTGGGGAGGGGTAGGGACGGGAGGTAGGGAGGTGTGGGGCTGTTTNGAGATGTGGGGTTGTGGGGATTGGGTGGGGTGGATTTGTGGGGAGGGGTAGGGACGGGAGGTAGGGAGGTGTGGGGCTGTTTGTTAGTTTGTGTGTTGGTGTTGGTCTTAGTTGTGTTGGTTCTAGTGTTACTTCTAGTGTTAGTTTTAGAGCTAGTATTTTACATTGGTAGTTTGTTAGTTAAGGAAAAAGGGTCGAGGGTTGAGGGTTGGATTGAAATATGTCAGGAGTATGAGCGTGACTAGCGTGAGTTTGTGCTGTGGTACTATAAGAGAGGAGGGTAGTTTGCACATGAGTGTTGGGGGAGTCTTGGAAGTAGATTGAATTGAATTGAGAAGACATGGATTGAATTACTAAAGAGATCAGCGCTATTTCCGTCCATGAAAGTTTCGCTGCCTGCTGTAGACACATCAATAAAAAGAAAAGAGAAAGAGAAAGGAGAAGAGAAAAACCAATGTCATCGTTATCCATTTTCCCTGCACATCCGGTGCCCAAATTCCGCTACAAAGAAATAAATCAGCACACTTATAAGGGTATCAAACCATCAAACTATCATCCCATCATCCCATCACCCTGAGTATTTCCTATCCAGTCCATCATCACATCGTATCATCGTAATCATCTCTTCTTATCCCTTCCATCCCTCGACTCTCTCGACTCTCTCGAATCCCTCGACCGCCGTCCATTCTCAGCCTTCAGATACGAACTTCCATGCCTCGAGCTACTCGGTCGACTGCTGTTCTTTTCAGCACGACGCTTCTCTTCTTTCTGGCGCTCATGCTCGGCGCGTCGTGCTCTTCTACGAGCTAGCTTCTCGGGATCTCGTTCTTCGGATGAGTCTCGACTTCGGCTTGAGCGAGAATGAGAATGGTGACTACGTGAGCTGGGACTATCATTCGGTGGTGCAGGAAGTGCCGGGTCCACGATCTCGATGATTCGTCCCTCGGAGTCGAGTTTGGCTTCTTTCTCTAGACGGACTTCACGGCCTCGCTTGTGGCAGTACCAGAAGAAAAACATAAGGACTGTTGCAGTTAGTATGAGAAAACGGGGACAAGATAATGGGTATCGAGAGGAGGATACATACTGAATAATCCCAAACTTAAAAGTACGTTCGTGCCCAAGAATGCTGGAAATCGCAATTTCAAGGCGTTCATAATAGCTTTGAAAGCTCCCATGACGGCACCAGGCTTCGTAACGAGATCCTTCAATGTGCTCGGCGTGAAGAAACTCTTCAAACCTGCGGCTCCGGCGCCAGTGGCGGTGACTCCTTGCACCTCTGCAGCAGCAGCTAATAGTTCCGGAGCGATGTATTTCGTCAATTTGTCCGGTAATGTCGTGACCATTTTTTGCAAACTCGAAGGCAGCTTCTCGTACCCCTTTGAGAGTGTATTTGAACTGTCATCCAGTAAATGAATTAGGTCATCATATGCGGTCGGAACACCATTTATTAGATCCTTGAGGATGACTGTGAATTTTGCGACGAGCTCTTGGGATTCTTTTGAGAGGGAAAATGCGCGGTTGTTGGAAGCTGAGAGGTCGAGGTCGTCGAGGATGGTTGTTAGGTCGTCTTCCTCGCGATGCGCTTCGGGTTTGGGGACGTTGGAAGTAGGCTTGATGTCTGGTTTTCCCTATTGCGAGTAATCAGTATATGGCATTTAAATTAATGTATCGAAAGTATTTGGGGCAACATACTCTCTTCGAGAAAGTCCGTCCAATAAAACCCGTAAACTTATTCTCCTTCTTTGCCTCTGCCGCAGCCTCCTTCTCTTTCTCCTTTCCCTTTCCTTTATCTTTGCTCTCAGACTTCTGCAAATCCTCTCTTCCATCATGAACTACCATTTGACTCGCATTATTCGTAGCATCCCCTGCTTCTTCTCCAAAAGTCGGACGGGCAGGGAGGGGTGGTGGGGGTCCATCGGAGAGGGCAGCGATACGCTCGAGGAATGCCTCATCTTCTTCGCTGAGAATTGGTGGTGGAGTCTGGACCTTTGATTCTTTCCGTTTTTGTTTCGCTTCTTTTTTGATTTCTTCGACTTCGCCTGAACCCGTACCCACGGGGGATTTGGCTTTCTTCGCCTCTTGATGCTTTTTGATTTTCTTGTAGGAGAAGTATTCTAGCATCTTGACTGTTGTTCAACGCTCGGTACGATCAACATCGGTAGGAGGAAGGAGGAAGGATTCTGAGCGGAGAAGATTCGAAATCGAGGACTAGGCGGGCTTTGATTGATATTTGTATTGAAAGATGGTACGCGCCCGACGTCATTCAGGTCGATATTTGTGGCGCAGTCCACCTACGCCACACCACACCTCACCGAATTATCCCTGTACGACAGAGAGACAAGCACTGACAAGCCATCGCCATCGTCCCTTTGCCGGAAACTTTAAAAGATTACTATGATCTACTGGTATTTATGCCTGTGGTAACGGCGCTTGACTGAAACATTTTTGCTGATTGGTTTGTGATTGATTTTTGGTGAGGGTGGCTGAATCCTCAAATCTCCTCGCAGGTCTCTTGAGGTTATGTGCTTGACCATATCCAGTATTCATGTTTTGTCAGTTCACTGTCTCATTTCAAAATATGTTTGGCTTCCGGTGGGTACTCATATACCCGCAAGCTCCGAGTCATTTGGGAGTCCGCATAAATTCCATAATTCCTCTCGGATTTACTACAGAAATGTATAATTCTTGGGCTTCTCTTATTGTATTTTGTGCAATTCCAAGGCTCTAGTGTCATTGATCCAGAAGTAGATACGCTTTGCAACACCTACTACAACTCTTGACAATTGACTCCTATTTATCTTTATCGCTTAAACGACTTTTCAAAAGATAGACAGTAGTAGTAAACCAACAGAGAGCCTCTGCGTAGTGACTTTCCTAAACAGGATCGTGCGCAGTCCTTGATGTTTCCACAGCTTTCGCTTCACCCAACTTTTCATTGAAAGGTTCGTGGGTGAAGCAACTTTGCAACTCCTGTTCGCTTATTCTGTGCAGCCTGGAGACTGACGTCACAACTTTTTGACAAGCGACATTTTGGTCCGCAAGCTCTTTCAGTCCCGTCTAAACCATTTTGATTGTATTGTGGATTCGACGCGTCGTGCCATTGCCTACTAATGAATATTCATCACGTTAATGTCAAGTACGAGAACGTGAAGCGATTATTTCAGCATAATAAGAAAGTTTCCAGCAATCATACCGAATCCAGGATTAGCCAATGTAGCTGGGCAACGGTGTGAGCGGTACATATCGCCAAGAGCATGTTAAATTTAAAACTTCCTGCCCCTATCTCCGAGATTTTCTACGGGCCCAAATCCTCTCACGCAGTTCTCGGACTGAAGGGAAGGGCCTTGAGTCTTGCTGGTATATTAATTGATTTTATGGTCTTTTTTGTTTTTCTTTTTTGAGATGTTTTGGGGGAGGTGGACGGTTGAAGCGATGTTGATATTTGCTTGTTGAGCTACAGTAAGCGAGATTCGGGTGTCGAATCGCGTCGGCGTACGGGTTAGGCACGCAAACCGAGACCTAGTGTAAGCCGATTTCTCAGAATGAAGCTCCCCTCTTCTATAAGGCTATAGAGCGTTAGATGGGACACGTTTGGCAGATAGGAGAGGTTAGTATACTTGGTTAGTAATTCATATGGTTCCTTCTGCTGTCCCTTTCCCCACTGAGACAGTTACAAAATATCTGTTGACAATTGAGGCCTATGGAAAACTCTTTGAATTATAGAATCTGTCAAGTAAGCTCTCTTGATCATTGAGCTTCACACCCAAAAGTGACTCTACTTCCATGAATCATGAATACGAGAAGTTGGTGCTCAAACTTTTCATCGCATGAACCCCGGTACAGATACATCATACCTGGAAACCCGGTGTTGAAACTGAGCTGGATCTTGTTATTTGATCATTGCCTAATGCTTAGTGAATATAGTAAGTACAGTATCGATCGGCCGATTTAAATTGCATGAGGGCCACCCTACCTACTCTACTTTACTTCTTCGCAGTACTGTTAGTTCGTCTGTAATCTTTTCGAATGTTGACGGCTTCCAGCACAAACTTAAAGTCATGTTCGAGAGTTGATAGTTTCCAAGAGCATTCATAGTCCGATATTTCCCCCGACCGATAAAACCCCGAAGCGGGATCAACACCACCCGAGGGTTTTTCTCACCTCATCCTTGGCATTCATTGAGAACCACCAGTCATAAATAGAGATACACGCAGCCTTCATACTGCCCACATTGGGGGCCACGAAAGTTCGAAACATAGATTTGTAACTTTATTTCTTCAATCAACTGGGGATCACCTGAGGGGTAGAGGGGGTAGTTAGCATAGTACGAGACTCATAACGAACGACACAGAGTGGCGGAGTGCCATATCTGGAAACTCCTATTGCGTTAGTCCCATGATCAATTGTGATACCCATATTGCTTACACAATACTCAGATACAAAAAGGATCATCGCTATTAGGCGCTTCTGGAAGTATCTGCTTCCAAGAAGGAATCCGGCAAGATGACCACATCAGAAGTTCAAGATGAAGACGAAAGATTGCTTAATCGCATTGGTTATAACCAGGTTTGTAGCCGAAGGCAAAATTCTGGCTTCGATTGGGATGCTGATTTTTGATGTGCTAGGATATGAGTAGACATTTCAATCAATGGTCTATTCTTTCTTATGCCGTTTCTGTTCTTGGGGTCCTCGGTTCCCAACCTGCGACTTTTGGGGTCCCGCTTAGTTTGGGTGGTCCTGCTGGTGCCGTTGTAAGGATTGACTTCTCTTTATTATATGGTGTCGTGATCGTATATGAATTTTGTGTTCTATAGATTTTGATTTTGGTTCTCTACTACTTGAATCAAGCATACTAAGTTACTTGTAATGCAGTGGGCTTGGCTTATAGGTTCTATCATGGCATCTTTCACGTCAGCCTCCGTGGCAGAACTAGTATCTGCGTACCCAACAGCTGGAGGGATGTACTTTGTAACAAAAAGTGTTGTCCCACCAGAACATGCAGCATTATGGGCGTGGATTATAGGATGGTTAAACCTTCTGGGACAAGCTGCTGGAGTGGCAAGTGTATGGTATACCGTAGCTCAAATGGTTCTCGCAACCATCACTATGAACTCCGGTTTTGACGAAACTACTGGAGTATACGCATATTCTCCGTACTTGCCCCCTCACCCTCTCTTCCTTGTCTTTTACTGACAAAGATCCTTAGTACACCTTCACAACTCGTCCTCTTAACAATAACGTTCTTAACTCTATCCGGATTGATATGTTCCCTCACCACCAAGAAACTCCACCAAATCGAGACATTCTTTGGCCCAATAAACTTCATTGGCACGATTTTAATATGCCTCACGCTTTTAACCCTAACTCCAACCCTTCAGGCACCAGTATGGGTCTTCACCAATTTCAGAAACGGCTCCGGATGGGGCTACTTACCTTCTTTTCTCCTCAGTTTCTTATCAGTAGCATGGTGAGTTATCCCATACTCTATTCCTTCCTTTTCCAGGTGTTTTGAGAAGGTTTGAATGCTGGTTTCCCAAGGATAATTTTGCCTTTTCCGGAATTTTCCTGGATACCTGGTTTCGTCAATATGAAAATACTAACCTAATTTTTCACATAGGGTAATGACAGACTACGACTCCACAACCCACATGTCCGAAGAAACACACCAAGCAGCTCTCACCGGCCCAAAAGCAATTCGCTGGTCCGTAACCATAAGCGGAACCCTAGGTTGGCTGCTAACAGTCACCCTCTGTTTCTGCATCGGAGATTTGGATTCCGTTCTAGCAAGTCCTACGGGAATGCCTGCTTCACAGATCTTTTTGGATACCGCTGGGAGGGTTGGAGGCAGTGCGATGTGGTTTTGGGTTGTGCTTGTGCAGGTTTTCACGGGGCTTTCGGCTATGTTGGCTTGCTCGAGGATGGCTTACGCTTTTGCTAGGGATGGGGCTTTGCCTTTCTCCAGGTGAGTTGAATTTTCTTCTATTCTATCTCTATTCACCCGTGGAAAGGTGGGTCGTGAAGACCTGCGTTTATTACGGTTACTCTAAAATCAGCTTCTGGAATTTCAGAGGCTTTACAAGATTCACATCGCTTATTCCCAAACAAGAATCCTCACTAATACCCCCAACAGATTCTTCACCTTCATCTCCCCCCAAACCAACACCCCCCTAAACGCAGTCTGGCTCACAGTAACCTTCTGCTCCCTCCTCGTCTCCATCGCATTCTCCTCCACCCAGACAATAACCGCAATCTTCAACATCACCGCGCCCGCCCTGGACTTCTCCTACGCTCTCGTAATCCTCGCTCGCAACCTCTACAGTGATCGTATCCCCTTCATTCCAGGTCCCTACTCTCTTGGCAAATACCAGCGGTTTGTGAACGGCGTGACACTTGCTTGGGTGGGTGTTATTAGTATTGTGTTGCTTGGGCCGACGAGATGGCCAGTTACGTGGGAGAATGGGAATTATGCTGCAGTTGTTGGGGTTGTGGTGGGAGTGTTTAGTCTGGGGTGGTGGGTTGGTGGAGCGAGGAGGTACGTTCTTTTTTCGGTTCTAATGTTTTTGGAGGGGATTGAAAGATTGTGAGTTTGCTAACGATGTTGTGATACAGGACGTATACGGGACCGAGAACAAATACGCTAGTTGTTGATGTTGACGATGGATCTACAGAACATTTGTTAGCTGGATAGACCTGATACTGCCTGCCTGTCGTATATATTCGTCTCCTGGTATGTCGATATTGTTGGATAGAAAGGTGGCTCCCCCCGCCAAGTTTGGAGACACTGCTACCTGTACTTAAATTGTATAACGCAGATTTGGGCTCTCTGGAAAGTTGCTTGCCCAGATTTCTGCGCTACAAATGCTGTTTTAAATCAAAACCAAAATTTCTTAATTCTCTGCCTTACTTGGGATTAAGCATCCTACTTCGTGACAAATTTGAGTAAGACCTCTAAGCAAGTTAGAACAAGATAAATATCTTGTGCTGTAACTTCCCTTGCTTTCGCTACTTTCTTATCTCATTCCACATTTTACTACAATACATAACTGCCTCCCCATCCTCCTACAAGCCCCAGGATCTCAAGTCTCATACAATGCGTGTCATCGAGTACCGGGATTCTCATCATCCCAAGACAGTTGGCTGAGTAATATGTAAAGAAAGGATGGGCCCAATGGACTGGTGTTTGTAGCCTAAAGAAAATCCATCTACGATGGAGTTTTCACTAGGCGTTTCCCTGACCTCATAGTATAGGCTTGGGAGGTCGAACCTTTGCTGATTCTTTCTCTACTTTGAGAGATGGTGTGAGTTAGTCTGACTGCTCTTCGTTTGTTTATTTATCTCTTTACTTCACCTTTCGGCGTCTTGGTGAATGTGCGAGTGTTGTATCACTGCAGTAAATCCCAACTCATCCCCCGAAATGACATCATATCTACCTCGCACCTCGAAAAATCGACAGACAGTCCCCAAAATTGACAAAACGGACTTGTAGTTATTGTTTTACTTTGGGATGTTTCACCTTGGGATGCTGTAAACGACTCTACTTTACTGCGTATAACCGCTGTATATCCCTTTCAGAGAAAACCGCGCACGTAAAGTGGAGCAAAGCTGTCCACTCCACTCTTCAATATCTGCCTCGTAGAACAAAGTCACTGGGCTAACCCGACCAGGTTTTCAGCTATTTAAGCCTCGATTCGATCCCGCGATCGTATCCACTTGTATTTACTTTACGTGCACTGTTTTTTTGTTACTTCACCAGCTTAATACTTTGGAAAGGGTGGTATATAATAACGGTTACAACGACGAGCTGTGGAAATAGTACCTAGGTAGAGGTAAGAGACATGGAACGAAAATATTCTTTGCTGTCCAACGTCTACTTGTTATCTACTAGGATGGCTAGCAATAGCTGGAATTCATGTGATGCTAGCTAGATTGGTCGCTTAGGCGGCTTTTACTTGCCCTATCCTATTTATGCTGGAGCACCAGGAGTGTCCACTTACAGCATTTTCTCTCATCGCAGATCTCACCTCATCTTTGTGAAACAATTCTGGATTACTAAAGAGGGGGGAACATCTCACCTTAATATTTGCAGTTCGTGGTCCTAGCAATCCATGGAGGCGAACAATATTGCTAACTACGAGTATAGCAAATAGTTATATACCTGTAGTTCCTCACAAGGATGAATGTGATGTCCATAATAGTCTTCCTTTCCCCTTTCTTGGCTATGGGCTTGTTCAGATGATCGAATCCTCAGATAATAACTGAGATCTAAGTATTTACCTTTGCATAGTGTTTGGGATTATAGTCGGGACTCGGCTGTACGTCATTATGTTATCATTAGAGTATGCTTTTCTGCTCCTACTTCCAAGTGTGCCAGGGAGTGCCATGGTATATGGAAGAGGGCGAACTATATTTCAGAGACGCACTGAGCGTTAAACGAGACTCTGGATACTGTATAACTTTAATACTATAGATCGCGAAGAGGCCTTCTGCAGGAGAGTTTCTAATTGGGAGGGGATCAGTTCATACATCTTACAACACACTGGTTGGTACGAAGCGCAATTTTCCTTTGGTGATTTGCACCTTAGATTTTGATGCACGCAAGGTTGGCACAGGAGTAAATCAATTTCGCGAAGATATATTGTACAGGGCAGGAAGGGATTTTGTATAGTGACGATATCAGGGTATACGCTCGCTCCATCAAATGCCCTCTCGGTAAAGACTCACATATACGAGTATACGCAGCCAATCAAGTCCTGTTCTATACCGACAGATTACACAAAGTGGAGAGGGCTGATCAAAGACTGACCAAATCTGACCCCAAAATCCTCCTGGTTGATCCCACCTCGTATATCGCGTAGCCCTACAGTTGATTGGTCCACACACAGTGTAAAGGTAGCTAGTCGGAGGTTGTGCAGACTTTAGGTTCTTTCCGCCCCAAGAATCTCCCAAGACCGAAAGTCCGCCAGTCATACTCAAGTATCAGTACAGTACCTCCTCATGATGGCTCATATCGAATGAATGCAATGCATACCGGATGAAATGCATGCCCAATTGATCTCGAGTGACAAAGCATGATTGGAATGACCGCCGCATGGGATGGCCGATGTCATCCATCGTAGGCATCACTCTCACTCACCTGGCGTACTCACCTCAGCATGCTACGTACTGTGCCTGAAAGCTCGAGGAACCTTAGGGAAGGCATTATTACCAGCGCAAGGGCAGTTTCATATAAGGCCACAACCCCGTTCGTTCCATCCTCATCTCCATTCCACGCAGACACGAGACACCAGACTAGCACGTATGCCAGAAAGCAAAAAGTCGAGACACGCCAAGAGAATTCCAGACGTCCGGTAGCACTGTCCTCAATATATACCCATTGATCCCCTCGCCTCCCAGGCCCTCGTTTTTTGGAGAGAGGATAAATCTTTCATTGTTCATGGGGTCAACTTAATCTTCTTCAGTCGCTCTTTTTCTTCCGCTCCTCTTTCTCTTTTGTTGGGTTTCGTCCCTTGGGGGAGTTTTGGGGAACAGGACAACCAAGGGAGGACGAAGTGAAACGCGAAAATGAGTGTGGGATTACATATACTGAATGGTGATGGGAGTGAGATGACGAGAAAAGACAAAGAATTTCAGAAGATACCACAGTCAGAGGAGGAGGATATCCGGATGAATCTCGCGAGGTCTTTTAATGCTGGTCAACATCTGGAGACGTGGAGGGATGCCATAAAGGGAAATCCGAAAGCATTGGGGTGGTGTATGTATCCGCATCTACTGGGAGTGAAGGAAGCAAGTGATTTGGGATCCTCGTTCTGATTGTGATGTTGTAGGCTTCTTTTCGCTGTTTAGTTGTATAATGTGGGGGTATGATGGTTTAGCTAGTTCGGTACGTTACACCTACCTATCCTCTACCCATCCCCCGTCGTCCTGCCGTTATTATAGCATTTGGGAACGACGCTGATGTGGAGATGCGGAGATTGTTCTCGCAATCGGGCAGTTTCGCAAGGACTATGGGAACGACAATTTCAGACAAGGCGAATACATCATTCCTGTAATATGGCAGCTCGGCCTCGGCGCAGCGAGTCTTTTTGGTCTCCTATTCGGAGGAGTGGGCGCTGGATTCGTCTCGAAGAAATGGGGGAGACAGATCTGCATGGCTGTCTCTTACTGCAAGTTTTCCCTCCTAACCAAATTATTCTCCATCTAATTGTGATCCAGCATTGAGCATCGCAGGCGTATTCCTCCAATACTACTCCTCTCCCGGGAATATGCCAATGCTCTTTGGAGGCAAAGTCCTAGCCGGTATTCCCCTCGGTGTATTCATTACCATCGCCCCGACTTACTGCGCAGAAATCGCACCTTTTGCCCTCCGCGGATCTGTCACGGCAGCTGTGAATTGGAGTTTGGTCCTGGGACAGTGTCTGGCATATGTGGTGATGCGACAAACACAGTACTCGGATGGACCGAACGCATACCTTATTCTTTTCGCAATACAATGGGTGTTTGCAGGTGCTGCGTTATTGGCTCTGCCTTTCTTTCCCGAGAGCCCGTATCATCTTGTGAGCCAGGGACGGATAGAAAAAGCGAAAAAAAATATAAGGAGGTTGAGGAAGTCTGGGTTCGATGTCGATGGGTATATTGCGAGTATCGAGGTGGATCTCGAAACGCAGGCTAGGACTGAGCGGGAGGCGAGTTTCAAGGAGTGTTTCCGAGGCAAGAATTCGAAAAGGACATTGATTGCCATGTCAACGTTTTTTATTCAGTCAATATGTGGAATTGGCTGGATCATTGGGTATGATTTCCGTTTTCTCGGGATTTTGGAGACATTAGCTAACTTTGATGGTCAGATATATGGCCTACTTCCTTCAACTGGGCGGATTGAGCGAAGCCTCTTCTTTCGATGCCACCGTCGCACTTTCCTTTCTTATGCTTCTAGGAAACATGGCAGGCTGGATCTTCGTCGAGAAATTCGGTCGTCGTGACACTGCGCTTTATGGTATGTCCATATCCCCCTTCGCCTCGAATTCTTGAGGTTCCAATGCTAACAAATCCTCAGGTTGCATAACCTTGGCATCATCCCTCTTTCTCATCGGAATTTCCGCCACGATTCCCTCTAAAAAAGCAATCTGGGCCCAAGTGTCTTTCATGGCCGTCTGGTCTTTCACCTACCAATCCACCATTGGTAGTGTCGCTTGGCCCATCGTGACCGAAGTCTCCAAGTCCTCTTTACGAGGTCACACTCAATCCCTAGCCACCGTTACACAAGGACTAGTAGGCGCCGTGTCTGGCGTTTCATTACCATTCCTTGTGAATCCGGATCAGCTGAATATGGGAGGGAGAGTGGCATTTATATACGGTGGCATTCTGGGATTTAGCTGTTTGGGTGTTTGGCGTTATTATCCCGAGACCAAAGGGAGGACTTTTGAGGAGATTGATAGACTTTTTGAGATGGGGATCAACACTAGGCGATTTAAGCAGACCAAGTTGGCGGCGGAATAGATAGAGTACAGTATCTGCGGGGGTTTTACAGTGTATATTTTAAAGATGGGATTGGATGGATGGATGTATATATGGGATATTGGCATGAAGCATATATGTAGGCGTTTTTTACCCGGGTACCTAGGTATTTGAATACATTCTCCGAACCCTTTTCTTCTTGTTTACTGCTATCGTGAGAGACTTGGGGATCTGAGGTCGGAAATAGGTTTCGGATCGTTGTGGGGTACTGTATGAGGGGCCTGTAGATCTCGCGTGCACATCACTGGAGATTGTGGAGCTCGGAAATGGTGAGTTCCGCCCCGCAGTCCGTCACTGTACTGTAAGGTTACGGGAGTGGACGTCGGAGACTGTCCGACTGGGCTTCTTTTCTTCCATATCATTTACCGTACATGATTTCGACATCTCGACTATCCTTAGGTCTTTTCTGAATGTTTTTTCCATGAGTGTCGAGCGAGTAGAGGGGACGCTGGATCCAGTAGAATGTATGGTATAAGGGAATGAGATCTATAAACTTTATAAGGAAAAAAGATCATGATTTTTTCGCACCGCTGTTGTTTCAGCGGGGCTTGAATTAAATTGTGTTAGGTTGTGTTGTGTTGTGTTGAGTTGGGTTGGGAAACCGGTATGTGGTAAATTGTGGTTTTTTGAAGGTGGGTTCGATCGTACTGAACGAACCCTGACCTGACTCAGTGGGTTTTCATCTGATAGTTGTGCCTTTTTTTCTGTTTTGGTGTAGTGGTCTGGACTTTGGATGAGGGGAGGGGTGGGGGTGGAATGGTATGATATGTTGGGTGTCTTTTAGGGAGGGATTGTGTGGTTGCTTGGTGTGTTGTTTTTGTTTCTGGGAGATGGGAGTTCTTTGGGTTGTATGGAGCTGTGGAATTGGTTTACTGATACGCGATGATGGATCTTGCGAAATTGTGCTAGAGATTGATTGCGAATAAAAGAGTTCATGAACTTCAAGCGCCATATTCAAATTATGGAGATCTTACTTTGGCGCTCAGTTAAATCGCTGATCCAGAGTTTAGAATGTTAACGATATAATTGTTTGATAGCTGCCGACCGTTGATTTACTTAACACAATGGTGCTGTGAAGAAGCACGTAGGAAGTAGGAATCACGCATAGTAAGTGTGCAAATATTTGGTTTTTGTTTAGCGGTTTCTAGGTGTTGGCTTCTGTTTGAGTGTTCAGTTGTAATGTTCGGGGTCTAATGGTCTGGTTTATGGTACTTCTGGTTTCAAACTTCATTGTTTAGTGGTAAGAATAAGACTTAATGAATGAAGATATTGTTCATGAAATAGAGGTAGCTAGGCTGATTATAATCATACTATATAATAATATTAAAATTCAAGGTTAACGAGGGTAGTATCGTGCTACAAATTAACAGCGAGCTTATCAGTACTATAACTTGGAGACTATATAATTAGAAATTCTTAACTATATAAACCGTAGTAGAATTTATAACTACGTCATTTAGGATTATTCTATAATTCTCTAGAGATAGAAAGAAGGCGGGATAGTTAGTAGGTAAAACTTTACATTCCCTCCCTTCTTTTTAAAGAATTCCGGTTAGAGTTTACGCCGGACTATCGGGAGATAAGTAGTACTAGTATGTAATTTCCTATACCTATAGGAGCTCTCTAGCTTTGAATTTAATAACCAGCTATCTTAATATTATATTTCTATCATTCTCGCTTAATTATACTATATTTTCTCCTATTAATAAAATAATTTTCTAACGAACGTTAGAACTAGAGATTCTTCCCTATTTCTCCCTTCTATACTCTTATTTTAGATTTGAAATTAGAATTCATTGCCTGAAGTTAATATAGGGTATTAAGAAAACTTGTTTTTCCTACCGGTTCGAGAGAGAGATGGGTATCTTTTGTAGTCTCTAACAAAGAGAGGACGAGATGGGTTGTGGTAAGGTTTTGGTAGCTCGGTAAAAACTCGACACGTGTATATATTAGAGGATCTAGGGATTACTGGAGAAAAGATCAGGTAGATAGGTACAGCACAGTAGGTAGCTTTTTTTCCAAAAAATTAATACTCATAAATCCAGCTATTCCATACCTAAGTAACACTACAAACAATCTCCACCCCTCCCCCCTCCCCCTAATACAACCCAAGCCCATCCATATTCAAAAGCCCTAACAACCTCCTCACAACCCCCCAAAATCCACAAACTCACTCACCACAAACGTCGCAAGACAAGGACCTTGCTCCGCGGCACTAGCAAGTTTCCAAAAGAACTGCGCGTGGTTTTCGCCGTTGATTTGCGTGCCCACCGGGTCACCGTCGGCTTTCCTTTCGTCGGCGTAGTAGAATCTGTGCCGAAGGTGTTAGGTGTTGGGTTGGATCGTGTTTGAGGTGGAATTTAAAGAAAGGGGAGGGGGAGGTGGGATGGATGGAGATAAGGAAGGACGAGGAAGAGAGAGAGAGGAAGAAAGACATATACAGAGATAAGAAAAAGGAATTTCTCACCGATACCCACTCCCACCATACCCCTTCGCAGCAGCAACCACCATATGCGCGCCGGCCGCCTTTCCAACACCCAAATCCAGGAGTTGGGGCCACGGCTCGACATTCAGTTTATTACCCGTGTAAATGAATGTTTTGTTCACGTCAGCGGGGAGGGTGTCGAAGCCTTCGATGGCGTATTTTAGGGCCGCGAAGGCGGAGGTGATGCTTATTGCTACGCCGGACGAGAAGGTGGAAAGTGGGAGGGAGAAGGGAGAAGGGTTGAAGGTTGATTGGTAGGCTGGGTGGTGGGTGGGTATTAGTGAGATCTTCTTCATTTTTTTGTATTTTTCTTTATCTCTCCTTTTTCTTTTTATCACTCCCCTTCGAATTCGTTTTAAGAAACAGGAATGACAAACCATTGAACACAATAACATTCGGAACACCCAATTCCCTCTTCACCCTCTCAAAAACACCCTCCATACTCTTGGGATCCGTAAAATCCGCTTTGATACTAAGGAACCCCTTCCCCTCCCCGAGAGGGGCCCCAGAACGCGAGGCGAGCGCGATTTTGTAGCCGTGGGTTGAGAAGAGGTTCGCGATGCTGAGGCCGACGTTTTTTCCGGCGCCGAGGATGAGGATTATTTTGGACATCTTTTTTTCGGTTTTGGGGGATTGGTGGGTTGTTGGTTTGAGGTGAGGGGTGGGAGGGGGTGTTGAGTGAGGTGAGGTAGGTGAAAGGGTTATGGATGGTGTGGGATGGGGGAATGAAGAGCTGAGTTGATGAGATAGATGGGTGTAAAAGATAAAGAGATGGGAGAGGAAGCTTACTCTTATATAGACAAAACCAAACTTATCCAACCGAGCACAATACAGTACAGTACCTACGGCTTTACATCCTCTCTATCGAATTTCGGACTTTATATATGATTAACAAGCTATCCCTATAAGAAACCCAAGCCTAATTAACGTATGAAACGATGTGTAGAGGGTGATTAATAATAAGTTCGCCTTGCATGCTTGCTATACTCACATAAACAATGATGGTTTCTTGAAGCGGTAATCTATTCGCCATTACCCCGCATATGCGGCGATTGGGACCTATTGCTTCTTTGGGGTTAGGTTCAATGGTGTTGTACATATGCACATGTATCGAGGCTGACCGACCGATATTTCATTGGATCGTCTCTTTTCTCCTCTTCTCTTCTATTAACTTCTTAGCCCTGCAGTCGGAAGATAGGACTCGAGAGCTATAGTATTGTGATCTCTCCACGTTTCTTTTCTAAGTTTTGTTTTATTGCTGCTGTGAAGTATATGGAGTAGAAATCAAGTTCTAACGTAGGAAAGAGGAAGACATAATAATACAGTACTGCAAAGCTATAACATGTCCACTTTCAAAGTACCCTGGGAGCAAGTGGACATCCCCTCACCCTCCAGTTCACTTGACGCAAAGCAAACGTACGAGGAGATGAATACATTACCAATTTTCCGCAATAAAGAGCCCATCCCATTATATTATCCACCGCTTGAGGGGAGTTGCAAGCAGATAGGTAGGTACTTTGTGTAACCCTACATCGTTCCCTGTGAAGGTTGGTTTGTGTGCTTGATAATGCAGGGTGCTTAGTAAATCAGGCACAACGTGGTTTTTGTCAGCACTTGTCCTGTGACTTTAATTGAAAGAAAGGGCGATGACGATGTTGCTCTTGCTTTGATTCGAATGAAACCAGGAGATGCGAGGAGAGGTGTATGAGGATTGAAGTGGAATGATGCAGGTGAGGTGGAAGGCACCTCCCACGTCACGGCCTTCTGCTTTCAAAGGCGCCACGAAGCGATTAGGTTAGTAGGTATTTGAGGTCGTTCCTTCCTTCTTAACCTCAAAACAGCGACTTTGACAACGGATCACACCACGAGAGGAGGAAGGCACGATCATGATCACAATCACGATCCATTATCACGTACCTAGGTAGACTCAGAGGATTGTGCCCCCTGCCCTTCCCTGCTTCTTTCTGCTTCCGCATACACACTTTCATCGTCAAATTCCAATGGGGTGAGATATGTACCTCCATACGTGGTGAGATGGTTCGAAGCATCCGCATGTATCTCATGTAGACATGCTTCTTCTATTACGCATTCCAAAAGACGTGATCCTTCAACTCCCGTCACTTGCCAGGTCCTCGCTGCCGTACCCTGCGGCGAAATACCGAGCAAAGCAGCAGTATACTAAAGAAGCAATTGGCCGCGAAAACAAGCATTGTTACCGAGGGGAGTTTCTAGGCGATCGGCTGCTCATGTGCAACGATGATCACCCATCAAGCTTTCATTGCGTGCTCGGTGCGTAGATTGTCTTCATGTCTTGGTGGCGGGATGAACGTACCCTGATGCTTGTCTGTCGTGTATATATATAGAAGCTGGAAGCACCTCTTCTCGCGGATATATTTATGAAATCCACCCAGAAAGACAACGAAAATCGAGAATATTGGTGTTGAAGATGTGAGACTAATGGGTGAGACGGGCGAGGCGCCACCAACCATTACCTGGTATACAACACCACGACGATAACCACTCATGGACGTCATCGGCTGTCCTCGACATCATCGCTACCTCCAACTTCAAATGAAAGATCTGATCTCACAACACTCGGAATTTGAAAGCAGCTTGGAGATGCTCTACATACATAGGCACCAGTGCACGTTACGCGACCCCACGACGCGATTTGTCAGTTACCGGATGGATTCCACCTCCGAGCCGCCGAACGGGCCAACATTCTGCCCACTCGCAACCCATCTGGCCTCGTCGGAATCGTTTGAACATCCACCATGACCAATTGCGGTCAATCTACCGTACGGAATTGTATCAAAGAATGACGGTACGAGGAGAGAACAGATCTCCTATTCAAAGATTCGCTAGTAAATTTGTGAGTACTAGCTCTTGCCAAGTGGTAGCTACATTTTGACTCTTAAACTCGCTTCTTTCCCCTCGTTTTTTTTTTTTGCTTGGTTCCTTCCTTAGCTTGATTCTGTACCTTATCTGAGCACGGATCTTTATATTCCATCTACATTCTCGAAACTTCATCTTCGAGCTTTTCCCCTCTTACACAGCTTCTTCCACTCTACAAACACAATTTTGCGCATCAACCCTCCAAAAACCCGCAATCATGACGACCATCACAATTGACCCCAACTACGGGTAAGCTCCCCCCAACTCTCTCAATCCCCTCACCCTCACCACCTCTCATCCAAGCTAACACCTCCCAGCTACGTCCTCCTCGCCGCAACCTCCACCTTCTTCCTCAACTTCGTCCACTCAGGCGCAACCGGCACCGCACGCAAAGCCGCCAAAGTCCCCTACCCCGCAGCCTACGCGCCTTCCTCACGCAAGGACCACGAAGCCCACGTCTTCAACTGCACGCAGCGGGCGCACGCCAACTACATCGAGAACCTAGTTCCCATGCTGGGCTCGCTCTTCATTGCCGGTCTGCGCTTTCCTCTTGTGAGTGCCGGGATGGGTGCGGGGTGGACGCTGGGGAGGTTTATTTATTTGAGAGGCTATGGGAGGGGTGNTCATTGCCGGTCTGCGCTTTCCTCTTGTGAGTGCCGGGATGGGTGCGGGGTGGACGCTGGGGAGGTTTATTTATTTGAGAGGCTATGGGAGGGGTGATGAGGGCGGGAAGGGGAGGTATCAGGGGATTTGGTTTGTGCTTTTTCAGTTGGGGCTTATGGGGTTGGCGGGTTATGCGGGATTGGGGATGGTGATGGGGTGGTAGAGGGAGTGGGATGATATTGTGAGGGGAGGCGTGGGAAGGGGTGTATTATGGGTTGTTGGGTGGTGGGTGGTTGCGTTGGGGATGTGGGGGAAATCAGTAGTATCAGAATACTGAATTAAGCATGAGCTATACTACTCACCGATTTCCTATCTCCACCTCCCGTCCGAGTTATTGTCAGAAGTTTGGGATTCCTGCGCTTGGCTGGTATACAGATAGATAGATACCTTACATCTGGACACTATACTACATCTCCAAGGTAAAAACGACATCTATCTGATCACCAAAGCGATATAGAGTAACATAACATAGTAGTATAGTACCTATTAATAAGTTATCAGAGTAAGTACTAGTCCACTTAATTTCTCGTTTCCATTAATAATAATTAAAAAGAATAAAAAAACTACCCTAAAATTATAAAGCCCTATCTATCTATCTACCTACCTACCTATCTATCACCTACAACCTAGATAGATATACAAACTCTCTTCGCATAAGCGTATGACGTAAATAAACCAAATAAAGTAAAATAAAATAAACTAAAGTTCTATAGTACCTACCTATACTTCTTTTTTCATTCTTCTACACCAGACGTACGGATTACAGTAGTTACCATAGCCTTACTCGTAGGCTCGTAGTCGGGTGTTTTACAGCAAGACGGGGTTTAGTCCTGTAGTTACCATAGCCTTAATCGTAGGCTCGTAGTCGGGTGTTTTACAGCAAGACGGGGTTTAGTCCTGGAGGATGGAGGGAAGTTGTGGTACTAGACTAGTCCTGTGTCGATGTCGGGTTAGTAGTGGTTGTGGAGGTGTTGGCTAGGTGAGGATACTGGGTGGTGATGTTGGGATGTGGGGGTGTGGGGGTGTGGGGGTGGTTAAGATTTAGATAGGTAAGGATACTAGGTAGTAATATTAGAAGGTATAAGTAGGTATAGGAGTAGAGATAGAGATAGAAATATATAGAATTTAGAAAGGGGGGTAGAGTAAGAGTAGGTATAGAAATATTAAAATAACGTCGAAGAATATATATATAGAGAAGTGTAACGAATACTCAAACTGGCTAACTAAACTTGGCTGGGTGTTCGCTGGTTGGTATGCTATGATAAGAAGAAGACTATCGGGTTGTTCACTCGGAAGTGAACTCGTTACTTGTATCAAAGATGTCAAACTAATATGATAAGATTGATAACTAAGTTGAGCACGAAGCTCCTATCTAATGGCAGACGTGCCAGTCTTATATAGAACCTTCATACCCCGCGTATGGTCCGAGTATAGAGTAGTATAAGCCTTCCTTATACTTCCTTATACTCCGGTAGTATAGAGTAGTATAAGCCTCCCTTATACTTCCTCATACTCCCTAGTCACATGATCTTCTGTAAGGAAGAAATCCTTGGATCGCCTAGCTACCCTAAGCGATCCCCATTTGCTATAAGAAATCTGAATGTGCCTGTCGAGGGTTGCGCCTCTTATTATGACAAGTATCACGTGAACATGTGATTCGTGACAGTATCTTAGGAATACGACTAGGATAGAGGGTTAATAGCCTCTCCGATTAACTTTTAAGAGAGTTTAAGCGTAACCCGAGCTTTCTATTAGCTATTTGTTTATATTATAGAGCCTCCCCTTTCCTTTACCTCTATAAACTATCTATAAGTACTTAGTTGTTTTTACCTATCCCTCTCTTTACTTATATGTACTTAGTTCTTTTTACCTTTTCTTTCCTTTCCCTTCCTACCTATAAGTACTTTCTTACTATTCTATCCTATAAGTATCTACTTCTATACCGCTTCTACCACCTCTACCCCCTCTACCCCCTCTCTCTCCTTTTCTTTCCTCTCTCTCCCTTCCTCCCCTTTCTCTATGTAGGTAGATAGATAAATAATTAAATATATAAACGCGTAAAAAAAGTAAATAAGGAACTACGTCTTTAGTAGAATATTTAAAGTTTTACGCCCACCGTTAGTATTAGGAATAGTACGCGCTAGGGAAGGTTTTATACCCCGGGCCGTCTGGCGATAGGTATCCAGTATTTCCTAATATAGTTCCTAGAGGGCGAGCTATCGAAGGTTCGGGTCCTTTTCTTTCTAATAATTAGTATATAATATAATTAGCCTTTATAGCTCAATGGTAGAGCGAGATACTATTAATATTTTTATAGATATTCGATTTATCTTAAGGCCTCATACTTCTTGCCTTACAATTTCATATCCATGAGCCAAAAAAACCACAACAACGTATTTCCGCGACATCTTTTCTTTTTCGTTTTCTTCTTTCGGAAAGGAAAATGATATATATAGAGACAAAACACTATCTGTGGCATGAAATGGAGAGCATGGGAAAGAACAGGTGCAGCGGTGGTATCCCTTCCGGAGTATATTGGTCTAGGTGTAATTATCTAGTTGGAGTGGGTACGAGTGAATGCGATAACTGGGTTGAATTGAGGCTCAAATGCTTGGAAACGCAGTCCATTCTAATTGGCCAAACGACTTGCGTAAGACTTGTAGAAAGAGGGAAGGGAGGTCACTTATTTATATACCGCAGAAACTCGATACTAGGATATCCTCGTTTTTATCCTTAGCACATCTGCGCTCGACTAATCCTTGTATCGAGTTTCATCTCGACCTCGTCTTATGTCGGACATATTTCAAAGTTATTTCGTCCTAGGCATAATACACGCACTACAACACTGTAAAGGGGGTGGACAGTCAATGCTAGACACTGTTACGTAGATTATATGTGAAAAAAGTCTACTCGAGTATATCGCCTAAATATAAGTCTTTGATTCGCTGGTTTGGCTAAAAGGCGAGGCCAAGACGTACTATGATCAGCGATAGTGTCCAGAATTGACTGTCCACCCCCTTTACTTCGTCCCAGGTAACTTTTCTAGGGTGGCTAGCGGCATAATAAATGTAGGGTTTTTAGGGCTTTTGTTGTTCGCTTTAGCCACCCTAGAAAAGTCACATTCATTTCGCCTGGGACTAAGTAAATTTATGAAATCCCATGCTCTCACAGAGATTGGCTGAGTACATTTGAGTGTCGGAAGATCTTGGAAAATTTGATTTAGTGGGCATTCTTAGATTAGAGTGATGTGTAACGAAAGCTTAAATTATTGTTCTATGCAATTCACAGTTACTTCTTGTACTTTATTAGAACCATATCGGAATCATGAAGAATAGATTTGTACTTGACTTTCGAGGGCTTGAGCGAATAAGGAAATTAGCGAAGTATATTCAAAATTGTTTAAAGAGTTGGGAATGAAATTTTCTCTTCATAAAGTGAGAAGGAGTTACTTGGAATTTCATCTGGTACAGTGTCACAAAAGTTGCTCGTAGATGTAAAGAGAATCTGCTGATTGTACCCAGTATAACGGCAGCCAGTAAATCGACGCCCGGGTGTTTAGTATTTCGACGGCCCCCCCCTTCCGCCTAATTGGTGGTCCGAGCTTTAGGTGCGTCATTCGCAACAACTCTACCTTTCTCTCAACACCACGCCTCTAAAAGTACGGTGACCCCCTGTTATTTATTAATACGTCTGTCTATGATATATAATTCAAGGGGTATATTGAAAAAAAAAGATCAAGTCAACAAGTACATTTTTAGGTAAGTACTCAAGTCTCACAGAAAGTCCGTCCGCAGCTATATTACGTATCTACAAGTATTACAAATAATAAATAATTATAAATAAAATCAATTAAATTAGATTTTACAACTAATTGTACAAAAATCCCCCTCTTAAAGGTTATAAGAGTCTAGGACGCTTGTTCGCTCTTGTAGAGCCTTTAGATAAGTGTCCGGGGACTCTAGTAGTTCCTGTCACGAGTACCTAGTATTCACTCTCTATATAGATACGTGTAGTACTACTACCTAATATAGTACTAAGGGTACGTGCTTATATAGAGAGTGAATGCTAGGTACTCGTAATAGTTCCGCTATATTTTACGAAGACGTTATACGCGAGAAGTAGGAATAGCTTAAAGGTAAGTTCAAAGTATATATACGCTAGTAAAAGACTTTTATTGGCCAACACAAAGCCCCCCCCCTTTCAGCCCCTACTAGCGGGAACCGCTTATTTGATATCAGGACATATTATCCCACAGGCCTTTTGGCAATACGCAGGTGCACCTCCGTTGTAGGATACGGTTCCTTAAAAACCCTTGCAGGATTCGCAGCACTATGAAATTGGTTAGTGAAGATTCTCCTTTCAGATATGCTCGTTTATTCCAGCGTCAATTTCAAAGAGAAACAAGCTTCAAGAGCCTTTCACGTCCAGCTTCGTAGCGTGTGAGCATGTTTGGGGAATAGGAGAAAGTGTTACGTACGGTCATTCCAGTTGTTGGACCTTGCGCTGCGACTGAAGTAGCAAGAACAGCAACAAATAGAGAGACAAGTGTGAGCTTCATATTCGTAAGGGAGTGACTGTGAGATGTGGTTGTTTAGTAACTATCGGAGAGCAGAACACGTGAATTGAGAAGCAGGTTTTAGTGTTATGTATTTTTGGATTCAGGTGTAGAGAAGATTGCTGGTTCTAGCAACCACTAAGGCGGTGGGGAAAGTAATGATATATACATGAACCCTAGTACCAGTACGATTCTAGTGGTTAAATTCTCCCCCTCAGATGAGTGATGCATTTGATCCCAACCGTTGAGATAACTTGAAATTCGCCGAGGGTCCAGTCATGTGCTCCATTGACGATGATCAGCAATTGTCTGGTTCGAATCTGATGAAGGCTTGTGTAGCTGGAGTTTTACCGAGGCATTAATATTCGAAGCAATTCGCTTAGTCGCACGTTGCTGTTCGCCACGCGTGGCAGCTTAGGGGCAGAGCTCTAAATGCCCCTTATTACTTGAAAACGGCCTTTAGCGTGATCCGGTACTTTATTTGGACTGTAGAATACTATCCCTTCCAGACTCTACATGTCCAAAAAACACGTGCACTCAAAGTGGATGCAATGCCTAGGTCCAATAGAGGCTCAAGTGCTTAGAGCCGTGACCTAGTTAGCTAAAGGGCTTTGTTTTATAGGGAAGATGTTGGAAAAGTGGATACTTCTACTCCACTTCAAGTGCACGTTTTCTTTTGGACATGTAGAGTCTGGAAGGGATACCTGCAACCGTAATATGGCTTCCTCACAATTTGTACAGTACTTGGCTGCTTACTAATGATGTAATTCTCTTCCCATCGCTTGCAGTGTTGTATGTACTTTATGATCTAATTTGACAACCAGACATAGGACAATTGCTAAGTTTTTGTCTTAAACTAGATTAGTAGAAACTGGGAATAAACATTTTACATAACAAGAGATTCTATACTTACCTCCCAATCGCTCAAAACATCATGCATTCCAAATCGTCTTGCTCCGCTTTACGGCCCGGTAGCTTCATTCTGACGCTGGTGGATGATTCCAGCGTCAAGGTAGAGAGGAAACTAGAAAGTGCAAAACATAATATATCTGAATCCCCGAATTTCGATTGCCAAACGAGGCCTAGGTAGTGCACATCTGGTTGAGAACTAAAGATAGGGCAGTTTTTCGTACTCGCAATTCTTATGGTTATTTGAACTAGTTTTTCGATATAACCGGCATAGCTTTCACACTATCATTATCAAAAGGTTTCGTTGATCTCGCTTATTATGCTTGTAGGAATCTGTCGTCTTGAGGAAGTTTATATCTTTTGCTAATATTAGTACGGAAGCAAATAACTCAGCACATACTTTTTGGAACTGGGTGGCTTTGGTGGTGCGGTAGTAGCTTCTAGAAATCAAGCGAATTCATACAAGTAAGTATACGTTATTCGTGGAGCCACGTGACACTGGGAAAGGTAGTAGATAGGAATCAAGATCTATCCAAGGGCGAGAAGATCAAGGCTAGTCGCGGCAGGAAAGATTCTTCAAGGCATTGTATGTCATTCGATGCAAAACAGGCACTGATGATGAACCAAGTAACGTTATAATAGAGCGACCACTACTTTCCACTATGACCACATCGCAAAAAGATGAAAGAGCACTCATCAATGTCGTAGCAGATACTTCATCGTTTCTCAAGACCATAATCATGAGTAGAAAAAACAATAGTGAAATGAACTAAGAAAGATGCCTCATGGCCCATAATTTCGTTGGACCTCGTGTTTCCAGAGGTCCTTGGCAAAGTCTCCACCATTCTCCAATAAGTCCATGAACCTCTCATCAGCAGTCAGAGTCACTGTATGAGACACAAGAAAGCGACAAACCAAGTCTCTCAGAACCTTCTTTCCACTCCTAATCCGTGCGCATGAATAGACATGGTTAGCGAGATCAACAATGTCGCCTATGCTTTGGGAATCGAGCTCAAAGGTGAGGAGTGTTTTGTGAAGTTTGTAAAGTGTAAGGTTCTTGAGGTCCCCAACCGTGTAAGAATCTGCTAGGATGTATAGATTAACATGGCTGAGAAGGACGTTGGAGTAGCTGTGGTCTTTGAGGAATACATCGGCAGGTTCACAAGTGTCGAGGAAGTTCGTGCGTGGCGCCAGAAGAGGGTAGGAAAGAGCTTCAGGCTCTTTATAAGATTCAGGCTCTTTATAAGCGGACATTTTTTTGGAGGACTTCTTCTTCTTTTTAGCGTGTGAAGAGAAGGCGTTGCCCCAAGATTTTTCGTCCGGGTCTTGGGCAATATCCTGGGTCACCTCGTCCCCTGGATATGGCTCCTCAAAATATGGCTCCTCCATATACCGCTTCTCCACAAGTAGTGATTCATCTAGTTCTGGTTCTGGAGCGCCTATATATCTCTCTGCATGGATGTCCTCGGTCTCTGGGACTGGCTCCTCTTCTTTCCTCATTTGAGGCTCAGGAATGGAATAGTCTCCAGTGACTGCGAATTGATAAAACCGCTCGAATGTCTGTTTGCTGACATCCTTCCAAACTACGCAACCTCCCATCGGACCGGGTGACTCTCGAATTATCAAAGCTCGTAGTTCATCCGAAAGTTTGGCGATTGCCTCCTCATAAACATCGAAAATAGTCTCTTGTCCATCGACGTTCTCGCCAACGATGAACTGGAGGGTTTTCGAACCTATAATTCTGAAACCAGGGGTCAGCATAAAGTTCCATTGACCGATGAGCGAAGGAGAGCGCATACTCCGCCCATGAGGCTGGCATCTTGTATAGCGAGGTCTTGGGGGGATAACGGTAAAGCTTTGTCAGTATAAGACCCAAAAACTTTAGAGTTAACACGGAGGCTATTTACCGGAGGGAAGCCATCGAGGAGACTTCCTTCACTAATATTCCTGTGGCTGGGCTGAGATGGTTGGGCATCTTTGTCTGTGTTGGCGTTGCATATGCAAGTCCTATGGAAGAATTGAGGTGGGATTGGTGCGACCATCACTATCCCAATCCCATCTTTTAGAAATAACAATAGTACAAGCTAGGAAGAAGCGAAACGATCATAAAAATATACTTTGAAACGAATGTTATATCAGTACAAGCTGCTTTACGGATTGACTTGGAACAAGATATCTCAGACTGGAAATCGAGGTCTTCAGTGGCCAGCCTTCCTTTTTGCCTTACAAGTTTTCAGAAAGGGATATTCATCGAATATTTGCCTCTTTCAATGCATGTACCGGGGAGGTCTTGATGAAATCATGTAGAGGTGAGTTTATTTCTATAGTTTAACGCGTCAAGGGTAGAGAAGTTGTTGGGAGCATCAAGATTACGTACGCAGTAGGTCGCCATCCTCCGTTCCCTTCTGTTCCGCCGTTGCAGTACCATATGCTTCCATAGGTCACGACTGCGAAGAATGGTGAAGCTGTAAGGCCTAGGACGGGGAGGATGGTGGGTCTCATGTTGGAATTTGGTGGTTGGTGGTTAGTGGTTGGTGGTTGGTGGAGAGAGTTGTTGGTTTTGATAGTGCGTAGGTGTATAAGCGTGGTTGATAGTAGGTATGTTATTTCAAACAACGTTCGGCAACTGGAATTCCATTCGATTCCAGAGGCCCTCTCTAGAAGTATTCTATTTTATTCAAGCAATTGCTGGAATTATTCTATTCCAGAGGCATATGTTCTATGGAATATATAGAATTTTTAGATGGAATTCGTTATATGACCCGATATTGTGCCCTAGCTACGGTAGGCTAGTAGGAAGCTCCTATATATTCCTATATGGTCTTAGACTATCTTAATAGCGCCTTTGTATATATAGAATACTAAGAATAGGGAGAATTTCCCTAGGAGTGTAGACTGTCCTTAATATGTCACGTGAAGGTTCCCTATCTAGGCAACCTACTAGGTCCTACTTGAATACGGTTTCACTTGAATCTACATAAATATTCACTATAAATGGAATTCTGGTGAATTCCTAGAATTCCAAAGACTCATTGACAGACTGGAATAGTTCTATTATAAAGGGGCTCTGGAAGGATTCCACCTAGAATAGAATGGAATAATTCCATGGAATATAGTTCCATGTGCCGAACGTTGTTTTCAAAAGGGAAAATGGAAGAGGAGTTGTTGTGTCCTAGTATTTCACCCTGCTAATATATAGCGTTCCACGGCTCTTACCAGACATTTCCAGCCAAAATCATCGAGTCAGAGACTATATACTTCGTCCGAGGCCTAATAAGTGTAGTGTTTTCAGGGTTTTTTATCCTGCTGCTCGCCTTAGCTACCCTAGTAAACCTACATATTTTATTCCTGGGATGAAAAGTACGACGTTACAGAATCCAGATGAAGCTCGATACAAGGATACTCGATATAGTAATACCCTCGATTATATCCTTATAGATATCTATATCTCCCGTTAATATCCTTGTATCGAGTTTTATCTGTAAGCCGCTTTATTCTACCATGCTTCTACTCTACTCTACTCTACTCTACTACTTACAGAAGCCTCTAACTCGGCCTAGACGATACTAGGAAACATCAACCCTAACAACCTACAGCTTTGAAGGGACCTCGACCTCGACCTCACCCTCGATCCCTAAAATCAACTCAGCTCAAACACAGGGACTACAGTCTACCTACAGTTGAATCCCAAAGACAACAGCTGTAAAGTGATGGCAGAGCAGGACAGAATAACGCTATTTCTTCAATTGATACAGTGGACTTGATACGTTCCACTTAGGGCAAGAGCAAGACCAAGGGCGAGGCAAGCAACACAGCGTACTTCGTGATTCACTATTGACCTCGCGCCTTCCCTAGGTAATCAACCTTAAGACCCGGATTCAGATCTTCCTTGTCCTAGGTAGCTAGAGAAGACACCACAATGACGCAGTCTTCCTACCTACACCCCTCACCGAAAGCTTCGCAGTTGAAAGTGCATCACTGGGTCTAGACTATGCCCACTACGAACGGTCTGTCCAAAATATGTATGTACAGAAGATGCCCACGAAGAAATCCTAACCTACCTACCCTACGTCCTGGAAACCCCAATCAATCATCGAAGAAATACCGGATACAGTACCTTGAACTCTTTCCACTCATGCCACTGGTAGTGGGTAGGTACAGAGTAAAACCTTCCAGGCATCATCGACCAAGAGGGCCGCAGTATAAACAAGTCAAGCAAATTGTTGCCCGAGTTATGCTACAAGTACAATCATATCATTGAAGTCGCTATTCCCATTCTCCCACACGCTACATATATAAAAACACAAAATACTATCTCACACGATACGTCTGCTTTCATTCGAGTATGGTAGGACATACCATACTCAATAAGAAGCGACCTTTTCAAACCAGTTCATTTGATGCTCAACTCCGCCGCGCCCGTCAATGCAGCTTGTCTTTTGTCAACAATGGTCCATGGACCTTACTCAAACCAACGAGAAGAGAAAAAAAAGTCCAAGGGAAAAAAAGGCACCATCCAATTCAAAAACGAGTTCACGATGTATCCCCAGACCCAACCCAAACCCGAAACCAACCAGCCCAAACTTGGAAAAAAGCAGTGCTACCGCTGCTTAGCCATGCTGTGCAGAACCATAAAACGCCGTGTGCAGAATTACTACAACATGGTAAGAACAGACAAAAGAAAATCAAAGTATGTGCGGGAAAACGCTTGTTGGCCACAAGTGGGCATTAAAAGGATGTGTAAAGAGAAAAGGTTTTATCGTTCGACTTTTGGCGGTTGCCAACCATTCATATAAGCCATCAATCCCATCCCAAGTAACACGACCCCGATCATTGACACGTATGGCGTCGTGTGGTATATCATGGGGTCGCCAGGGGGCCTTGATAACGTGCTTACAGCTGCCTTACTGAGCTTGGAATTATTCTCTGCAGAAACAGTATGCCCGTTGGTCATCATACTGTTCTGGAGAAACTGCGAAAGATGGGTTGCTTCTCCGTGTTTGCCATTGAGTAATGCGGCAGGTACGGTGTTGCCTGGGCTTGACGAAGCACTCTCCTTTAAGGCCGAGAGGCTGGATGCCTCATCAGCTCTGATCTTCTGCACCATCTCGCTGAGTGTCTTCCGATCTGCATCGCGTTCTAACTCGGCTGTTTCAGCACGTACTTTGAACGCATCCATCTGCTCCTTCATCGCTTGCATATCACCCAGCATGGACTCTAATCGCTTCTCTAATAACAGTGTAGACTCAGAGATTGCATTCGGGTCCACAACCTTGCCGTTTGGCAGAATCTTTGAACCCGGCTTTTCTTCTACTGGCGTTTCACTACCCGGATCGAGTGAAGACTGAATCTTTGAGCTTTCTTCTGTTTGGTTGTGGCCATTGAATCTAATCTCAGATTCCGATTCCAGTCGTTTCGCAAGATCTTCAGCCAACTCTCGTGCTTGTCTTTCTTTTAGTAGCGTCTCCTCCAGATCACGGACTCGCGCATTCTGTGTATCGATTTCCTTCTTGGCAGATGCTAGAGCCTCAATAAGTGAAATAATCTGACTTGAAGGCTCATGGCGAATAGGTGATACGTTAGGCACTGATCGAGGGCGTTCCGTGTTGGTCCTTTTCAGAGATGGCGACGTAGGCTCGAAACCGTGAGAACGGGTAACATCAGGCTTTTCGGGAAGAGGTTGCTGAGGTGGTGGTGCTGGGGGGTCCGAAAATCGAGGGTTGGCATCTCTGAAAGGCAGCGACCCGCCATTGGATTGTTGAGTTTTCGTTGGTTCTAGGATGGCCTGCTTCTCAGCTTCCTTGACGTCATGTTTCGTCACCAGTGTTCCCAAAAAGTTGTCGGCTCTTCCTAGATCATTGGCTTGTGACCTTGCAACCCTCATTTCATGCTATTGAAAGATTAGTTACAACACAATCCATGATCAACAGTATGGTTGCGCTTACCGTGAGCCTTTTTACAATCTGTTCAGTAGTAACAGGGGTGAGCCAGAAATTCATAGGCCTCTGTTGACTTATCGCACTCATCTGACTTCCTGCAACGCTCACGGGTGGCCCCATACGCCCGTTACTACCAACAGATCCTTGACTGCTTGATCTACCCCTCATTTGTATAGAACCTTGCGAGGGAACCATCATTGCCCCATTCGCTGGATCCAAATCTCCAAAGTTCATTTCCAGAACATTATTAGTTGCACCGAGGAAGCCAGCGTGCTCAACCTTGGCGGCAACCTTGTGGTGGACTACCGTCTTTTGATCTTCACTGACAATGTCGATTCCAAGTTCTAAATGGTCTTGAGTTGCCAATTCGTGTGGCTCCGAGTCTCGGTTCTCTGCAGACAATCGCGCCCCATTTACAAACGTTCCGTTTGATGACTTCACATCTCGAATCCATACTTTTCCACTTCGGTCTGCCCATATCTCTGCATGTTGCCGTGAAAGGACTTTCGAATCGAAAAATCCATTAGTCGGTGTTGGTATGGTTTTTGCGTTGGTCTGCCGCCCTATTCTAAGGCTATCAGGATAATAAGGTACTGCTATTGTTTTCCTTTCAAAAGTTCCATTCATAGCGAGAAGATACAGAACAGGATTGCCCTCCCCGGTGGATTGCGCAGCTGGCCTTGCGCCATTGGACTGTTGGGAAGGATTCTGAAGAACATGTTGTGATGGTAGGATCGGCGCCGTTTGATGAATTGAGGTCATCGATGATGCCGCCGAGAGGCCATTTGTAAATAGCAATGATTGAGGACGAGCTGTAGAGACCCCCGAGATAGCTTCGGCTTTACTCGTTGGCCAGGGTCCGGCGCGTTGTGGTTTCTTACGTGTTACGGCTGTTCCCATGGAATTATCGCCAGCCGTCATCGGTACGCCATTTGTCAACGGCGTAGATTGGCCGATGGTAGAAGTCGACGAAGAGGAGGCCGAGGAGTTGGAGCTTATCGAAGAGGAAGAATTTGCGCGCTGAGCGCTTTTACGTGGCATGAACATTCGAGCGACTTCCTCGGAGCTCATGGCATTCATATTATTCATTGAGTTGAGTCCTCCTTGGCCTACACTAGCACCCCATGGCGACCTGTTGGTCGATGGGAAACTTGGCGGGTTCGCCACTGCCGTCATCTGCGAGGTTTACAAGGCGGGCGCCGTTGTGTCGGCGAGAGTATTGATGATGAAGAGAGCGTGGTGATGGAATGTTGGCCAGAAAAAATCCCCAGGCCGCCTTCGGACATAAGCTGAAGCTGGATCGCGCTGTGCCCGACACCACGGCTTTCGTTAGGTTGCAAAGGCGTGAGAGGACTGGAGAGATGTAGACATATGTGAGCTGATATTGATATTGATATCGAACTGTTGTGCTGCGCGGGTTAGCGGGTGTCCCTCCAACAACTTTGCAATGTATGGCCGATGGGGATAGATGAGGGGGCGGCAAGCGCCGAATAGACGTCGGTAGGGTACACGCCTGGCGTCGAGACGGTGCGGATGGGACAGCGGATGGGTTGGGGCTCCTCTGTGCAGAGGTGCGAGAGGGCGAGACTGACCTCGTGGGATTGAGCGTGGGGCGGGCGTCGAGTATATGGGCCTGGCCGTGATTGAAGGGGGAAAGGAGTGTTGTGGTTGTGGTTGTGTCCAGTGGCCTTTGACTTTTGGTGTTGAAGTTTGACGTCTGGTCTCACGGTACCTCCGTACGCGATGTCGCTCGCCAGCCTATCACATTGGTCGAGTTGGAAGAGGCTAAGTCTCGTGACTGCTAGACTGGGCGGGTTCACTGAGTAAGGTTACCGCTACGAGTAGGTTGGGAAACTCGGAAAGGAAACACAAAATATTGAAGGAGAGTGTTGAAGTAGAAAAGTGTGATAGTAGATAGTAGATAGTTCTGCCAGACACCGACGACCATTGACTGGGTATTGTTTATGAGCAATGGCAATGCATTCATCCATCGACCCCTATACCTATGCCTATGCCTATGTCTATGTCTATGCCTATGCAGGCCCAGCACCAGAGCACCGCAGCAGGTACCCATCTGCAACACGTGCTCTCATTCCCCATTCTCCAACTCTAGCCCCACCTGCATCCCCATTCCCGTCCCCATCCCACCTTGAATATAAGGCTGCAAGGCTGCCACTTTTCCGCCTCACCACCGACCGGGTTCCGGGCTTTTGCCGCCGAGGCTCTGCGGCTCTGCGGCTCTGCGGCTCCTCCTCCATCTTGCGACAGGTCCAGTCCAGTCCAACCCAGCAGTGACAAGTCTACCACCAAACACCATCGCATCCAGCAAATTATTAGCTCATTCAACATGCCAGTTCCCGTAGGAGCCCACATGAGCGGGCCCTCAACCGCCGATAAGTGTACGTTCTGCACGACTTCCCCGTACCCCACAGTTAGACTTAGTGGCATGAACTTACACCTTCTATAGTCAAAATGGGCGCGATGATGGGAGGCAGTAAGAACACAATTCAGAGGTTATCCAGTTGATCTGCCTCATTTGGCTGACAATGACTAGCGGTCGGGGTGATCATTGGCTTCATTTTCGGTACCTTTCACCTTCTCAGATACCCCATAGTCCCCGCACGATTCAATTTCCCTAGTTCATTGAATGCTAAATTACCCAGGTTCCGTGAACATCATGCGATACGGAGCTGGTCCAAATGGAGTCTTGAGATCTTTGGGCCAATATATGGCAGGATCGGGAGCTACGTTCGGGTAAAGAATATTTCCATTCCTCCCAAGAGCTTGAGCAAGAGCTTGACTGACTTTGCCCCAGGTTTTTCATGGCCATTGGAAGTACTATTCGAACTGATACCACCTCCCAACAAGCTATCGGAGCTTTCGCTCGAGCGCAACGACGGCCAATAGTGATGCCACGACAGGCTTATCGGCAACCAAAGTCACAGTAAAACTTCCACTTTAATAAAAGATGATAGCAAAAGAAAGAGGGATTGGGAACAAAAAATGGCGTACAGTGTACATAAAGGAGCGGCCCTTGGAAGGTGTTGTAGTGTTCTATCGTCGGGTTAAGAGGATAGGCTTTGGGCATCATCCGTGTACCAACAACGATCCATATACCCCATGAAGAGTATTTGCAATCGGGGAATACCCAGGAATCGTTCAAGGTTGTTAGCGTGTAAAGGGGGCACTGTATGAAAACACTGCAGAAAGTCACTTCCGAGTGGGGAAAGGCCGACGATACCTACAGTCGGGGAGTCTCATGCGCCTACGAACTTTGTCTGTGGAGTACCGCGCGATGTGAGCATGATCTCGGCTGTTGAAACGGGAGTCTGTACGCAGTCGGCTCGGCCCTGGTGGTACTTTTTTGTTTTGTTTTTCTTCTTTGTGTCCAATGATCAGGTGATACGCCAGTGCTCAACACGCCTCAGTAAGACACCTGGTCAATACTCTGTATACAGCATCAAAAGTTATTATACTAAACGTCCAGGACAAGTAACATGATTATTCTAACATACTTAGCTTGCTAGAATGTTTAAAGGAGCAATTCTTCTGAGCCATATGTATAACTGTTTTCGTTGTACGATTTTAGAATAATATTACCTATTTTAAGCTAGGTATTTATATAGTATTAACCACGTATCTTACTGATACGCTGTCCTCGAACGGAAGTTTCTCTCCACAGTCCGTACTTTGATGGCTAACGCTGAAATAGTCTCTACGACCCATTTCTATTCCTCCGTGCACACGAGGGGTCCTGATTATTTTCGCTTGAATCAGGATATACAGAAGAACTCGGTCTGGATCTCGACAGACATCAACGTCTAAACGCTGCTGATATATTTGAAACGTACTGTACTAGAACTGTACAGTAAGTGCGCTACCGAGGGATGAAGGGGCCATGCATGCACTGCCCTTTGGAAGTGAACGCACACTTAATTCAAAGATGCCAGATTTTGGCGCCACAAACTGCGGGAAGAGCGCCAAAACGCCACTTCTTTCGTATGAATCAATCCATTGGGACACAATGGAAAGAGCACTTCAGTCATTTAACGTCGAGCAATTATGTATACATTGAATTTCTATTTTGAGATTAACGATGATTGCTCAATAATGATCGATCGTGTATTGTCAATGATGGAAAGGAAGTGCGTTCTTCATTGGTACGATGGTCAGCCTAGTTTTCAGCACCAAGTTACTTGCTAAAATAGTGCCTGTTGCCAACGTTTGGGGCTTTGTTTTAGATTTACGTCAGGCGCGTGCACTTTCCTGACAAACGGACAGTTCATCCGAAGCTTTAAAGGACATCCTCAACCACAGACGAAAAGCACAGATATCCCAACCTCGTGTCGACGAGTAGTACCTGGCAACTCCCGTACGCCCCCTTATTTTGATAGCGATGTCGTGCTCATTGTTCTCGAGTCCAGCCAGGCCTGTGCCGTGCTTCTTGGGATCTCTTGGATGGCATTGTCCCTTCTAGTTCAGGTTCATCCGAACGCTTGGATCTTACTTGTTATTTTCAGAAGCTTTTTCACTGCCTGGATTTTCTTCCTCATACCATGCTTTCTTCTAGGGAGCTTTTTGTTTTTGTCCGGAGATCGCTTGCTACTCATCGGATACTCAGGCTCCGGGAGATTCCATTTGACTCTTTCAAGCGAGGGACTTGTAATTAGTAGTAGCTGATCTCCCGACTTTCCGGATCAAGTGGTGGCTTATTATCACTCTCTTCATAATTGGTCCCTTCCTATTGGTTCCCTACTTTCAATGATCGTGCGGCTCGATCCTCATTGCATGCAGAGGCAAAAGAAAGTTCATGTCTCTCAAATCTGTATGCAAGGACCATCTCGTGGCGAACAATTACAGAAATGACCCCTTTTGTTCTTGCAGATATTCTAGAACTTTCAGACTCATTATTTGGAAATGTCTAAGGTGAGTTTGAATTACTCTATAAATTCTAATAACAACGACGTTAATTGTTCTAGAAGGGACTAAGGTTTCAGCTCAGATTTTTCGGGAAAATATATAGAATACTACCGCAGAAGACTTCTTGTCCATTGCTGGGTTTTTTCCATCTCGATTGTCTGTGGCTCAGTAGCTCCCTCCGGCGCCGAATTCATGGTCCAAACCATGGCAAAAGTTTACTTACTAAGATCTTGGCGTAGTGTATTTTGATGTGTTGTCTGATCTCATTCGGAGGGAGCCTATACTCAGAAATTCCAATAGTTTGGGTCTTGTTGCTACTCTAGTCGTGCGTTTTTACTACTCTAGGTCGTGGCGTAGCGCATGGGACAGCCTCTGACTGGCCAAGCTCTGACGGTCGGATCTCCGTCTATGGCTTCGCTTACTTCGGTTACTTCGAGACATCTCCAACGACGACATTAGCTTGTCATTTGACAACTTTCTTTTCCTTTGGCTGCATTCGACCGTGTATAATTCTCGTAATTGTGAATATTGGTTTGCTTGGACAGCTGATTTCTTTTCATAATGACTTCTCCCCGTGTTGACAGCCACAAAACTTGGACCTATCTGAAGCACTGGCATCAGCCGCCTACTCCCGATGCGGAATCCCTTCGTCAAGTCCCTTTGGAGGGATCAACAGTGGCAAGCCCAATCATAGCTCCACAAAGTAAGACCTAGAAAGGCGTGGGAGCTCTTGATGTCTTGTCAAAACTAGTTTCTCCATAGGGTTTGTCAAGTATATAACTCCTTTCATTTCTCCTCATTTTTTCCTTGATCATTAACCAGACATTCCTTTGCCTTCGGCAGTCTTCAATTCTTCGCCTCTGGCACTTTTCAATTCAACCTATTAATTAATTTTATTGGCCGCTCACTAACTACCATTTTTTCACCATGTCTCTAATTGGACAAATCGTCACTTCAGCACTCAGTCTGGTAGGGGCCTTGACGCAAGGTCAAACCAACGGGTAAGTCATTTATTTTTTGTCATCTCACAAGCTCATTTTGACACCACAGTAGGGCATCAAAATGGGGGACAATCAACCCGCAACCGACTTTCCCAAACTTTCTTACCAATAATCCACTGGGCGCCGGCGGTTTCCCGTGGGGATCACTTACAGCTGGGGGAAACAATCCCTACAAGAGTGCACCGTTCACTGGTGTGACTCGAAGATATGATTTCACCATTGCGCGTGGCCAAATCGCACCAGATGGTTACCAAAAGGACGTCATTCTCATCAACGGTCAGTTCCCTGGACCACCAATTGAGGCCAATTGGGGAGATACTATTTCCGTGACTGTTCGTAATCAGATTTCTGGTCCGGAGGAGGGTACCGCTATGCACTGGCACGGATTTCTTCAAACGGATACTCCATACTATGACGGCACACCAGGTGTTCAACAATGCCCAATTGCTCCTGGATCAACCTTCACATACACCTTCAAAGCCGAACTTTATGGATCAACCTGGTATCATTCCCACTACTCTTCCCAAGTTGCAGGTATGTTGTTCGGCTGAAAATCCTCATGTATTCCGCTAATAATTTCAGGTGGTCTCTTCGGTCCCTTGATTGTTCATGGACCCAAAAACTCTGCTTGGGACGTTGACCTTGGTCCTGTCATGCTTGCCGATTGGTTTCACACTGAGTACTTCAAGATCGTTCAAAGTGTTATGGGCCCTGGTGGAAATCCTCGACCAGCTTCTGACAACAATCTCATCAACGGAAAGAACAACTTCGATTGCTCCACCAAGGCCCCCGGCGACAATGCTCCATGCACCAGCAATGCGGGTCTTGCAAAGTTCAAGTTCACTCAGGGCAAGACTCATCTTTTGAGACTTATCAATACTGGTGCAGATGCTCTTCAGCGATTCAGCATCGATGGTCATAACATGACTGTTGTTTCCAATGACTTTGTTCCAATTGTAAGATTTCTGTTGATCAGCTAATGATTCATATCGGCTAACGAGATCCAGACACCCTACACCACAAATGTTGTCACTCTTGGTGTTGGTCAACGAGCAGATGTTCTCGTCAAGGCATCTTACAAATCTGGTTCAGCGTTTTGGATGCGAGCCAACATTTCCACTCCTTGCAGCGCAACCAAGAACCCAAACGCTCTCGCAGCAATATACTACGATGGTGCCGACACCTCCAAAGCACCAAAGAGCACCGCATGGAACGTTCCCGACCCAGCAACTTGCGCCAATGATGATCTTTCCAAGACTGTGCCCACATACAAGATCCCAGCGAAAACTCCAACCACCACTGTCAACTTGGACATCGGATTTTTCGTCAACGAGACCAAGAGCTTCCTCTGGACGTTGGGCGGTACCTCCATGCGAGCCAATCTCAACCAGCCTATTCTTCCTCTCGCCCAAGCTGGGAACTTCAGCTACCCCAAGGAATGGAACGTCATTAACTTCAAGGACAACGATGTCATCCGAGTCGTCGTCAACAACCCAACTCCTGCCTCCCACCCAATGCATTTGCACGGTCACAACATGCAAATCCTCTCCGAGGGACCCGGCAACTGGGACGGATCAACCATTATCAACCCTTCCAACCCTCAACGACGAGATGTCCAGATGGTTCGCGCAAACGGCCATTATGTCTTCCAATACGAGTCCGACAACCCCGGTGTCTGGCCCTTCCACTGCCACATCGCCTGGCACATCTCGGGCGGCTTGTACGCCAGTCTCTTGGAGAAGCCAAGCAAGATCTCCGAGAAGCAGATTCCCATGGTCATCAAGCAGACTTGCGATGATTGGAATGCGTACACCAAGAAGACTGCTCCTCTGGTCATTGATTCTGGTGTCTAAAAATTTTCCGTGCTGGTGTCTAGCGATGGTTTGTTAGGGAGTAATTGGAGTGTTTTTAATTATTCTTTTGCTGATATCGCGGGATGGATACACTTACGATAATGTTTTGTAATGAGACCTTTTTTCTTGTATGATATTTCTTTTTTCTTTTTCAGGGGGATGAGGTTTGGAGGCCTGTTCTTTTTTTTTCTTCTTTTTTTTTTCTTTTTGGAATCTTATTTCCGGGTGTTAATGGGTGGTTTGGTGTGGCTAATTGGTTGATTGATAGATTGTGTGTAGAGGTTTATATACATAATACACTGTCGCTATATAATTTAAAACTTGTGGTCTGCTCTTAGCCTCTTACCATTATCACTTTGTGTCTTTGAGGTCTGCCCACCCATTCCTCATCACCGTTTGTTTTGTTGTGTTTGGTTTTGGTATTCATCCACGTATCCAAGCTTATTCAGCTTATGCCGGAAACGCCTTCTTGCTCCTTCATGTCCCGTAGTACTCAGTGATCTAGAGACTCGAGACTCGACACTTCTCAAAAGACAGAGTTTGTATATGGGTACTGGGAGAAGTAGTGATGCGATAATCTCCCCCCCCCCGTCATTTCGTCACTTGACTGATTTCGTAATTGTCTCGTTCCTATCACTTCCAACCTTTTCAGAGCAAACGATCAGTCATCGCAGATCCAGTTCCTTGCTTCCCTTCAACCCTTTACTAATATCTGAACTCCCCGAGACAACTTCACCTCAGGGCTGAACCCCCTTTCAAAAGGCCTTGCATGGGTAGGTTCCAACACGCGAGGGGTGAAAGTGATATCCCCACAGGGCTACAGATGGAGAAGTGAACCATGATCACGTGTCGAAAGCGGATGCTTTCCCATGAGTTTACCCTCAGCCTCATACGTCATGATTGTATGAGAAACGTCGTTGTCGTTATACCCGTACATACTTGTTGGAAGTTGGAAGTGGGGAGTGGATGTAGTGGAAACCACTGTCCAGTCATGATCACCGAGTCAGACATCGAGAGGTGGGATCTGTGTCGCTGGAAGTCTTCTTCAATTGCACAGTCAGTGTATTAACAAAACTAATCAAATACTTAACTCTACTCGAGTAGTACTCGAGTTGAGTTGAATGAGTATGATTAGGTAATTCTGTTGAGTTTAGTTAGGTAGTAGATTTAACTATTCGAATAGTACTCGAGTCGTTATATATAACGTGACTATATTATAAGAAACTTGTCCTTAAATAGCATATACTAAACACAGGGGCACTCGGCAAGGTCCGCTTACGCGGACCCACTAGCACCGGCCGCCCGGAGTCGAGCTAGCGAGTCGGGCGCGCTACGGGGCATCAGACCGACACTACTCGAGTAACTCATGAGTTACTCAAGTACTTGGCGAGTTGAGTAATTTAGGGCCTGTTTGGCTCGCACATTTTTTTAATATGCGTTATATAAAAAGATTTGCATGCATGTTAGTATATGCGAGGGTGTTTGGTTAGCCGTATATTTGAATTATAATTTTATCATAAATTAGATGCATATCTAACGAGTTGAGTTGACGTAATGAACCACATCAGATAACCCAGGGCAAGAGTGCCAAATCAGAGCTATCACAGCTGCCCGGAAGGCAGTTAGCAAGGGAGCTACTACCACAATTCACTGGGTACCAGGTCACACCGACATTCCAGGAAATGAGAAAGCAGACAAGCTTGCAAAAGCCGCCACCACAATCCAACCATCCACTCAACTCACTAGCTTTGCTATGCTAGGAGTCAAGATCAGGCAGACCCAGAACAAAGAATGGCGTCAAAAGCTTACTACACCCCCCCGGCACACAGAACCATCAACTAACCAACACTCGTATCGAAGGGAATTCCCATGGAAGATTCTGTCGAAACCTTGCGTCCCCCAAGGAACAAAAAGAGAGATAGCCAGCGCCTTTTATCAGCTTAAGCTAGGCCATGGATACTTCAAATCATACCTACACAAGCTCGGCCACACTACCAACAACCGCTGTAGATGTGGAAGACAAGAGACTCCCACTCACCTCCTTCTTAGCTGTCCAGAAACTGGGGATGCTAGGAAAGTACTAAAGCGCAACCTCCTCAAGCATCATATTCGAGAGTTCACCATGAAATCCCTCCTTCACACCGCCAAAGGAGTCGAGGCCACACTTGACTTTATTCGAACCACCAAAATCGCCACTAGAATATGGCACACACAACGCGCAACTGAGGATGAGAACGAAGATGAGGACGAGGAAGACGAGGACGAGGAAGACGAGAACGAGGAAGTGTAGCGTACAGGGCGTGAAACGAGGGGGCGTACTACAACATAACAACTTTTCTTTTGTCATAACCAGAAGCCTAGCTGCTTCCAACAACCCAAGAACTGTAATGACCATAACCCCCTTCTCAAACATGTGTTTAGTACAGCTTTACTCATCTGTTGGAGGGAAACCCCCAGCCGTGCTACTATAGTCTCAGACTCACACAGCACGTTAAAAGGAATAATAATAATAATAATAATAATAACCTTGAAATTAGTATGTGAAAGATATCAGCTGCAAAGAGAGCATTTGTTCGTATCGCATGGCGCTGTGAAAAACTTGCCCGAGCGCAGTTCCTTGCTGTAAGGCGGAAGCCTATTTGCACTTCTTTTTAGATATGCACCACCAAAATAAAGATATAAAAGTTATGAGACCTAAAACCGCAACGATTTCTTGTGCACGCTCGCATATCCTTCGATTTATCGATCTACTACTATACTAAAAGTTAGTCGGATCCACTATTACGTACCAACTCGATATACCACCCAAAATGCCGTACCACAACTACCACACCCACACGTTATTAAAGCGACGATGTATTCAGGACAGGAATCGTAAAATCGCTGCATTTACAGCTGTACTTGCCGCCTAGGCTACGAGTACTTATTATACGAATAACTATGTAAAAAGACCTTAACACACTTCGAAGTTACAAGGCGACGAATAGATGCAGGAGCTAATTAAAGGGCATCCAAAGCGTATGAGAGATAGTCTCTATATAACCTAGGAAGCTTTTGTTATGGTAGAGAATCTCCTTATACGTAAAGGTGGACTCGTACTAACTCGATATATAACGACAAGGGAGCAACTTAGTATATTTTTATATACAGTTGTAAGCGACTTATCCTTGCGTAAAATAGCGGAGCGCTTTTAAAGGTAAATAAATCCCTGGGTTTTGATTGGTTAGTCGCTTACCCTTCCTAGGAGTACTAAGACGATTCAACGTACTTATCACAAAGTAATAAGAGTACTTCTCTCCGACAGTATCTATAACTCCGCTATTCCTTAATTAGATCTGTACAAATACTACTACAAATAGAGCTCGATTCAAAGAATTATCCTTGGTTCAAAGATTGTGTTAGAGCGATAGACGGTACTTATATACCTGTTATACCACGTACAAAGGAGAGATGTGCCTTTTAAGACAGACTTGGTAACCTATCGCAAAACGTACTCGCTATTTGTACGTTTGATATACGATTTACACATATTATATCAGGGTGGGAGGGAAGTGCTACGGACTTAACTTTGTGGATAAAGGCTATTCGCTCAGAAGCTATCCAAATACTAGAGGGCAAATATGTTCTTAGAGACTGTGGGTTTCCTAGTTCGCCGGAATGTTTGGTACTATATCAAGGCGTATAGTACCATCTAAACGAGTGGAAACAAGCCTCGGAGAACGGACGAACCCCTGAGACTAAGGAGGAACTCTTCAACTTGCGCCATGCTATCCTAAGGAACGTAATCGGGCGTGTCTTTGGTGTTTTAAAGAATAAGTTTAAGATATTAAGAGTACTAAGGAGCTTTAAGATAAGGGCTCAGGCTCGTCTTGTTCCTGCTCTTTGTGTTTTATATAATATCTTAAGTCTGATTGTAGGGCCTGAATATATAGAAGGAGTAGAGCCGGAGTTTGTAGAATACAAAGAAGAGGATAGAGATGTGGTATTCATAAATAGTACCGGTTATCACACTAATCCTCGTACTAGGAAACTGGGAAACTAGATAAGAGATCGTATTGCAACTGCTATGTAGGAGGCAGAAGTGCAAAGGAGGTCTAGGCGGGGATAAACTGTATGTATATGTATATATATATCGTATGTTGCTGCTAGGGTACAAGAAGCGAACCACAAAGTGACGTCACATACCACCCCTGTCTTCTTAATCAAAAGTAGTCCAATTTACTTAGTTTTTTTTTATTCAAAAGGGAATAATCTAGAGATTAATTCCCAAAGATCAAAATCAAGTTTATCTGTTAATGTTGTTATGATAAAGAGGAATATAAAAGTTACGATATATGACGGCTCGCTTATCGATAACTAGAACAATATAGCCTATTTTATAGAAAACAGTATATATATTATTTCGAAGTAACCACAAAAACAGTACAAATGAAATTATTACTCCTTCAACTACTTAGACCTTGTCTAAATCAATTTCCTGATTATTAGGAGCTCTTATAAAAAGCTCGTCAATAGAACGCCATGCCTCCTAAGACTCCTCGAGGAGAAGCCTCATTCACTCCATCTGTAACTCCTCACTTTGTCCTATAGCCATATACTCTATTACGTAATCTATATTCCGAAAAACTCGTATAATAAGGAGTACGCCATCTTAAGTTAAAAACTCTTCCATTTGGAGTTTAATTAGCGCTTGTCTATGCAACGATTTATCCACCTCCTGGCGTGGTTCCTGGGGAGCCGCTCCTAGATGCCTTGCAATTAAGGCAACACTCGTACTTATATCTAACATTCTCTTAGGTCCTGAAACTCTCTTTCTTTTGATAGGTGGTAGATCCTTCGATAAATCTCGTTTATTTACCTTGTTCGATTTAGGTGGATTTTTTGCTTCTTTTTACGTATTTAACGAGTCGTCTTTGGTAGTATCCTTATCCTTAGATACCTTGTCTGTTGAGCTATTCTTTTAAGCCTTCTTTTGCTTCCTATATTTCTTATGTAATTCACCGTCTTTACTACTATGGTACATCTTGTAGAGTTTAACCTAAGCTATTAAATCCTGGCTTTGTTCTACAGTAATAGAGTTACCTACGTTTTGTTGCCAATTTAGTATAGGATTAATTGGAATACCCGCTTATTCGAGTATCAAGTTATCCACATCTTTAGGTTCCGTAGTATTAGAATTGATCGAATCGTCGGTCTCTGGTTCGTTAGACTCCGAATCCTCCGAGGGATTATACTTGTCGGAATCCTTTTGACGTTTAGAGTAACTATATTTGCCGGTGGCTATCTTCTTACGATTAAGCTCAACCATAACGTTATAGTATTGAAAGCTCTTCTTTTTCTATGGCGTTGCTTTAGGGTGTTTCTTTATATATATTAGAACTGTCTGTAAATAGAAGGAATTATAGTTTACCTTAATATAATCGCCCTAGACAGGTTTAGCAGCAGTTATAATAGAGCGATCCTCATCCTATCCAAACCCAGAGTTCTCGTGCAATTTATATACAACCTTGAAATCCCGAGTTAAATTCGAGTATTTAGCCTGACAAGTACGGCCTTGTTTTATAGGTTTATATCGACGTCCGAGTTGATTCCATAGTCTCTCTGGAAAGTTGCCTTCTGTCATTTCGCCATCTTCTCTCTTCTCACGAACAAACTCTAATAGAGCAAAGATATCGTCCTCCGACTAGGTAGTATATACACTTTTTGACGAACCAGTAGCTTGTGTTGCTTGCGTTGCTTGCGTTGCTTGCGTAGGTTGTTCCGAAGGGGGTATTTGAGTGGAGTCTATTGTAGGGTCGTCGGACGAGTCCTGGGACGATACTCCTGGTGGTGTAGGAACCTGGGCTTTCTTTTTACGACCTATATTATATAGATAAAAGACAGATCAAAGTTAGATAATAAAAAGAAGAAGTACTATAAAGAACAGGAACGTTACTTGTATAAGTACTCGGGTAGTGGAACTAACTAAATCGTAGTAGTGGACTAAAATTTAGTAGTTCCGAGAGCTGGTCCGTAAATCGTCGAATATATGACGAAGCAAAAAAACTTATGCGACGAGCCAAACAGTAGTGCATTTGTTTCGTCAGATTAGTACAAATTGCATGCAAAACAGGAAAGATATGCACGGGGTCTTGGGGTCATGGAAAAAGTGGTAAAGTTTCGAATTTGCACCTAATATGCACACCCAACTTATGCGAGCCAAACAGGCCCTTAAATAGCGATTTTCACGACTCGAGTTGAGTTGATTAGGTGCTACTACTCAACTCAACGACTCGAATTTGTTACGCTGGCACAGTAAATAAGCTTAAGCGTTTTCTTCCTTCACTTCTTCAACCAGATAGATACCAGTAGGTAGGTATATTGAGTTATCTGCCAAGAACGATCTTCGGGCTTTTGCTTCTGTGCAGTTGTGAGAGTTTTTGATTGTTGCTTTGTGTTTCTCTTAGGGCCTGGAGGTTGAGTGTAAAGGGGGTGGACAGTTAAAGCTGGACATGGACACTGTCGCTGATCATAGTATGTCTCGGCCCCGACTTTTTGCTATACAAGCGAATTAAAGATTTATATCTGGGCGCTATAGACTTTTCTCACATATGATCTACGTGACAGTTTCCAGCTTTGACTGTCCACCCCCTTTATTTTCTGCGAGTTTGAGAGCGAGTATCTAGATGATCTCAAGATAAATGGGGTCTCTCTTGATGAGAGGTCTGAGTTGGTTGCTTGTAATATCAGATACTACTATATGAGGCAGGGAGGATATGATTGTTTATTCCTCTCATATCAGGCTGGTTTTCGTGCCGCTGAGCTTTTGAGTGAAGTTTGGAGTTGTTCTTAGAACCGATGTCACAACATGTAATGTAAAATGGTTTAGGCGGTAGTGCATTTGTAGTCAGTCAGATTCATGAAACATGTGTACTCAGGTAAAGATGGTTATCTTCGCGAGACAGATGTAGTTGTTGTTGTGGAAACGAAGGCACTTACATGATACATAGTGCGTATATTCCAAACATAAGAGAAGTCTTCATTACTCTATGTATTTCTAGCTTATAATAATACTGTTCTCAATTCATTGTATAGCTAAAATGGCTAGAATAGTAATATAAATATTTTATAAATATTATCCCTTTCTATTTTTTGGTAACCTGCGTACATACTAATATAGTCATATTACTTATGCTAGATATTTAGTATCCCTTACTCCGTAACATCACCAAAACAACTAGGCAGAACATCCTAATTAGTTCGAGCTTAGTATTCTCGCCAATTAGGCGGATAAGAGACTATTGACCAAACTCGAGTAGGCGTTCTGCATAGCAGTTTTGGTGATGTTACAGAGTAAGGGATGATCATTTTTATAGTGCGTACCTCCGGGAGTATTGTCAAGGTCTCTCATATTTCTGAGTCTGCTCTACCTAGGTAGTCGACTAATATGGTTCTTCTCTGACTTGTGTAGCGTACAGTATTAATTCTTTGAAACAGGACTCCTAAAGTACAACTTCAGATGTTTTTACCGTCCCCGTCGATCTAGAGCCGAGGTTTGGAAGCGCAACAAACTCTCGGAATTTCGGCCTCTGAACAAGAATAATATTTGACTCTTGCCTACAGAATGAACAATCAAAGCTGGACACTGTCACGCAAATTTGGATTATTAATGTGATAAAAGTTTATATGTCGCCCAACTCCGACTGCCTTAGTCGTTGGTTTCGCTAAAAATTAGGCCAAAGCCGTAAATTCAATATGGGCAGGCCAAGGGGTTATCCCGAGCTGTTCACCTTCTTCAATGCGAATGAAAACTAGGTTGCAAACTTTAGTGAATCTTATCAATCAATAAGCCGCATGATCGTAGGAACAACCCGGGAGGAAGAGATAGAAGGGAGATTTCTGTTGATCCTGGGGACTTTGCAAATCCGTAAATAATGTAACAATAAGGTGGAAGGTACATTGTCACTAGACCTCCAAAGTTGCACCTGAAATGACTCAACCGTAAGCAGAGATCCCGGTTCCCGTTGCGGAATGAGCAACCTTTGGGTACCCCGAAAGATGAGTGAGATAGAGTTACTGTCACGGACCAGGATCCCCAAACTATGATAGAGATCCCCTGGACCCCTGTTGGGATTTGCAGCTAGACGGAGCTTTTGAGAAGTGATAGGTAGCTGAATACGAAGAGTGGGGTTATTATTGATGTCTCCGCGACGGGAGGCCACAAGTACAGTGCCTTTGTTGATAGATTCTTGCTTGGTGTCTGGTTTAGAAGGGCGGTAAACACTGGAAACGATCATTCTAAATAGACATTGGAACGTAAAACATACAGTTCCGTCGAGAAACTTGAAATATACGAATGAAGTGGCGAGTGGATCAACTTTCGTTAGGGCTAGGTCAGTATGCATCACGGACAATTCTAATTGGCCGTGTCGTCGGTAAAATATGACGAAACAAGAGAGCGAAGGCTGAGTTCCAGCCTGGAACATGTAGAAATGCATGGCATTAGGAGGTGCCGTTCGTTAGTTGGGCAGGTTGGATCGACCGAGGTCTGAGTGGCAGAGCACAATAAGAAGAGGGGGTAATTATTGTTACAGCAGAACGGCAGAAGCTTTTGCAGATGATCAAGATGTGCAGTGGTTTGACCATTAGCAGTTCTTATGTTGTGACCAAGTGTTCCATCTGCAATGCGTGTTGCTAAGGCATTGGGGCTTGGGGGCGTTATCTGCCAATCTACGGACAAAATAAGCGGGAGGTTTTTGCCCGTGCGGTTTGACCAGTTTCCATGACCCAATCATTGAAAGTGCCATGAAAATAAGTATGATATTGATGCCCATTAGCACGGGCAAAGAAACACCCGCTTTTTCTTATTTTGTCCACCGCGATCCCACCCCACCAGCACAGGCATTGCCCGCAGCCAATCACTAAGCGAGATTTCACTTGCTTCCAACCTTGCTAGCAAATTGCGGGCTGTGCTGCGTCCAACTTCATCCTTCAAAAGCCGCAACATCACGACATTTTTTTCCTCACCTCTTTTCCTGCCTTTCGATGGTTAGACGTTTGCGTGCAAAGCCTTTCGTAAGTGCTGCTCACAGGATAACCCTCGATCAATCCTCATACAACCTAATATTCTTACATTAATACTAGTGAAAACAATTCCACCAATGCGCGATGAATAGCCCGGAACCAGTCCACACTGCCAAGGTCACGCTTCAGGTTGGTGAGAGGCAATTTAACACTACCAGAGAGAATTTGGTCAGAGAAAGTCCATTCTTCGCTACGTTGCTTTCGGAAAACGGTGGTCATACTCAGCAAGATGGGTCATATTTTGTAGACGCCGACGGCGATTTGTTTGAGCACATCCTTCGATATTTACGACGCGGAGTATATCCCATTTTTTACGACAAGCTAAAGGGGCATGACTACGCCTTATATCTTGCGTTACTTCAAGAAGCCAAATACTTCGGCATTGAGTTACTCCAGAATTGGCTTGAGAACAAAAATTATCTTCAGGCCGTCAAAATCACGTACACATATGAGGGAGCCCACGACAAGACCGAAAATGGACCGCCGGTCGCATCGCTTACTGCACCGGCAAACACCGAAGTGGAATGGTTGAATATCCATTTTCGTGCGGAGAAGGGATGGATTTGTCCTCATGAGATCTCATCACATCGCCTAGATGTTGGGAAATGTGTCATGTACTCGAGAAATCGCGGTGAAATCCAGGGAAGATACGCTCACTACACTACGAGAGAAGGCTTCATCAAAAAATGTACGACCACCTTCGACAATTCTGTTTGTACGCTTTCTCCAGCGATATTAGCGGACACAGAATCACTTCTTCCACCTCCTTACATTCGCGACGAATAACGTCCCTTTGCCTTTCTTACCGATTTCAGACACGCCAGGCGAATCACGTGATGCCAAACAGCACTCTATCACTGAGGAGGAGTTAATTGGGAGTAATGGGTGGCAGGAAAGAGGTTGCAAATGTTATTCACATTGCTGTCGCGATATCTGAGGGATTGATGAACAATGTTGTTTGGGATCATGGGATAAGTTTCTTAGGGAGGATCTATAATGAATTCACGGGGCTCGTTATTTGCTATTTCATCTTTTTAAAATCTCAATATTACGATCATTTTCCGTCACATACTGTGTACGATACTCGACTTATTGGTGGCTGGGGTCACACTCTGTCAAGGCTAACCTTCTCTGACCAAAAAGCCACAGCACTCCAACATCGGACGATTGAGCACGACATCTACGATACATTTCCAATTTAAGCTTGTCCATTGCCTAGGATCAATCTTGGTATCGGAACTTGCAGACATGATCATACGCTTATGTTACTTGAAACCAGGTACCGGGTCGACATCACGATTCAACCATATGTTTCTGCTCAAATCTCATAACTATCACGGAGGATACCACGAGTATGGCGCACACGGGACATACGTGGCATTGCACGCATCTCACGCATCTCACACCGCCCTATCTGTCATACCGTTTCCTGTGGTATCACGCACTTCAAAGATGTTTGTGGTTAGAAATAGCTTTCGTACCGCCTCGGTGATAAACAAACGTCTTGAATCTTCTGTCTTGTTTATATATTGCTTCCACTTCCATCCTATTTCGTGATAAACCAGGGTCAAGAAACAACTGAGAACGCAAGAATACCAAGAAAAGAAGAAGTTGGATAGCAGAGAAGGCGACAAAGTCAGATAGAACACACGATAAGGAGGTAGGACAACAATCACAACACTGGGCACACCAGCCGCCACGGATCGACAGGAGAGAGTAAAGCAGTGCAATCCAAATTCCACGCCTTCTTATCTATCCGAAAAAAGAAAGTAAACGAGCCCCCTATACCAATCGCTTTTTGAAATGCTCCGCTCTATTGATCGCCGTCATTAACGCCATTAACAGCCTCAGCCCGATCAGTTATCACTCACCAGTATCACCTCCATGCAATCCGAAACAAGCTCCCTCACAATGTCAAACACAAAATCCAAATTCTCAACCGCCTTCACAAAAAACGGGACCATCACCCAGTTCACTGAGAAAATCCCACTTGTGGGCCACCTCACAGCCACAGTACAAGCTTTATCTGGCAATCCCTCACAAGCCAAACGAGCCTTAGCGACTAGCACCAATGGACTTGTGGTCGCGGCTGGCGCCGTTGGGGGATACATATTAGCTGGACCTCCCGGTTCCATGGTCGGTGGCGCGCTCGGTTCAGCGGTTGGAATTGGAGTTGAATATGGGATTGCGCAGACGATTAAGGATATGGATATCCGCGAGATGGTGGGCGATGTGAGCTTGGGGAGGTTTGCGAGAAGTATGGCTTTTGATGGGTTCTTGAGTGGGCTTACGAGTTGATCATGGAGACTGGGGTATGGCGGGTTGATGGGATTGGTCTTTTGGAAAAGGAGTTAAGCGAATGGGGTGAATTATAGATGTGATTAAACGAGCACGACGACTTTTTTGGTTTACGACGGGATGCTTGGATGGTTCTGTGTTGACTGCTGTATTTTATTTACTTGCTTATATTGGTAAAAAATGAATTGAATTTTTCGATTCGTCTTAATAATGGTATCTGAAAAATGTTCTCGCGGGCAAATATACAAGGTTATCTATTTATGTGTATGATAATTCCTTTTGTGCGATTCAGTCTGTCAATCAATAGCGTAACTTCTAATTGGAGTAATAGAGTAATTTGTTCTAAGATTAGGTTATAAAAGTCGCCTAGTTGCGTAAGTATTCATTTTATGTCTAATTTCTTTACTTTTCTTACAAAACAAAATTATATTTAGAAACCGGCCCTATGAAAACCCTTCTTCTTTCCTTGCTACCATTTACCCTCTTGCGAAATATCAAAACTTTATAATAAACACATACTAAGAATCTAACGTTGCTCTATTTTTCTTTCCTCTCTAGGCTAGCCACGCTCCTTACTCCTCGTGCGACCATCAAAAAGTCGTATAAATAGAAGGGCGATGGCGAGAGCGACAGGCGGCCAGGGTTCTATCAGGAGGTAGACAGGTTCCTGACATTCGCGCCTTCCGTTCTTGACTATCCTGCTTTCTTTGCGACGGTACAAACTCAAGGTCAGATCTAGGTATGCAAGGGCAGAAATTTGAAATCTCATTTTTAATGCGACCAAAGACAAGATCACGGATCGGCCCTCAAAGTAGACTTCTGAGAGAAATCCTGACCTCGAACCTGATCTGGTGTTGTGGGAACCCACCAATCGACTGAAATAGGGCGACGACATACTTTTTAACAACGAACTTTTAGCTATTCCAGAGCCTGGCACATTAGAATAGTCTAATAAGGATCATTAAGATATCCTTTTTCAAAAGATAATAAATAGTCAACATTAAGACATGAAGAAAAACCTGAGATGTGTACAAAGTAAGCCGAACAAAGCCGTCCCTTGTCCAACTTCCATAACGTATATATGATTTATCGCCCCCCTCCCCCAACATAATTACACATCCACCCCAGGAATCCAAGTTTTCCATTTCCGCATATCTCCCAAGTTCCTCTGCACTTCCCAAAGTCCATCTTTGTAATCACTCATTTGCCTCCCACCACGTCTCACGCTCTTGATTTCAACTTTGGGAACCAGTTTTCTCATGTTCCAACTTTCACCCTCGTTAACTTCCCCGCCTGCACCCTCGTTCTCACCAAATTGCTCACCCATCCCTCCTTCTCTTGACAAGCCCACCCACAACCTGCTAAACCACTCGTTCAAATTATCCGTCACCCCCTTCGCAGGCTCCGTATGCCCTGCAGGAATAAACTCATAACTCACAAGCGGCTCTCGAAACACCAAGGCATGTTTCCCATAATACCACCGATCCTCCAGTGCTCCACGGTCATCATCAGGAACAATACAGACCTCCTTCATGGGTCTATTCCTCAGTGAATAAAGAGCATTCCTTAAGCCCTCCCAGGTCCCATCCCGTTCTCGTAACCAGAGTTTGCGATCGAGAGCTAGATATTGTAGACCTGGGAGCTCGAGAAAAGGAGAGGGAGAGGAGAGAAAATCTTGAAGATGAGCTTGTGAGAATTCGGGACCGAGGTAGATGGTGTCTCGGTTGTAGGAGAGATAGATTCGTTGCGGGGCGTAGGGTGTTACCTTTTCTGATTCGAAGGGCTCGTCACAGATGGTGGGTTGGGGACGGACTTTGTAGTCTAGGTCTGCGTATGGGTTTTCGGGGTGGTACCGCCAAGGAATGTACAGCTCGGATGAATCATAGTCTTTCCAGAGTGAGATACCAATTTCTTCGAGATGGTATATTCGAAGGCCTTCGAGACGGGATTCTCGCGTGGTGTGTAGGATGGAGGGGACAGAGTGGGGTCCTGCACTTATCTTGAGGGGCGAATGGGTATGAGATGCTTTCCACGTTCTGAGTTCTATCACTCGCGAGTCTGGAGCAGAAAGAATCCATATCCGTACTCTTAATTCAGGAGGTAACTTGTCAAAGTTGGGGAATGATATGTGCTTAAACTTTGTTGATTCCGAGCTTCCTTTATGCTTTTTTGAAATGAAACGAGAGGCTTGTGTAGGAGTCCATTTGATTTGGGCATGGGGAAATGGATTGGGAGTGTAATAAGCGAATCCAGGTCCCAGAGGTGCAGGTGCTGGTGGAGGCTGAGGAACTGGGGGAGGGATACCCGGAGGAGGGGGAGGTGGTGGAGGAGCTAGTGTACTTGTATAATAAGGATTTACAGTTCCCAATCCAATTGTGTTTGCGTTTGTAGTACCTAGCTGCCTTTGTAGTGTACATCGTGAGCATTGGCAATTTGTTGACATGGATGGATCCGTATTCTGCCGGATGGGCTGATATCAGTTAGCATTGTAGGAATCTAGTGGAATGTTTGCCAGTTTGACTTACCACCTTGATGATCATCTCTTGGCTCAACTACAACTCCCAATGGACTTTCTCTCTCAGAATCCATAATTTTATGGAGATCGTCGGTCCTTTCATATATCTCCACCATTATGCCCCTCATGGTCTCACTCAACCCCAATGCATGACGACTTTTCCCTTGCACCCAATCGATTCTCGCTCATTTCAGAATTCCCTCCCTTTTTGGTATAAGCCTCATATCCTCAACGGGGTCCCTCCATGGTGAGGCGTCCAAAATTTGCGCCCCAATTGACCAGTGGTAGCGAGCGTGGTTCGCAAAACACAAGGCTGACGACCGCAGAAGCGACCCTCACTGATTCTCCAAGCGAGTCCACCCAAGGGGCATCTCCGACTCCCCGAGCCCCTCCATCGTCAGGCAAACTCTCAATGACCAATAGATCACCAGCCTCACTCGTGCGTCCCAAAATCGTCGGAACATTCTCACGGTTACTTTGTCACCCACGAGCCTCATCTTCGTTCTGGGACACTCGCGCCAAACCCCTTTTCGTTATCGACCGAAAAATGACGACGAATGGCGCCCCTCCTACCGACGCCTCGCCGCGAAAGCTGAGGATCCTCATGCTCCATGGTCCTAACCCCAACCCCACCCCGATTGAGAAAGTAGCACCACATACTAACCCCCTCACCTCCTAGGCTTCACACAATCCGGACCCCTTTTCCGCTCCAAAACGCGCGCCCTCGAAAAACTCCTCATCAAAGCCTTCCCACCCACTCCCAAATCTCTCTATCCAGGCGGCGTCGCCCTCATCTACCCCACCGGTCCAATCCAGCTGCAACCAGCAGACATACCCGGGTTCTCCATAACCGATGCTTCGGGCGAGGGACGCGACGCCTGGGGCTGGTGGACGAAGTCTCCTTTCTCTGCTGCTTCCCATCCCACAGGTAAGGAGAAGGACGTCGAGTATACTGGATTGGCAGAGGGCATGGCTGTGATAAGGGACACGATCAAGGAGAATGGGGGTGTGGATGGGGTGATTGGGTTTAGTCAAGGGGGGTGCGCTTCCTTGTTCGTTGCGTCACTTCTTGAGCCGGGCCGCGCGGAGTCATTCAAGCAGAAGAACAAATTAGGAGACGAAGCACTTGCGTTTCTCGAAGGTTGGGAGGAGCTGCAAAAGTTTCAGCAGGAGAAGGTGGGAGGCTTGAAATTCGCTGTTTCCTATAGTGGTTTCTTCGCTCCAAGTGAGAGATACAAGCCATTTTATGATCCAGAAATCCAGACGCCAAGTTTACATTTTATCGGGAGTTTAGATAGCGTCGTTGAAGAAAGTCGCCCCTTAGGTCTGATTGACAGATGCAACGAAAAGACGAGACAAGTTTTATACCATCCGGGAGGTCATTTCGTGCCCGTTGGAAAGGAGATGGCTTCCGTTCTGGTAGGCTTCATAAGGGACAGAACAACAGTGGCCGAGGAAAAGAAAGAAAAAAGTGTCGAAGACATGGACTTTCCATTTTAGAGAATCATTATTTCACGATTTGACGATTTCATAGCGAGGAGTTTTGGGAGACAATACACCAGGGATATTAAAATACGTTGCTCACGGGATTTAGATACCTAGAGTCTAGACTAGTGTACAGAGGCATCAAAATAGAAAAGATGCTATTAGAAAAATTCATGACTTCTAATACACCTTTCCTGTCTTTGTTCCCTTTGATGGCTTCGTTGGTTGGATTCTGGCCATCATTTCTTCCTTGGTGATCAAATGATCAATTCTCTCCAACAAGCCCAGCAAGCTCTTCATATTACCACTCCACTCATTCAATACATCATCCGCATCTCTTGGCTTGGCAAAGTTCACAATACGTGCAGGTCGATCGATCTTGGCGTAAACCGTCTTTGCGGTAACCAACTCACTGATGTACTTTTCAGTCTCATCCTCGGTCAAATCGAGAAGTTGAGTCAACCGTGGCATCTGAATTCGGGTATAGTATTTGGCAATAACTCGAACATTGTGCTCAATGACACGCTTTCGCAAATCCTCCCATCTTTGATTGGCTTTTGGATCTGCAGATTGTCCTGGTGATACATCGAATACATCGGTTCCGCATAAATGAGGACCAAAGAGCTTTGAAACCTCAGGCCATCGCATGAGTTCATGGACGGTAAAAAGCTTTAGGAGTTGGGCTTCGAGGGCAACTTGAGAATTTCGGGTGTCTTTGTGAACGCGGTGGAGGAGGTCGGATTGTTCGTTGTCATATGGAGCTAGGATAACATAGTAAATAATTCGTTGCAAGACCTATTGCTGTTAGTTCATGTTCAACACCCACACTATCATAGACTTACTGATTGGAGCTTCTGTGGATCCTCCTCTACAGCCTCAGTGTCAAGAACTTGTCTGTAATGCTTGCAAGCATCAAGGTACTTGTCATCGTGCTTTGCTAGGGTGATTTGTTGCTCGTAGTATCGTAGCTTCAAATCAGTAACATCATCCTCAACAGGCTCTGGCACATCCTCCCCCTTCTCCCTCCTCTCCTCATGGTCCTTCTTCTCCTTCTCGACCTGTTCCTCGGTCTTCTTGGGCTTTCTCGATAGATATTTGGTGCTAATCTTTCGGCTCAAAATCCCAGCCTGTGTCCAGTCCTCATTCTCTATGCACAGCCCAACCTGGGCCAAAATGAATTCTGTCTTCTCCCGTCGCCCCATAGAACCAAAAGTCTCAACCTGCAACTCACACAGAATATCCGCGGCGGCCTTCAGATCGCCCTGTTCCTTCTTGATATTCGATAAGATTCTGGTTACACGGGCCCGCTCAACCTCGACGAATATCTTTCCCTCGGTGACCGTCCGCAAAGTTTCAATGACTGATAATTTGGGTTCCAAATCCGGCGTCGTGTCCAAAAAGCTCATGACCACCTGAACCATTTTCGTTGTAGCTTGTTTGAGTTGGCCATGTTTCTTGGAAAGTATCAGAACCTGCTCATTCAATAGACTCCAATCCCCCGACTCTTTGCTGATTGTTACAATGGCGACCAGGATTCGAGATGTGGATGCGAGATCTGATGCCTTGAGTCCTGTTAGCAAATGGATGGCTGTATGAGAAAGATTGAGTGCGCACCTGTCTGGTTTGTTTCTCTAATGCTGTGAGCTTCTCAATTGCCGACTGAACATTTGTCTACAAATTTCCAATGTTAGCAGATATATCAAGCTTTTGATGCAACGAATGAAATACCTTCGCAAGCTCCTCGGCCTCTGGGAGTTGTTTGTCAACTTCCTTGGAGAAGTCCTTGTCAGGCTTTAGAATCTGGCCGTCTGACATGGTTGCGGGACGATATTGAGAATCCACGGACGTTTATTCTCCTGTGCGGGTTTGTGTTATGGAGGAGAAAAGACTGGTAGGTGTGGGCGTGGATGTTGGAATTATTTAGTGGCCGGGTTGATGAGGTAGATTAGGTACAGCTTGACGACGCGGCAACGATTGCCCAGGTGAAGCTACAGTACCACCAGCTGCCGCGCGACTGCCTTGCTAATTAGGCAACCCGCAGAGACCAGCTCGTCATGTGACTAATATTTATCTCCTTCCCGGGTCGTCTATTTCTTGATTCGTCTGATCCTCACTTCTTCACTTTCTCGCCATCATTATGAAACAACCCTTGGTGAGTTGAGAGCGGATTCTCTTTCAGGTAGTCTCCATGACTACTGAGATTAGAGGCTCCACAGTCCCCTAGAGCCCGAAGCTCGTCTATCTAATGTTGTTCTCTGTAACTTCAAATGGGAGCGGGAATGAGACTTCAACCAATCATCAAATAGATCGAAGACTCGTTTACATCCTCACCTTAGGATTATCTCTTTGTGTCTTTTGAACTCTCTTCACAACCAGCGCTAGTTCGAGACCGCGCTAGTGGCTGTCATCACTCTCTCTGTCCACCACTCGCTCAACTTGAACATTTAAGCTGGCTGGGGGATCTTCCTTGTCAATCTCTTTCCTTCCCTCTTCAACATTCTTTTCTTCGACTCTCATTGCGTCTGGTTCAACTTGCAGCTTGTACCCACTCGCAGTCTTACCAATCTGATCACCAGTCAAGTCTTCAAGGCTTCAGGTTTCCACACCTGACTTGCAAACTTGGACCCTTGGTAGACCCAACTTCACCTTTGTACAGCACAACTAGATCGATTGACGACTTTACCTTTTTCAAAATGACTACGACACGCCGATCTGGAACATCCTCAGAACCACGAACCCCACCGCCCAAGTTGAAGATAGCTACCGGAAAAGGATCGCCCCAAATGAACAAGAGCCCAAAGAGACCTTCGTTCATGTAAGTCATGATCTGTTGTGATTAATCGTCACCATTATAACTCATTGAACTAGGAACTCCAATGACATCGTCAATGTAATTATCGTCGAAGAAGGCAAAAACACCCTTTTAAGTGTCCACAAGAGCTACCTCACCGCATATTCGAAATTCTTCCAAGCTGCTTTCAATGGCCTTTGGGCCGAATCTGCATCCAAAAAGATCGAGATCAAAGATGTCACCCCAGTTGTCTTTGAGATATTGATCGCTTGGCTTTATACGCAGAAGCTTGCCAATTCAACAGGAAACACCCCAATAATTCAGCAACTAATGGAGCTTTGGTTGCTGGGAGATCGATTCCAAATTCCTCGTCTCCAAAATGAGACTATCGAGGCCTTAAACAGACAAGCCACTGAGCTCACACGATCTCATAGTATTTCGTTTCACCATGTTTACGAAAACACTATGGAGGAAAGTCCTCTCCGGCTTTTTCTCGCCGCCTTGCCAGCACAAGGTTTCTTGAAGGAAGCAAAGACGATTCCAGTCCCAGAAAACCACCCTCACGAGATGTTGATCGACATGGTCAACTGGGCTGCTAAACACCACAAAAAGTTGGTCAAATTCAGCCAAGCTGATTTGGTCCAGTACTTTGTTGCTGAAAACGAAGTAATTCAATTTCCCATCATTCAACTAGGGGATCCGCTAACTTCTGATTAGCCAACCTCGTCTCTTCGATCTATCGGCGGCTCTCCAATTTCCCCAGTTTAGCCAGGATCACCTTCAAGTGACAGCACCCTGACGAGTTTGGCGAGTTCTTCAAGTTTTATCGACTTCTGAGCAAGTTCGATCAAAACAGAACTGATTTGTTTGTGTTGCCAGTTACTCACAAAGTGGGCCTATGTGTTTCGAGATATTTGAGTGGAATGGTTTTCAGTGTTTGCTATCTGTTTTCCAATCCATTCCAAGGCTTCATGTTCACCTTGAATAGGTCTTCAATTCACTTTCATGTTGCATGAAGGTGAGGAGTGAGATCGTTAGCAGGGGAATCTTCAATGTTTTCTTTGTCATTGTTGCTTTACGAACGCAAAGGAATCAATATGTACTGGAACGAGATTTCGTGGAAGACAGTATGCTCTGGTAGTATGTCTGGATTTTCATGTGCGGGAAAATGTTTCACACTGGAGCTTCCTTACGATGATGAGCTGTTCTCAGACTCATATTCTTTCAATCTCTTCAAGAATTCCTGCAGAGCTCTTGGGCAATGCTAATTTTCAAGAAGAGTTACAAGGAATGGCAAATCGGTCTCATTTATGGAAATGGGCAATCAATGTATATACATCGTGGTTTTAAGGCTAAGGAATAGCCGGGAAATAATCCAGATTTTTAAAATGTCTTTCATTCCTCTTTTCCAGTGTCTTTATCACCCCATGGCCAGGTAATTCTTGAAAGGTTCAAGACATTCACCATATTTGCATGGTAATAGTTGGCGAGTATGATTGGACGTCTCCCTGAAATGTTATGCGCTCATTCTGTGCTCTTCAAAGCAAGTAAATTTTCCAGTCGGGGGTTTGAAGTTCTTCTAAGCAAGGAAATGTGAGTTTAGCATGATGTGTGACACCAGCATAGCATCATTCTCGCAATCCTTCTGGCATAGCGTGACTTCACGCAATTCCACGGGCGATGACCAGAATGAATCAGTATAGTATGTTGAATCACGAGGGCTGTGCTGTGTACACTCAATCAAACCCACAAGCTCGCAGCAATTCAAGAACTGACAGACTCTCCCACTCCGCACTACCTCAAAGATCATATGCAAAAATATACATTAATGTCTATCTACCATAATTAATCTATCTTTGATTCTTCATACCATTACTCCAACCCCCCTCTAACCTCACGTTTATACATCGTGCTCCCCGCTTTCGGTGCATTAATGATACCTGCAGCTTGCAACTTGACCGCTAAATCGAAGATCACAGCATCGCATCCAGGCGCCGCAATGATATCGACGGCAACAGGGAGATACTCGATGTGATTGGTGATTGTGGAGTTATACGCTGCTTGACCAACTGGAAAGACACGCTTGTTAGTGAAAAGTCCGGGCAAGTAAAAACACCAACCCTCTTTTAAGATAGAATAAGTGAGGAAAAGGCCAAAATAGAAAACTCACGAGGAAGAACCATATCCGGCGCCCCAGAGAAAATAGATATACTCGACACCCCCCATCCGCTGATCAACCTCGGTGGGTTTAAATAACCATTCCTGTAATTCGGTCTCGCTAAAGCCCCCGGATAGAGTAGCAGAGCATCAGAACACGTCTCCGGATTCTTAACCATGACTTCCTCATTCCACCAATTCTTAAACATCGTCTTGTTATGAATTGCCTGGTCCAAAGTACCATTCGTGATGTTACGTCCGTAAGCCCATCGGAGTTCTGGGACTGGGTCGATGAATGGCTTCCGGCCGTCGAAAGCGGCTGCGTAGTCGGCGAAGAAAGGGGCGCCTAGTCCCGTCCATTGTTGTTTGGAGATCAGGGTTTGGTAAGTGGGGTCGAGGATGGTGTTGAGATCTGGGGCGGATGTGTTTCTTGCAGACCATCTGGAGTCGTAGTCCAGGACTGTGGATGTGGTGTTCAGGAATGCTTCGAGCTTTGAGAGGAAGGAGAGGACGATTCCTTCTGCTTCATTGGAAGCATTTTTGGGGAACTCGGTTAAATATAGCTTTTTGGGGAAGGAGGTGTAGGGTGTTAGTTTTGTGTCATAGAGAACATGGCCCGCTGCGCTCCAGAGCTCGGCGTCGCGAGTTAGGAAACCGGCGGTATCCATCAGTGGTGAGAGGGGCATGATATTCTCGAGTGAGACGAGGTCGAAGGTTGGTCTGTTTCCATAACATCCATTGACTTGAGAGGGATTGCGGATGGATCCACCAGTATCTGAACCGAGTGCCAAATCTAACCACGAGTATGCCCCAATCCCACCGCCGGGCCCAGAAGATGACGAAGAAGGATCTGAGTAACCGTCTCCCCTAGCGTTGAACGGGGAATGATAATCGACCCAATCAGCTGTGGCGTGTTCCCCATTGGCAAATTGACTGGTCTTCATTTTCCCAACAACGATAGCTCCAGCATCAATGAGGGTTTGAACTACAGGTGCGGTGGTGTTCTTTTCTGGGTAAAGATCGTAATATGTTCGGCTTCCACAACCACGCTTGGTGCCTGCTATATCATAAATATCCTTAATACCGATTCGTACCTAAGACGGTCAACAAGTGCTGCTAGTACTTCGAAAGGCAAAAACTTACACCGGCCAATGGTTGCTCTGCTGTTTTGGTATAATATAACCGAGATGGAACCCCGATGGTAGGCGCTTGAGCCCCCTAAACTTTGTCAAAGAATACTCAAAGCCATTCGGTAACAGAATGCTTACCGGTACAGCTGCAGACAGGGCACTAAAGTTTCCACTGGCATGACCAATTATTCCTTCTGTAAAAGCGCCCTCATAATCTGAGTAAAGGCGGAAAGCTTGAAACACATCGCCCGTGTATGCTGATACAAAGTAGGGGCCATTTGGCATTGGCGCAGTATTTGTAGTTGTACCCACAGATGCATCACTGCAAGAAGAAACCATGAATAGCTTATTGTCATATGCGGAAAGAACGCTATCCAAGGTAGCATTGAGCTGAGTGGGTGTAGTAGAACTTAGATAAACAGCTAAAATTTCCATAAGTTAACATCGAACAGTGAAGTCAGATGTCTTAGAGAAGGTTCCAACATACCTTGTAAGAATCCTGTACTAAAAACATCATCTTTCTCAGCAAAGCTGGCAATAGTAGCATTGAATATACCAGAATCAAAGGTACTGAAATCCCCTGTCATAACAGTCGTAGGGATGAGATCGCTTCCTGAGGTTGCAGCCACTTTCAATTGATCCCATGAGACACCAAGACTGGACACTGGTGTTGAAGGTACATAGTAGAATGTCCCGTCAACATCGACAGTGCTACCAGCCTTGGTGCTCAAAGAACTTGCAACAGTAGCGTATGCCAAAGTAACAATAGCATTTTTGAGAAAGGTAGACATATTTCCACAGTAATAGGGTATCAGAAGAGAACAACTGAAGATGTACCAAAAGAATTTTCAACTGTGGGATATTGGCCAGCTTTTATTTTGTGTGTTATCCCCCATCTTCTTCTCGGACTCCTTGGCGTGTTTACCTATCGTGAACTCCATCAATATTATCATAGTTGGGGGTTCCCGCAAGCGGTGTACAGCGATATCTGATGTCACCGGTAAGCTTACCTGACGAGCAGATAAATGAAGCTGTATTGGTCCGATAACGCAAGGAATCATCGAGGATGACGTGCATGCCTTTAGCGAGTAGTGTGGATAGAGAGTGAAGCGAATATCCTGCTTATCCACCAATGATATTGAAGACCGCAGATCCCCCATTCTCAAATACAAGAGCCTTGGGCAAAACCAGAAGGTATACCAGCTTGCTATAATAACAATAAAGGCCCTATAAGAGTACAAAGTGGGCTTGATTTAGTCTTCTGGAAACACAATTCTAGGGTTGTTTTCTGGTATGTAGAAAGAGCAAAACCTGAGGTTCTCATCGGAAGCTATACACTTCTGAGCTCAATTTGAGCCAAAACGCTACGAAGAGGATTTTCTCCTGTAAAGTCTGACTGCAAAGTAAACACGAAAAGAGCTGGCTCTGCTTAACTAGAAAGTTTGTATTTTCTCGGACTATTAGAAACGTAATACCGTAATTTCATAGGAATTCCTAGAAAAGAAAAGTGTCTGTGAATCGCAGATTTAGTATGCCTCGGACCACCCCCACCAACGAACGTCTCTTTTTCATTCTTTGAGGATTCAGCACCATGATCCGAGTAATCTAGCCGACTTCAAGAACACAGTCATTTCCTTGACTGTACCAGTTAGAGACAATGGAAAGAATCGTGTTCCCTACCTCCCGTGAAAAAAGGCTGGGTTGACTGCCCAACAAGACAGGTGTCAAAGCAAACTAAATCAGAGTGGTGGAGGACACATGGAAATATCTCGTTTTGATGGATATGCTTTCAATCCAGTATATGTTGTCCAAGTTGACAAGTTTTTGTTTGAAAAGACGATAAGAGAGGGATCTAGGAATTTCTGCTTCTGACACCCCTAGCCGTTTCCCTTCCAGACGCTCAGAACGTGCACTCTAAATGGACAAAACGTGTCCACTCCTAGAGCATTTTCCCCGCAAAAGAAAGTCGTTCGACCAACCAGGCGGCGTTTCAGAGGAACAAAAAGCCCCGACAGATCGTTAAAACGAAAAGGAGAATTTTTGCCGAATTGATTACTTCTAAATGACCGCCACGACGGCATAAACAATGCGTGTAGAAGCTCACGCACAGGCCACTACATGCATGACTCCCCTCACCTCTGTGAGAACCGTAAACAAAGTGTATTTGAGTACCTGGTTCGTAAACGAGGATTTAAAGCTAGAGAGGGAAGAGGAGAGCTTTAGCTACAAAGTACGAGTTTATATATGCCTGGGGCTAATGGGATCAGTCACGTGACTATACTCATGTGGCGGCATAGATAGGGTCCTCACAACCTCCTCCACAATTAAAGCACAATACAACTAACGATATTTTTTCAGTATTAGAATTGGGACTAGGCTCATTTCAAGATTAGGGCTAAAATTTGAGGTTAATGGAACATGGTATTTGGTTGGTTGTTTTGTAGTGTAAATATAGCTAGAGAGTAAGTACTTACCTTTTTCACCAGACGTGACCCAAGCTTCCATGGAGACTATTTATTTGATTCCATATTTGCGTGCCAGATAATCGTGTAGACTTTCTTTTCTTCATAAAATAGACATGAATTATTATCGTCAAGTGCATGTATGTTCACCTGCTCGCTAGAAAATAAACTGCAAGAGCTCGAGAAAGACATGACCGCGACTCGATAGCAGAAGAAAACGAGAAAGAATGCTTCGAAACTAAAGTCATGAGAAATGCCATAGAGAAAGGCACCAATCCATTCGTGTTTCGACCTTAATCCGTGTTGTCCAGCTTGCGATGACTGAGGAAGATGGTTGCGGCTGGCTATGTTATGTCCCTTAATATAAATATCTCCGACCCCCAGCCTTGGCAACGTGTTCAACAATATATATTTATGCGAAATTCCATAGCTATCTTGAAGGAGAAGCCAAGATTGAAGAAGTATGTATATTGGAATAATTCGGCAGCTCCGAGGTAAGAAGAGGAAGGGCTTAAGCGCTAGCGAATTCCAATGTGAATAGAACGTTGAATACTCGTATTCATATATTGATACTATATTAAAAGTCACGTGTAGGATACGACAAGAACTCGAGGTCTCGGCACGACGACGTACCCGTGCCGTCCCGTGGCAGATTCTTCTACCAGTAAACTCTTAGCTGTCTTAGCTGTTCTTCCATCCATGCGCCATGCTTAGGTGTCGAAAGTAGGCGAAACAGGATCGTTTCTCCTTTGACAGAATCAGCTTACCAAGTCTGATCAATCAATTGCCAGTGTAAGAGACTTATCACCTCGACAATTCAAGAAGCAGTGGCCTTACACCTTCGCATTATCGGTACGGATACTTCGCAGTGCCGTAGTACTTCAAAAATCATGTCTACGACTACTCGGTACTGTAGTTCGAATTAATGAGAAAGATCCAAGGCTTTCTATACTCTGTAGTAAATGTTCAAGAAAACACTGGAACGATTCCTCTGCAGTAATTGTTCCAGACCTCTAGACGGCCACTTTTAGATCTACAGTATTCTGGACCACAACACACCACACCATAGACCACCGTCACTCCACCAAATTGAAACAATCTAAACACCTCCTCACCTTGAAGCATTCACACTCACAGGCTCCCATTTTGATACCACCGATCCGTACTTCGTACTTCGAGTAGAACTCTTTTCGTACAATCGGTACTGGAAGTCCCCCCGTCCTTGACTGAAAGCATCAAAGCATCCTCTCGCCAGTCCCAATATCTGGTCTCTCCCATCAACGACTGTAAGGCGAGGAAAGCGACTCGAAAACACGTGAAACGAACATCAGCAGATACACTTCCATGAAGCACCCACCACCCAATCCAAACCTTATCACCTTGGAGCCTCAAGGGATTTGCGCTCCGTACCAAGCGCCAAGCCGAAGGATGTGAGGTCAGACATCTCGCACCACGTTTCATACGATTCCAGACTCGAGCCAAGGCACATCAAAATCTGGACAATGGGCTGATTGCTAGGTTCAGGCAGGTATGGAAATTGTATGAACCACGGTACCTGTGATTATACAAGAATGACCCCTATTGACCACTCTCATTTGATGACAATTTTTTCTTCTTTTTCTTCTTCTTGGTAGCTGGACTTTTTGCACTTTTTTTGAATTTTTTCTTTTTGTAGTTTCCAGACTGCTAGACAGTGATTCGTTCATTTTTTTTTTTTGTTTCAAATTTTCTCTCTCCGAGTTTTATTCCACGATACTACCATAAATATGCCAGCCATTGATCCAAGACTCGTCCAGGGGGTGGCAGAAGTGGCCTCGACCATCGTTCGTAGGAATCCTCTCCAAGGGCATGAAATCGCAGAAGCTGTGGTTGTTAGTAAGTTTATTTTTCCTGGAAGAAAATATTTCGCGGTCGAGGAAATTTACTGATGATGATTAGTTCTCGTATCCGTCTTCGGTGTCGGGGGTGCGATTATATATGCGAATAAACGAATGTAGTTTATTCAACTAAGGGGGAGGCTCGAGTGCGCATCAATTGGAACGAGACGAAGTCGCAAACGGAACGCGATACAAAAATTACGATACCCCTGCATTTAGAGACACTGCGTTGTGTGCGAGAACTATTCATGATGGCATAGGAAAGAATGAAGGGGAAAGGGAGACTGTTGGGAAGCATCACTGGCCGACATCATTCCTGGCAACAAGAGATTGAACATCACAAATTATTCGATACCCATCAATTACTTTGAAAGCGACATTGGCAAAGGCGAAAACGGGGGAATCATTGGCTGGTCCTTTCAAGAAGACGTCGACTAGGAGCAAGGAAGGAGGAACAAGAGACGACTGTAGACTTTAATAATCTCTAATTTTAGACCTACCCATACACAGAAAAAGACCAAGTCTTCCTGGAAGAAACGCTCAATGTTCCACATTCGCATTCTTGTAGTAGTCCGCAGGAACTGCTCCGAGATGGCAAAGTGTGACAAAAACTATAAACAGGTTCTTCGGATTGTTTCAACCCCTCGGAAGCGCTGAAGTTTCCGAGATTCGAAGGAAAGCCCTTGCGACCAAATTGTCGACCTTGAAACAAGGAGATGACCAAGCTAAAAGGTCTGGACAGCTCGGGTCTCCCCCTCCCCCTTCTTCTTGTATACGAGTTGTTAGGAAAGGTTTAAACCTACAATATAACCTTCTGACTTTTATTCTCTTCTACCTCAATAACACTATCTTTCTTAGAGAGCGCTTAGAAAAACAGTAAAACGAAATATCAAAGTGTTAAAGTAAATCCAGCCAGCCAAATTCTTCCTGTTATTCTTATTATCATTCTTCTTGCTATTTCCACAATGTTAAAATCCAAACTGAATTGTCCCGCTTCATTCAAGTCCCAGGAGGGGTAGTTACGTGGTACTGCCTAAGACAGTCTACGACACCACCATACATCCTTAGCTAGCCACCCTCACTCTCTTAGAACCACATACGAATATACAAAGATTATATTCAGTGTCCGGGCTTAAGAAGCCAAACCAACATGAATAAAACAATAATACAAAAACAGAGCTAATCTACAGTATAATACACTTGATTCTGGCGTCATTCCCTTATTCCCGAGAGCTACAAGGATTGGACAGCTCGCGTGACCGCCTCTAGGCTCTTTGAACTATAAAGAAGGAGGGTATAACCCTACCCAATAGCAGGGTCTTCGCTAATTGCATTGAAGGGTTCGTGTAAAGATCTACTACCAGAAGATTGACAAGGGGGTTAGCGACCCGAGCTGTCTAGACCCTTTGTTACATTGAGTTACACTTTCTCTGACAACCCCAAGGACGTATTCGTAAAGCTGGAGTGACAAGCGAGTCAAGCTGGGTCAAGTGAGGTCAAATTTGCATGTACCAGAGAAGAGTTAGGAAACGACTCGTACAAGTGTCTCCTTCCGGGTTCTTGTTACAGGAGGAATGTATTTGGCTCAATTAGGGACGTGTAAAGTAATTTCTAGTAAATCCCCTTAAATCATATAATTTCGCTTTGTATATAACTTCTAAATTAGTCAAGAAAACTTATATAAACTTAACGATCTCTGTCATTGATAGATGATGCTACGTTTGTTCTAAGACTCCGACCGTAAATTCTTCTTGTAGAAACGCGTTTAAATCAGGAGTTCGCTAATTTGCTAAATATGAAAAAACAACTTGGCAAGACAAGAAGTCAAGAGGAGATAGTACGTATTAGTCTAGATATATTGTTCCTCAAAATTCTATTTCTACTAATAAATAAACAAATCACTCTAACTCTAGATAATCTAGCTAATAACACTAGGCTCTATTTTCGCTACTTAGCTATCTAGATATTACCTATTAATTCGGCTTACCTTATAGTCCCTCTGACATAGTTTTTAGAAAAGGTTAGAATAAACTAATCTTTAAAAATCTAGCTGATAATTCTAGAATTCATGGAAACACTGCTAAGGCCTCCCAGAATACAAGCCGCGTATCGAAAATTGTTATTTCGACCAATGTTATTATAGAGGCCGCTTGTTCGTGAACATGCCGGTACTACACAAAGGCATCAAGAAACGTGTTGGCTGAAGCGTAGCTGCGTAGCTGGCCTGGCCAAAATAGCCGAAAAGGCCAGTCATAGAGCTGAAGTTGACAAGAAAAAGTCGAGATTACAGTAGAAGGGAGATGACGATGCAGATTCCAGGCGCGCAAGCGAGAGCGGTACGGATGGCTTGTGTACATAGCCATCTGAAAAATCCAACTATAGGAAGACCGGTTGTCTTACAGCCATCTTGATGAGATCAGGAACTGTGACATAGTCCTTGTAGCACTGTACTTTGCAGCCGCATTTCCTGGGATCATTAAAGAACTCTTAGTCTTCTTGAGATTGACCAGCTGAGCCGATCAAGAGAGGAGGATCGGACTCTTAGCGCCATAGGAAACCATAGGAAACCTGTAGAAGGTCAATCACATAGCCATTACCAAAAGAATCAAAAATGTAAGATAAATCCTTGACGAGGTAAAAAGCGATTATACCACCCACGACGCGACAGCTTTCCCTAATCCGCCAGCACCTCCCACCAGAATGTACGACGAATCACCCCTAACAGACGGACCAGATAAGGAACGTCTTAGTGGAAGAGAATTTCCGCCCAGCTTCGATACTGGATGATAATTTTACCCACGGGTCGTCCCTGCTGCATGTAACAATATGCCAATTCAACAGCAGCCACATTGAAAGGTTTAATTGGGCGATTATGTTGGATTTGTCCCTCTTCTCAGCGATTCACAATCTTCTCCAGTGTGTCCTCGTCTTTCTTTGGGTAAGTTTTCCATCATCACATCTGCGTCGATGCATCTAGAGGTGCGGTTTAGTACGAATGGGGATATGTCCAACTGCGCATGACCCTGAATGTCTTTCTCTCCAGCTTCGACCAGAGAGAGTGCCTTGGAGTACACAAGTCAGCATCTTGATCCTTAGGAGAGGAATGTTAAAGTAAACACAAACAACTCACCGATTGCAGCCACGCAATTTTACAAAGCGTGGAGAAGGATCACCAGACCGTGAACATTAATTGAGCAAGCGAGTGCGGGTAGGTAGAGTAGAGTAAGGTTACGCCCTTGAACCCCCTCCCCCCAAAGACTTCGAAGAGCTGCAGAAAATGATGGAATTTTCTTCTTCTGATCAAAATGTGGATGTACCATACGCTGGGGAAAAGGACCGGGTACAATATGCCTCTGGGGCCAGACTACCCTAGTATCGGCTCATGGACAAGTAGTTTAGGAGATAAATCCATCGATAGGAGCTTATTATCATCTCTTCGTAAATACTTTTTACTCATACATATCCATCCGTCCACATAATATCAACACAATTGGCCCAGCCCCTGCAAAGAGATCTCAAGTGCGCACGCACGCCTACTGCGACTCAACCCACTGCTCCACCCTCTCCAAAAGATCCCCCTTATTCCCCGTTTTCGCCAACCCCTTACCCTCCAAGAACGCCCTCAGCTGCGCAACACTATGAGACTTCAACCTCTCACCCTCAACAACTCGCTTAATCTCAGCGAGAGTCATTCCCTCCAAGGACTCACTTTTAAGCTTACTCTTCTTGTTCGGTCCATTTTCATCCTCGCCTTCTCGCTTCACACCCCGCGCTACAGGTACGCCTCCAAGGAGAACGCCCCAGTTGTGGATATGTTCACCCGCACGTTTGTTGATCTGCTTATATTTGGGGACTGTTTTATCCTCTGGGACTGCGGGGATTTCCTCGTCGAGAGCCATGGCTTGGAGGATGCGGTAGTGCCATTGCAGGGATGGGTTAGGGTATCTACTTGGGTCGTAAATTCCTTTTGGGAGTTGGAGTTGTTGGATTGCTAGTCGCATTTCGTCGACTAGATTATCGGGTGCCATGGCGGGGTTGGGTAGGTCTGGTGCGTGACGGAGGTCATCGGCGAATGGAAGTGGATAGAGCCATAATCCTGCTGGGATGACTTGTGCGCCTGAGCTTTCATCCATTCTCTCGGGAGATGGAAGAATAGCAACCAAAATTGGTGTGGCATTTTTACGCGCGATATACCACGCCACGCCCATCTTTTTGTCATCAAGTAGTTTTTTCCAGAGCGCGGAGAAGACACGGGTTGAGCCAATATAGTCTTCCTCACTAGGGTAGATAAAGGTGGACTTCTTGACCGAGTGTCCAAATTCCAACATGCTCTGAGGCTTGAATCCGATGATTCGGAGAACAGGCGAGCCAAAGTTCTTCAATTCTTTCTGCTCCTCGGCAGTAAAGAAAACCTGGGAACCACCAAACTTGTAGGCTTTCTTGATTTCGACCTTCTCAATTGGCCTTGCGCTTTCTTCCTCATTTTTTGTCGAATGTCCTACGACTATTTGTGGGGTTTCGCCATCCATCCAGACGTAGCAACTTCGTGCAGGTTTCTGCTGTTGTAGCAGGTTGTAGCCTTTGACGGAAATTGTGAGACCAGGACCAATTTCAAATTGGAGATTGGAGAAAAGAGTGCGCTTTGCAAATTGTTTTGAATTGATGTCTGTGATCAGACTATTGAGAAGGGTAATCCCATCTCCTGATGCCGCCTTGAAGGTGGTAGGTCCCAAGGCCAATTCATTACCGTCTGCTACATCTGAATAGATGATATCCTGGCAATGTCAGTAAAATATTCAATTGATGCTGCCGATACAAGAAGAAGGTACTAACATCGTAGAATTTTGAGCGATCGAAATCATGCTCTGGGTGAGACATTGGAAATAACTCGATAACAACACCCAAATCATACAAATCTTTTGCTCTGACAGCTGCCTGTGATCTCGCTTCTTTGTCGTCGGAGTGCGGATCATCATTATCTGTAATAATAAACAGCCGTCTTGATCCAAAGTTTGGTGCTCTTGTTGTGAAGATCTGGTTGGCACAGAATAGAAGATTTGACATGGCGACAGGTTTATCGCTTGGAACTAGAAGATCCTTGGCCTCCTCCTCCTCCTTCACGATAGCCTTAAAGGTCTTGACATCCTCGGCTGAGGGAATGTTCAGATCACTTAGAAGATAGCAATGTGGATAAAGACCTTCCCGAACACTGCCATCTTCTTCTATAAATTTGGATTCTTTAGTGCCGTATAGCATCACTCCCATCATATCCTTAGGACTTGAGATTATTCTCTGCTGCATTATTTGGTATGCGCACTTGATGGCAGCGGTTGCGGGGCTATCCGTCTCGGCCTTTTCGGAATCGGAAGGTGGAGGGGGCTTTAACATGGTTGAGCTGATGTCAATCGCGAAGAGTACTGCATCTTTCTGCATGATGTAGTTCTGCAAAATTGTCAGTATTGAGCATGATTGAAGATGTATCGCAACGCAACCTACTGCCTCATCCAGTTCCTCCTCTTCCTCATCCTCCTCGTTCTTCTTCCAGCTCGGCGTGGAGTCGTCCATGATTCCTTGGGAGGTTGTGACACTCTCTAGTCTGCTATAGATTTCCGATTGGTACCTGGGATCAATAATAGTGGTGGTGAGTTCTTGGTGAGTTGAAAGTTGTTGATGGTTTACAGTGAAGTTAGGCAACGCGAATGGCTCTAGGCAGCTACGCGTATTCACGTGACTGGGAAGATTCAAATCGCCGCCTGACGGATTGGCTCAACTGGGGTTGTTTTGACCCTTGGAGTCGATCCCGCCAGAACTCCGGCTTAGGTAGCTCTTTCCTTGTACATATGGAAATAGCCTTTTGCCTTTTGGATTGAACCTTAGGTGAACCCTTTGCTGAAGATATCGTGATAATTCTCTTTGAGTTTCAATATTTACTTGCTTTTCTGCGAGAGTTCCACCAAGATGGCTCTTCGAGCCCCCATAGCACAACTCACAAGAAGAGCATCGCCAAATACCATCGCAAAGCTCTCCGGCAAGCCGACATCGTCATTATGGCAACGGAACAGCGCAGACCAATTGAGGACATTCGCAACCCCAGTTCCGCCAGTCACACAGGATGCCACGAGTTCTAAGGGTCCCACAGCAATGGTGTTTATGAATATGGGAGGACCTGCTACTACGGATGCGGTCGGAGATTTTCTGAGTCGCCTCTTCGTATGTTTCCTGGGATGCATAGCTACTTTCTTATGCTAATACCTTTTCAGGCAGACGCAGATCTGATTCCTCTGGGCCCCTTTCAAAATTACCTGGGGCCATTCATCGCTAAGCGCCGAACTCCCAAAATCATCAAGCAATATGCTGCAATTGGTGGCGGATCACCTATTCGAAAATGGTCCGAATACCAAGCGGAGGAGATGTGCAAAATACTCGACAAGATATCTCCACAAACCGCGCCCCACAAGCCCTACGTAGCCTTTAGATATGCAAATCCGTTGACGGAGGAAATGTACAATAAATTACTTGAAGACGGTTTTGGAAACGGAAAGGGCGGAAGAGCGGTTGCATTTACCCAATATCCCCAATACAGCTGTTCGACTACAGGAAGCAGTTTAAATGAGCTCTGGAAATGGAGACAGAGATTAGAAGGAAAGGCTGCAGGCCCTACGAATGCCAACGATGGGTCTATCAACTGGAGTGTGATTGACCGATGGCCTGCGCACCCAGGACTCGTGGATGCTATTGCTCTCAATATCGAGGCAAAGCTTAAAGAATATCCAGAGAATGTGAGAGACGATGTTGTCTTGCTGTTTTCCGCTCACAGCTTGCCTATGGATGTGGTAAACAGAGGTTTGTCATTTCCCGAGTCCCTGCCTTGGAGCAATTGTACTAATTGTAATTTAGGTGACCCATATCCAGCTGAAGTGGCGGCGACAGTCTACGCTGTCATGCAGCGGTTAGGGAACAAGCACCAATACCGTCTTGTGTGGCAGTCACAAGTTGGGCCCAAACCATGGTTGGGGGCTCAAACAAGCAGCACAGTAACGGATTATATTGCCAAGGGTCAAAAGAATCTGATTTTGATTCCTGTTGCTTTTACATCTGATCACATTGAAACGCTCTTTGAGTTGGATCAAGAAGTTATTGGCGAGTGTGGGCACAAGGATACGGTCAAGAGAGCCGACAGTCTGAATGGCCACCCCGTGTTTATCCAAGCGTTGGCTGATATCGCAAAGACACACCTTGATAGTGGGGTATTGTGCAGCAAGCAAATGGGGTTGAGGTGTCCTGGATGCAAGAGTGAGAGGTGTGCAGCGAGCAAAAGATTCTTCGCGGGTCAGGCGAGAAGTGATGCTCTTGCAGTTTGAAGGGACGAAAGAGAATATGTAGCAGCTACTTGTGGGAGTGTATGATCAAAAGAAAAGAACACAACCCTGTATTATATTTGTAGCCTGTGGAAAAAGAAATATGTTTTCACTCTCGTCGTTGTCGTCTAAATCATACCAACTTCCGAAAGTGGTTTTCAATAAGCCTTTGATGCCAATGCCAGATAAGAAGGGGGTTTCTAACGTGTCACCACAAGTACGAGTACCTCGATCGTTCTCACGATAGCGAATTTTTGCTTTTCCAGAAATTACTCGCATGTTGTTGGTGAAGGCCAGAGGTGGTTTCGTCATCGTCTTGGCCGCATAGGAGATGGAGTTCCCCAATTCGCCCACAGTAGTTAATACATACCCGCATGAGTCGGAAACAGCCAACAGCCGAGGGGCACAATCCCTGTACATTGTCGATGTCATTAAGGTTATCGATTATCAAGCAGCAGCAGCAGCAAACACGTATGGTATGGGGATTGGAATGCCCGTGGTAAGACCACTACCATGGCAGTTGGACTGCGGGCATTGATCCGCTTGATATATTGTCCCAAGCGTCTATTTCAGACATCAGACATCAGACGTTGGTAGCGGATGAATGCTGGACTTCTTGTACAGTACCGGTATCTGCACAATTCCCATCCAACCCAACCAACGCCATCTTGCCACTGCGCCCAGATATCTCGAGCTCTAGCATAGCACAGCACAGCACAGGTAAGGTACCAAAGTTACAAGGTTTCAAAGAGACCCGCACCGCACCTTCCTCTCCGGCCCCAGATGCGCATGCAACGCGGATGCCCAGATAAGGAATAAGGATCATTGCCGTTGCTTGTCTCCTCCCGTACCTCGAAGCTTCGCCATCATCAACTTTGAGCACCCCGAACACAAAGAAGTCTCCATCAATCCGCGTCGGTGGGCATCGCGACAAAGGGAGTGGAGTTGGGACGGTGTTGGTACAATCAACCTCCATGCGCCAAACGAGAACGAATTACAACCACGATAAGCGCGGGGCATTGGGATAATAACATGGCACGGGAACACGAGAACCTCCCAGCTTATGCTGACTCGACGGGAGGCGACTCTTGGGGTGCACAAGATTCATTGAGACGGTCTCTGAGGAAGGGGAAGGGCATTAGTACCGAAGTGTCTCCTCTGTTAAGCAGTGGAAGCGGAAGAAGCGATAGCGACAGCGACAATGACAATGAAGGAGATGAAGAATTAGAAGGAAACACCAGAGTGTTGGAGTGGGAAGGTCAGGCCGATTTTGATGGTGTTCCCTGGTGGCGGAAACCCTCCGTAGGTTACTTCCGTACCGTACCCATCCTCTGATTGTGTTACGGAAGTCCCCTTTTACAATGACTGATTCTCAAAGGTTTACTGGCTCATTCCGACTTTCTTTCTATACGCGATTGCATTTGGGGGAATCCTCGTTCCTAAAATGAACCTTACTCTATCCCTGATTTGCCGCGAGTATTTCGAGGAAAGGTCCAGTCTCGATCCCAAATTCATCTCAGCACCAATCATACTCGGTGCGGATAACGAACAATGCCGTCAAAATGATGAGATACAAGCTCTGGTAACCAAGTTCCAGACTCTTTTGACTGTCACGATTGGTCTGCTCAGTGCCGTCATGTCACCCAGGTTAGGAGCTCTATCAGATCGCTACGGTCGTACGAGGCTGCTAGTTATAAGCAGCATGGGAGGGTTTGTATCTGAACTCGTCACTGTTCTAGCCGCAAGCTACCCGCAGACTGTCAATTATAGGTGGTTTTTAGCTGGTGGTATATTCGAAGGGCTTTGCGGCTCCTTTACAGCTGGATTTGCGTTAACACACGCCTACGCTGCCGACTGCACAGCGCCCCCAAAGAGAGCAATCACTTTTGGCTACTTCCATGCCTGCCTGTTTTCCGGCATTGCTTTAGGTCCATTGGTGGTGGCCATTATCCTTAAAAATGGTGGCTCGCTCTTGACCATCTTCTACATCGCACTTGGCATCCATGTATTTTTCATATTGGCTATACTTCTGATTGTACCTGAATCTCTCACCAAGAAGCGCCAAATGCTTGCAAGAGAGAAGTTTGCAATTGAGGTGTCTGGCCTTCATCACAATGAACGTTCTTGGAGAACCGTCATGAGAAACGCAAACATCTTTGAACCTCTCAAAATCCTTTGGCCGACAGGACCAGGGTCAAGTCGCCGACTTCGAATGAATCTTCTTATGCTGGCAAGCGTGGATACCATTATATTTGGTGTTGCAATGGGGGCAATGAACGTGATTGTCTTCTATTCTGGGTTCCGCTTCAACTGGAAAATCGAGGATACCAGTGCATTCATTTCCGCTACTAACGTTGTTCGAGTGACCGCCCTCGTTATTATTCTACCTCTGATGAACTACCTTTTCCGAACCAGGCGAGCAAATAAGCAACGCCGCCAATCTGGATTTTCGACACCAGAGCCCAATTCAGGATCTGATATGCTGGATCTATCAATCATTCGCTTTGCCATCTTCTTGGAAGTTGTTGGATACTCACTCTACGCTACTGCTACTAGCGGTGCTATGTTTTTCTCCGCTGGTGTTTTTGCATCATTAGGTGGAGTTGGGAGTCCAACGTTACAGTCCGCCATCACGAAACATGTTCCTCATAATAAGGTAGGTCAATTACTTGGGGCTACGGGGTTACTGCATGCTCTTGCTAGAGTCCTTGGTCCTATTACTTTTGGATTCATATATTGGTCAACTGTTGGGACGGTGCCCCAGACCGTTTTTGTGGTTCTAGCTTCGTGTTTTGGCATTGCATTCTTGATTAGTTGGCTTATTAGACCACATAGTACGTTTAAATCCTTCATGGCCCCCTTCACGGTTGGTTGTTATAGAGTGCTAACGATGGAATAGTTTACCTTGAGGAGACGGATATTGTGATTCAGAGGAATGAGAGGAGAAGCAGTGTGATGAGTGATCCGGATATTCTCGTGGATGAGGAGATTTTGCCGTTCTGATCTGGAGACGGAAATCGTTGTCATATCTATTTCATTTTCTGTACTTCTTCTTTTCTCCTTTCTTCTATTCCCTTTTTCCTCCTCCGATCAGCGTTTTTTTTTCTCTTTCTTTCTTTGAGTTCTTAGAGCATACGTATATTTCGCATGCCCGCGCAGCGTCGTCAGCGATTTCGATTTTCTTTTGCAGTCTTGGGATAGAATAAGTGGGATGTGGTTCCCGGCGATTTGTGAGAGATTGTCCAATTTCTTCCTTTCTCCTATTTTGATTGAATTTTCTTTTCTTTTTGTTGGCATTCGTGCACTTAGATGGTGAAATCGAAGCATGGACTTTAGATTTAGAAGGGACGAGCAGTCGAGAGATGGAGATTGAGATTCAGATTGAGATTGAGGTTGTATATACGACGGATAGGCAACATGTAAGGTAGGAATGGTACAAGTAAGTAGGCTTGAGGCACAGCACTATCTAAGGAAACAGGATGATTATCAAGTTTGTGGATATTCTCTGCTGTGATAATGTGATGCGATGTGGGATTTCGTCTTTTTACGTATGCGATTTCAAGGCTTGGGGTGCTAAGTAATGTTCTTTCTTTCTTTATGCTGCCTATTTGTTTGTTTACTGTACTGGCTTGTACTTGACTGGGACTGATTTGTCACGAATCGTTTTCATGGCTCGTGGCGGGCCGCGTTTGTGTTTCGAATGTTTCGAACGTTGTTCTATTCTTGTATGTGTTATGCAGGCTTGACGGGTACGGGACTAATTGGGAAGTATTCTGCGATGGACATCGTCATTACAGTATTAGGCAAATCCAAACCCAAATCCAAATCCAAGAAAACCAAAACTCAAACATTCATGGCCTCTTCCTGTATTCCATGATCGGCATCTCATCCTTTAGCATTCATATTACGCTGCCGGCGGTCATGACCAAGGAGTGACCAAGGAGTGAGACTGCGGTTGATACACTCTGCCAGCCGTTCCCGTCGGTCTCTTCTAGGTTGTGTTTCTATTCCTACCTACGGTATTCTTTTTTTGGCACGTGGATTTTATCGACACAGCTGGGTATCTTGGTCGAGTCTAGTGATTTGAAACTTGGATAGGTATTCCCGAGGTCGTGATTTGTGCTGTCTGCGTGTGCCCCTTAGAATGGCGTAATGGGCTGCTTACACACAACATCCGTTTACACCCCGTGTTTACTCAAGGGGTTGAATCCTACAGTCGGGGTTTGGACCCGTTCCCTCGTGGTGTTGGGGGACTTTCAATTGGCTTGGCATGGGGATGACCCGGCTTGGTGCGGGTGAGATGTGGAGGAGATTTGGGTGGGAATCCTGGGGGGATTTTGTACGAGTATTGCTTATGGGATGAATGGTCTTGGTTTGGGTAGTTTGGTGCGAGATGGCTGGAGAGTACGAGGTGTGATGTTGGGTAATGTCGTTGTGCGAGTACTGTAGGTAGGTAATGGTTAGAGTACTGACCGTGGGTGGTACTTTGTGGGATTACTTCAGAGCCTGGCCTGGATTTGGCGAACGTTTACCGAGTAGATAATCTCCTCTACGATGATGGTATGATGATTCACGACGACGAAATAATACAAAAAGTACGCATCTTACTGTATCAACTAAGATATGACGTCGTCTTATCTCGAGAGTAAGGTTGGTTAGAGAGCCTCCTTTCTCCAGTGATACAGCATCGATGAGGACAAGCTTTTCTCCTACAGGATTGGGATTCCAAGTTGGAGAGGCCGACGCCACATTGCGCGAGCGAGAGCCGCGTGGACTTGTACTCGTACGTGGTAGGATTGGGTATGTGTATGGGTATGGGTATCTTGTTGATGATGGTATACTCGAGTACCGTCAACAAGTCAAGGAGATAGGTCCGCCAGCATTTCTCGTCTCATTCTCCTGCTACGAGTATTAGGTATGATTGTCTACGGGTATGGGATTTCACCGCTGAGGAGAACACCTTCTTCAGTTATCATTACACCGTCAGGCTTCTGAATTCCATACAACAAGCCTTTACCAGCTGGGTAGTAAGTGACGACATAAGCATGAATTACTTGCACCAGCTTGGTGCAATTGCAGTATTGTATTCCAGGGCTTCCTTCAATATCCAAACTGGCGAGCATCTCATCCTTCCGCATCCAGGTATTTTCCGTTTCGAAACACACAAGCCATCTGTCTATGAAGAAATAAGCGCACAGAAGAGTCGTTAGTAGTAGCAGTTCTAGTTTCTTTCCGAGGGCAATTAGCATTGCTTCCTTCCGCATCTCGCTTGTGTGGACTATATGCAGTATGCCAGTCAAGCCACGCAGGAACATGTGCAGAAGCTTGAATGGGTCGGTTGTTTCAACAGAGGTGTATCTGTGTGGTCCAGGTTGATTTGGTGCCGAAGTAGATTCCGGGGGAGATTGTGAGGGCGGGAGGATTTAGTGGAGGATTCGCTACCACCGACCTTGAGTATGCGTGGGAATCATTGAATACCGTCTTGCGACTGTTGAGAAACGTATATATCATCAGCACTTTCTCTGTCATATTCTTTTCCATCTCTCATCATCTGCATCTGCATCTTTGTTTTCTTCCTTTACCTCAGTTCAATTGATTTCAGCAAAACCATCACACTCCTTTGATAGGTCTTTTACATTCAAATCTTAGCATCAAGTTTTTCATCAAAAGATCTTTCTTTTATCAGCAATCCTTCCAATCTACAAGCATGCATTTCTCAACTCTCTTCATTGTGGCTATTGCCACCGGAGCACCATTTGTATGCGGATCCCTTTTCTAATATCAAAATCTTCACTAATCAATCCTAGGCATTCGCAGAAGAACAAAAACACGGAGAACACAAGTTCAGCAAATCCGGCCAAGCTTCTGGCTCCGTTCGACCTTTCCCATCACCATCTGGAAAGCCACACTTCACTGTCTCTCACCATGCACCAACCTTCAAGCCTTCCGGGCACTCAAAACCCAGTGGACTTTCCAAGCCCAGCGGACTCCCAAAACCAAGCTCCATCTCCATCAGCGTCGAAGACACCCCAATGGACGCAGCCGAGAAACCAAAAGCAACTGGGAAGGCACCTGGAAAGGCATCTGGCAAGCCATCCCTCGTAGCCCACAGTGGCAAGTCTGCACCAACAATCTCCTTCAAGCTCCCAACCCACTCCATTCAAGCCCACGCATCCGGAAAACCTACCTTGAAACCACTCACCAACCTCCCCCACCCCAGCGGAAAGCCCAAGACTAGACCTTCCCCCCTCAGCACCGCAACCGCAACCGTCATCCCCCTCCCAGAAGAGACCACCACCGAGACCAGCGAGAAGACAAAGCGCTTCAACATGAACGCTCGAGAAATCGATGACTACGAGTCCCCACCCATCATCGCCGCGTCCGCATCCACCAAGGTGAAGGCTACTCACACCAAGGCCCTTCATTCCTCAGTCAAGTCTGCACACGCTGTTCATACCGGCAAGGCACACTCTATCAAGTCTTCTCCGGGCCATGCACATGCTACGGGTGGGTTTGCGCATCCTTCTGCGCACCATGGACACCATGGGGGACCTAGTAGATTTGTGACGAGCAAGAAGATTGTGACGCGCACTGTTTCTGCGACTGCGTCTGGGAAGAAGGGGAAGCCTACTTTGAAGGCTGAGTAAATTCCCTTTCCGACTCTAGGGATTGGTTTGTGGTTACATGTCCGCTTTTTCTTGTCTTCAATTCTGATGGATGAGTGGTTCTGATTTTCAGCTTGTTGGATGGAAAGATCACTTTTACTTATCACTTGAGAAGGTGAGAGGATGGAGATCGATAAGCCAGACCAGGGAAGAGATGGGGATCTTCTTGTATATCCGATTTATCCCATTTTCTTCTTTTGTTTTCTTTGTCTTTACTTTTGTGGGGTTGTTGGGTTGTCGATATATATTCATTCTTCTTCTTCTGCATGGCGATGGTGGGCTGAGTTTTTTTCTTGGCTAGGTAACTTGGAAATACTGTCTGTCGTTATATGTCATGTAGCATGCTGTTTGAAAAGGAGTTTTTGATGTTGTAGAGGTGTGTTATGTTGTGTTGACAAATTGAGAGTCTTTGTTTACATGCATCACGTTGATTTTCTTTTCCTGTAAGCCTAGAGTTTTTGTGATGGTGTATGAGATTTGATGGTTAAATTGTGAATTTGTTGAGTATTTCTATAGGGATTTAGTACCAGTGACATAGCCTTTTTTTTGTTTCCCCCCCTCCTGGTATATAATCACCATCCCACCCCCTCTCCTAGTTAATATCCTAGATCTTCAACGACTTACTACACAGTTGAGCCCAGAATGTCTCTCTCAAAGCACTATCTTGCATCATCCCTTCACCATCTCGGCAACACCTCTCATCACAGTCCAGCTTCTCTCCATCACCATCACCCAAAATACTTCCAGCCCTCTGCATGTGCATTCTTGATACTAGCAGCAATAAATTACCAGACAATTAACCAACCAATAATATCAAGAAGAGAACAAATTTTATATCTTATAAGAATTACTTTTCATTCTTGTGAATGGGTAAGCGGGTGATGTTTACCTGAAAACTTGGGAATACTCCGTACAGATGTTAGGCTTAAGGTTAAGCGAGTGAATTCTCCCTTTTAGCGTCTGCTTCAACATGAATGACATGACCCCCCAAATATCTTCTACCTAAGAGGCAAACCATGTATCTTTCTGAAAAACGACCAGTCACTGGAGTATACTGCCACCAAGATTGATTGGATCCAACCTCTTATGCTTACCGAATTATGCCGGATGTAAGATCTCAAAGGGCTATTTACCCGAAATTATCACATGCTGTATGACTTCGGGACGGTACCTTCATTCGCTACCAACTACTGTATCCTTCTCAACGCGCCACAGGCATGCAGATACCCAATGCCATACCATGTAAGGAACGGTCCAACCAGGGTATAATCTTAGATCAAATGCGGGGAAACAACACAACTCAGGCTCAGAACCAGAGACTGGGGATTGATGAGACGCAAGTAGTGATTCTTGTGGCCTCCATTGTCTTACAAAACAATCATCTTTTGTGAGATACGTATCTGCCATGTTTTCAATTTGCTATTTTCTGGTTGTTGGATGTCTCCTCAACGTGCTACCCACTGCCTTCGCAGCCACTTCTCTCCTCTTAGCATCTCACTTCAACGGTGCAATTTTCACGCTCTCCTTGGAAACTGATACATCAGGTGACAACGGAAAACTATCTCTCGTGTCTGCCTCTGGAGGCTGTGGTTCCACATCAACATGGTTACAATACTACTCTGATACGAGAGCCCTCTACTGCTGGGACGAATCATGGCAAGATTATGGCACGATGGCAGAGTTCAATGTCTCGGTTGATGGAATTCTTACTGTGTCCGGTCAAGCGAGAACGACGGGGAATGATGTGCATGGGATTTTGTATGGTGGGCCCAAGGGGAGGAGTTTCATTGCCAGTGTGCAGTAGTAAGTCTCCTCTTCTGCTTTTTGTTTTTGATATATTGTGGCAGTTTTTAACTTAAGATAATGGTAAGATAACGGTAATGTCTAACTCAATAATCAGTTCCCCATCAACACTCACAACCTACGCGCTCCCTCTAAAACCCGGCCCTGATGCACCCTTTACCGTCCCTCTACAACTGGAAACCTTTACAATCCCCCAACCCGGCCCAGATCCACGTCAAGATAGACCACATCCCCATCAAACCATCCTCGACCCAACAGGAAAATTCATCCTCGTCCCAGATCTAGGAGCCGACACGATCCGCATCTTCTCCATCAACCCCACAACCGGATATCTCACCTCCTGTCCCGGTGCCGCAACAGCTCCAGGCGACGGCCCACGCCACGGGGAATATTGGAGAGCCAAAGTCGACGAGAAATCAAGAGAGGAAGAGGGATGGACATTATTCACCGTGAATGAACTAGGGAATTCACTTTCTGCCTGGGACGTCACATATCCCCTCCTAGATTCCAATGCAACATGTCTTTCCCTATCTCACAAACAAACCATTTCGACCTTCACTCCGGGCGTCACGCCGCCCTCTACAACATACAACGGCCAGCTTCTCCCGCCGAAAGCTGCGGAAGTACATACGTTCTCCGATTCTCTGTATGTCGCGAATCGGAATGATAAAACGTTTGGACCGGAGACGGATTCCTTGGTTGCCTACAAGATTAGCGAGAGAGGGGAGTTGGAGTTTGTGGCGATGGGGACTAGTTATTCTTTCTATCCCAGGAGCTTCAATGTTAATAAGGCGGGGACTTTGGTTGCGGTTGGGGGACAGACTAGTAGTTCGGTGGCGATTGTGGAGAGGATGTGGGATGGGAGGTTGGGGAAGTTGGTTGCGAGGTTGGAGGTTGGGAGTCTGGGGACTTATACTAATGAGGATGGATTGAGTAGTGTTGTTTGGGTTGAATAAAAGTCGGTGAAATGAGGAGGCTGTTTACGTAGGCATGATATGGAATGAATTAATTTAAAAGCAATGCTTGTGGTGGTTGACATTGACAAGTTACGGCCCTCACTCAAGAAGCGAGGCCCGGTCCGAGAGAGCTGTCCCTGAGCCGGAGGACGCTGTACTTTAATCCAATAGGCACCTTTTGAACGTCATTTCACATGTCCAATACTTTGTGTCATGTACATACGGTCTTCTGCTGAGCCCTCAACAACTGGTATAATTGGTATGTAGTTTTGGGGTCCATAAAAGTTGTGTACGAGTATATCATATTATAGCCACTTCTCCACCGCCAAATACAAAAGCAAAGGCAGAAGGAGAAAAGGTTATCCCTAAGCACGAAGTATTCTTCCCACCATATTAGCCTTGTAATTGGTAATCTTTCTGATAGAAAGCCCTTGACCGCGATATTCTTACCACAACGGACGAGTTCAAGTCGCTGGGATATTTAGGCCGGTATTCCAATGCAAATTTCCTCGCCAAGGAGTCTCTCGCGGTTCTTTACTGGCGCATTTATTATTTCTACCTCCGTACTGCCCTAAGTAGGTGATTTATCTTGTAATTCTTGTTCGGACTCGGTTCTACTATTTGTGGAGCGGCACCAAGCTCAGCCTTTCTGATAGCTGGTCGTGTGATTGCTGGTGTGAAACCAGCAGGCATTTTCCCTGGCTCTATTCTTGTCGTTCTTGCACAGTTTCACTGTACAAGAGGCTATGTGAACAATAGGGTCGACGTGGACCGGGGGGTAGAACCTGTACTTGGAGGGCACTCACTTTTGAGATATCATGATGATGGTGATCTGATATCATGTTTTCTATGGGAACTGTCATAGTCTTCGACGTAAGCTTTTTGGTGACCATTCCACATGGAAGGTCAGGTTCAAAACTATACATACCACTGATTCATCCCTCAGAAGATCGCTCAACGAGACCCTTCGGATATGATCTGTGTGCCGCCCGCGGCAATAACAAATATTTGGGGGTGTTCAACTAGTCTGTGTTTCTACTAATTTCAAGCCATAGTAAACTGGATATTTATAATAAGTAGTCGCCAAATTTTTATTAGGCGAATCGACATAGAGCAATCGTCCTCAAAACGACGCCAGACCATCTGGCGACCACTTTTTTTTTAACCAACCAAGAGATCACTCACATTGGCCAACAACGATTAATCTAAGTATGTTTCTCCAAGTCGAACCCGAAGTGAATTAAAAAGGTAAAAACAGTGATTTTATGGTACCTACTGGGATTACTTCACGATATTGATACAAGAAAGGTTCGCGTTCGGTCCAGCATCTCCGAAAGGGTCTAACCATCCGAATCCGTTTCGTCCGAATGGAAATACACTCAGATGACATCGGAGCTTCGACTGCGAAGTGCAACAAAACCACGATTACCCTCCGTGTCATCTTTCGTCCGAACCCTTTGACAGCCAACGGAAACGTCACCGCTGCCCGAAATAGCGATTCGAGCCTCATATCCATAGGAAAGTTCGGAGTATCGGCGTTTAACCCTGAAGGATAGTTTCACAAACCACCTTATCCATGGAAGAAGCACTACAAAGCCCCAACAAACGGAGTTCAGAATTCCTGGCAACCATCCAAATCCGAAATTTCGCGAAGAGCAACAAGAGTCATCTCTGCTTTTCGGAGGCTTGTATCCAAAAACAGATAGGGCTAGATTCGGTGTCCGAACTCGATGTGACCTCCGAGTTCCTCGAATTCGATTTTCGGGAGCCGACTGCGACAGGCAACAAAGATTTGTTGATTCCCCTTTGGGATCGTCGGGGATCGGAATCCGAAGGTGTTAGTCCTGTTCGGGGGTTCGGAATCCCGAGTTACATATTGGGTTCGGGATTTACGTTAGAGGAATGGGATGGATTTAAATTTACAAGGCATGGTGTTTATTCGGATGGAAGATGGTGATACAAGTGAGTTTGAGTTTTGATTATACAAGATGCGTAGAATATTTCCTTAACAACCGGTAAACATGATCAAAAGAGAGGCTCATTTGAGCTTCATTTCAGCACTGATGAACTCCTCAAAAACAGCAGCGATATCTAGAACTCTCCCATCGTAACCACTACCACCCATGAATGTAACTCCGAAAGGCAATCCGTCTTGAGTCCACCCAGAATTGACACTGACCGCACACAAATCTAGCACATTTCCAGCATGAGTAAACGTCCCCAATTTAGCATTCAAGTCCAAAGGATCATTTTCCATCTCCTTGATTGTAGGATGGCATGGAGCCGTAGGAAGCAGCAAAACATCTATACCCTTTTCTAAAGTGCCGAATAGTCGTTGTGCTTGGGACGTCAATCGTTTTTGGAGAGCTTGGTCTCGGAATACCTGCCAAGGTTTGAGGTCACTTGTGAGTGCGGAGAGAAACAGGGATTTGGTGGCTGGATGGAGAGTATCAAGGTTTGCAGCGAGAAAATCGTGTCCGATACTTGCAATTCGTTCCTGGACCAGAGATGCATTGTAGAGCAAATCAGAAGCAATAGCGAATGGTGTATAATCTACATTCACGCTTTTGCCGCCACAGGAACGAAGTTTCTCCACGGTTTGACTGAAAAGATATTGGTATTCTTTCGAGCAGAGTGAGATAATGGAGGGATCCGGGACAGCGAATGTAAAGCCGCCTACTCTAGGACCACGAAAATCGCATTTCCAAAGTGAGAGCGATTGAGGAGGTTTGGCGAAAGCATCAAGATGGTCATAAGAATCGACAACATACCAAACCTTTCGGGCATCTGCCAAAGTTGGTGCCATAATCGAGAGAGTATCGAGGCTTCTACAAGCTGGTATTACCCCACGTGCTGATATGGTGCCCTTGGTCGGCTTGAACCCCACAACACCGTTGAACGCAGCCGGAATTCTACCACTGCCGGCAGTATCGGTGCCAAGGGCAAAAGATACAAGCTGAGCCGCAACTGCAACTGCCGAACCTGATGAAGAGCCCCCAGACACATGGCCCTTGCTATACACACTGTGCGGAGCTCCATGTGGTGAACGACAACCCGACAGTCCGGTAGCAAGCTGGTCCATATTTGATTTTCCGATGTAAAGAGCTCCGGCATCCAGAAGAAGCTGAACCGCGGGAGCGGTTGACTTGGCCACATAAGCGAAGGCTTCACAGGCGGCAGTAGTTCGGATTCCTTGTATATCAATATTGTCTTTCAAAGCGAATGGAACACCAAAAAGAGGAGGGAGTGGCTTCCCAGCATATCGCGCAGAGAGGGATCTAGCTGAGGCTAGGACATCTTCTCTTGATTGGTGGCATATCCAGACTGCTGAATCGATGGCTTTGTATTGCTCAATTCGGTCGAAAATTGAATTGACAACAATCTCCGGGTCAAGAAGACCACTCTTGTAATTCCTCTGAAGTTCCGCTATGGAGGTTAAAGGGTTTTGGTATGCCGGTGGAGTTGTAGGCGGCGTAAGTGCTTGAGCATTCGCAGCTTGTGATAAGAAATCTTTGCTACTGCCAACGAACCCAAATAGACCGTCTTGCCCTGCGATAATGTCCATCGACGTAGTCACCATTTGCTTATCAAAGCCATCTGTACAATCCGAAAGGATACAGCATTCGAAACCACGGTCATTACATTCTCGAAGTGTGGTTGTGACACAACATCTATTTCATTGTTAACATGACCACACGTTCATGTAGACTGGTTCTAAACATACTCAGTTGTGACTCCACCAAACAACAAGTGAGTGATGCCTCTTGCAAGCAGAATTCTGTGCAAACTTGTCCCCCAAAAACTTCCCTTTCCAGGCTTATCGACGACAGGCTCTCCGGGCAGTGGTTTTAGTTCATCAATAATATCATGGCCCCATTCGCCCCTTACCAGTAGTCTTCCCATTGGACCCTCATCACCAATGCCCATTGTATGATGTCCATGCGGTGCATTCACTTGCCGGAATCTTTTTGAGGGAGGCAAATCCGACAAGTCGGGCTTATGTCCTTCCCGGGTGTGTATGACTTGAATTCCGATCGTTCGGGAGACCTCTAGGACTTTTTGCAGTGTGGGGACAATGTTGCGGACCGCAGAGAAGATTTCTGGGTTTCCACATTGGATTGAACCGAATCCATCCAGGTCAACGAAATCCCTTTGCATATCAATGATTATGAGTGCCGTTGTGACGATGGGAAATTCGAAGCCATAGGGGCGTGAAGTGGGAAGGATCATTTTGGCCATCTTGTCAGGATCTAATCGTCTCCTCAGAATTGTATCTATGTCCTTGTTTATACCACTAGATGAAGACAAATCCTTTTGATGAGTGAATAATATGAAACTTTTTCACGGACTGATGGATAAGAGAAACTTGGGGAAATTAGTCAGAAGCCACAGGCAAAGGGCTGGTAGGGCAAACGGTCTTGTGAAAATTTGCTACTCATCGATAGAAAAGTCATATTTAGACACAAGATCGGCCATCAAAGCTTCATGGCTTCATGGCGGCGGCGAGGTTGAAAACTCGCCGTCGCCGTCGGCGCGCATGCGGGGAAGTGAGATGATAAGGAACCTAGTGAACCAATGAGACTACTGTACCGCTAACCCACGTCGCTTAGCTTGTTAGGAAAAAGCAAATATAAACTCAACCAACCACCTCTCACCGTGCAACGGATCGACTAATTAACAATACTGGGACTGGCATTGTCGGTGAAATGGAGAGGCGCTCCATTTTTAGGCACGCATCCATGAAAGATTACTTCTAGATAATTCATAGCTTCCTATTGTAAGTCAGTTTATTGAATTAAATAGTACCGGTTCATTGCTAACTGTCTGTGGAGAAAGCTATACTCGGAATTCGAACATTATTCTAAAAGGATATAATCTATACCTGCCTCTTTAGACTGTGTGAACGTTGCTTTAGGCAGCGAATTCTGTGATTGAGGACTTTCGTTTTGGTTTAGCTTTTGTTTGTAGTATCATAGATAGCGAAACAGTTCAAGATTAGTGATCGAACGTTAGAAGAGTGAGAGAAGTGGGAAAAATTCGCAGGCCATAACAAGCCAAGGCGAGCGTCTGGGAGGTGCCATGTTTGAACCTTATCTCCTATGTTGTTTCTCTATCAGCGGCATCCGATACACTTTTGTTCCATTGGAATCATAGATATACCATCGAGCTATGTTGAATTGTGAGGCTTTACAAAAGCTGTATCAGAATTTCGTATATAGCTGTGCGCTTTCTCCTCCCTGAATTTCCTTCTATCGAAATTTGGCATAGTCCTGGTTTTGGACTGATACTATCACTTATCAACAACACGGAAGCACATCAAGATCCATTATGGCTGACTCAATCCGTCTACGAATTGCTTCAATCAAGCAAGGCTCAAAAGAAAAGAGGAAACCATCAGGGTGGATTATTCCAAGGCAAAAATCTAGCTTCGGTGACGATGATGCGTGGTGAGTATTTCAACGGCTTTTGAAATAATCGAGAAGCCCAATTTACCACTTCCACTCTTGTGCAGTTCTCTTACCACAACAACAGGACAAATATTGATACTGATGTCACCCCTCTCGAACGACAGACATGGACAGCCTGGACCATGGCCGGATTTTGGTTCTCGGACGCTTTAAATGCTCAAGGATGGCAAGCTCCCGCTAGCATCATCGCTATTGGATTGACCTGGTATGTTTTGAGAAACTGCTTTTTAAAAATTCCGAAGAACTCATGCTACTTTAGGCGCGAATCGATAATATGTATCATTTTTGGCAGTCTTGTGTGTACTGTTCCGCTTGTACTTAATGGAGCCATTGGCCAGCGACTCCATGTTCCCTTTCCTGTCGCTCTGAGATCAGGATTCGGTTGGCATTTTGCCCGATTCGCTGTTGTAGTTCGCATGACCACGGCCTTATTTTGGCACGCCATCCAGACTTACACAGGTTCTACGGCCATTACCCAGTGTATTCGTGCTATCTGGCCATCTTATCTCGATATACCAAATCATATACCAGAATCTATAGGAATCACAACTCAGCAGATGGTCAGCCATTTGATATTTTGGCTCATTCAATTCCCTATCCTATTGACACCACCACATAAACTGATGTGGTTTTTTATATTCAAGACCTGTAAGTCCTACTGGTTTTCTTCTAATTCTATTCATCTACAGTAAAGCAGGATTCCTAACAAATCGACAGTTATCGTTACCTTTACAAGTGTAGGTGTGGTGATAGCCATGACCCAAAAGGCGGGGGGAACAGGAGACATCTGGGACCAAGGTTACACAGTTCACGGATCAACTAGATCCTGGCTTATTTTGTCAAGTTTCTCCTCAATTACTGGAGGATGGGCAACCATGGCGACTAACATACCAGATTTTACAAGAGTTTGTTCTCAGTCCTTACCTTTAGAAGCAAAGCTGACTTGATATCACAAGTACATCGGCGATAAGCACAACAAAGCTATATACTATCAAGTTGGCCTTCTTCCATTTATCCAACTCTTTCTAGGAATGTTCGGAATCATCTCTTGTTCCGCAGCAAAAGTAGTTTACGGCGAATATATCTGGGATCCTCTCCAGCTCGCTTCGAAATGGGACGGGCCCGCTGGACGAGCCGGAGCTTTCTTTGTTGGCTTCAGTTGGGTTGTGGCTCAAATCGGGACAAATCTCAGCGCCAATGTCATTTCCTTCGCTAACGATTTCACCTCCTTGTTCCCGAAATATATCAACATTCGCCGTGGTGTCATAGTTTGCACTATAATCGCCGCTTGGATCATGGTGCCATGGAAAATCGTTCATTCTGCCGCATCTCTATTGAATTTTATGAGTGGGCTTGGTATATTTTTGGCACCGATTGCTGCAATACTAGCATCAGACTACTGGGTTACGAAGAAGAAGCACATCGACGTTCCCGCTCTGTATAAGAGACATGGTCGCTATCGTTACAATGCTGCAGGAACCAATTGGCGTACAGTAGTTTCGTTTCTGCTTTCAGTTGTTCCTAATCTTCCGGGAATGTAAGTTCTCAAGTTCTTAGAACAATTGTCCTATCCGATCAAATCTAGAAGGGAAGGAATATTTTAACTTCTCCCTCTGGTTTGATATCCCCGACACTTCTATATAGTAGATATGTCCCAGAAATGGCGCTAACCTCAAGACCCCACAGGGCGGCCCAAGTCAATCCCAAACTTGAAGTAGGCCACCCTATCTATATAAGTTCCCATAAATTCCTTTCAACGCTGACCAATTGATAACTTAGGTTCACGGTGCGCAATATATCTACAACATGTTCTACCTCTGGGGATTCACCAGTGCATTTCTCTGCTACGCCATACTTAGTCACTTCTTCCCAGCCACCGAAACGATCATTCCAGAGACCATAAAGGAAGAGGTCGAAGTCATTGGAGGTGTCGAATACAGAAATGACGGGTTTAACGCGCCTGTTAAGATCGAAAAAGGATCTACTCGTACCCGCAGTCAGGATGGGAATGAAAAGACTGCAATGGCAAGCGCTGATTATGTCTAGAGTACCAAATATTATTTGTTCAAGGTCTGGAGCACAAGTTCTGGCCGAATTTTAATTTCTCAATAGGGTGGATTTTATCTTTTGAAATTTTTTTCATTTTTTTTTAATTCTTTGTCACTATATTATTATGTTTAGCAAATGTCAGGGTCACTTCACCATTTATGGACCTAAGTTATCATGGCACTAATATAGTAAATTATAAAGTCACTCTATTAATTCCCCGATGTAAAAGAGTAGTGATAAATTATGTGGCATGGGAATCGTACAAATTAAATTAAGTAAATATTCGTCTGGCTTATCCATACAATGTTTGATAAATATTTCTGGATTAAAAGAACAAAAGAACGACTTTAAACAACCCATTTTTGGATGAACACTGTTTAAGTTATGAAGTAAGGAAATTCTTGAGAATACTCTACTGAGTCTGAATACTTGGGAGTTCCAAAACCCCATCTGATAACTTGAACTAGATACGTGAATACATAACATGCCAGAATGCGGGGTAACCGCTACTGCAGTGGGGCAGTATTTTCTTGCCACATATTACGACAAGTCAGGTTTAGACAGCGCAGGCAAATCCAGTTACTGTGAACTAAGCAACGTGGGGCCGTTCATGGTGGGAAGTTGCCCCATTCCTGGGCTTTTTTCGACCTCGCTTGAAAGTTGTTATATAGTGTACCTCCTCTCTTACACTTCACCTCATTTTCACATCCAACCAAAGTATATATGCAAATTTTCAGTGAGATGGACGAGCCAAGAACCGTGGGGAGAGGCATTTTGGTGACAGGTTGCTCCTCCCTCGAATGAAGGCATGTCTGTTAAGAGACTGATGTTTTTGTTAGGAGGCGCATCTGGTATTGGCCTAGCCATAGTAGAGCTTCTTGCTCAATCTTCAAACAAATTTGCCATCTTAGATATCTCTCTCGCGGCGGCAGAGACGCAAATCAGAAGCTTGAGGTCAAGATACCCAACCTCGACCTTTAGCTTTTACGCTTGCGATATTTCCAACTGGGAAGAGCAAGCTTCTGCTTTCAAAAAAGCATACCGAGATATGGGGAGCATTGATATTGTTTTTGCAAATGCGGGAGTTGTTGAAATCGGCCATTTCCTGCAAACAAACAACGACGAGCCTGCAAAACCAAATCTGAAAACTTTGGACGTCAACCTTGTTGGGACATTGTACAGTAAGTCACTGCAGCCGACCGCCTAAATGTCGTGACTTTGCTGATATGGCAAAAGCCGTGAACTTAGCTGTTCATTACTTCCGAAAAAATCAAGCTATACAATGCAAAGGTTCAATAATTTGTACATCGTCAAACGCAGGACTTTATGAATTTCCATTTGCACCAATACATTCGGCTTCTAAACACGGTGTTGTTGGCCTAGTTCGGTCATTTGCTGCGCCTCTTGAACGAGAAGGGATACAGATCAACTGCATTTGTCCAAATGTCATCCGTATGTGAATGCATTATTTCCTATTTGAAATGTTTTATCGACAATATGCGGGCACCGCTCTGGGCGATAACAAGTTATTGGAAGTAATGAAGATTACTCCCATGAGTGTTGCAATGGACGCCATTGTTGAGTTTCTAATTAAGCCCATACTCACGGGTCGTGTGGCTGAAATCAGCGGGGATAGATTCACATTTAGAGAAGCGCCAGAATGGGTTGATGCGATTACGAAGGAGAATTCGGAGGCGTTCTGGGCCTCCATTAAGGGTCATACCAAAGAACTGTCAGATGTCATTACTTCTAGATCTTGAGATTACACTTCTTGTCACAAACGACGGAACCTGCACGATGATGATGACAGTGGGTCGTCAGCAGGTGAACAATTTTGAGTTCCACCCGGCAATCCCACAAAACCCTACGAGACTTTTCCCTTTGGACATGTGTCACAAACTCCGATCATCAGAAGCGAGGAAAGTTAGCTGGGAGCTGCTTTGCAAACCGGAAGCCCTGTTTCGTTCACCCATCATCATCATCATCATTCAAGGCTTCGTTACCCATTGAGAAGTAATTTTGCGGAGCATTTTGAGGAATGCCAAACCACTTCACTCCATAAGGGTTGATGCTCTGATAGTTTGCGGAGAAGGGAGTATTGTCTTGTCTTTTGAACCACGGAGTTATCCTTACGTCCTTTTCCAGTTGGAAACCTATGGTGGGACTGATGCTGCGATTTGCTGGGACTGTCAAGCCTGGGTTTATGACAGAAAACTGATACCCGTTGGCCTGGTCCTTGGAATCTTCCTTGATGCAACCTCAATGCCTTGCAGGACTTCCCGAGCGAGGTTTATGGTTCATGCCGGGCAAATTTAGAAGATGTTTGTATAGGGGGCACTGTCATGAGGCTGAGCTCTCCTTGAGGATTAAAGATGGAACGCATAGTGGACGCCACGATGAATTGACAAAGATGATTGATATTTTTGCAAACATTCATGCGATACTACCTGCTTTGTCACTGTATTTTTAAACATGGCATGGGCTGCGAAGCGTAGTTCTAGAGCATCCATCCGAAGATCTGTTTTACATTCGGGGGCCTTGCACAATACGCTGACCCGATTGCTCGAAACCCCCTGCGAAGCATCCGCCAATAAACGGCGCCAATAAGCGAGTCCACTCCCCGGGATAGCTTCATGTACTTCCGCCCCAAAAAGGTCCTCATGCAACCCCTGGCACCATCACAGGCCACGAGGAGCTCAGAACCATCATAGTGGGTCCGATATATTGGGTTCGACCGCCACCTTGTTAAGAAGATCAGTCAGATTGGATCGTCAAAGCGTTTCCCGGGTCGAAAGAATCATCTCTCCCCGAGAGCATATTTCTGGGATACCGTACGTAGTCGACATTGCAATAACGTAGTTTATAATGCGACATGAGATTATTTTTCTCCGTTACTTAAGGCCACTGTCCACCTGCCAAACTTGTTTGGTTTCATTTACGGCTTCACGCCAGATATCTGGGCCGGACAATAATGTGTGTGGATGAAAGTGGGTTGAATAGCCATTGTACCAAGCTGTCCCAACGAACGTCTGCAAACTGCTTAATTCTGCTACAGATACCCCTCACAAGTCTAGATTCCACACTCCAATTGTGCATAGCCTCATAGGGCTACACTGACAGCGGCTTGATCTGATTCCACATAGTACTAGTATGCTCTAGATCTGATTCCCCTTAGTACTAGTACGCTCTAGTGAGCTGCCAGACATGTCAAAGTTACCGCTGCTGGTTACTGTACAGTACAGTACGAGCAGTAGCCAATAGCATATCACCTGACTCGGCTCTGATTAACTTTTTAAACAATCCATTTTTCTTGAAGAGGGTGTGTCCAGACCAAGAACATAGCTTGAGCCCTAGTGGGATCACCCCGGTGGACAGACTCTAAGTCCATCGCGGCCATAAGAACCCGGTTTTTTCTCAAACATCAATTTTCGGTTGCTGCTGCCACTTTTCTTGAACAATATCTTGCAATACATACTCCGTTAGTCGATGTATATTTTTACACATAACCCAACTGAAAGCTTACAGACACTGACGCTATAATTCTTTACGAGTCATGAGGGCTGGCTCAGAGTCTGTATATCATCCAGCAAATCAAGGTTGTAATGTTTGATTTCGAGGAGGGTGGTGGTTACGCTTCAACTCATGCAAGCCGTAAGCCCCTCTGAGGCTTTGCTCCCTTGTTCGTAGTCCACTTCCCTGCCAATAGAGCAATGAGCCCCCAAGCATAACCGAGTTTCTCGGTTCCTGGGCACGTAGAGTGTCTCTTTTTGGCATATGGCTGCGGGGAAGTCAGTCTACGCTCCTTTGACTCCTTGGGAAGCGTACAACAAGATGAAAATTCTTGGTCATGGCATTCCCAGAAAACATTTCCTCAATTTCAACACCCTGATCGCCCACTCCGTCCGAGTATCCTTGATCCTCGCCTTCCGAGCGTGGCAAGTCAGGATATCGGTAACGAATTGCAGAGTAGATTGCAAGCTCCTTTGGAAGCCCCACCAGACCCCGGCATTACTTTATCTAGGCACAAGGAAGCCTGGAGACCCTAAGGAAACACCCCACCACGTGTCAAAAGCACACTTAGGTCCCGCGTACTCCTCGCCTTAGTAAAAGCAATTCCTGGATCCATACTGTACTGTCTGTACACTCCTTCCAACGCATCTGACTTGACGAGACATCCCTCACCACTGGATCCTTCCACACTACCTGCAGGTCGACATCTCAACGTGTGCTGTGGAACTCGAACCCCCTGTCGAGGTGTCCATGTTGGTGTGAATGCTCCAATGCTCGACAATTCGCGGCCCATCGTTGGCCTTCGCCGGACGCATAGGAAATCTCGGACGGGGTGCAAAACATGTCGAGGTCGCCATATTCGATGCGACGAGAAGTCGCCCATTTGGTGAGCAAATCTCGGCTACCTTCGGATTTTGGAGACTGATGTAGTGATAGTCGGAACTGTGAACGAAGCGGGCGCCAGTGCCACTATGGTTCGTCCATCTATATTATTCCCAAACAGCTGGGAAGCTCTCTCTCCACACCAAGACACTAATAGCAAACAGTAGTCAAAGTAAAGGATGAAGCGGGAAACGAACCACCACCGTACAACCTAATATATAATTATCCTACAGTGGAAGCAGCTAAACTACCACCGCAAGAGCTCTTTCTCTTGCAACATCTCTCTTCCTTCACTCCAGAGGTTCAGTTCATAGACAACAAATACTCGTCGTGGATGCGTCAAGTTCCCTCGTGCGTTTCTTCCCCTCCCTTGGGCTTGGCCTAAGCTAACCTAGAAAGGATGATTGGCGACCATCGGTTCCTGCTCGACGTTGTCCTAGGTGTATCTGCGGCTCACCACAACTTGTCGGTTGGGGGAACTGATTCAGGCCAACTTGCTCTTTATTACCGTGGCCGAGGCTTGAAAGGCCTCCAGGACGCACTAGGAAACTTCTCGGAATCAAATGCGGACGCAGTTCTTGCCTCTTCAATTATTCTGACGTGGTATTCGACTGAATGGTAAGTTAGAAGATGTATTCTACGCATCCGTTGGTTAAAGTTTCATCAGGAAGGAATGGTCGTCCTTGACCCACGGAATTCACGCTATCCAATCAACGATGCAACCGTATGCAGATAGGTCACATTTTGTGACGCTCATCGAAGAGCAAGCTATTGTTCCCCCTGAGCTCCAGCCGTTACCACCAACTTCGGAGCATTCAGCAGAGCCGAATCGTAATGATATCGAAGCCCTAGACGAGCTGATTAGCAGACTGGGAGAAGTAAAGATTTACGTTGAAGGGCACGAAGAGGAGATGTCGCTTCTGGACAAAATACTGGACTTTGCCCTTATGCTGAAAGCCAAGGTTCCAATGACTAGCACGGACGAGCAATACTCATCATCTAGGTTGTTGCGGGTAGCATTAGTGACCATACCGGTTAACTTGATACGTCGTGTCCGAAGAGACGCTCTCTCAATAGTCGTGGCTGCCCATTTTTATGCAGCAGTGTTGGCAGTACAACCATTGTTTCCGGCTATGGGTGCTATGGCAAGTTCCTCGAAAATAAGCACTTTGGCTTTGCTAACTCGAATTAGTTTTTTGGCCACCTCGCGCTTGCGCCGCTTACTGAACTTGGTAGACATCTGGAGGATCAGAGAAATGATCCTATCGCAGCGAGGAAGTACGATTGGAATGCTGCCGCTAAGCACATGCTCTATCCAGCCGAGACTGTTAGACGCTTTCGAAGGAAGATGGGCTGGCCGACTTCTCCGGAATCTCTGATACCGTTGCCTTATAACTCTCTAGATTCAAGCGCTGACTCGCCAATTTCAAATACTTGAAACAAATATGCGTAATTGAATCCGTTTCCAGGACAGGGCATTTGGTGGACTTAAATTGAGACGATCGCAATATACACAAGCCTCGACTTTCTTTCATGGAGTATTAGCTTCAGTACATGGGGGATCGTCGTGTTCAGTTCGTTGGAAATTTACACGCTCTTCCGACTAGCTTTCGCAGAATGACAGTCTGCAAAGTCTGCAAGCTTCAGCAAAATGTACTAATAACGTCGACTAAGACAACCATATACATAACCATATACATACTTTCTAGAGTATACCAGGAGGAAGAGGACGTGAGTCTTCAGGCCTCACAAAACTTGGAGGATGAACTGCTAGATGAAGCAGCGTGGAACGCGATTAGAGCGAATTTGTAGGCATCTTGGCCGCGCGGGATCATGGAGTTGTGTACATCGGGCATCAAAATGACAAGCTTTCGCTTAGCTATGCAGAGAGAAAGGGATTGGCGGATTCTCACGAATACGACCCCGACACTCACCAGAACCAAGCACGTCCAAAGCGCATTCCTCCATACTTCGATGTTCTGGATCAAATAAAACGAAATTGCACCTAAAAGTACCTTCTGTCTATCTCATTCACTCGGTCGAATGTCCCTATCGAACACCACTTGAAACTGGCACGAGTGGCTGTGGCTGAGCTTCTTACTGGAGAAGAGCCTTCTGAAGTTCAATCATTGGACGCTTGTATTGCACAACCTCCAATGACTGTGGAGAGATGGAGTTGAGTTGAAGAACATCGAGGTGGATTGGTGGAGAGACATGGCAGTATGGCCTGTGGTTGGCTTGTGTATATACGACCTACGGCGAGAAAATATTAAAATCAATACAGGTTGACAGAGCTCTCTGATTGGTCCTATATCCCCTCGCCTGTGATTGCGTGATTGTTTGTCCACTGAGAATTCAATAGTTATTGACGAGGGCGGTGAATGTATATTCACCTCCTAATGCCGCACACTCGACTATAAATCTTTTCTAACCCAAATTTTCCAGGACCTACCGTCAATTTCCACACAAAACAAACTTCTCCCGTCAAAACAACGCGAAAGAAGCATCAACACCAACTTTGCAAAACCTCAACAACACGCTCGTTACAACCCTCAAAATGCACCTCTCAACCCTCCTCCCTCTCACCTTCGCTCTGGCAGTCGCAGGCGGACAAACCTGGCTCCCCTTCCACCCCCCAAGCAAGTCCCACTCCACCACCACTCTCACCGTTCCAGCTGGACCTGTTCGCAGTCCTATCCATTACACCTACCCCGACCATCCCACCATCATCCTCCCCTGCGGCGAGATCCCACGACCAACACCCGTGGACCAGTTCGTGCGTCCTGGTGCCGGCGCCGGTCGGTTCGGCGGTTCCTTCGTCGAGAAGCACAATGAACTTGAACCTCACAGCTACTCTGAGATCATCACTTGGGCTCCGAGTACTACTGGTGTACCAGTCTCTCTTCCAACATCCATCGTGATCGATACCTCCTCGTACACCCATGGAAGTGGTACCAACATCCCAAGCCAGACCCAATCCGTTCCAGTAATCCAATCGATACCATCATCTCACTCCACATCAGGAACACATTCAGCTTCAGCAACCCAATACGCGCCAGCATCTCATTCCACGTCAATCACCCAAGGCCCATCCCCATCAACCTCCCACTCACCATTCACAAACTCCACCACCGTCGTGACCAGTATTCACTCCCTACCACCCTCCTTCACAACCTCCACCACGATCGTGCCTCCAAGCCCAACCACCAGCTCGGCAACGCGACCTCCGTCTACGACCGTCGCATCTGCTAGCCCCACCAGTAGCGGAAGCACCTTGAAGTGGGATTGGACGCTGCTAGTTTGTGGCTTCATGGGCGTTTTTGTTTTTGGGATGCTCTAGAGAGAGAGAAACAGATAGATGTACATATATTACGTAGATGATCGATTTGTTTCTGAGTTGGTTGGTGGGGGATAGAGTACTTGATAGATGGATGGGCTTAGAGTCTGCAATTATATCAAGTTGGAGATTTCGTTCGAGAAGAAATATTTGCTTCCTTGGTGATTTGTGGATAAGCGATGAAGCGGGGATGTGGTAACGTAGTCGAGTCTAATTTTTCTTTGGGTCATTTCAGAATAGACTTCTTCTGAATGTTTGTTTTCTTTGAGGTTAAGTTGGACCGCGTTACAGCCTAATAAAACTCCATTTGACGAGATGGATATTTCGATACGTTGTATTTTAGGTTGTGATGTCTTGATTTGAGCTATTATGGCTGACTAAAATGCTGTCTAACTAGTTATTTGTAATTTCGAATGCTACTCGCATACAAGGTCGAGGGGAGCACTAAGATAGAGCTATACATACATACACCTCTTTATAAGAATCCTTGAGTTAAAGCTAAGTCGATCTAATATTACTCCATCTTTAATCCAAGTCAAAAAGAAAGGTTGAGAAGTCAAAGCTTTGAAGTGAACACCAAATATAGCGTCCTAAAACCTCGCGTAAATTCGCGTTCTCCTTTACTCCGCCCACTTCACCCGTCGCCCTTTTCCTGTTCAGAAAACCTTAGATCTCAGCTCTAGGCTCTACCTATAGGCTGTAGCTCAGCTCAGCTCCAGCTCATCCAATTCCACATCCTCTCTCACAAATCAACCGAGTACAATCAAAAAGAAAAATATGAAAAATTTATACATCACAGCCCACAAACTCAAAACCACAAGTAAGACCTCTCAAACTGGTATTCATTTTCTACTTTCTATCCACACCATCGCACCTCGCACCCCACACCTAGCATCAGCCCGTATTTCCTCTCGACCAACTACCCACCACCACCCAACTCGGCTGCTGCAAACCACAAGCCCATTACTAAGACGCACACCTCAACCACCCATCCTATGATGCGTAACGCAATACCATATCATATCTACAACGCAAAACTTAGGAAGTCTCGCTTCACCTCGCCCCACCTGACTTCTGATACAACCCCGCCATTGATCATTGCATGGCTTAGACAAAAAAAGAAAAACTCGAAAGGAACGAAAAAGGGAATCAGATGAAAACGCCATCCCATGCAAAACAGTAAAATGAAAATGCCTCCAGCCGTGCCGCGTTGTACAGGATATATACCAACAATTAGGATCCAGACTCGACAATGAATGCAATGAACCCCCTACTCCCGCTAAAAACACACGAGGAAAAGGAGGAAGCATGCTTGCTTAATGTACTATACAGATTCCAATCCCATCAGCTCTTTCTTAAAAGGCATTTTGATCAGGATCCCTAGGTTGTTTCGAATTCGCCCATTGCTCCGAAGGATTATGGACTTGTCTTCGATCCTGTCTTTTTTGCTCCAGGTAGATCTCAGCCGCCGTTGGTTCTCGTTGCTGGTAAGGCTGATATGGCTGATAAGGACTAGGGTCCGAGACTGCCATTCCAATATCTTCTTGCGAATAATTGTCTGAACTCCTCAGTAGTACTGGGTGGGCTGGATCTGGGGTTCGATCTGCCATCCCACCAGGGCTGTCTGCGTATCTGTGTGGGTACGGGCTGATATCTCGTCCATCGGCGTCATAACGTTCTCGCGCTGGGGTGTAGGGCCGCCCAGAGCTGATCGAAGAATGTGGTTGAGCATGTGCAATCAACGCAGCTCCCTCTTCGCTCGGTAAATTCCCTCCCATCGCGCCCTGAGGCATGCCGAATCTGCTTCTCCGGAATTCGTCTGCAATAGGAAGGTTGACAGGTCTCTTGTAACCCTCCGTGTTGAGACCGTTCTCTCTTCCACCCTCTAAGGCCATGTCATTCTCATTTCCTAGGTTTCGCGCATATGAGCTGTCCTGTTCTCGCTTCTTTCGACCCACAACCAACCATCGCATGGAACGCGCAAAAGCCTTGACAAGATCCCATGGATTCAGAGCATCCACAAATGCCCTCCACCCTAGAAACCCACCTTGCTTGTGACCCTGCACGTTCTTCGGCGATAAACCAGATGCCATCGACATTGGGTAATCCCTAACTTCGGCGCCGACTTTATATGGCGCCCATGGGAACGCCCATAAGTGCAAAACCGCAAATATGGCCATCTCTACGCATAATAATAAAGAAGGAATGCCCACTTTGAGGTCTGGATATGCTAAATATGGCGTCGGCGTGACGACTTTAAAAGTTGAGGTCAATATGCTGATGGTAAAAGCCTGCCAAAAAGAAAGGAAGATGACCAATTTGATGGCCAAAACCTTCAAGAATGGACGGTGAGGTGAGAGGTCAGTACGGAGTTGGACGTAAAATTGAATCAAGCAGTACATGGCGATTGTGACTGCTGTGGCATTAAGGCAAAGTGTCTGTGCTTGTTAGTATCTACTTCGCTAGCGGATTATAATATGTTGTACATACCCAAATATGCGCAAACAAGGGAGAATTAGAGGATTCGCAATATTTCTCAAAATATTGAGACACAACTGCAGTAATAGTCATGGCCACTCGAACAAAGCAATACTGGTAAACCCCCAGCCATATGATATTGAACCAGGTCAAACCACTTCGAGGAGTTCTCCACGGCCCAGCATCCCCACAACAGCATTTCCACATCGTGGATACTGGCCACACCCACTTCACCGGTGTAATGGTACGAAAGTAAAGTTTTTGTTCATGTAAACTTGGCGCAATGTAATGGCACATGAGTGCAAAGAAAGAGGCTATCGCAAAGGCCTCGTAACAATCGGAAATGACCTGAAAGTATATGGCATGCCAGTAGAATTTGAAGGAGAGAAAGGCTGAGGTCGCGTAGACGGGTATCATTAATAAAATACGAATGATGCTACTGATGATTAGCGCAAGTCCATCAGATGTTGGTTTGCCTTCCAGACGTACTGCCGTTGTTCATAGGGTTTGGTATAATGCAGCGCATGCATAAGCATTAGGTAGAAAGACACTATCAGAGCAATCAATGCACTTGCAGGCGCAGCGATGAGACCGATCTCATGAAATGTCCAAATCCCTATCAGAGGGATCTCCGAACCGCCAACTACGCACTGTTAGCATTCCCTCTTGTAGCATCATCATTTCCAACCATGGCAAACGTACTCCGCAAATCGTCCAGCGTCGCATTACATGTGCCGTTCAGTCCCAGCAGCATTTTGGCCGCTATTGCTCATGCGAGCAGTCTGAGTCTGAGTCTGCGATTTGGGTCTGCTATGCTCGGTGGTGTCGGTGGGCGGTTGGTGTTTTCGCAGTGTAGCGCGGAATTCGTCGTACTTCTAATCCCCTGCAATATCTCGAATCTATTCTTGATCGCGCTTCCTTTCGTTGTCTCGATTTGGCGGTCTATGATGTCGTCTCGAGTAACAACTCCGTATCGCGCGGGATGATGCAACGAGGCAGTCCAATTTCCAATCTCCCAGGGTTGTTTATGAGGATTCCTGCCAGGGAAAGATCTTGCTTGTACTGGCAGACACAGCAAGGAATCCCTATCGTCTCGTTTTGGTGATGAAAGAGCCGGCGCCGTAATGGATGAAAAGGGAGCCAAAATGACTGAATGTCTGAATACAAAGGAGTGTGTTGGAAATACGAGTACGGAGAAGTGAATGGCGGAGGCAGAGGCGGTGGTGGCACGAAAAGGCGCTGTGAATGGAATGGCGGCAGATGAGCTGTAGACTGGGGAAGGTGCAGTAGTGCAGAGGAGAGGGCCACGGGAGAGATTGCAGGGGGACGCTGTTACACTACTGGCCCTACAGAAAGGTTCTGGCGGCGGCAGAGGTGGCTGTGGCTGTGGCTGTGGCTGTGGCTGTGGCTGAAGCCAAAGAATAACACACTGCCTCGTATCACGTATCCCTCAACCTTCTTCGCTTCGTGTTCATATCACCAATTGCCCGTTACCTCGACTTTCTCGCGATGGCATCGGTGGCCAATCTACTGCCCTATTGCGGCTCTGTACTGTACAATGATGGATGTTTCCGGGGTCTGAACCTTACTGGAGCTCCCCCTCGAACAACCGAGGATAGCCCCTGAAATGCAAAACTCCACGCTCTCGATCACCAGCAAAGATCACCAGCAAAAAAAACTGACCTCGATGCTTGGATCTCAGTCAAGCTTGCTTGTCCTCCATCGACTTGCTTCTGATTCGTCTTTTCTTACCAACCACCCTCCTTATCCCCAATAAGAAAATCCACCAAGCTGGACGTCTGTGCAAAACACCCCTCGACGGGCGATCACCCGTCTCAAAACTCAGATTGATCCCTGGATGTAGACCGGATGAAACAGGACAGGCACAGAGGTTCACGAACAAGGACTCACCGAGGACGCACATTGGTTCTGAATAATATGTTCTTCTCATCTCCTCTTACCTAGACACAGCCCCATGGATAAGTTGGACTTCGGATGCACTATCAAATTACAGTTTTGCGCTATCCTTTCCTCCATCTCTTCTCAAACTTTCGCTCGTATACTAATTTTTAAATTAAAAAACAACAGTTGTCACTTTGGCACTCTACTCCAAGTGAACGACACAGGCAACATCTTTGGCAGCACCTTGATGTTCGTCAATCTGAAACTTGTTCATGCAATCTCAAAAGATCACGTGAACCACTTCCTCTACGTTCGCTTCGCTTGCTGACAGCCGAGCATTTTCATATCCATGGATGTTCTCTTGGCAGGTACCGAACAAGAATACCATGCATACCGAAATGCACGATGAGAAAGCTTAATGGCCTCAGAAAAGCCACCAATGGCCATTCTGCCTCAAGTTCAAGGACATTTCAGAGCCCGAGCGAGAGATCGGTCTGGCCATGTCAATCTTCTTGCAAAGCAAAAACGACATCCGCAAGAACGAAAAGCATGAGAGATACCTCACGAACCGAAAAGTCAGCACAGAAGCGCAACTTTATTTTCCTGCATCTATTTCTGGGCTGTATCGAAACCGTCAGTGCTATGTCCAAGAGGTGGTCTTACAAAATACCGGTTCGAAATCGGATTGCTGTAAACGATTCTGCAGATCGTGACTCGTGGGGATTTTGGGACATTACAAATACTTACAGCACTGAGTACGGGGTTCTTACTTAGTGCTGGAGTAGCTACAGCACTGCATTTCTTCTTTTGGTGAGATATTAATATTTAGCCGAGTTATAATATACATTTGAAGGGCAAACGAAGACCTCTTACCAAAACTCGATGTATAATACAGAGGTAGTATTATAGTAGAGTTTTCGCCTAGCTGTCTTACCTGGCCTGGTTACTAGAACTTACTAGGACGAAACTTTTCGAGGTCGCTGTGAGGGTTGGAACCCATGATGGAGGCTCGGGCCATGCCCTCGCTAAGCACTGACCAAAGTCCCCGCTTAGCACTGGCCATTACCCCACCGCCAAACAGGTTTCCACCATTCCACACTTTCTTGTTTTGTTCTTCTGACATCATGTATTCGTCATTCAAGTTTCTTGCAAGTTTCTTGGAATATTCAGGAAGCTCTTCCTCTCTCTATATATAGAGGAAGAGCTCGCATGTATGTAGTCTTCACGCACTTCTTAATTCAATATTCGAAACCACACCTTTGAGCTGTTCAAGGTCTGGCCTCTCACAGTCGCTTATATGTAATATAGGAGTTAGGCTAATAGATACTATAGTAATAGATTTTGTCTACTAATACTTTTAGGATTCGTATCAAGGATTAGATAGATATATCTTAAACCCGTATCGACTAAGGCGTTATAACTTAAAACTTAAGAATCCTCTATACTAGAAAGAATTCTTCTTTATATTATTTCTTAAAATAGTAGAGATCTATAACTATGAATAACCCCTCCCTAATACTTAAAAATAACTAAAGAAAGTACATGAGTTATAGATACCAAGGTATCTATAATAGATGACTAAAATCAAATGAAATTTCTGTAATCTATATACCTTCTTATCCTTATTTCTACCCTTATTTACACTTAGATTTATACCTAGAATTACGTACTTACCTAGAGGATAGGGTACAGTAGATAGTTAAGCAGGAGAGAAAGAAGAGGGTTTCTTTTCGTAGCTAGACTCTAGTATCTTTACATAGAGACTTGTGGTCTCGCTTGAAAGCTTTAGTAATGGAAATTGGCTGTAAGCTTGGTGCAATTCAATGACTTACTTGTCCGAAGCCTTCAAGACATGCGTCAAGATAAGATTAGTGAGATTTCACTTTGGTACTCTTGAATCAAAATCGTATTGTTATCTATTATCTAGTAAATAATCGCTAGATAGGAAATAAACAGTAGCAATATAATTAAGCAGAATTAATCATTTATACTTAAATACCTTCTCCTCTCCTACTAAAAACACAACAAAATATTCACTCCACCCCAAATAAAAATGCCCAAATAGTGAATATCCAAAAACCGAATATCATCCGAACTTAAGACTCACACCCCCATCCATTCACACACCTCCCGCGCCCCAACCCTCGACACCATAAACCCCCATCCGAAAAAAGCGACATAGCCTCGAAAATGACGGGAAATGCACTGCCCATGCCCAAATGAAATGATTCACAATAGCGGAAATGGATGGTATATAAGGAAGCTGGGGGAAGGAGTGATGAGAAGTGGAAAACTTGACTACTACTACGTCCCTAGCTACCCAAATACATCTATTATCAGGGCGTTTTTGTTAGAGGACGAGCTGGGTATTGAATTGTTGCTTGAGCTGGTATGTTTTCTATGCTGCTGGAAGCACTTTGTCGCCAACATGAGAGGCCAGCTACCACCTCATACACTTCCACGTCCCTACCTTCCGGGTAGCTACCAAAATACCTCTACCATCAAACCCTTTTCATTAGAGGCCGTACTGGTTGTCAATTGTGGAATACTGTCAAATTGACGCTTGAGCTGGTATGTCTTCCATGCTACTCAGAAGCACATTACTCCGTCGCCAACATGAGACACCAGCCGCGCGCTCACAAACAACCTCCACCATATCAACAACCCAACTGGCATTGAATTAGCAGCTATTCCGATGAAAACATCCGTAGCGCGAGCAAGATGTGCTTCAACATTAGATATCTCTGCCCATAATGTGACCGCTATGGTTGGTCCATCGAAGCGACTGTAAAGCCATGCATTTCAGCTAGGGCTCAATATAAACTCTGTGGTGTACTGCGAGAACCCAGAGAGAGATATCTACACAGATGTTGCGATATGTGTAGAGAGAGGAACGGGCCATGCAGTTGGTTGAGAGTCAGAAACTGATGGTAAGTTGAAGACAACTCGTCGTGTTAAGACGTGGTCATGGAGATTCTCAAGACGCAAATACAGCTATAGATGGTTTCCTATGGGCTCTGGGTGATCTATCATCATGTATGGTGCGGTCAACAATGCGATATGTTGATGATCGACTGGCAATTGGGTTTGAACCTGGGGTGGATGGATGGTCGGGGATTGAAAGGAAAATTGACGACATGCATGTAGAACTGATTTTGGCGTTTATTTGTTTACAGAAAAACGGTATCTCTATGTTTTTTGTTTGGATTTAGTAATTGTTGAAATGGAATTTTTAGCGAGTCGTTTAAGGGATAGGATAGATTTCAATTCATGTATGTAATCGGTTACACCTCGATCGTCTACCTAATGCCTGTGATATGTGTGTTTCCGAATATGGTCCTACTTGACCTGCAGTAGTGCCCAAACCTTCAAAAGGCAGAGATTGGTATAGAGAAGAAGAAATACCCCTCTTTGTCTAAAAGCCATCACACCCAAGTCTATCATCTTGAAGTTTAATACCTTCAAGCCCTGGGACGAGGAAATAAACCCAGAGCTTTCGAGACCAAGACTCAAGGCTTCGCTCTATCACCGCCAAATGGAACCCTGTGAAGTCTGTCTTGGTTTATCCGTGGGAAATGAGTTGGAAAATGATCGCTGGGAGCTTGTGGTCAGGGCCGACAACACAATTGAGCACTCGCTTGACTTCGAATCCACGCAAATGAGTACCGCAGCCGAGTCAGCATGTGTTACTTGCTCCATCCTATCGAATGGCATTTCATTGATGAGCTGCAATTCTTCTCTTTTCGATAACTCCCAGGCGTACCGTGGGAGACTCGTAGTGCAACGCCGCTCCCCGCTAGAGATCGAGATTCTCGACAAAGAACAGAAAGGGTACGCACGTCGGGCAACTGCACGAGCCAGAATTCAGATTTATGCGCTCCCTGGTATGCCATCTACATATATACCTAGGTACAAATTCTGGTATGTCCACTACTTGGTCAACTAATTGTATTACTACCTTGCAGAAAACAAGAGCACACCACTAGCATTCTGGACCTCTAGACACATCCCACGCGAACCCACGATCGAGTATTACTCTTCTATCGTCTTCGACTGGATCACGAACTGTCGTGCTAATCATGGAGCTTGTGCACAAGCTTCTGCTTCGGAAACGAACGCTCGCGTGAACGACCTCCCGAAACGCTTGTTGGATCTCAAGCTTAAGCATTCGCCATCACATGGAGACTCTGTGAGGTTGGTTCAAACTGGGTGTTATACAGCTCAGCAGCCTTTCCGTTACGCTACATTGAGCCACTGCTGGGGCAAGAGCCATGTCATTCAGACAACCACAAGTAACATGGCACTTCGAATGCAAAGTATTGATTGGAATGATCTTCCAAAGACTTTCCAAGACGCCATCACTCTTCTTCGTGCATTGGATATCCGCTACCTTTGGATCGACTCTTTGTGCATCATCCAGGATGACCCCCTTCGATTGGGCGGCTGAATCAGTGCGCATGGCCGCCATCTAATCGAACAGCTTCGTCAATATCGCAGCAACCGGGTCATTTGATAGTCGCGGTGGTTGTTTCTATCCTAGGATACTCAAACACACCGTACCTACTTCCGAAATCCAGTCTTTCCCCATAAGAATTCCAGAGAATTCCCAAACACAGACTCTGTACGTGAGGCATTCTCTCGAGCATGTCCACCAAAGTTACAGTGCCTATAAAAGCCCTGAATATGACCCCCCAGATTCGCAAATCGTACCACTTCTATCCCGAGCATGGGTCTTTCAGGAACGCTTCCTCGCCCCACGAACTATCCACTTCCATCCCTCCGAAATGATCATGGAGTGCAAGACCTCTCTCCGCTGCGAATGCTCCGGCCTCGATAAAGTCACGACACAGAACATCTGGCGCTCTTTAATCTTCGCTGAGCGCGATCAAGTAGCTATACTAACAGCCTGGCTCAATATCGTCGAAGAATATTCCACCTTACGTCTTACCCGAGAATCGGATAGGCTACCAGCACTTCATGGGGTCGCAACCGTCTTCCAAGATAAGCTGGGATGTGGATATCTTTCAGGAATCTGGCAAAGCGATATTGCGCGTGGAGTTCTGTGGAAGGTGACAGACACGAAGTTGCGATCTGGAAGGAGCGCTGAATGAAATCACTCTGAGCCTTCCTGGTCTTGGGCTTCGCAGATACTCGATGCTGAGGAATCGAGACTCTCTTTTATCACTAAACATGACGATACATTTCAGGCCGACGAACGGTTTGGTTTGGCCGGTACAAATATTCCACTGGGACCTTTAGAGTCCACCCTTGTTAATCCAACCACCAAATCCATTTCGCTTCATGGTGCATTTGTGACAACCACCATGCATCCTTATGATCTAGCAAACAGAAAATGGGATGATCTACTTCTTATTTTCGAACAGGATATAGACGATGCTGTTGTCATCACTACCGCGGAGATGAATATAGACTGTCCTTGGAAATCATCAACAGGATGTGCTTTGGCCGCAGGCAGTATAGCTTACTGCTTACTAGTTGGTCACAGTCGCAGGATGGATTTAGAGTCCCGCCGAGAGTTCGATAACCAGAATATAGTTGTTCTACTGCCCAACCTCTGAGACCACGGAAATGTTTAACCGGGTCGGTATAATTGCGGTTGAAAAAGACATGGGGATTTTTGATGAGACATCGGAGTTTACGTTTGTTGTCATTTAGATGATTAGGATATCCGCTGATTTTGTTGTGTTTAAATATACAATACCTTTACTCATCATGTAAACCCCCCTTTTTTCCTCGCTTAATAACCAAAATTGTCAAATAGAGCTTATATAAGTGAATGCACTAGCATGTAAAGAAGTCCCAAGCGCAGCAAGCGCCAGCATATGTTCAGTACTAAGAGTCTAAAAATCTCTTTTTAACTTATACCACCTAGCAAACTAACTCCAACAAGGCGACCATTCATAACAATTCCATCAAATCAGCCTCTCCCCATATCCCCATATCCCCACAACCCCTCGCATCCCCCCAAACATCCAGAATTTCAGACAGGTAAAACATCACTACACCAGGATCTCCATACATTCCAGTCCAAACTAAACCCATCTTTTCCCCTTCCTCCTCAATCCACCCATATCCCCAACTTCCTCATCCCAACACCTTCACCCCCACCCCCAGGAGACTGCGAAACTTAACTTGAAATCACCAGCTAGCTAGAAAAGTAACAAAACAGTATCGAATCCTTCGTAACGCGGATACTCGAGGAAACGATATCGCGCTTGTAAAGTATGATACTCAGTGGATTCGTGTGGGAAGTCTGTCCACAGGGAATTCCAAGGGAACAGTTGTAATTCTTTTCATCGTGAAAGCCTGGAGATGGTGGGTAGGAAGAGTAGATTCAAACCTTCCATTCATATGAGGATCGCTGTAAGTATATCATCCTTCAAAGTTCATACCCATAATTTAATTCATCATCGGGAGTCCCATTTCTACTAGTGAAAGCTAAGGCATATTTCCCGAACAGAGTCAATACGCTGAATATCATACATATAATATCATGAGGGTCAATGTATTCAAGCAATCACCAGCGTCCAGCCGAGAAATCTTTATCCGACTTACAGTATCCACATCGCAAGATGCCCAGTGTCTTTTATTCAAAAATCTTCTAATTTCTCTTCTGTCTATATTTCTTGTTTTTACATATGATACTATAGCATAGCAGTCCATAGACCAAAAGACAAAAAACATCCAGTGATAGCTAAATAGGTAGACAAATCACTTAATCCCACACCATTCACTAATGCTCAAACTAACTGGATAGATATTTTCTAACCAATAATTCCGTGCTCAGATGAGTAAGCATCTCCATTTTCCTGTGCAAAACGTATTCTTTTTTGCTACCAGGCAAGTTCGAGAACGTAACGTCTTTTTTTCCATCATTTTTTCTCTCACATCATATCAAACATTGGCCACCCATCGCCTCGCCAAAGGATGAGTCGTCCGTGTACATCAGACGACGCACAGCGGTCCGTTCGCACACAGACGATAATAATTCGATTTTGTTATTTTGATTTTGTTTCGCGAAAAATAATTTCGAGCCATCAAAACTAGCCAACGAGGAGCATCATGGCTGAAAAGGAATTAGCATATGCCTTCCAGTTTGGTGGTTCGAGGAGATGTTCGGGGTTAAGTCGAGTGTAAAAATTCGGGCAGCTCTAGAAGGAGCTTTCTTTTCTTTCTTTCAATTTGTAATTTCGTTTTCGTTCTCGCAGTCCACAAAAAGCTCGAGAAATTCCCAGCAAGCCTAGCAGGCCTACCAACCCAATTCCTGTTTCAAGTCCTGTTGAGCCGCGATAATCCATCCATCGGCATCGACCTCAGGAGTCTTCACAGACTCAACAAGCTCAACTTCACCCGAGCGATCCCAAGCAGGTGGTTTCCCTGGCTGCTGCTTCAATACTCCTTCGAGCGGTGAAGGAGTCTTCTCATCAACGCCCTGAATTCTCTCAGCCCTCTCTGAAGCTTCCTTTTTCCTCTTTTCCTCCTCTAATTTCCATTCGTGCCCCCCAAGAGCTGGTCTGAACGTCTGGTTCTCCGGTTTTCTTGCCGGATGCGAAGGGTTATCCCAACGACTCCATTTTGAGCCTTGGACTCCCCTTTCACCGACTCTTGTAGGCCTCAAATGAGAACCCTTCGGCTTCTCAGCAACACCCACTTCTGTGAACGTATGTTGATACCTGCATTCTTCATCGCTCTTATAACAGCCGCCGTCTGCCCAATATGGACAAGTCGTAGGGGCTTTCGAAACACCGCTCCTTATTGGACGAGGTGACGTGGGAATCGAAGGTGGCCTTGGGGCGGGAGACTGGACCCAGCTGTCCTCGTAAACAGAGGCTTGTGAACTATGTTCCGTGACGGAGGTGCCTCCGGTCATGAATGGAGAAGTAACCGCACTCGAGGGAGGGAGGTAATCCGCGATTGCGCCCCATGTGGGTTTTCCATCGCGGATGTTTCTAGGTTCTCGACCGGGGGGAAGTGCCACATAGGCGTGCCTGTTTTCAAGATCTCGTGGTCAGTTCTTGGGAGTTTCCAAAGAATGTTCACCAAAGTTGATGAAAGTGTCTCGGAGGCAAGGGCGCTCTTTTCACTTACAGATCACGGCATTCTTCGCTTGTGAAGCGGCAACCTACATTTGGCGTGGCCCAGAATCTTTGATTGCAATCTCAAGGTCAGTAAAGTGATACGGAATATGAAGCGATATATCAAGGGATGTTGAGTTTGGGGGGCAAAAGAATTGTGAACATACGAGCAAGTTTCCCTGCGTGGCAATACTGGTTTCAAAGGTTCTTTCCAGCTAGTTTTCGGCGGGCGAATCCACCCAGAACGAGGCATTTGTGCATTTGTACCCGGATGTTGTTGGGTATGGAGCTGTTCAGAGCGGGGGAGGTGAGGTCAGTGGGGGATTTTTCGAGTCGGAGAAATGGAGGGTGGCTTACCATGGCGTCTGCGGCTATCTCCCTGGATAGCCCATGTTCGCTGTCTGTACAGGAGCTCGAAGCCATCTCGTCCTCCAAAGAGGCGAATCTCGATACGCCCAAACCACCAAGGTTTGGTGGGGGTCGTGATGCTCGAGCGCGTTTAGGCGCTGCCGGTTCGCTCCATTGGGCGGCATTGTTCTTCTCAAACCCCTCTAAATCAACGGACGCCGTTTCGGGCTCCGATGGTGGAGGCTCGGGAATAGAAGCAGCATACGAAGATGCAGCTGAAGGGGCAGATTCCTCCTGATGAATCTTTTGTTGAACATTATTCATCGAAAATTGCCCACTGCCTCCAGTGCGTAAGTTTTGCCCGAAGTACATGATGCCAGAAACATGTTTTGTCACTTTGATTGGATCGCCAGCTCTCACCTCCATGATTATGCTGGATTTTTTTGATGCATCGGCTCGAGCGACCACTACCATTTCTGGTTGAAGTTCCAACGTTTTTGATTGCAAGGAAGTCACTACCGAGGCAAGCGCCCTTGCAACTTTCGGATCTTGAAGCGATCTGACAGAGGTTCTTCGTGTTGTCTGGAGAGCAGTGACATCTCTTGCCCGCTGGTTGACCCTATGCCTTTCGTGGTCTCCTGAAATTGCGCTTTCCGGGGCCCATTTGCTGCTTCCTCTTAAACTGTGGGAGGCCGCGCTGGACACTTTCTTCGAACCAGGCTTACGGGTGAACTGATCTTTAAGGGCCCTGGCCTCTTCCAACTGTTCTTGAGTAAACAGTGGTCTATTGGATTCCTTCGTTATTTCGACTGGCTTTGGAGTGGGTGGAGGTCGTGACATCTCCGTAGATAGCTCAAATGTATTATCCTCCTCCTTTTGCACCTCATCTGCCCAAGAAATTATCTTCTCGTCTGGAGTCTGCGTAGGCTCCTCGGTGGAAGAGGGAGGTGAGGACAGCTCCGGGCTTGGATCCCCAAAAGAATCAAGAGCATCTGTCTCCTCTGCAGAAGTACCTGGTGAAATCCCCCTCCCAATTCCCTTCCCCTCAGTAAGACGTAAAGAACCAATTGTCTCCGGCTGTAGACCAATTGGCGTTGCTGTGCCCTGACCATCATCGCTCATGTCCAAAATATGTCTCGGAGGCCCATCTGTAAAAACATATTTTCCCTTGTGGATACACAGGTCAATGCTCATCCATTCGTCTTCCGTGAAATAATCCACCATGTACAGCATGGAAAGACCCTAAACACCAACGAAATCAGTCCAATACGCGGTTGGTTGCCCTGATGTGCCATGTTGGAACGTGGTATTTAGGATTTGGGATTGAGCCATGTACCAGTACATACCGATTTGACTTGGTCAAGTACGCGGGCTGTTTTCTCAGACAACGCCATGGTGGGCACAGAAACGAGTGCTTCGTCTCACGATATGCCTTCAATAGAAAAAGAGGAATGGAGGTTGGGAGCTGAGAGTTGGAGGTTGGAGGTTGGAAGTTGTGCTGGACCGCCGGAAATGTTCCCTATAGCCCCCCCCGAGACCGAGAGCTAAAACAGGGCCAGTCACCGAGCAAGGGGAGGGGAAAAGGAAGGAAAGTTGGCCAAAAAAAGAAAAGTGGAGGAAAATGCCACAGTAATGTTATGTATTTATAAATAGAATTGAGAATTCAACAGAGTGGAAGTTCATGCCCAAAAGAAACGGTTTTTTTGGTGGTGAGTGGTGAGAATTGGCCAATGAACAGCCCCTGATGTTCCAACTTTACACCGCACCGCACCACACCGCAGCGAGTTTCATGTCCTAGCAACGCAACGCCGCAACTCCACCGGTTGCACGATTGGAGCGGCTGCAGGTGGTTGCTGGGTGCTGGGGATGCGGGGCGGGCACCAATCATGCAAGACACAAGCCTTATTCCCCAGGGGCAGGCACATTCTCGCCCATTTGGTATGGCGGACATGCACATGACAGCGCGATATTTACGCGTTCCAGGTTCGGGTTAGGGTAGGAAAAACATCAGGGGTTGAATGGTGGGGTGGAAGCACAACATACAAATCCGACTTCGGCCTCATATTTTCCGTATTGCTGCACGTCATGCTGTGATTCCCGCATGCTTTGAAACTGAATTCGATGGAAGCATACATATGATGAATTGATTGTACAACTTGACGAGGCCGACGCTGGTTTGGGTCCAATAAGCGAGACAGCTTGTTCCCTGATCCCCAAGCTCAGCAAACGAATTAAGAGCAAGCTGAAAAATAGCAAAAGAAGGTGTGGCAAGAAGAGCAGAAGACCGTATTAATTAGATTATAAGACAACATTTAACAGATAAAAAAGTGGTCTAGAGACTAAAAAGAATAACAGGGCATTACTGTTGTATCAACAGGGGAATGACTTTCACCCGAAAATACGCTGACTTTACACAGTGCGAGACATGCATTGAAGCCTGATAGAACACTCAGAAGGGCCGGAAAAAGGAGCTTCTATCTCGGAAGAAGTGGATGTTCTTTCCGCTTGCACTGTAGCTTTTGAGTCGATCCAAGGATACCGATACAGCCAACTACCCATCAACTTGTGGATCTCAAATTGATGTTCAGGAGATACATTGACTGATATATATAGCGGGGATCTGTATTACTGTAGAACTACCATCGAGGCCAATTCTTTTCTAGATAAGTTACTCCCCTTGATTTCTCTGTCCCTCAATTCCGCCTTGTAATACAAGAGTTAGTCTTTTTGGTCATGTTTGCAATTGGGAAGCTATTACAATCATTGATAATGTAAGACGGTCGGATAAATCCTGGCCATTTTTCACAAAAAGGTCCTTCGTGCAAAATTGTCCCTTGCCTGCGAGAAATATATTACCTTTATACCCCAACGGTACTCTGGATACTTAGCAAAGAGGCTTTACCGTCTCGATAACCATGAGAGTAATTCTGATACTGATTTGATGGCTACGAAATTGGATGTGCGCCAATTTAATGACTGAATTTAGTGGATCGCATTTGAGAATTCTCATAATAGCGCATAGATGGAGTATGGAGGTATAGCGGTCAAATCTTGTATAAGGGGAGGCTTTATAACTAATTTTATAGAGTTAGAGGAACTAGGGGTATAATAATATAACCACCCGTAGCAGGAGTTAAGGTCTTATACCTTAACTCTATTACTATTTCTGGATACCATGGAACACGCTAGCAACAGAGAACCAGCTTCCATGCGGAGGAAAGTCTTGGAGGTCCGCGCAAGCGAGTCACATGATAAACCCTCCTAACAATACATCAAAGAGAGGTGAAGTAGTGTATAGCTCGCTTAGCTATTGCCTTTAGTTAGACATTAGCAGAACTACTGGGAATAAAAATCTTCCGTTTTTACATCCTATAGACTACATTTTTCTAGAAGAATCTCCGATTATGTGTTGTTTTCTTCCCTCGGTTGAATTCGGCTGTTCACCTGGAGGCAGGTCTATCGCGGGCGTGGGCGCGTCCGCTACCAAGGAAGGCCATTGATTGGGGGGTAGTTACTAGCTTTGAATACTAGTTTCAGATGTGAGAAATGATATTCTAGATTGACTGTATGAACTCTGATAAGGGTGTTAGGTAAGGTGAAGGGTGGTGGGGAACGGTCTAGTCGATGGTGTAACAAGTGGTATGACAGATGGTGTGCAGGTAATGATAGATGTAGCTTATGTGATATTACATCGCAATCAACTTTCTTGAACTCCAGTTGAGATGTTCAACTGCAAAACTATACACTACTCTGACTCCATGGCGAATAACACAAATTGAGAGCCCCCATATGCCACGACATACAATCCTTGACATCGTCTATGAACTTGTCAGGCCCAAAGCCTTCCGCGAACTTGATATCAAACCTCGAAATACACTCCGCGATGGCAAGTCGCATTTCCATGAGCGCCAGAGGCCGCCCGATACAGCTGTGAGATCCTATGAAGGCAATTGTCAGTCGAGAGAAATAAATTGGACCACACAAGTGGAACATACCGGTTGAAAATGGTGCATATCCTGCCCGCTCTATTATCAGTTCAGGCCGAGAGGACCATCGCTCAGGAACGAACTCGTTTGCCATGCGGTAGACTGTTTCACATCGACCGATAGCATACTGGGACGTAAAGACAGTCATTTTTCCCGGAATAAAGGTGTCTTCCACCATAATCCCCTCAGGTGGCGTTACTCGCGGGATTGTGGATGCTGGAGGGTGCAGACGCAGAGCTTCGTTGATGACAGCATTGAGATGTTCTGCATTTTGTATCTTGTCGTGCTCATAGTATCCGTTGGTACTCCTCACTGGAAGAAGCTCCTTGCGCAACTTTTCGATATGTTGTGGATATCTTGCAAGGTAGTAGAATATGAAGGCTAATGTCGCCGCTACTGTGTCGCTGCCCGCGATAATGATGAACCTGACATCGTTTCTGATCACCGATATGTCTTGCTTCTCAGGACTGAGACTTTCGTAGTGAGCCAGAAGCGGAGCCATGATGCTTGGTCTTATCAATCTTTTTTCATCATTCATCAGGATTGCAAGCTGCTTGTAGCAGAAGTCGAGAAATTTGTCGGTTTCAGTAGGGGCTAAAGGCGAATCAACGAGAAGACGAATTAGCCACATAGGCAACCTGACGCCCATCATCTCCAGACTGTCCACCAGATGTTTGATAGCGGAATGATGGCTGTCATTCTCTAGCATCCCAAAAGACTTGCCCAGCCCCAAGTCTCCCATGGTATCGAATGCAAAGAACTCCATCAGTTTGGTGGTATCAACTGCACCTTCGGCCGAGCTATACAAGCGATCGAGAAGTAACTGAACGTACACAGCAACGCGGCTTTCATACCCCCGAAGCGCTTTATCGCCGAATCCACGACTCCAGACCCTTCGACGACCATGGTGCAACTCTTTGTCCCTTGTCGCTATCCCGCGATTTGGTTGCTCAAAATCGTATAAATCAGCTTTGCGACATTTGCTCTGAGGCCCATGGACAGCAGAAACTGCTAACGGGTGCACAATCATCAGATAGGATGACCCAACACGAACGTAAGGACCATATTCGTTGTAGAGATTAACGCTTGTCTTGTGCATGTCTGACTTGCCGAGCTGAGCGGTCAACCAAAGGTCACCAATACGTGCTGCGATTGGGCCAGGGAATTTATTTAGAGGATGAGCCAAAAGCCTGTAGAACAGAAGACTACTGTAGAGACCGAGCAGGGAGTATCCGAAAATTGCTGCACTTGATCTTAGTGCCGACATCAACGACACAGATAAGGCAATCGTCTGGGTTGCTGGTAGCAGTACAGAGGCGTAAAAAGCGACTTTGACGTACTTGCTGCCATTTCGATGGTGTTCTCCTCTCTTGAAATAAAATAGGTGGGTGCAGACGCCAGCCGCGAATGCGATCAAATGGGTGCGTTGTGCTATCATCTTGGGGAATGTTGTTCTTTTCTAGAGAGTGTTCCAAGACGTCCTTCAGCACAGTTCTCTTGATGGCAGTCAGTCGTCTCCCATCAACCAGTACCGCCAAAATCATACAGAGGTTCAAAATTGCACACCTAAGACTTCATATCAGAAAGCGCAATTGCGAAATTGAGGCCTTGACGTAGTGTTGATCCTCTCTAATGTACAGTGGTGGAGACTCTGACTAATAACAGCACCATGACTAGCAATCTGGTTTCCTAGAGTTTTGATAAGATTTCTTAACTCGTATCTCGCAAAACTAAAAAGAGGGAGAATCGGAGGAGACTCCAATAACGGGATTGTAAAAACAAGCATAGGTTTACGAGTGTAGAGGTACGCTACCGAGCAATGCACACTTCACGGTGTGGGCTAAACACGTACTAAAGTCCACTTCCATTTCCAAATTAGGCGTTCTCTCAGTCCCGCAGTCTCTTGATAAGTGCAGGGTTTTCAAGAACTACAGAGAAACCTTGATGTCAGAATTTAGGTTTTACTGGTATTATAAGGATATAGGAACCGAGGGACATAAGAATATGAACCGCCGTATCCTTGAAGCGCACATCCTAGTATCAAGGTATTTCTATAGTCTCCGACTACCTTGGCCCTCCGAATCAAATGTTTGAGCCTCCGAATGAAATATTCGGGCCTCCGAATCAAACTTCTACGGCAACAAAAGCCAGTTTACAAGTTATTTTCTTAGAAGGTTTAGTGCAAAATTGAGCCTAGTTCATGCGATATATGCCTTCAATTTCTGCTTAAACGGCTCGTCTGCGTATTGTAGTTAAGGCAGATGGAAGCTACTCCTAAACTCTCTCCATTTTCTGACTGAACAGAGCCTTGGTCAAGAAACAAAATCCTTGCCTCGCCCCTGTTTTCAAAATTTGTTAGCTGTGGATAATTGCATTGAACGAGTACTTAGGTAGAGCCTCCACCGGGTACTTGAATGTCAAACTCCTCCTTGTGCACTTACCCATTCTTCGAGTTTCTGGCGGAGTTTTCTTCAGCGGTGAGCGAGACTGCCACATCGGTGGTGATATAAAACAATATAATCTGCAAGTCCGCTTATACAATCATCAGGTACCGATCGGTATCTTCTCTGTCCCCTGCAATACCAATTCGCTTCATCATTGAGATCACCTGCCATTAACGTCAACTACGATCTCCCTCAAGGATGCTGTCCTACGTAAAAACCGTTGTGTTGGACAACTTCTCATGGCCATCAGTGCTACTGTTCGGTGGAAGCTTGGTATTTTTGTACTGTATGCCCATGACCTATCGCAATGCTGACTCATATACCATCACGTAGATTCCAAGCTATCTTCTCATATTAGCCATTTACAATGTCTTCTTCCATCCACTGCGAAGGTACCCTTGCCCTAAATATTTTGCTGCCTCGCCTCTACCATACGGCTTTTGGTATATTTCTGGGAAATGGCACACAAAAATTATAAAACTTCATTACAAGTACGGTCCAGTGGTTCGTATAGGTCCGAATGAGTTGTCATATTCTTGTCCTGAAGCATGGGATGATATTTACGGTCGCTATGTACCAGCAAAACGAAAGGAGAACTCCAAGCCAGTGTGGTACTGTAGTCCAGATGCCCACGATATGGTGGGTGCAAATCTTGGAGACCACGGACGAATGCGTCGTGTCTTTGCTCCTGCCTTCACATACAGTGCAATGTGCGACCAGGAGCCGTTGATCAGCAAACACGTCGATTTGTTCCTTGACCGGCTCGAAGATAAAGCACAGGGTGGCACGGCAGAAGTCAATATACTGGAATGGCTCACTTATTGCACCTTCGACCTCATTGGCGATTTGAGTTTCGGCGAGTCTTTTGGCTGTCTTCGCGAGTCGATGATGCATCCTTGGATTCAGCTGGTCTTCGCTAACATCTACGTAACGCATATTTTCATTCTCTGCAGGCGGATTCCGTTCTTCTTCGCTTTCTTGCCAATGAAGACAACATATCAGCTGTTCAAGGACTTTACAAAACATACCAAAGTTCTCCGGGAAGTGGTTGATAGGCGCCTAGCGTTGACCACGAAACGACATGATTTCGTCGATACGATGACTAGCAGCCCAACGAAGACGCTGGTAAGTTCATATCAGAACTATTTTTAAGATAAATAGAATCACAGCTAAACCCTGTTACCAGTATCTTACCCGTGAAGAAATCTTCAAAAATGCGGTTCTCCTCACCGGCGGCGGCGCCGAAACCACATCCAGCTCTCTCACAGGAATGTCATACATCCTCGCCACCCGTCCCCATATCAAAGAAGCAATCTTCAAAGAACTGCACCAAGTGTTTGCCAGCGAAGACGAGATTAACATGCGCAGCGTGGCGAAATTGTCTTATACTGGCGCGTTCATTGAGGAGAGTATGAGGTACTATCCGCCAGGACCAAACACGATGTGGAGAGTGACGCCGCCTGAAGGAAACACGATTTTGGGAGATTTCATTCCGGGGAATGTAAGTAACACAATTGTCATATACTTCATAATGAGCTAATTGACAAACAGACTGTCGTTGGCATTCCTCATAGAGTGATGTATCGAAGCGAGTACAACTTCAAGAAAGCTGATGAGTTTCATCCGGAGCGTTGGTTACCTGAAGAACAGAGACCCCTGGAGTTTGCGAATGATCGAAGAGACGGATTCCATCCATTCTCGTACGGCCCAAGAGCCTGTATTGCTATGAAGTAAGTCCTTACACAGTGGTACACTGTTATGATGCTGACGATCAAAAAGTCTCGCATATGCAGAGATGCGTTACATTCTCGCTCGCTTGCTGTGGAATTTTGACCTTGAGATGACGGAGCAAAGTCGCAATTGGATGGATAATCAGAAGGCATATCTTGTTTGGGATAAGCCTGGGCTATTCTTGAAGTTGAAGCCGAGGGAAAAGGGAGTGAGATAGAGGTTGGCCAAGTAAAGTCTCTATGAAGAGCAATGTTTTGTCGTTTACATGTCTTAAACCGCTATAGTAGCGGGTACAAATAGAATGAGAAATGTCTAATTGCCATGTTACTGGGATAAAGAAACACTAGATTAATATATAGCACCTGTGGAAATCTAATTCTCCTACCTATATTCCTATGAAGAGAGAGTATTTCGCGAACCAAATATTAAAGAGAAACTTTTATACTTACAAGTATCCCTTCGAGACAGGAAAGTACCAAAGAAACTCGCACTCCTAAGTGGAGTCATTGTATCCACTTATATGACATTTTCTCTATAAATCAAAGTCGTTTAGCCAACTAGGTCGCGTTTCCAAGCATTCAAGCCTTAGTTCGACCCATTTATCGTATCCACCTATATACACTTTGCCTGCAAGTTTTTTTTGGCACTATCCTGTCTGGAAGGGATAGTTAGTTACGTTGCCTTTCTCTTTTCTTGGAAAAGCTACATAAGGAGTTAGCAATCCCCAGAGATTATTAGTCACGAGCTTTTTATACGAGAAGCTATTATATAAAGTATCAAACTAGAAAGGAAGGCAGAAGAGTGGGTAAGCATACTAATATAGAAGTAATTATGGATAAGGAAATCAGCGGATCCTATAGTTTATAATATACAAAATAAATCATGTACTAGAAAGGCTCTGAGCCAGTATATATCAAAATATATCAAAAAACAATACCCGTTACCTCCTACCTTACGCTCTACAAAGCCTTCCCTCCCCATCTTCGACCCAATCCTCCGATCCAACAGCGGTATAAGCATAAAACACAGACGTCGGGTCATACTTGTCCTTGATCTCCCTCAACCTCTGGTAATTTGTACCATAAAAAGCACTCTGCCACTTTCCCGGATTATCCTTGGGATACACCAGCGGGTCGGCTTCATTCAAATACGCGCCAGACTCTTGCGTCTCAGCCTCAATAAGTGGATGCACAACACTCGCTAAATCCTGCCTCCGTTCAAGCATTGCAGGCTCAGGAATCGTCCAATCGTAGATCGAGAAGTCAAGGCAGACGGCGACTGCCTCGCGCCAGTATGAAATGACTGAATTGTCTGGGTATTGGATCCGCGTGGAGTTCACGTTCAATCCCATACAGCCGAATTGCCAGTTTGCTGCCGGGTCGGTGTCCATGGCTGTTATCAGGGCGGTTGTTAGGTTCCTGGATCTCTCACTACTCTCGGAGATAACTCGAGGGATGAGTCTACTGTTGAAAAGCATGCTAGAGACGTAAGGACCATCAGGAAGGGGACCATTGGCGACCTGGTAGTGACCGAAGAAAGATGGCGCAGCATAGGTCGCGAATTGGAAGTTGATGTTCAAGCTTCGTAATTTTGCCAGGTATGGCTCATAAATAAGAGCCATATCATCAGCGGTCTTGCCTGGAGCAGTGGTGTTGAAGACCAGGAACTGGCCGTTTATGAAGTTGAACGCTGGAGTAGCGCCCGTGTCGATGATTGAAGGAAGGAATTCCCACCAAGCTTGGAGACCTGCCGCATAGATCTCCGCACTGGCAGAGGACGTAGAACTGGCGTTGAAACTGAGAGTCGCAGCTCCAATAGGACCATCATCAGGATAGATCTTGGTTGTCATGCTGAGAACAACAGCATATGTACCAGCTCCTCCACCACTCAGTGCCCAGTACAAATCTGCATTTTCAGTTGGAGTAGCGATCAGATGTTGACCGTCTGCAGTGACAACCTCCCACTCCAACACATTATCGGCGGCCATACCATAGGCGCCATTCAGATATCCATGGCCACCTCCTGAGGCATAGCCACCTGCTATGCCCACAGTTGGACAGTCTCCTGTGACGAGGCGATATCCGTTGTCATGGGCGAGTAAAAGAGCGTCTCCGCCAGAACGACCTGCTCCAATCTTGATCGCTGGTCCTGTGTATGAGCTGCTGTTGTAGGTAGGGATAATCTCCATGTCTTGTAAGTTGCGAGTCCACAGAGAAAGACCCCCTTTGCCGGTAGACTTTCCGAGAAAACTGAAGCACTCGCAATTAGCATTATTACCAAAAGAACTCTTGTTACTGGATTGTTCATGGAGAGTTAAGGTCCTTCGTACAGGGACAGACATGCTATCGCTTGCTGTTCTTGACAAAGGGTGAGGAGCATTTGAGACTTACTCATGGCCAGTATTCTTGATAACTAATCTCACATTGTTCTCCTGGGAAAACTTGATGCCGGCTACGACGTCCTCAACTCCACTAACTGAGATCGCGTAGCTAACGTAGTTGCCAAGTTCGCATGTTCCATTTATGCTATAGTAGGGATTACACGATGCATTTTGATAGTATGGGTTCATAATCTCTCCTGAGAAAGGCGTGCTGTTTAAAGGTCAGTCATGAGTTAAGGCAGCACAAACTTGCTTAAGTACTTACTATGTCTTGGGAAAGTCCCATACCTTTGCTAGAGCAGCACATGCGGCCTCATCGTACTGTACTCCTCCATAACCCTCACGATGGCAGACGGCTGCTTGGGGGATTGTGGCTATCAAACGCCCACTAACAGTTTGGTTCAGTTGAGTCCAAACATCTTGGCTTGGCCAGTTACTATCACCGAGTACAGCTCTGCAGCTAGAGTTTGTCTGGCGAGTGCTGATTACAGCGGCACCGACAGGCGACCCCGCAAGAAGAAACAGTGTGGTTAACGAAATCACACGTAAAGTTTCGCACAGCATTTCGCAAATACAGTACCGAATGAAAAAGAAGAAATTCCAAATACCGAAAGAACAAGAATAAATTCCAAATTTTGTGTTTAAAAAATTCCCGACAGATGGGAGGAGATATTCTGAAAGCTTAAGCTTAACATATAAAGAGTTTGGAAGGGATATCCTAAAGAGATTGAGTTCAACGTTAATTTATCTTAGATCACTGTGGAAACATTCTCAGCCACATTAGTTTAGGGGTGGTGAGGGGATTGACAGCAGATTCGTGCTCAAGTCCGTCGGAGTGTCTCAGCGCCCCCAACTTCGATTGTTTACATTTGCCGAAAGCAGTAACCGATGCCGAATCACCTTCCTTTCCTTCAACGAAGATTTAATAAATTGCCAGCGCCAATCGATTTCATGACTTGATCTGAATATCAAAGCATCTCCCATGACTCGAATCTATGACAGCTTGATTCAACTCTATACCCCTTTTCTTAATCAAAAAAGGATAAGATTAGGACTACTTAAGCGAGTTGCTTATCAGACGCTTAGCTGCATAAAAAGATCATCCCCTCGCATAAATTCACCCGGAGAATCTCCATAATCAGCTTTCGTTCTGAATGCCCAGAATTGACCGACCCGCATATACCTGTAGGCTAAGAACACCAAAAGTAACATGGCAATGGGTTAGGTTGGTGCCTTGTACACCCGCGTCGCTCAGGAACATCAGAAGCACCAAAAGTACCCAACCCACTCTCGCGCTTATGTTAAGCTAGAATCGTAACTAGAGCCTAACAAAAAGGTATCGGATTGCTGTACAGTTATTTTCGTGTGTAAACTGTGTTTTTAGACCAAGTTATATACAAGTAGAAGTACTATGGATAATATAAACACATGGACAATCTCAGTGAAGGAGTCTCCTCGGAGTCTCCTCCGATTTTCTCTGTGGGGTGAACTCGGATAATACGAGGGCTACACAGCCACGCATGCTCGCACAGTTCGCAAATTGTGATGAATCGTATTTCAGGCATTTGGGTGGGACAACAGTGGATGGTAAATGGTTGTCCAGAGACTCCCGCCCGGCACTCCCGTACCCCGCACCGCACGCGATTCGCAATTAAACTACATACGCTTTTCTAATGAGACAATTCGTAATTTTACCTACAAATCTGTCTTCTTCGTATGTTTTTGCGACCTGTGGAAGTGGCGCTATATAGGTAGAAGTCACGTTATAATATCCCTCTATTTTCCATCTATAAAATTGCCTAGGGAGCTAAACAACTTCATTTTACGGGTACTATATTATCGAAGTAGATACCTTTACTCCATTCTAAGAGACTTCTCTTACATACAATCTGAGTGGAAGCTTTTAGCTTTAACTATTTACCTTCTTTAGGCAGACGAACTTCTGGTAGAATGAAATTTTCCGTAAGATTTGTATGGAGTTATTATTCTGCTACAAACCCGTCTACTGGCATATCAAAAAACCTACTACCTGTCCTGCCCCTTCGCACTTGCTGAAGTGCGTGTTTAGCTCAGATTAGCAGAATGTGTAAGAACTTCTCGGTAGCATACCCCTGTACTAGTAAAACCATACTCGGGTCTATAGTTGTATCAAATACACACTCTTGGATATACTCGAGTCGAGTATTGTTTAATTAACGTCAAGTGTCGACCACTGTATATAAATCAGACGAACACGCTACCTACATAAGGAGTAGTATTAACGTCAGGTAGAATAAGCGAGTTCATAGAATGCGCACCCTGATGGCTACTTATAACGCACCTATAATTTTCACATAGTGCAATCTAGATAAAGCTATATCAATGTATTGGAAGTGGTACGGAAGGTACCTTATTTTACCTTTCGTTCAAAGTGCGGGCCAAACGTTCTATTTGCTCGCTACTGTACGAGTCAATAGCGCATTGGGGTGTAGAACCTTAAGTAGTATGGTAAATACACCCTGGAAGGGGCATTCCGAGGCCCAGCAGGCAGCACCAACTTCGAAGGGTGGGCAAAAGGTGGATATTGAGGAACATCCATAGCTAAATTACCCATAACCTTTGCGAGTGGCAGTCAAAACCCTTCCACGTTCCAAATGTGACAGTCACGATCATCTGATACAACAACATAGCAAGCTAATCGATTTCTCTCTCCATAATTATGCGGCCACGCCCAACTCCAACCTTTTCTACCACACCGACCTTCACAACCTCCAAACGTTCAGCGTGCAACCGTTGCAGAGCGCAGAAGCTACGCTGTCCGCCTAGGGAGAAGGGCGAACAAGCTTGCGAACGGTGTATACGACTGGGCGCCCAGTGCGTAACAGGCTATTCGAATATATCTACAAAGGGCGGTGGTCAGGTAGCAAAGAAACAGAGCCAGGGAGGCACGACTTCCAACCGTCCTGCTCCCGCGAAGTTGGATCTTGGGCAAAGTCTGGGGCCCGAGACAGTCCAGGTTCCATTGACAATATCATCTCCGTTTTTTCCATCAACTACGAGTACCGATAACGATCCGGCGACTTGGTCTTGGGCTGGAAATGGTCAAGCTCATTTCTCGCCTGTCGGGCCCTCAGACACCTTGCCATTCTCTTTCCCAGATGGCAATTTAGATTTGTGGGCGAATGCGCTGAGCTATCTTGGTAGTGCCAATTTTGGAGAGGGCGAGGGAAATCTTTCTGGCGATCTCGAAGATATGGGTGGGCTTTCGTTTCCAGAGGAGGAACAGTCAAGAAATGCTTGTAAACCCTTCGAGGTTAAACAACCACCATCACCATCAAACACGTCACATACACTTGAAACTGATCAACGGCTCTCTACTCTTGGTTTAGACCTTTCAATACGATTACAGCAATGCGTCGTGGCCAACAGTCGACCTTGGGATTCCACAAATGGGGATAGTTCATGTTCATCTTCCCTTCAAAGACGTTCGTCGGCAGCTACGACTGAAGGAACGGATGCCATGGCTACGGATCCAAACGAGATTGGTTCAACAAACTGCATCTCCTTTGGTCACGCTCTGCGCAATACATCGGAGTTCGTCGCCATCATTCAATCTTACGGTGCCGGGCGCAGCACCCCTCAAAGTCCAAATTCAAGCCCATCCTTGGGTGTAATTGCCACCCTTAATGTTCTGTCCGTATATCTCCAGGTCATTGCAATCTACGACCATCTTCTCGGACGGCTTCACGAACAATTATACAACTCAACCAGCCAAGCAGGATTTAATGCCGAATCCTTCCCCGCATTGCAGACACTTCCCGGGCTCCAATTGGCCGGGTTATCGGTAATTGAAGGGAACTTGCAAACCAAGATTTTGATCCAAGCCATTTTGCATCAGCTCGAGACGATCGAGAATCTTCTCGGCCTTCCAGCCGAATTTCGCGTGGCCGATCGACAAGATGTGCATACCAAGGGATTGTTGGATGATGAAAGAGCGAGAATTTTGATGAAAGCTGCGATGACGGAAGGGCGATATGGGACCCAGGTCGCTATGGATGATCCACAGGAAGGAAGCGAGCTGGGAGCATTGGCCTCCTTGAAGAGGAATATCCAGAATATTAGACAATTTCTGGCTGCCGGTACTCTCTAGTAGTGCTAACCAGGAAGTGTATCGTATAGACATACGGTCATGTGCACTTCCTGTGAAGAATGAATTAGAGACTCAAATCCCACTAAGATGGGGAAAATTCGCCTTCGGTGACTCTTTAAATTGATTTTCCAATGAAATCCTACATACCTCCTGGTGTGGCAGATGGTCCTGCCAAGGTAAAACACTACTGAAAACCCACCTGTATATCATAACAAGCTCTAGTTCTCCTTGAACATAGCCAATCGAAAATCTCCGGACCCTCTTCCTAACTTCCTTAGCAGTTGCTATGCCTCTAGGTGGACAAATAAGCGGGGGGTTTTTTAGTTGTGCACGGACCAAATAACTCTCGCTTAGCTTGTCCACCCAACTTCGAGAACGAAGCGAACACCAAGTACTTGAGCCTCAATAATTGTACCTGATGAAAGCCATATTATGAATGCACACGTATGAAAGCATGAAAAGAGTCCTGATTGTTGGCTAACCGACTTATATATCTCATGAAATTTCCTTATTAGGAAACTTAGCCTATAAGGTTGTTATCCTTACAACAAGCTTTTCCCCTCGTATCTCACCTTTGAGTAACATGGCCAGACCATCCCGGATCCCATCCCACTTTCCGGGTATCTCCCTAATGGGATGTGGGCGTAACTTTCCCGCATCGAGGACCCTCTGTACCTCGATTGTCCAGCTCGTCGTAACCTCAAATAACGTTTTGTTGGCTTCACGCGTGTATATCGAATCGCCGAGGTCTACGCGAACGCCGAGACCCTCATATGCCATCACTTCCTTCGTCTTGATTGAGCGTCGGGTCTTCCATGCGTCGGGCAGCGCCTCCAGGCACGCATATCGACCGCCTGTTCTTGGCATGGCGCCAAAGCAAATGGCGACAGACTCGATATCAGTGATACAGTCGAGCACTTGGCGTATAGGCACTCCTTGGGCCAGTGATTTGATGGTTTCCGTGCACGTTGCTGATGTGTATGCCGCTGTGTACGCCGCGCCATAAGAAGAGGCCAACGGGGCCGAAGTGGTGGAAGTAACCGCAATCGGGGAATACCCAGATCTGAAATGACAAGAGATCTCAACGCTTATCTTTGCACTTGGCTGGTTAGGGCTGAACTCACAAATTGAGGAGCTGCACTGCCATGGTGCCCGTTGCGGTGGCTCCCCCGTACACCAGTATGGGCACCTTCTTACCATTTGCCGTTGGCTCAACAGGAGCAGAGGGTCGACCTTGTAGTGCCAAAGCATCCGCATCACAGAAGGCTAAGCCCACGGTAGCCCAGCCGATGCCACCGAGGGCGGCCCCTTCAAGGTCGCTCCAGCCTGCAGGAATCTTCAAGCAGAGGCGGGAATCGACGACAACATATTCGCTAAATGAGCCATTATGGGTATTGTCCGGAGCGAGTGTGTATGGGAAAAGTCCGCCACAAATTCTGTCGCCGACGGACATGAACTCCGAGAGCTCGGTATTGGGACCGGGACCGGTAGATGTGGGGAAGTTGGCATTTGGTGGCGCAACAGTGCCAATCGCTTCAATAACACCGCAAAAATCACATCCTGCCACACTGCCGACCACGGGGAAATGCATCACCATCTTGTGGTCCGTAGGGTTGAGCGCCACGGTGAGGACCCGTACAAGCACATGGTGTCTTGATGGTAAGTCCTTACTGGTAGGAATTGGTATGGATCGAGAGATGGTGAGTCTCTCGTGTATGGTTGTCCCCTCCGTCTGCACTATGGCCGTTTGAGCTCCGGCGGCCATGTCGAGGCATCCAAAGTGTGGAATGAAAAACGAAAAATTCGTTCCTACCGTACCGTGTCTCGTTTATAATTGCGAGAGCGAGATTGAAGGTAAGTTTTCTTGGTACAACAAATATTGATATGCACGAACCTACATGCTCCGAACTTACTTATGTTTACCTACACTAGGTAACTGAATCCGACTCCGAACGATGCCGATTGAATCTTTACTTTGACTTTTCAATGCCTACCCACGAAAAAGCTTTAATCAAGTGTACTCTATCTCGAAATAGCTTCAAGCTATCGACAAAGACTGTACGAGTCTCTAAAGGGAACGGTGCTCTCTCGGATGTTAATTTGAGTAAATTTTCTATGGCATCCACACCATGGAGGCAAACAGGTCCACCGAGTATTCGCGAAATCTCTTGGCACAACCATCTTATATCGGAAGTCGTCACTTTCTTCCCCACTACTTCTTAAAAAACAAAACTAAGTTGCACCTAATGCACCATCTGAATCAGTTGTCGCCCCCTCGATACAAGAACATGCACGAGTATTATGCTTTATTACCCCTCTATTCTGGATGAACTTTCTTCATCGCCCCTCACGCTTAATCAAATTAACATTAAGCTCTTCTGCATAAATCCATGTGCAACTGAACTGGGTGGAGATCCAAGGTTATGATAGAGTGAGTACCTTAGTTTACGATCCAAACTCAAGTGTATTACTTGGTCTTCTGAACTACCATAGTGTCTCTTGTATGCAAATGTCTCAAAAAGAAAAAGGCTAGAGGTGGAATAAATGGCCCTGGGAGGCATACAGAGCGTAACAATCTTGTTCTCCTCACGGAAGTCTGTTAACAAATCACTTAACACAATCGTAAATGTCTGGTACATACTCCGATAATTACGAGGCTAAAAAAACACTACTGTATTTACAGATTTTATTCTTTGGTGCACGTGGAAAACCAAACAAGGTCGTGCACGTGAACACATGTTCGCTTAGATCTCCTTTTTTCACGCCAAACTTTCACGTTCAAATTTATTAGTTCGTCGAGAGTTACCCTACTTAATCCTTATATTTTAGGTTAAGACTTTTAATTTACTTATAGCTATCAAATAGAGCTTCCACTTAATGATTAGGATTTATTAATACCTAATTAATTATAAGTGTATTCTTATAGCTAAATATGATCCCTTCGCCGTCCATTTTTGCCTAATAATACACGCTATCCTGGCTACTCTAGTAACAAATGAACGTTACTAGAGTAACCTGGAAAGCTGGAGTATTCAAGTGTGTAGCCTAAATCTCGTATCGTTTCTATGGCGCGTTAATTGAGAATATCGGTTCCCCTTGTTTTTAATAAAAGCTACTTACTCCTCGCGCGTTTCTCGTAGGTAGCTGCGTGTCTGTTTCTCATGCTACTTTTGTAGTATCTATTCTAACGAGTCTTAGTACTTTTTGGGCATTCTGGGTATCTGATAACAATGTAGTAGGACTAAGCCCATACACTGCAAATTGTGCAATTGCAGCCTTCGTTAGTTATGCTTGATTGCTGATGAAAAGTTATCTATTACTTGTTAGCTCAGACATAGTAGTCTTTGACTTGAGTTTTATAACCAGCTTCTGCATGTGCAGTGTCGTAATCCGAATTTACTCTACCCAGTGTATAGTGTAATCCCACTTCACAAAAATGAACAGCCGTTCTTGAATATGAGACTAATGCTTCGCTACTTATTTTCAACAGTAGACATCCTCTTTTTCTTTTTCCTATTTCATAACTCAGCTGTCGAAGCCTATTTGCGCTTCTCACACTAAGCTAGATGTCATCGCTGCCTTCAAACACATACGAATAGCGGAAGGCCAGAAATAAATGACAGCATTCAACAGGCTATCCAAGACTCTCTTTGTGCCTTTTGGACTCACTAACATGATATACTAATATATTCAGACACTTGGAAGGAGATGGTATGCATATTAATATAACTTTGAAACTACTCAGAGAAGCAGACCCTCAGTTGGATCTAAGAAAAGCGAATTGGAAGTTCAAGAAGTTAAATATCTAGGGATTATTATCTCTACGACTAGAACTCTAAGGGACCTAAAAAAGGTTCACGCAACTAATACATGGGAGGCTCCAGAGTGCCTCATAGATGTACAAGCTTTTCTTGGTTTTGCAAAAATTTACGGACGCTTCATTAATAAATTTGGCTATACCGTTAAACCTCTTAACGTACTTGCAAAGAATGGAGTTAGGTTTTTTGGGTCAGACGCTTGTCAGTTAGCATTTGAGATATTTAAGAACGCTTTTGTTCTGCGCCAGTTGTTCAAAACTTCGACCCAGGACAAGAGGTTGTCATAGAATACAACCCCCTTAATCACGTTTCTATCGCTATCTTGTCCCAGGACAGCAATGATATAGTTTTATACTCAGTTATTTTCATGGTGAGGACTTTTAACTCTATGGAGTTTTATTGCGACATCTATAATATGGAACTAATTGTTATAGCTCGCGCTTTTGAGACGTGGAGATCCGAACTTCATGGCTCTGCGTATCCGATCTATGTACTTGATTATCATTCCAGGATGAAGTACTTTATAACTACTCTGCGTCTCTTTCAATCACAGGTCCATAGGGGTGAGCTTTTACAACACTCTGCTATTCTCTGATACTGGTGTATTGGCATGAGCTTCATGTTTTGAAAAACTCTTGCCTCAATGTGCAAATACTCTAGACGCACATCCAAAACCTTTGGAGCTCGAATTCAGTGCTGGCCACCTGATTATCTCCTCCGTAATCCTTGTCCCGCGAGGAATATTTCCAGGGCGCGTAAAGTGGATTTCAACCAACTCCAAAAGTCAAGAGAAACTTATATAAAGCTCGGAATGTCTTACTTATATATAGTACCACGTCAATTCTAAAACTCCGACCGTGAAATCCCTTTAAATATATATGTAAAAAGAAACGCGTTTGAATCAGGGGCTCGCCAAACACGAAAACATCTCGCTAAGGGACAAGGACTGCGGAGGAAATAAGCGGCATGAAAGTCCTCAAACTGTTTTTTTTTGCCATCTGCAGGTGGAGGTTGGTAGCAATGAACCCCTTAAAGTCCAAGAACCATTCGGACATGGGAATTTGTGCTTTGTTGGCTAACTCAATGAAGCGTTCAGAAGTCTGTGACGGTTTCACTATTCTGCATTTCCATATGGGATAAAGGAACCTAGCTTCAATTTTCTCAAATGGGCTAGTGAGGTAGGTGGTAACAGCAGTGATCATGGATTATGCATATGAGTTGTTGCCCTGCTGGCGGTCGTATTTTAAAGCTTGCGTTGCAAGGCCAGTGGTAGTTGAAAAAACAGTTGCCATTCTGCCAAACTTACTTCTCAAGTGATCTGCATTCACTTCCAGCCCTTCTTCACTTTCTTTCTACATGCAAGCGTTTCTGGGTTTTTTCCATCTGAGATGGTTTGAACGCCCAAGGTTGCTGACTTGAACACTCTTCGTATGTGGAGGGCTGCCACTGAAGGGACTGGTGTCTCTGGGTGGACTATCTCAGAGCAGTCTGCTGGAAGGAGTTGTTAAAACTACGGTTGTGTGAGAGTGATAGAAGGGTTAGATTCTTGTAGACTATATTAAGATATACGAATTATATGTTACTAGGAATTGTTAGAGAAGATCGCTGATTTATAATTGTTCGAGCCTTATTCTAATACTCCTTTGGCTAAGAAGAGCTACTGTAGGACTCGGTGAAGAAATTTGGATGTACTCTGCGTGCGCATCTCACGCGTCCTGGAAACAGTGACTAAACCAGAAAAGATTAAAGGAAGCTAATCTTCTAAGTAAATTGTACATTTCAAGGAATGGGGCCAATCAGTCCATGCTTTTAGCCCAGCATGGTTCAAAGATAATCTGGTGCCACAAAGAGAGAAAGTGAAGCTTTCATAGATATGGTTTGACTTGCTCCTCACACCACTCCCAGAACCTTTTACAGCTACCGTTTCCACCTTCAGCCTTACTCTTCATTGCAGAGAGTAGGTCCTGTCGAATTGGATAAATTCGACCAAAGGGAACGACTAGAGACAAGTTAGACCCAAAATATCGCCTACGATGGTCTTTGATTGAATTTTACTTACCCCAACTTCCAGACTTTTCAATTGTCACCTCAGGCGACAAACCTGCGAACAATTCCGTATAAGCCCCATTTATAGGAGGATATCCTACCATCCCCGACACAAACTTCATCACGGAATTCTGGTCCCGGAAGAGTTCGGAGGTAAGGTTTCCTGGATTCAATGGAATACTGATGACACCATCTGCCCTGTGTCGATTCGCAAATTCCACACCCAGTGCCCAGGCACCCGACTTGCTGCGGGCATACCTCTTGGGACCAGCAACATCTTTCTTGTAGTCCAAATTATCGAGTGTAATCCCAAAGTTGGTTGGAGCAAACATCTCGTGTGCAGCTGAAGCAAGCCAAATCACTCTAACATGGTTGTAGTGTTCCACCTTGGCGGTTGAGACTAAAATAGGTGTGAGGAGCTTGGTGAAGAGGAATGTTCCAACATTGTTGATGCCCAGGTTCAATTCGTAGCCTTGCGGTGTCCGTTGAATCTTTTCGGGAGCCATGACACCTGCATTATTGAAGAGAACGTGGAGTTTTGTTTCGGCATCGAGGAAGCGCTGTGCAGACGCCTTGATCGTAGTCAGATCTGCTAGGTCTAAGTGGAGAAAGACCAATTCTCCCTTAGATGCAGGCTCTGAGTCTTTGATGTCTTGTATTGCATCGTCGGCTTTGGTTTTGGAACGTGCTGCAATGTAGACCTTGGCATCTTTAGAATACAATACACGGGCCAACTCTTTACCAACGCCGGTATTGGAGCCGCTGACGATGTACACTTTTCCATCGAGACTTGGTAGGTCTCTCTCAGTGAAAGTAGGTATGGGTGGGTGATGTTGTGTCCATAAACTGGAGAGTCTGGCCCCCATACTTTCTGACATATAGTAAGAGATTATATAATATGAAGCAAGAAAAAAAAGCCTAGTACAAGAAATTTTCTTTGGATTTGGCCTTCGATCGCTGAAGATACTGTAGCAAAAATGAAACCGTCAAAACTCGACTTAGAGGCTCGGAGGGGATTTTGGTGTAGACGAGGCCAAAAGTAGGTATCTGCTCCAGTACACCTTGGGCATCCGCATCGGGTTTTGACTACAGTAGCAAGGAGACCCTACGATGCGCTTGATAGCCTATCTGTTTCAATGGCAGCACTGCACGTCACTGACTGCGGCAGATCATTGGAGCTCTAGGTTCAAAGTGTACCATGCCAGTTCAATAAGATCGACGCCCTGCATAGGTCCACTACTATGCGATACGTCTTTGCTAATATATTCCTTTTTAGCCAATAGAACGCGTAGATGAACTGCTTATTAAAGTTGTCCAAGACACAGCATAAAAGTTATCAAAAAAGAACCTCATATAGTGGGTTTTGATATGATCTGCGTGCATGGGTTATTCCTTGCCTAGCCACCTTCTCAGGATTATCCACCCCGAGATATCACGTACGTCCGGACGTTCAGTACGAGGTGATAGCGAAAATCCTAGCAACACCTCAACCATCCCTTCAGAACTACAACAGTAAATTCGGTATACCTAATGTATTCATATTACATGACATTCCGAACCATTTTTGGAGCCTGCAGTGATAGAGAGACAAGTTATGCCCGTGCCGATGGCAGCCGGTATATCGATGTTCGGTACATATTGTGGTATCGGAAAGTCACTGCATGCCTATGATTCAGGTTCTGCCCTGCAAAGCAACGTCACTGCCGCGGGAATACCCCACATGCCAAGCATCTCTTGAGAATGGATTCTTACTGGAGAAGATATGCTACTGTATCGACTTTTAGCGATAATCTTGTCGTTAAGTTGGCCCCAAGAAGTGGACAAAATGGGAGAAATATCTGTGTACAAACTGTATCAATAATAAGTGGAGAAAGTTACTCCCCTTTTTGGCTTAATTAAGCCTACGTTATACAAAATGTGCCGTCGCGTTCTATTTAGATGCTTCGTATTTGTATTGATACTTGAAGCTACTCCTATATTCTCCTTATCCGCTTATTAGATAATTTGTTCGGTACCTACTAATTCGTTACTAAAGTCGCGCAAACAAAATCTTACAATAAGTCATAAACCTGGTTATATATATACCAAGAAACGTTGTTACTATAAAAATCGATGGCAAAGCCTTTCCACTTACCGCACTATGAAATTGAGGAGTTTCTTACCAAGATTTGTGAAAGGTTATTTGTTGTCCCACAATGTCGAATTCGAGCTTCCTTTGAATGGAACTAAGCCATACATACATTGAGTATGTAATTAAGTACCTTGCCCTCGCAGCCGACAACCTAGATTTGAAGAAGCATTCACCTTGAGTTATCTTCATACTTTCTTCACTACTTATTCAACATTACTTGTTAACGAAGACATCAAAACCCAAATTAGATACCATGTCTAATGAGCCTATCGCAATTGTAGGTAGTGCGTGTCGCTTCGCAGGCGATACCAATTCTCCCTCCAAACTATGGGAGCTCCTCAAAGACCCAAAGGATCTTCGTAGCGAGATACCAAAGAGTCGATTTAGTGCAAAGGGATTTTACCACAAAGATGGATCACATCATGGTGCCGCCAACGTTCTACATTCATATCTCGTTGACCAAGATATGAGGTCATTTGATGCCGAGTTTTTCAGTATCAAAGCAGCGGAAGCAAAGGCGATGGATCCTCAACAGCGATTTTTGATGGAGACAGTTTACGAAGGGCTCGAAGCTGCCGGTATGAGAATCGGCGATCTCCAAGGTAGCGATACAGCCGTTTATGTCGGTGTTATGTGTAACGACTACGGCAGCATGCTTCTTCGCGATCTTCAGCAAACACCAACTTACTTAGCAACCGGAACAGCAGCAAGTATATTATCAAACAGACTGTCATACTTTTTTGACTGGCGGGGCGCTTCTGTCACAATTGACACAGCATGTTCGTCAAGTTTGGTCGCGATCCACATGGCGGTACAGGCACTTCGCTCTGGCGATTCGCGTGGTGAGTTAAAATAAAGAAGATGCCCCCTGAGCTCACTTAATGAAGACTAAGCTGACAACTATGCCTTCCAGTGGCCCTCGCTTGCGGTTCAAATCTAATTCTGGGGCCGGAGCAGTACATAATTGAGAGCAAGCTGAACATGCTGTCGCCAGATGGTCTGGGACGCATGTGGGATCAAGATGCCAATGGATATGCTCGTGGCGATGGTGTTGCTGCTGTCGTTCTGAAGACCTTAAGCGCTGCTATTGCGGATGGAGATCACATCGAATGTATTATTCGAGAAACAGGACTGAATCAGGTAAACGCTTGAGAATCCAACTTCCGTAAAATCAATGCTAATGAAAGTTCCAGGATGGCGCTGGATCCGGCCAAGGACTTACAATGCCTAGCGCGGTAGCTCAACATAACTTGATTCGAAGTACTTACGCTAAAGCTGGCCTCGACCTTAGCCGAGCTTCAGATCGCCCACAGTACTTTGAAGCTCACGGGACTGGAACTCCAGCAGGAGACCCAGTGGAAGCTGAGGCCATCAACAATGCATTTTTTGCCCCAGATGTCACGGAGAACATATCACATGACCCTCTATACGTTGGCTCTATAAAAACGGTCCTAGGGCATACAGAAGGAACAGCAGGTGTGGCAGCCATTATGAAGGCGTCGCTGGCTTTGCAGAACTCGCTTATTCCTCCAAACATGCTTTTTAACAAGCTGAGTGAACGCGTTCGGCAATTTTACGGACCGTTAGAAATCCTTAAATCTGCTAAGCCATGGCCTGGTAGCAGAGATCTAGGATCGAGTCCAGTTCGAAGAGCAAGTGTCAATAGTTTCGGTTTCGGCGGTGCAAACGCCCATGCAATTCTTGAGAGTTACGATAATAGCACGCCAAGGACTACAGCCTCGGAGTCCACTATTTACACCCCATTCGTGTTTTCCGCAACCTCAGAACGATCTCTCAAGGCCAGTCTTTCGTCATATTCGACATTCCTCGAAAATAATACGTCACTTAACGCCCGTGACCTAGCCTTCACCCTGCGGCAGCGTCGATCAGCTTTCGGATACAGAGCTGCAATCACGGCCACGTCTGTCGATGATCTTCGATCCAAGGTGAATGCTAAATTGACTGAGAAAGAGGCCCCGATCGGAATCAGAGCGTTACCAGCAAGGAGTTCAAAGAAGATTCTGGGAGTATTCACTGGCCAGGGAGCTCAATATGCCCGCATGGGTGCTGAGTTGATTGAGAAATCGGTGGTGGCTGGGGAGATCATCGACGAGTTGGAGAGGCATCTAGCTCAATTGCCAACAGAAGACCGTCCTGCTTGGTCTCTCAGGGGTGAGATCCTCGCTGATTCTTCAAAGACCCGCACCGGTGAGGCTGCCATTTCACAGCCACTGTGTACTGCAATCCAAATCATGTTGGTTGATCTCCTTCGCTTAGCGAATGTCAACTTGGATATAGTCGTTGGTCACTCATCAGGCGAAATTGCAGCAGCTTACGCGGCTGGCGTTTTGAGTGCTCGAGACGCCATCCGTGTTGCTTACTACCGTGGTCTGCATCTGAAATCGGCTGCAAGTCCTAATGGGGCTAGTATTAAGGGTGTTATGCTTGCAGTCGGAACCTCGATGGAAGATATGAACGAGCTTTGCGCAGACGAGACCTTCACTGGTCGGATAGGTATCGCCGCTTGCAACTCTTCATCCAGCGTCACAATTTCGGGAGACGAGGATGCGATTGCTGAGCTTCAGGAAATTCTCGAAGACGAGAAGAAATTCAATCGTCTTCTCAAAGTCGACAAAGCATATCATTCTAACCATATGCTTCCATGTTTCAGCCCCTACGTTGCGTCATTGCAAAGGTGTGGTGTAAAGGCCCAAACACCTTCGGAATCCTGCACTTGGGTTTCCAGCGTGTACGAAATGCAGGTTGATTCTTCACTGCAGCTAAGTAGCACATACTGGGCTGAAAATATGACACGCCCAGTCTTATTCTCCCAAGCACTCAGCAAGGCACTGAAAGATGGCGCAGAGCCGGACATCATCCTCGAAATTGGTCCTCACCCAGCTCTCAAAGGTCCCGCCACTACCACCATCTCAGACGTTCTCGAGAAAGAACTTCCATACTCCGGTATCCTTTCTCGTGGAACCGACGCCGTTGAAGCCTCTTCTAATGGATTTGGATTCTTATGGTCATATCTTAGCAATGCCTCTGTCAACATGGACAGCTATGAGAAGGCCATGACAGGTCAAGAGGCCTTTAGTGTTATCAAAGACTTGCCAACATACCAATGGAACCACGACCAGAAATACTGGCATGAGTCCCGAATCTCTCGCAAGATGCGTCTCCGAAAAGATCCGGTTCACACACTTCTGGGAGAAGCCTCACCGGACAGCGCAACCCACAGCCTCAGCTGGAGAAATCTGCTTCGCAAGAGCGAGATGGAATGGCTTTCGGGTCATCAAGTTCAGAGCCAGACCATCTTCCCAGCTGCAGGTTACATTTCTACAGCAACGGAGGCATCACGGTTCATGGCCGAGGAAAAGCCAATCAAGCTCATTGAAATCAAAGACTTTATCATCCACCAAGCCGTTGTATTCCAGGAGGATGATTCAGGAGTCGAAGTGCTGATCTCGCTAGCCGAGATCACTAAGACGCGGCCAGATTGTATCATAGCCAAGTTCACGTATTCAGCTGCTCTTGGAGCGCAGCCGGATGACTTAACGCTGGCTGCAAGTGGAGACATCGAAATATCTCTGGGAGAGCCGTCACCAAACCTGCTTCCCGAGCGTAAGCCGACGCTTCCCCACATGATCGACGTCGAGCCCGAGGGATTCTATGGCGCTCTTGCCCAAATTGGCTATGAATTCAGTGGTCGATTCCGCTCGCTTTCTGATCTTCGACGCCGTCATGGCAAGGCTTCTTGCTTGATTAAGATGCCAGTTCCAGCCTTGGGTGATGAAACTCTACTCGTTCATCCTGCAGAACTCGATGCTGCCTTCCAATCTGTCATACTCGCTTACAGCTATCCCAACGATGAGCGCATCCGTTCTCTGCACCTCCCAACAATCTTTCAAAACATCAGGATCAACCCTTCTCTTTGCGGAACCAACGGCAGGACTGAGGATGAGTTCTTTCCGGTTGATGCGGCCGTATCTCCGCCAGATGGAGGGAAGGGGATTGTTGGTAATGTCAACCTGTACAACAACTCATACTCCAACATTGCAATTCAAGTTCAGGGAGCCAGACTGGTGCCCCTTGGAGGTGCCACTGCAATCAATGACAGAAGAGTCTTCAGCAAGGTCCACTGGGTCAGCAACAAACCAGTCGGTATTGAGGCAGCTTGCGATACTCTGGTCACCCCAACTCATACCAATACCGTCGCTGCTCTGGAGCGAATTTCGACTTTCTATCTCAGAAGGTTTGACAAATTGGTTCCTGAAAATGATCCCTTAAGAACCACACGCCCAACAAGCTGTTACTTGAACTTTGCTCGTCACGTCACTAAGCTTGTGGAAAGCGGCAAGCATCCATACGCCACCAAGGCGTGGTTGGGGGATACCCTCGAGGATATCTTGGAGAGCACCAAAGAATTTGCTCACCTACCAGACGCTCGAATAATGCATCTAGTCGGCGAGCAAATGCCACGAGTTTTCAAGGGGGAGACCACTATCTTGGAAGAATTCCGAGCTACGTCTATTCTTGATGACTACTATGCGCACGGCTTCGGTCTTGAGGAATCTGCCAAATGGCTCGGCCGAACAGTCAAGCAAATCACTGACCGTTACCCACATATGAACATGCTTGAAGTCGGTGCTGGTACTGGTGGAGCAACTAAAAGTATCTTCAACTCAATTGGATCAAGCTTTCTCTCATACACCTTCACTGATATCTCTGCGGCTTTCTTCGAGAATGCTTCTTCAGTATTCCACATGGACAAGATGATCTTCAAGGTTCTCAACGCCGAGAACGATCCTATAGAGCAAGGTTATAAAGAGGGTGCGTACGATTTGGTTGTCGCGTTCTTTGTCATACATGCTTGCAGCAAACTTGATGTCGCCCTTCGCAACCTTCGCAGACTCTTGAAGCCTGGTGGAATGCTTGTTGTTGGTGAAGGAAGCCACAACAACCAGACCAGTGCATCTAGTGGTTTTATCTTCGGTACTCTTCCAGGTTGGTGGTATGGAGTTGACGAGGGCCGGACATTGTCTCCCTTGGTTACTACAGAAGAATGGGATGTGCTTCTCAAGAATACTGGCTTCTCTGGCGTCGACTCAACCCCTCCGTCAGAATTTACTGATGTTTTCTGCACCAATCTGTTTGTTTCTCAGGCAGTTGATGAGACAGTGAATTTCCTTCGAGAGCCACTTGCAGCCCCAGCTACCACTCCAATTGAGAAACTGGTCATTGTCGGAGGAGAGACAGAGCGCAGTATTCATCTTGTAAACGGTCTGAAGATACACCTCGGACCTCTCTCCAGGTCACTCATCTCCTACAAGACATTGACCGATGTCGACTACTCGATCTTGAATTCCAAGACAACCGTTGTCAGCTTGACGGAGCTCGATGCACCAGTTTTCAAAGACATCACGCCTAAGACTTTCGATGCAGTTAAGAAGATGTTTGAGGAAGGTAAAACTATGCTCTGGGTCTCCAGTGGTCGACGAGACGACGAACCGTGGTCTAACATGCCTGTTGGATTCGGCCGTACAGCCATGCACGAGAATTCTGAGCTTTGCCTCCAGCACTTGGACATTCCAGATCCTCTTAAAGCTGACTCTTCCACCATCGCTGAGACAGTGCTTCGCTTCCAAGCAAAGATCCCAGACAATGTCCTCTGGACTGAAGAGCCCGAGATTGTTCTCGAAGAAAGCGGTAAGCAATTGGTGCCTCGTCTTCGACCCATTAATGCTTTGAATGACCGCTACAACTCTGCACGCCGACCTATTATTCATGAAATCGATGTCAGCAAGTCGCCTGTTACCATACAACTCGGCTATAATGGTTGTACAATGAAGGAAATTTCCAAGTATGAAACAACTGAGCCTACGGAGACTTTGGTCGAGTTGCGAGCAACACACTCAGTTTTGTCTGCCCTCAAGACTGCTTTTGGTCATAAGTTCCTCATCCTTGGTGTTGACAACACTGGTGTCAAGTACATCGCTCTCGTTGATACATTGGCATCAGTCCACAAAGTTCCAGCAAAGTCCGCCGTTCGTGTCCCAGACTCTTTCAAAGAATCGATGCTTGCAGTTACGGGGAGTCACTTACTCGCTATGTTCATGCTCGACACAATGTATACTGGGCAAAAGCTCGCTATTCACAATGCCACAACCATGTTAGCCGATGCTATCGCAGCCCAGGCCTCCGCGAAAGACGTTGAAGTTGTATGGACAACAGACGTGGCAGATGCCTCAACTCCAAGTAAGAATATTCTGTCTTAGCCTTCTCTTCTTGTCACAATTAATTCATTCTACATGAACGATTTGCCCCATTTACTCAAAGCCCTTGATACGCTCAAAAAGAGACAATTACTGACCGGCTTACTTTCTAGTCTCCTGGACCAAGCTCATCCCATATTCAAGCTCATTGGAGCTCAGTCAGATCGTCGAACCTGACACCTCCTGTTTCGTTGGACTCTCTAAGCATCACATCCAGAGATCCGAGAACGAGTTCACGATTGCGTCAAGCCTTCCCCAGACTTGCCGCAAGGAGTCCCAGAAGACACTGTTTTCTTCAATTGGCAACAAGAGCAAATCTTCCGCTTCTGCGATCCTTGGCCAGACGCTTTGGAGGGCACTTGACAATGTCCTTGGGTACACGAATCAAGAGCAGCGTGATCTGCCAACAAGTGTTATATCTCTTGAAGCTGTCTCACGTGGCGAGCGTCCAACAGAGCCGATGACGATAATTGACTTCACTACTGCAAGCTTGTTGCCCGTCCAAATCACCAGAGTTGATGACAAGCCCATGTTCAAGGACAATAAGTCCTATTGGGTTGTTGGTCTCTCTGGCGCGCTCGGTGTCTCGCTCATCGACTGGATGGTTGACCGTGGAGCTAAGAACGTCGTTTTGACCAGCAGAAAGCCTCAAATTGAGGCATCTTGGCTTGCGACTCACAAGAGCAATGGCGGTATCATCACCATATTGCCATGGTAAGTTCATCATTTAACCCTTCATCCCTCTTTTTGTTCCTTGCTGTGAGACCCGTCATCGTACCGATATGAAGGCTGGAGGGCGATTTATGCGCTGTAAAATTTCGAGACATTCACTTGAAGAGTTCGGCATATTTGTTGTAAGCTCTCGCTAACTTCTCCCTAGCGATGTGACCAACGAACCGGGCATGAAAGCAGTTCATAAAACCATCTGCGATACCCTCCCTCCAATCGCCGGTTGCTTGAACGGTGCCATGGTCTTGAACGACACTGCCATCCGCAATATGTCATTTGAGCAACTCATGAACGTCGTCAAGCCAAAGGTCTTCGGAAGTATCATTCTGGACAACATTTTCAAAACGATCAATCTCGACTTCTTCATTCTCGTCTCTTCCATCAACTGCGTCGTTGGAAACCTGGGCCAAGCAAATTACGCTGCAGCCAACACATTCTTGTGCTCTCTCGCAGCTCAACGCAGAAAGCGTGGTCTCAATGGATCGGCTGTGAATGTTGGTGCTATAATCGGCGCTGGATATATGGAGCGAGAGTCGAGAAGAGCCTTGGATTTGATCGTCCAGAAGATCTCGCTCATGCATCTTTCCGAAGAAGACTGGCATCAAATCTTCGCAGAGGCTATAGACGTTGGCTTCCTTGGCTCGGAACATGGACCTGAGATCACGACTGGTCTTTCTGACATCCCGGCTGATGCACCAAATGCCCCTAATTGGTTCATGAACCCCAAGTTCTCATCCTTCATCATCCATCAAGAGGGAGCCAAAGAGGACAAGCACGAAGGTGCCGCGACCATTTCAATTTCAGACCTGCTTGAGGCTTGCCAGACTGAAAAAGAGGTTCAGAAAGTTATCAGAGGTAAGGTTGGCCCAGCATACTCTTCTTGTGTCATGACTGATAAAAATGCAGAATCTTTCGCCAACCAGCTCCGTACCGTATTGCAAATGACTATGCCCGATGAAGATCTCATGCAAATGCGACCCAATGAAATCGGTCTCGACTCCCTCGTCTCTGTCGACATCCGCTCTTGGTTTCTCAAGAGCTTTCAGGTCAGTATCCCGGTCCTCAAGATCATGGGTAATGACACCATGGCAACGTTGGTTCAATTTGCTGTGGATAACGTTCCTTCTGAGCTTGTCCCTAGCCTTGATGATAGCGAGGATTCAGCAAGCAGTGATGGTAGATCAGTCCAGGATTCTTCTATTGCGACAACTCCAACTCAGAGAAGTGCTTCCCCATCGTACAAGAACAATAGTGGCTTTGTCGACTGGGACGCGGAATCTAGACTTCCAGCAGATATGCAACAGGTGATATCTATCAGCGTACCGGTAAGGATGACCTGCTTTCCTAACTTGTGTTTCCCCCAAACGGATTATCGATATCTTCGACCACTCCACACACACCCACCTCCTTAAGGTGTAATGCATTGCTAACTTTCCTTATCTAGGCTCCTACATTACCTCCCAAGGTAATCCTATTAACAGGTGTCAGTGGTCTGCTAGGTCACCATCTCCTGAACTACTTCGTAAAGAATACCCCAGCCACCAAGGTGATCTGTGTAGCAGTCCGAAAGCTCGAAGAGCGACTTCGTACCGGTAAACTGCCTCCCCGCAGCAGCGCTATCGAGTACTATGAAGGGAGCCTCGACCAACCCCTCCTCGGGCTGTCAGAAACCGAGGCAGCGGCAATATTCGCCGAAGTTGACGTAGTAGTCCACAACGGTGCCGATACTTCGCATCTGAAATACTACCGTGATATCAAGCCTTCCAACGTTGGGTCAACCGTTACGTTGGCACGTTTGTGCGTGCCGCGCAGAATCCCAATGCATTACGTCTCATCAGTCGGCGTCGCTCTATTCTCGAACATGAAGGCCTTCCCCGAAATCTCAGTAATGACTCCAGGATCGACATCTCCACCAGCGGATGGTGCTCATGGCTACATGTCCTCGAAGTACGTCAACGAGCGATTCCTCGAAGCAGTCAATGCCAAGTACGGTCTCCGCATCTGTATCCATCGACCTTCCACTATCGTCCGCGAAGGCGAGGACGCCCAAGGAGCCAAGGCTGAGCTAGATTGGGTAAACGCTCTGATACACTACGCAAAGCAGATCAAGGCCGCTCCAAAGATGGAATATAATAAGGGAGCTCTGGATCTAGTGTACACAGAGAGTTGCTGTGTTGATATTGCCAAGCACGTCTTCAATACCAACCCCAAGCCAGTCGCTTACTCCCATCAAGTCGGCGATGAGATCATCCAATTGGGTAGTCTACAAGACATTGGCCTGAAGACGGGAAGTGCTTTTGAGGTGCTTCCTATGGCCGAGTGGTGTAAGAAGGCAATCACGGCTGGTATGCACCCGGCGGTTGCGGCTGTCATTGAGGCGATGGATGAGCGTGGCCTTCCTGAATACCCAGGGCTCTTAAAGGCAAAACAATTTTAAGCGAGATATCCGCTTTTGAACTTGGTCGTTTGGAAGTATGTAATATTATATATATGGAATTTGGAGGGTAGGTGGGGTTTGTTGGAAGTACGGCGTTTGTGGTGTCCGGTATTGTGTTGGGACTTTAAATGTGGGATATACGCTATATGTAGCTTACTTGGCCCCCTCCTCGGCTACGCTCAGGGGTGCCGACTTTTACCTGTATTCAAGAAGCTCAGCTCCTGCTAGTTCAAACCTCTTCATAGCGTTCAAACCACTTCATCTGCGCGCGACAGAATGGGAACCCTTCCAGATGCCTAATAGTCTCCAATTTCTTTTCAACCAATGCTTGGAGTTTATGAGGGCCATCCGTTGTAGCATTTCAGGATAATGCTTCGAAACATTTTATTAAATGGCGCGCATTTACACAAGAAGTCGTGGAAACTATCGCTCTGTTAATCGGGAATGTTAGAACAACTTTCAGGCACTACTTACTGCAGCAAAGCTTCGCCTACCCAAAAACTGGAACTTATCCCGAATCCCCTGTTGTTTATTTATATACAAAGGGTTGAGGCAGATCTATACAGTGACAGGAAGTCTTCAGGTGTAAAGATCCGATCACCAGCGATGACAATATATGTTTCGCCTTAGCGAGCGCCTCCTCATCTCCTAATTCATGTAATACTTCATCCCAGAAAAAACATTCATATTTTCATAACCCATCAAACACACCCCTCGCCCCAAACTGAAACCCGACTCCCTAACCAGAGCACATCAATTCACTACGCTCTCACCAATCCATCACACGCCCCCAACCATCAGGACATCAATCTCACTCCCCCCAGAGGTAACAGCATTAACACTAATCGCACCCTTCGTCCACTCTCTCGCCGTCACACTTCCCGAGTATCAAAGTTTGGGATTTAAAGGTGCTTCTTTTCTCAGTAGCAAGCATCTGAGATGCCTTTATAGATACTTGCTAGCTCGGAGATAAAGTGAAACATCTTGATATTGTAGATCGTGAGAACCTTTTGCAAACCTACAAAAAGAAGGTAAAAGTCCCACGGCATTGCATGGCTCCCAAATCATAGGTGTCTAGATTTGTCTTTTTCGAGCACGAGGAGATATTCCAATCTAATTCTCCGGGGCCTGCTTATTGGTGGCAAAGGAAGGATACACCAGTGACGAGGGACTATTTGCAAGCATCTTTATTCCGTGGTAGAATCTTGTAAACGAGGAAGGCACAGCAACGGCTCCTGTGGTGGAATGTTCAACGAGGCAATGGAGTGGGAGGACGAAGAAGTTACATATAGTGGGGAGGTAGGATTTGTGATACCAAGGGTGGAAGCTGCACAAAATTCCAAAAGAACATTTGAGGAGGCTGTTTGGTGCAGCTCAGGTGGTTGTACCACTATTGAAGCTACCTTCACACGTGGAGCCCCATGCCAAGGATGCTGATTGCTCGCTGCTCCCTAAAGATGGCCTCGCCAAGTCGGCATCTAGATCTTCGAATTGCCTATTTCTGACAAAAATGCAATACAGATACTGGAATGCATCGTAGGGCAGTCCCGAGTAAAGAGTAGCCCTGCAGCTAATGCAGCGAGAAAGAGCTTGTTTATTGATATCATCCGATGCTCTTGGCGTCCAACCAAATGAGACCGATGATAGGCCCAGCCCAAAGCTCAGATTGGGTGAAGACCCATGGCAAGAATTATTTGGCTAGGGTAGCAAAGCTTAGTGGCCTACCCTGGATTTGAGCATGACTTCCACGTCGGGATAGAAGCATTTTATCACGATAAGAGGACTCCCTGTCGAAAGCCAGGTGTGGTGCCACGCAGAAGATTTCACTAACTGCTCCTGAATTCCCAATAGCACCGCTAGCCATGATATAGATATGAAGTCCTTATTCATGAGAGCAGAATCAGAAAGAGCCTTGTAGCTTCAGTAACGCCATAGATTACTATCCTCTAGTTCGTAATTGAAATCATGGGGTACCTCTGCGTTCAAACTGTCGGGCGAGTAAATTTCATTTGAGCTCGTTCTATCTTCTTCTTGATAACACGGAGTTTCAATGATGTGGTGAGCAGGTGTTAAAACATCACACGACTGCTGGTGGGGGGCAGATAGTGCCTCGGGCGGCTTCGCTAATTGCTGTGGCTCTGAAGTTAACCCAATTTGGCTCGATTCCTTGAGAAGAGTCATATTCGCATCGAGTAAAGTCATGGCGGGCTTCATATATCGAGCGCCATTCTCGCTGTTGATTTTCAGAGTCCAACGATATTCCTTGAGCGCTGTGCGATAAAATCCAACTTCTTCCTCATTGGTCGCGGTTGAAAGCAACAATGTTCCGAATACCCCAATCAAGGCAAAGTTTTGAGGAGAGGCAAAGTACCAAAAGGAGGAGAGATGCTGAGGTTTCAAAGACTGTACAAAGTCCATTGCAAATATGAAACGTTCGCGGGCTACTGATCGACATATTTGATGTAACTGAAGATCCACGGACGGAGTGAGTGCAAGAATTATTCGTCGATGTATCGTGATCTCTGTAGCTATGTACGCGAGTCTGAGGTAACCCACAGCATTGAGCTTCAAGATCTGAGTGGAACCCATTGACAAGCATTCGGGAAGATTGGAAAACCATTCCCTTAGCTTTATCTGAGCAGGCTTGACTTTCTCAAGAACCAACGATAGTCCATTACCAGCTGCAGAGATAGCTGCAGCACTCCGAATGCTGAAAACACCCTCCAGCAAATCCGCCAAGATTTCCGAAAGGCATATCATCTGGGTGAAAAGAATGCGTCCCTTCTCCACTTCGGAGCTTCCTTCTTGTTCATCTTCATGCGCTTGGTTTTCTGGGAAATCCACATCGGATACCGTAGGGACCGCCCAATTCGACGAGTTTATTAGAGGTGGCCGGCCATGAATCAAGGCTCCCCACTTGTCTTGCATATAAAGAGCCCACGCGAGTCGTTTTCTGAGGCCCTTTTCCCAATCTGGAATCTCAAAATCCGAAGGGTCCAAGTGCAAGCCAAGCCCATATGACACGCTGACCATCTGAGCCGTCAGTTCAGCTGAATCAGTATCGGTATATTGAAGCAAAAGGAGGCCTGCTTGGAGCAAGGATAGTTTCGGTCGATGGATGGTATTGCCAAGCGACTTCCTAGCAAGCTTGAGGAGAATTTTGGGATCAGGTTTGGAAAACTTGCTCAGAGAGTCATCAAATGTCCAATAATGTAAGCCATGGAGATAAACGGCTGCAAGCAGGGGTGGTGAAAATTCTCGATAAGACCTGCTGTACTTTTCCAGATAAACTTCTTTATGTAGCATAGGAAAGCTGGGGAAAACGATGCGGAAATAGAGATTGATTAAAGCCTTTCCGTGAGGTGATACTACGGCTTCAATGGAATCAAGGTCCGAGAGCTCTTCTGCATATCCCTGAGTTCCAGCATCAGGATGCAACAAAAATGAATCGGTAGATTTCAAAGAAATCCGGCGAAGTGTCCCATCACCCAAACGAACTTCAGCTAGCGTGTTTGTGAACGGCACGTTTGACGAAAGGCTAAGAAAGGAAGGCTCGAGAGCAGCAGTTGCTCCAACATATTTGGAATGCTCGTTGTTTTTCAGTCCAAGTGTTCTTTTCAACAGGGAAGGTTCCGAGCTTGACAGTTTATCATACTCTTCGACGCCCGTACCGGATATGGTACGAATGACCCTCTTGTGAGACTTTCTTGACGCTGCTGAGGAGCTGGAAATTCTGCTTGTTTATTAGTTTGAACACGTGACCAGGATTGGGGAGGACAACCTTCGTTTTGGCGCTGGTTGTGAAGGCTCTTCCTCATAGGAGCCGTTTCCTGGGGAATCGGCAATCTTCCTTTTTCGTGACTGGGGATTCTGCAGGAACGTGCATTCCTGGTTATGGAATTTACAGAGCACACACCGAGGGGTACCTTCTTCAAGAACGCATCTACTCTTTCGTTTCCTCTGTTTTTTCGGCTCCGTCAGCGATCTCCACTACCGAATTCGGATTGTAGCCTGGGACGGCAGCGGCCAGCTGGTGTACTAGAGTAGAGGAGTTGAGAAACTCCACTGGACCCATCTGCCAGACCCAGGTAGGTACCCACGAGCATACTTACACACGCATCGCATGGTCTATCTCTTCGCTTCGGCTGTTGCGGGGCAGGCATATTGGAGCATTTTCATATACGGAGTAACCTTAGCTGCCGGCAAGGCACGGCTGGAAGCGGCAACGAAGATGGGATGCCCTGGAGGCCCTTGAACTGTCGAGAACTTGTGAATTTAATTATGGAATATCAAGGGTGTGTGGTTGTGATCGGATGATGAAATGATGAAATGGAATGCGACATGTCCGGAGTTCTTGGAGATCTGCACTTTCAGAGGCTGAACCTTGCGCCGCCACATCCACAGCCACAGCATAAAACATGCATAAGACTAAACTTGCATAACCAATGCATAATCTTCTAACCCAACCTCCGCAGCAAGCGAAGACAAAAGGGGCAGGTACCACCATGCCAGTGGAGAGTACAGTGCCGCTCAATCCCACCAATTACCCACCACAGATTTGCTGATGGCGAACAAAAATAAAGGACGCCCTCAAGATACCGGCAACATGTGCAAGAAGAAATCTAGCCTCATACCTACCTAGGTAAGACACGGGATTTTCTCCTAGGTATCGATTATGTCCAATCAGCAACAACCAACCAATTCTGTTTGGTTAAAGTGGTGTATCTTTTGCTGCAGACTTCCGTATTTTCAACACCCCTACCACATTCAGAAACCTGCTGATGGACACTATATACTGCATAGGTAAGTAGGCAAACGAGTGAAGGTGTGCCCCCTCCCCTCCTTTCTCCAATTATCTTTGGTTTCGCCTTTGTACTCTGTGCGATTTTACATCATTGTGCCGTCACCCAATTTTGACTAACAAGCTACAAAGTATAGGGACAAAAATCCTCAAACCCAAGATTAGATGATACTGTAATAATAGTATTGAATGTAGTCTTCGTATTGAGGAGTACGGGACGACAATCAACGTGAAATGTATGCGAAAGCCAGTAAGTTTGAGAAACTCACGCTTACTCCATAGGTAGACAGGGAAGTGTACCTTCTCTCTCTCCCTACTAATCGCTTACTCAATTAACAAAGAAGGCTAGTCTTTCTATACATAATTCAACTCGGAAAGATTGAGGAGAACACACTTGTAAAGCACGCTCGAGCTAGCTTGAATGATTCGAAAACGACCAGAAACGAAGAAACCTATTTACGATAAGAGATATATTTTCCATCATTTTCTAGAAGAGAAGATATATGCATTCTGGATTTCGAAACGCCCCCCTATAGAATTACTAATCATACATATATAACAGCACTCGAGTCTCCAGAAAAAGAGAACATATCCGTAAAATTCCCTGACATATCTTGGGTCTCCTATCTCGGCTCTGATATAGGCCTAATCTTGGAAAACTAACCTTGTGGAAGTACGTATTTACCTTAACTCCCATGATATTTCCCTAACTCCAGTATACCCAAAGAAAGAACGCCATGCGCTCCATCATATTACAATTTAATACATGAGGTTTTCGTCAAAGGTATTTACTCCTCAGTGCCTGGCTTATGCTTGACATCCGAGAAGCCATGCCACCTGCTTGCATGTTACTCATTAATGCTTCTTCGAGAGCACTTTGCGTGACGGATGCATCTGATGGTCAAGTTAACATAACACAATGAACTGTGGGGCAAGACAGCAACAATAAGCCTGGGACTTACCATCCAAATCACTGAAGCTACTCCCCATGCTCGGCGTCCCATCACTACCTTCTCGCCCCTTTCCCTTCGATATTGGGCTTCTACCAGCTAATTCAGCAGTTCTTCGAGGCGATAATGGACCAGTCATCCTATGTCTCTGCGAGCTTTCTCTTGTTACGGGTTCTGGGCGTGCTCTCAATGGTGCGGCAGCCGAACTTGTGGAGGAATCCGAAGTCTGTGATTGCTGCGGCTTCTTGTGTATGGGTAATGTCCGACGACTTATGTTTCGAGGGTCACCTCGTAATGTAGCACTTGGGTCGTGATGAGGAGGTTCAGCAAAAGGCATAAATGCTGGTTCGTCGTCTGAGCCGTCCCCATCTTCTGGATCGCCATGCTTTGACTTGAAACGTGCAGGTCGTCGTAGTAGACGACTCTGAGCAGGAGGTTCAAAGTCGGAGTCGGATGAGGATGAAGATACAGGAGACGAAAGGATTTCGGGGGGGGGAGAGCGAGTTGCTGGCTCGATTGCCATCGATGGTGGCCGGGATTTGGGTTTAGGAGAGAGTGAACGACGGTTCATCTTTGTATTAGGAGGACGCGGTGAGGCGGGAGGAAGGTATCGAGAAGCGCCCATCGTATTGTTTGATGAAGTAGTCCGGGAGAATGGTGGAGCTAAGAAAGTCAGAACGGCTGTGTATCCAGGAGGACAACAACATACCCATCGCACGTATTGGGGTCCCTGGAACTCCATCATTCCCTGCCGATGGCGTATCTCTTCTTCCGGAGAGCGCAGATGAGACTCGTGGACCTGTATCCTATGAGCTTATGTATGATGGCTCGAAGCAGTGTTTTGTCACCTCCTCCCCCAGAACCGGTCCTTCTCATTGTTTCACCTCCTCCATTTTCAGATGTACTGCCAGGAACCGGCGAAGGCGCTGCGGATGTAGAACCCTTGGCTGTTCGGACCTTGGTCAACTGGGCGTGAACCTGTCTTAAGTTCATTTCGTAGAGCCATGCTGCCTGTTGTAAAAGGAAGGCCAGCGTTACTTGGAATTTGTCGGCCAGTTCATTCCCTACAACTTGTTAGCGGTGTATTTGCGTTTTCGGGTACTAATAAGGTCCAACATACAATCGATCACGCTATTCTTGGAAGACTTGGAGAGGATTTCCCACAAGGCCTCGTCTTTGGCAGCTCCCCATTCAACCTATGAGGGTCCAAAGTCAGCTTCTCTGCCGCACCCAATCCGTGTAGAACGGACTTTCTTACCGGTGGTGGATCAACAAAGTCTCCCCTGGGAAAGGGGAGACGGATGAAGACCGTGTAGGATGGCTCCGCGTCTGGTTCTGGTTCTGGGCCAGCCATCGTGTCACTACCACATCGTTGTCTGGTGTTTGGTCGATGATGAAGGCCATGAAGGCCGGACCTGGACTCTGACGATCCCTCTTTATCGGACCTTTGGCGCTAAGATAAGGGCGGGTCTCGGCTCCTCGGCCCGGCTCGGCGTAACAATGACCGATGAGTACGAATATTTCGGGAAATCATGCCCGTGGATGAGCATGGCCCGGGGCCCGGGGAAATCGACAACCTGGAAATCTCTTGGCTGACCTAGGTAGCACGTGCCTACTGTAGCCTGTAGGTAGGTTTTGCTTGTCCCTCCCCACCTGCACCTGCATCGAAGCGAGGGCAATTCTACTACGGAGCCGACCGTAGTTTGTGGTTCTGGAAAAACTCGATCAGATCAATAGCTTGGTCTTTGTTTTCGGAATCGGTTCTTTTCTTTTGCTCGATCCTCCTTGTTTATTCCCAGAGGCCAAAGGAATACCTGCGAGTTTATATCTCCATTCCGCACTTCTGCTGCCCCTTGCTGACGCGAACTCGCCTACATGCACGTGCTCCTGCATCTTCTGTGCGAATAGAGTTCACTACCTATGTTACTCAAGTGCCCTTTCCCCATCGTGCCCATGTCTGCTACAACAGATACCTAGGTGTGTCCTTGTTTGTTGGCAGCGAAGGTTTGCTACCAGCAAAGTAGTCGTATCGGCGCTGTCGATATCAGGTATTGTACTCGAGAAAACCCTGGATTTGAGAGTTCATTGTTATCTTACACAAGTTTTGGCAAAAGAGTTTATTCGTTTATCAACTGTTACATGACGACATTGCCGTCTATTGCAAGTGCTATCTGAACTATTATACCTTGATAAGTCAAACATACAATGCTACTATCCCACTCTTTTGCCCATCCAAATGCGTACAGTGAATCCCAAGGTGGCAGCTCCTTATCAGTGGTGGACGATCTGGTATCTATCTTTTTATAATGCGGGGCTCCTGCTGTGCGTCGGTTTCCAAAGCTGCATCTTGGAAAACTTCTATGGAAGCATTCTGGTCTTCTTTCCTTACATGCGCCTTGTTCAAAAGACATTCCATGAGCATCGACCTGTGACTAGAACCAAATTCGGATTCTCGCCAGGAGGATTTAAGCGAACAAACAGCCATGGTATCGTTACTCAGATCCAAATGGCTCTCACGAAACCACGAGGCGGCTTCAGACAATGGCATAACGCAGATAACAACACCACATTCAGCAGAAGCCCATGATTCCATTTCTGAAAATGAGAAGAGCCCTCAATTTCAGCAAAGCACCGATCTCACAGCAAGAGTAGCAATCCCCAAGAGTGCCAAATCTCATCAATGGGATCCAAATCTGGCACAAAGTGAAATCGAAATCCTCAACAATGCGGAGACCGGTGACCTTGATGCGATCGAGAGAACAAAAATTGTGTTTGCCGAAGAATCGCCTTACAAGGAAATCCGTGCTGCTGTGACGGTGATAGATAGTGGTGGAGTTGCGAATACCCTTCGAGCGTGGATTTTAGGTATGCTTTTTGTGACGGTTGGTAGTGGTTTAAACATGTTTCTAAGCCTGAGGTTTGTTTCTTGACTATCTAGGCTAGCAAAAAGATACTGATGAAGATTCAGGAGTCCTGCCATTTCGTTTCCGGCTGTCGTGGTGCAATTGTAAAACTTCTTATTCTTCTCATAGAATCCAGGCTGATTACAACTTAGGCTTGTTTTCCCAATTGGCTGCTTTTGGGCAAAGGTTGTTCCTACCAGAGTCTTTAACACTTTTGGTGTTCGGTGGACATTCAACACTGGTCCATTTACAATTAAGGAACATGCAGTCATCACCGTAAGAGCGACTATCCAGCTTATATTCTCTTCAACACGATATCGCTAACTTATATTGATAGCTCATGTCCAAGTAAGAGATCTTTTAGAGACAGATCTTCGAAAGTGACATTCTCTGGCTAACAAAATACTAGCGTATCTATAGGTTATGCCTACTCAACCGATGCATTGCTAGCTCTGAAGGGAAAACGTGAGTTAAATGCATCGTCCTTGCTGAATTACTGAAGTTGACAACGACAGCGTACTATAACCTCGATATGGGATGGGTGTTTCAACTACTCTTCACTATCAGCAGTCAAATTACTGGAATTGCCATCTCTGGCATACTTCGTCGGTTTGTCATCTGGTATGTCACTGGAAGTGATGCGTAGTTTTCATGATGTTCTGCTAATGTTAATAGGCCATCTTCAATGATATGGCCTGGTGTGCTCTCGAGTACCTCGTTGTTCTTCGCACTTCATGACAGGTCTAAGTCAGATTCATCGAAGTCAAATGGCTGGGTTCTTTCAAGATATCGTTGGTTTGTCTATGTCACTTTGGCGTCTTTCGCCTGGTACTGGTGAGTTACTTCTCGATCTTCCTACCAAAAAAATCTACTTATTCAGTTTAGGATACCAGGAGTATTATTCCAGGGACTGTCAGTCTTTGCTTTCATATCTTGTACGTCTTACAGTGCCACCCACATTGATCAAACTAACAGATGTAGGGATAAAACCTAATGATGTCGTCCTTAATCAACTGTTCGGTGGTTTCACTGGATTATCACTCATCCCAATTACCTTTGACTGGACGTAAGACTCCATATATCATTCCGGTTATTATCTCTTCTCTGACTCGTAGCACTAGATACGTCAGCGGATATCTTGGAAATCCCCTTCTCGCTCCAGCCCATGCGCATCTCAATACCCTCATCGGTCTTGTCGTTTTTGTAATTCTTTCTGCCATCGGAATTTCGTACACCGGATCTCTGTGAGTGGCTATCCCAATTTCTCTTCTGCTTTCGGAGTATCAAATCTTATATAGAGAAATTCAGCTACGCAGAATACCTCCCCATCAACACTTCATCTCTATTCGATAATACCCAATCTTTCTACAACGTTACCAAGATTCTCACACCGCATCACACCCTAGATGTCCAAAAATACAAAAAATACTCGCCCGTGTTTCTTGCCCCCACATTCGCGTTGAATTATGGACTTTCGTTCGCTGCACTTACCGCGGCAATTATCCACACGATAATTTTCCATGGCAGTGAGGTCTGGTATCGTTTCCGAGCAGCTAGAGACCAGGAGCCTGATGTCCACATGAAAGCAATGAAGAAATATAAGGAGTGCCCGGATTGGTGGTATCTCGTGTTGTTGGTGATTGCTATCGCACTTGGTTTGGCGACGGTCTTGGGTTATGATTCTCAGATGCCCTGTAAGATCCCTCTTCGCTTAATTGGACTATGAAGTGGCTAATATGGGTATAGGGTGGGCATATTTGTTCTCTATCATGCTGGCTATGGTGTTTGTCGTAGGTTTTCTTGATGGAAACCGCGGCTAGAAATGTGTTAATGACGTGAATGCAGATACCGTGTTGTATGATTTTGGCTACGACTAATATCTCACTCGGTATGCTTTCGTTCCACGTCACGAACATGATTTACTGATACTTGAACTAGCACTTAATGTCCTCTCGCCCTTCCTGGCTGGTTTTGTCATTCCCGGGAACCCCATCGGTGTCATGATATTCAAGGTATTCAGTACTATCACCCTAGGTCAAGCGTAAGCACATGAAACTTCCTGACTTTTGACCAAGATGTTCTAACACTCATCCAGACAAACCTATAGCGGAGACCTGAAAGTAAAGATGTTCTCAAAGGTCTTAGGTCTGAGTTTTGGCTGACCATATCTAGATGGCACATTATATGAAAATCCCGCCCCGTACAACGTTCTCCTGCCAAGTCGTCGCAACCATATGGGCCTGCTTTGTCCAAATCGCGGTAATGAACTGGGCACTGGCAAACATAAAAGACATTTGCACGCCGTTCGTCTCCTCGCCCTTCTCCATTTATTTTCATTTCACTCTCCGTTCTAACAAAATAATAGAGGTCAATCTGCGCACTACACCTGCCCTAATGGAAAGACTTTCTTCTCATCTAGCATAGTATGGGGTCTCATCGGACCACAACGTATGTTCGGCCCTGGATCAATCTACTCTGCAATACAATACTACTGGCTTCTCGGCGCCCTCTTGCCGGTAATGTTCTACGCACTGATCCGTGCATTCCCCCGCTCTCCAGCACGTTTACTGAACGCGCCGGTAATGCTTGGAGCAATGGGTTGGTTACCGCCGTACGTGACCCTCCTCTACCCCTTCTCTTCAACCCATACTCCCCCTCGAGTCCTAGCCCCCAAATCCCCTTCAAAGTAACATGCAATACTAACAATATATAGCGCAACGCCCCTATCCTTCTCAACGTGGGCTGCCGCCGGTCTAACATTCAACTACTGGATTCGAGGGAAGTTCCCCGGCTGGTGGCACTACTATAACTACATCACAGCCGCGGGACTAGATACAGGTCTTGTGCTATCGACGATTATCATTTTCTTCGCGATTGTGCTGCCGAATGTGACGACGCCGCAGTGGTGGGGAAATGTAGGGGTCTATGAGACGACGGTATGTTTTCAAAATCCTAAAGAAAGACAAGCAAGGGAATTTTAGTATCGGCCCAGGAACTGATTTTTGGTATAGGATTATTTGTACACTGCTATTAGGAAGACTCTTGGGGAGGATGAGAAGTTTGGGCCTGCGGCTTGGTAGGGGGTGAGATTGTTGTTGGGGATATTGGAGATCTGGGGAGTTTTGGTATTGGTGAATTTGAAAAGAGAGGTGTGGAGATATGGCGTTTTCTAGAGCAAGAACATATTCACCCTTAGCTTGCTGGCTTCGCGTATCTCGCTTGTGGCCCCTATCTTTGATTCGTGCTTATTCACTCAGGAGCCGAAGACAAGTGTACTGTAGACGCCTAGACTTCCCGTACACACAAGAACTTTTGCACTTTGTATCCGGGTCGTTGGTATTCACTGAGATCGCGCAGTCGTAGTATCTTTGATGTTATGTTAAAATTGGGGGTCATTGGGTAATGAAATGTGGTAATACTGCTGCTCACAGTGAAGAGAATATGATGAAGGAGGAACTGGAGGAGTTATATACAAACGGGACACGAAGGGTGTGTTTTCGGAAAGTAGCATCGATTGCTGAGGCAGTCGGAAATACCATGCCACTTCCTATTTAGTCGACTCAGCGAGGCCTTTTTTCACAGAAAGCATCCCATCCCGTCCTAAATTTTGCACTAATGAAACCATAACGTTCCACAGTGGAAAAGAAAACGAAGGGTGCATCTCACTAAAAGTACTGCCGGCAACCAACTACATAGCAATGCGAATGACAGCTGCTATTTTCCTCCTATACACCAGCCCCGTTCTTTCTTTTAGCACGTCATTCACCACCACAGCTGCATATTTCTCAGCTGGCGTCGCCTCCGGATCCAATGTCTCTTCTGCCTTATCGTATTTGCGAGCGTAGAAATAATGCGTTCATTTGCTCATACTCGGGCTCACGTTTGAGAGGGGATATATTATTTGGGTTAAGCAGCCCATAGGGCACTTATAAGGCTATTCGCGCCCTTGTTAAGTAGAGCCCAGACTGCTAAGCGCTCAATTAAGGCTTTGCTAACTACCTAATCCTAGTGGATAGTTCGAGGATAGTAAAGGGTTAAGAAGAAACTCCCCTTTGCAAGCGTATAACAATACTTAATTAATTTATTATTATTGTAGACAAGTGATTAAATAGATCAAACGATATACACAAGTTTGCTTAGTCACCCTCGATACGCAAAACATATACTATATGGATTTTTGAGGGAGTATAAATTCTCCTGGTTTTTTGTAAGAGGATAATTGCTTTCCACAGCCCGTTACAAGAGTCAAAACTCGCACATGGAAGTGTGCTAATTCCAGACGAAGAGTTTCCCCCATAGTGTTGAGTGCGGATTCAGATGCTTCGTAGATCCCTAAGAACGTTAGACCGTTTTTTTTTTTTCAAAATAGGTCTTGGGGGTTTGAAGTGTTTACCAATCTAAGGAGTATTAATAAGCCCAGCGATGGAATTCAAATTCACCACAACACCTCGATCCTTAACAAGCTGAGGTATAAAAGGGTGTAAAAGCCTGGATCATGGCTAAGGTACACCATATATTGATATCGAATGACCTCTTTCTTCCTAGTATCGAGGAGTCCATTAGCGGCAGAACGAATTTCACTCTAGCACTGTTCATCAGACCGTCCGGGTCTCTTCCTCTAGTACGAGTCTGTACGAATTCTACTGATTCCGCGATGGATGTCTGAGATGTGAGGTCCAGAGTGAGTATGTGTACATTTTTAAGCTTGGAAATATCTGATGCCTTTCGGGATCTTGGATTGTTGCGAAGACAGTAAAGCCTTTTTTTTGGAATGCTACGACTAGTGTAGCACCTATCTGACCGCTGTTGGCGCCTGTGACGAGCGCGAACTTTTCGGGCATGTTTAAAAGTCAGTAATGGATAATAGAAAACACAAATTGGGTATTAAAGTTGTATTTTAGACTTCAGAGCGAATGTGGTTCGCTGAGTTGGGAGAAGATATTTTTGATGGCCCGAGATTATTGGTCGTTGGTCGTCTTATTGGTCCCTTTCAGAAGGTACTGTAATTACACTCCGCAACAAATTCCCAGTCGACGCCGAACTCGCGGTTCGTCAAGTCAAAATACTAGGGAAACTGTATCCTTGTAAATCCATACGAAAGGTGGATGAAGCGAGAGAGGAATCATGAATTGGGAAAATCACGTGCTCCGAGGGCCTCTGGATCTTAGCATGTATTGTCTTGCCTTGGGCTTCTTAACTTAGGAGACATTCCGCGTGTTTTGCCGCGGGATCGCCAAGACATAAGCGAAGATTCCGCTATCTACCATTGGCCAAACCTGCCAAAGAAGGCCCACGCTTCCACTCCTGTCCTTTGAGTCCCTAGATAACAAGCCGGCTGTCAACCAATAAATAATATAAGGTGCGAGAAGTCGCGCTAGCCCAGCCGTAATGGCGTCGAACTTGATCCACAAGTTTGAACAATCAGCTACCTTGACTAACCGCCCATCAAACGGACATCAATTCAGACTACGGTCAACGAAAAGGTGCATCCCCTTGTTAGTAGGTCGAATTCCTACTTCAAGGATTTCGCGGGGGCAAGCAGCAGAACGATTTGGGGCTCAAAAAATATACCCTATGTTGTAGGTTTGATTCCTACCTTAAGTAAGACTTGTTCTTATACAGAAAATATTTTTTACCGCCTTTCCCTCTTTTTTCCTTTTCTATCTTTTTTTTTTACTACTCCTTTTGTATTCACGCTCGTCCTGCTTACGAGTCAAGAAGGGGGAGGGGTACACATCGAGATGGCTGGTATAGTTACATGTTAAACACTTCTCGTCACCTACTCGTAATCATGCAAGTAGCATTTTGGACCGTCACGAGGCTCACTTGATTCTCGTCAACCTACTGTGCCTTTGGCTCAATCAAGATTCATGAAACACACATTGCCATTGGGAACCAAATCTATCTAATAAGGATGTCGCCCGGGTATCGCTACCCTCCCAAATCTTTCCAAAGCTAAAAGTCTAAAAAAATCCATAAGTTCGTCAATCATCAAATATCCATCCATTCCATCGTAGACATCAGCACACTTGTTGCGTCGGCCAATTTCAAGAAACGACTGCGAACCCTACATGGAACTCAATTGTTAAGCCTGAGAAAGGTGTAAAGAAAAGAAAAAACATCGAATCTTAATCTGTTCCTGGTCGAAAAGCAGACGCGATACTTATCTGTCCAGTCTGACGCACTTCTCCACTATGAAGCATCGTTTCATAACGAAGATTTCTCCCCTCAACAACTGGAATCAGATCGTACGAAACCATGTAATGAGGCTTGCCTTGTACCTCGCCATTGGCATCGGTGTCTGGAAGAACGACATTGTCAGGACTCCGAAAGGCATCCATTGGCGTTATAATACTTCCAGAAATCTGAGCACCTAATGAAAATATTAAATTATTGCCGGGGCCTCTATCGTTGATGAGTGCTAACCTTTGTTCTCTAGGTGATCAGGATGAAAATGAGAGCGTTTTGCAAAATCAGATACGTAGAGGATTTCCTCACAACGGAGTCTTTCGTCGTAGAGTTCGAAAGCATGTTCGCATGTGAATGGTCGGAATTTATGGGTTGGCTTCAACACCATTCCCTATAATTTGGTCAATTATGCCATGCACTGAAGGCTGATGTCTTCGCCCTTCTCACCTTTACCATGAAATAATCGATGGTCGTCACAAACTTGTGGCCATCTAGGGCGTCTACTTCCGGTGTCTGTTCCTTATGCTCGGGGATTTCCAGCGGTTGGTACGGCTCACGGCGAAGAAATCCATAGCTTGATTCAGCACGTCTGATAGGACCGCCCGCCTTATTCAGAGCCCGAAGAATAGCACCAGATGCGATGGCCGAGACACTAATAAGAGTCAATGATGAGTACGGGTCTAAAAGAAAGGATTTCGGACGTCTTACCTCTCCTGAACACTTGTTGTAACAAGTTCAATTTCGTAAGGCAAGTTGAGTTCGTTAACGAGGTCATCAAGAAATTTCCGAAGATAGCTACGTAGGGATGGTGCAGCTCCAAAGCCCCCTATCAAGAAAACTTTCTTTGTTTCTGTCAGATGGTAGTCCTTTTACCAGACAAATGTACTCACCTGAACCGTTTTGTCTTTTCCGAAAGTCATTTCAAGCTGGGTGCGTAACAAGTCTCCAACCCGTCGAAGAATTGGCATAAAAATAGCATCGTAATCTCTCCTGTTTGTCACTATATCAGGCATCATCGACCACAACCCATTGAACACACTTACCAATCTAGGATGAGTCTGTTGTCCTCAAAGCCTTTTGATTCTGCTCCTTCTAGGCCTCTACTCATATCTCCACGGAGGCCTGGTATTCTCAGAGAACCTGCTGGCCGTTTTGTGATATCTTTGTATCGTTTATCGTAATTCTCAAAATCTGGAACGAGTTGCTTGACAATTGTTTCTCGAGTCAAGCCTTGAATGTCCAGGTAGTCTTCGTCGGCCAATCGCTCAAGCACTCGGTTCTCAAAATTATCATTGAGATGGCTTGCACCACAATTGTCCCCTAAATTCAGGTTAGCTTGCTTCCTGCTAATTGAGAGCTTGTATCGTACTTATTGGGATGCCAACTTCATTCTTGAGCCGTAGCGGGTAAGTGCTCGAAATATCGAATGCGGCTGCGTGGACTGGTCCACCCCCACAATCAAGCACAACTATGGTATCGCCGGCCTATATATATATCAGAACTCGGCCTTCCCAGGAGAATAACAAATCGAAAGGGCTTACCACCAACTCATTATCAAACCCCATCAAGTATGTAGCCGCTGATTCTGGCTCGGTCACGACAAAAAGGTTGTCAATACTGCCATATGACAAGGTTCCAAGACCGGTGGTCTTAATTGCGGTAGCAATTGCATTTTGCATAACACGTGAGGAACCCTGGTGCCATATGGCTGGTACTGTCATCACAAACTCTACCTCGGAGTCACTTGTAAACCCCTCGTTCTCCTGTAACTGCTGCTTGGTATGCTGGAAAATCCTGATCAGAAAATCAGCGATGACATCCTTGAGATCTTGCATTCCTATACGTCCACTTTCCCCATAGCGTTTAACAATTCCAGCACGAATCAAGCCACTGAGACGAGGAAGAAGCTTGGTTCTATCCGCTTCAGTATGCTTGCTCCGGACAAGCATTAGTTTAGGACGATCAATGAATCGGTCAACTTTGCGGGTCGTTCCAGCTTTGTACATGGTATACGCTACCTCATATCCCCAGAGAAAGGTTTCCGCAGTGTCGTTGTCAACATGTTGGTGTGCACGGGTGCCGATTTCCGTTGACCAATTCATTTTGGAGGCGACTCTTTCCATGTCGCTCTCATTTTCAGACAGCTCGCCGTCATTTCTTGGAGCTGTGTATCTGGGGACGAGGGGATACCAACTTTGTGTTGGTACTTGTCTGATTTCAGCACCGCTAAGTTGCCAGTTCACAATGCTTTTGATATCGCCTGGTAGCACCGTGAACTCGGTATCGCCAACCAAGTGAGTATAATATGACACTGATGTGAAAGTCGTGCCGTAATCTAGGCCCAAAATGAACTTTTTCTTGGGCTTGTAAGACACCTTAGGCTGTGCCCGACGAGACCGTTTTTCTTTCTGCTCGGGCTGGTGTGCTGACAACATCGCCCGGGGAATTTCCTCTGGGGACTGAAATCGAGGTCTAGCTTTGGGCTTCTTTTGATCCGCAGCTTTCTTGGCTGTCTGCAAGATTGGGGCAGAATCTTGCTCTGGACTCTCGGATCGTTCGATTGATGAGGAATCATCATCCCAAGAAGCAATTGACTTTGGTTTCTTCGGCTTACGAGGAGACTTGGCTGCTGCTCTCCGGGGTTTGGCAGGGAGTTGTGGTGGGCTCTGGGATATTTCATGTGGTAAAGTTTCTTCGTCTTGAACAGGAACTGGCCTTGGTAACTTCAGTTTTTTAGACTTATGAAGAGGCTTAGTCACCCCTAAAGGCTTAGCAGGGTGGCTCTTTGATTTTGATTTAGGCGTTTGGGTTTTATCATTTTTGGTGACCCCTGTCGGTGTTGGCAGAGACTTGCGTGTAGATTCGACAGCTCGAGGAGTCATGACAACATCTGAGTCCCGAGTATCTTTGTCGTTGTCGTTATCCTTCTTGCCGTAGTGTTGTACAGCAACAGGGGTTCTGGCGCTTTGGTCCGCTTGTTGGGTTTTCAAAGCTGATTGAAAGACTGCAGCCGCGAATAGCTTCTGAAACTCGTCCAGCTCTGGGGGATCTTTTGTGGCCATTTCGTTCAGATCAACTCCAGGTCCAATCTGAGAAAATGACAAGAGGACAAATGAAGTGAGCAGCAACATTAGCAGTTCGGTTATTTGTTATATTGCAAGTATTCCTGAAATCCTGCAAGCTCCGCACCTATCGAATCACACAGTAGTCTTAGCGGAACGAACGCAGGCGACGACGCATATGCATCTTGCCGTATGCGGGTTCGACGTTCATCACATGACCAGGGTATTTTCAGAAAGAAGTTTGTTTGCGTAAGCGGCCACGACTCACAAGAGAAAGCACAGGGCTTTGGGCAACACAGCGGATTTGTGTTCTTTGAAGTTGTGATAGAAAGCACGTTAGAAGATGATAAGATAATCTAGAGGCTTTACATAGCTTCTTCCAAATATACTCAACTACCAGTCAAAGTTATCGAAAACATACATTGAGATTTTACTTCCGAGCAAAAAAATGTGATCGACTTCGGCAAAACTCGGTGTTCCGCATGTGTTGGGTTGCATATTTCTCATGCATGCTGTCTATCGACAGTTGTTTGTCGATGTCTATCTGAACTCGATAGCAAACAGTCTCAATTGGTATTCCATAATCCTTACGGTTTTGCGGAGATAGTGCCACGTACAACAGCACCTTGTAATGATGCACGAAGAAACCAAGTACCGTTTCTCATCAGTCGCCGAGGCTGTATCTCACCAAAGTCTCATATATGGCCTCCACCAAGAAGATCAAACCACAACTATAACCAGGTATGTCAGAGTCCTTGGTATGGAAATTGCCAGAAAGGGCAACTTTCCTTTCGTGGTTGGACTTTTGTGTGGAAAACAATGTTGAAGTGCACGAAGAGACATTTTGCGACCTATTAAAACGTCTGACAGGAACAAAACTCAATCCAGAGCATATTTCTTCTCAATTTTCCCATCTGGTCAGGAACGAACGAAGTCAAAGCCTTATTGGGCTCACAGTGACTGACCTCCGATTAAAGGGCTCCAAGTGCTTGAATCGAGTTTCAATCAAAGAACGGAAGCTGATTGAAGAGATGACCACACATTTCCGAGAGGTCTACCCCGAGCTTATTGGTGAGCCCTCTGCGAAAAATATGACCAACAGTCCCTTGATAGACCGTGCCGCGGCACTTATGAGTCTACGCCGAGGGATGCAAACGCAATTGCAACCAGACAAACAGGACCACGATGAGGGAAAACGGAAAGCATGCGATGAAGAAACTCAAGCTGATGATAATGTAAGCGAGCAACAATTCTTCTGCGCTACTCTCCCTGACAACATCTGGATTAGAATGACCAAATGATTGAAGCACGGAGAGACAAAGCAATGGATCAACATTTACAAACGACTGCTATTGGACTTACAGATAAACCTCTGCCATCACCGGAACATCGAAGCAAGAAACGTGCAAGAATAGCATTCGAAGACCAAGACTTCCGCCAGCCCACCTTGAATGTGCAAGAAGGCATATCGCCAATGAATCAACCGCAAGAAAAACACCGTACGCCACTTGAGAGAAGGCTGATATCAGAAGTCAAAAGAAGCATGATGGAAATTCGCGAGATGCGGGATGAATGGAATCGAGAAGTACAGGAGCTCGCCAAGCGAGAGGAGAACCAGAAATCAACGATTCAAACACTGCGCAAAGAGAAAACGCATTTGGAGTCTGCAAGAGACGAACGCAAAAATACCGGAGAGTCATCCATTAAAGATGTTTTGTACCTCAAAAATGAAGAGATATGGAAATTAACGAAGAGAATAAAGGAGATGGAGAAACTCGCCCACTTCACTCGAGTTGAGTCGACATCACCTCTGCTATGCTGGGAAGAGGTCACAAATACCATGAGCGTCCTTTCTTCAGAGCTGAATTTGATCTTGACTGGCCACGATCAGCGAAAACCTCTGCTTATACCAAATACCATAGAGAATCCCGAACTCGCAAAGCTCATTCGTTGTGCACTGGGGAACGATGGAGAAGAGATGGGTTCAGAAAGATTAGTCTTGCGCCGCTGGGCTGCAAAATACGACCCGGAGGTTGTTATAAGAAACCTGATCCTTGCTGCTGTCAAGGATTGGGTTTTCATGTCGTCTTTTCCAAAGTTAAACCCAAAAGCTGCCCCTTTATTGGAAGCATATCGAGAAAGCGTCCAAACGCATGGCAAGTCATACCCCTTTTCACCAAACCGCGATTTGTCAACTAATATCCGCCGGGATATGTAGATGGTTGGAAGAGCTTGCAAAATTTAGAATTGGCAGCTCATCACAAGTTGCTCACAAGCGCTTTCTTCCGAGATAGAATGATCCTGAAAAATAGGGCTGAGCACACATCTCGTCTATTGAAAGCACTGGCGCCCTTGTTTCTCCCCTCTAGCTCTGAACAAACAAAGGAAAATATTCAATCTTGGGGTCACAACGACGATACCAGTGAGGACCGTCGGTTCAGATTGCAAGGGATATTCGAGGCAGCTTTAGCCTTGAAGGCGCGGACTTTACTAAGCGAGAACACATTCGAGTTTGTGATCCACAAACTCGGCACACCTGCAACCAATCTCAATGAACAGGCCCCAAACCTCTCCCTACTAGCGACAGTCCACATGCATCCTAGGGAAGAGTTTGGTAGAGGTGATCAAATGTCGGATGCTTTGGTTAATTCAAACACATTCTTCGACAAGACTCATCCAGGTGAAGGCTCTCTGAAGAGCTGTGAGCTGACAGTCCAGAGGCGAGACTTGCCACAATGGAGTCCGAATGTTTGGCAGATGGATATCGCTGATAACGAGGCACTATTGTCCAGGCAACTTCAGCAGGAACCCAATCCAAAGGGCCAACGAAAGTTCGTTGAAGCTGCTGATTTGCAGACGCATGAAAGATAATCGTGAGTGGTCTCAAATCAATTTGTTCGCATCTTTGAATGCCCGAACCAGATGGCAAGACTATATGGCAGATGCTTACGGTATAACGTGCTATTCACAGGTCTCCAGATACACGGCATAAATGTGCATAACGAGGTCGTGAAGCCGCCAACAGAACTGGGAACCAGACCACATACCATTCCGAAAGGAAAAGGCGAGTCACCAATCGACTCCAGCAACCAGATTAACAAATCTCCAGGTCCCAAACAACCTGATATTTGTGCAAAGTTCAATGACCTAGACCAGTCCGGAAGTAAATCGAGTTACGCAGGCGACAAGAAGACCAGGAACCCAAAGATCCAGCAACCCAAGTTACCTAAAGAAGGTCGAAAAGTAGCGAAGACCCTCCGTGACTTTAAATGCGATCTCTGTGTACGCCCGTTTACGAGGTTCCAGAATATGAAGAACCACCAAACTAGAGGTAAGTGTTCTCCGGCCTCGAATTTGAGTAAAAGAGGCCTAACATGCCCCATAGGAGGCTGTCGGGGATGCCCGCATTGTGGACAGCCCATTAAAGGGAGATCAGCATTGATAGAGCATATTCTTGAGAAGCACCCAACAGCTTCCGATAATAACAGGGCAGGCAGCTCATCACATAGTTCCGAGAATTTCTGTGGGCGGCCGAAAGATGGAGAGCAGCAGGGTGGCAACGGTCAAGACACAGCTGAGAATGGTTTATAGCCCTCCTCCCTGTTGGAGAAATAGAGCTAATTGTGCATCAATAGCTGGAGCCATGTCATCTGCAAAAACTCCTGTCCCAAAGAAAAGATCCTCGCCCGTGAGAGAGAGTTACTCCCCATGCGAATCTGCAACAGACTCATCGTAGGAGTGGGTCTTGCATTTGCCAAATTGCAAACACGTCGCAAACTACTCTGAAGACCTCGATAGCAGGATATCAATTGCATTTCTATGACGCAGTCATGGCGAGTGTGTTCTATGTAGAGAACCGAATGACGGTACGGATTGTGGATCCAAAAGCTAGTGTGTTGATGTTTTGTGCTTCTTAATAATAAGAAATATCGTCTGCGTTGATCTGTCATTTTCCGTTTCGGCATATTGATTGATGTGACTTTAAGCTTCTTGTCTGATGGGTAGAATTTCCATGCGCCATTCTAAGGGAACCAGGCATACCAATGAGTCAAGGTCGAAGCCTGGCAACCGTAGTGGGATATATGTAAATGGTTGCTTCTGCAAAAACTCATCATGAAGGGGACCAATCGGAAATGCGAAGTAAAGAATTGGGTGGGATAAAAGGCCATCTCCGCGAAAGGACGAGCGTTTGAGGGCATCTGTGAAGGTTGTGATTGCGAAGCCATGGAAACTTTTTGAGCTTTGGTCGGTGAGATTGGAGATCAAGATTGCGTGGATCCACCGTAATCCCAAAATGGATCCTGCTACAGCACTTGGCCTCAAATTGCCACATGTCGGACCATGGAATAGATATACATGATATTTGAAAAGCCCAAGATCAAGGGATTTATGTAGGCAGTTGACAGTCTTATAAGATTACACCCGAGCTTTGGCGAACATACCGAACCCTGGAAGTAGTGGGAAAACTTACTTTGGTGAAACCTCGTAACCTCTGATGAGCTTAGTGGCAAGATACGGTAGCTAAGTAGATTCAGCCATTAAATTGAGGGGTCCTTGACCACAGTTGGTTCTCAATTAAAAAAGAGAACATAACCATGCCATCATCAAAAAGAGGCGAATGTATCATACAAGTACACAGAATTAATCATACATACATAAGCTTTCATATGAGTCCAGACTCCCGAGCCTTCTTCATACTATTCTCAAACAACTCCCGACAAGGCACTCGACTACCCAGGCGGGCACACAGCAAGAATGCACCGCTGAGCTTTCGATGAAGGCTATAAGTTTCTTCTGGTGGTGGCGCTAATCGCTCCCTGAGCATAACAGGAATCTGCTCCTTCACTCTTTCCGTGATAGTCTGGTCTTTGAAATCGTAAATCTTTGGTGAAGAAGTCAAGAATGGTTCAGCGAGAGTGAGGATTGATAAGGTGTGTGCGTTGAGCATCGCCTTTGATTCTTTGCCCGTGAGATATCCTAGCTCGATAGAGAGACTGCGGATAGTGTTTTTGTCAGATATGGAAGCTGCTGCTAGGAGTTTTGCGTATTTCTCAATAAATTTGGCGGGATATTCTCTTGAAGCTCCAAAATCCAGGAGTTCGAGGCGGTTGGTTTTGGCATTGTATAGGAAATTGGTCCAGTTCGGATCTGTTTGCATGTATTTGAACTCCGTGATTTCACGAAGGCAAAGTCGCAGAATCTGTGTGCCAATCCAGTCTCTCTGTTCTTGTGTGAAGCTTTTGACTCTTGTTACACCGATTCCGTCAAGAAACTCCATGGTCAAGACCTGTGGCCCAGATGCTTCTAGAAGGACTTTTGGTACGACAAAAACGTCGGTCTCGTCAGACAGGAACTCTTGGAAACGACGGCCGCATTCTGCTTCTCGAACATAATCGCATTCCCATCCCAATTCAACCCTTGCATTGGCGATTGTTTTGTCAAGAAAGAGGCCTTTTGGTAACAGGCGTGATGCAGTGAGAAGTATTGCGAGATTGTTGAGGTCAGAATCAATAGAGCTTGCAACTCCTGGATATTGGACTTTTACTGCCACTCGGGTTCCAGAAGATTTTAATACCGCACGGTGAACCTGGCCGATGGAAGCAGCAGCTATCGGTTTATCGTCAAAGCTGGAGAACAGGTCTCGCCATTCAGGACCAAGGTTCGATGCCAATACCTTGTTTCGTTGGGAGGCTGGCATATAATCTGCCCGGTCCTGTACTCTCTGCAAAACTTTCTGAATTGGTGCCGGGAGCATCTTGGAGTCCTGGAAACTGATCATCTGGCCCAGCTTCAGCGCAGCTCCCCTCATGCGAGATAGCTTGGCTACAAGCCTTTCCATATTGGCTTCACTGAGCATGAAAGACCCTTCTCCGCCACCACCTCCCACTCGGCGAATGCTTTCGGTAATCGCACCTCCAAACATGCCAGCTGCCAGGCCACCATAATTCCAGATTCTCCCAAGCCTGGAAGATGGGACTTTGGACTCTCTGAGCTCATATGGAGCAGGTTCATTTGGCGAAGCACCAGCTACCTAGATCTCTGTCAGTCATCAGTACGTGTTATCTTCTGATGGCATGCTTAGTAATTACCTGACCTTCTTCGGAGATATTCCTTGAAAAGTCTTCTCCAGCCCTCTTCGTTTCATTCTCCGATTCAATCTGGGTTTCATTTTTCTCGTTGACGGTAGTAGGCGGCTTCCCGAATACAATATTGGATCTTTCTGGATTTCGGTTATTCGCACCTAATCCAATACTTCCACCCTGTACTCTCCCCCCAAGTTTTCTCGCAATTCTTGGGTTATGGAAAAGGTTCAGGTTGACACCTTCCGGGATCTCTTCCTCTACAGGGGCAGCTGCAGGCTCCGTTCGACGGTCACTGTAAAATGTATCCGGATTTAGCGAGCCTTCTGCTGGATGCTCAGGTCCCTGTACGTCTGAAGGGTTCTCAGGAATCTTGAATTGAGGTAGTGAGGAAGTTGCCGGTGAGGTATGTGTTGATCTTCTACTAAAGCTTTCTTCATCATGCCCTTCCTTTTCCTTATCAACGGAGTCATCAAACGCATCTGCGGTCTTTGAGGGTATTTGGAACTCGGTCTTTAATTGATCTGGGAGGGGTGAGGGGTGCTTTGGGACAGGAATAGTCGATTCTCCTGTGGATTTTGGTTCTAGGCCTTCATTTTTCAAAGGCTGTTTTGACGTCTCGGTTTGGGACCTGACTGATGTAGAATCTGAGTCTATTTCTCTTCTATTTTCACTGAAATCTTTAGGTGGTATTGTGCCGTCTGGCAGAGGGTATCTATCCGCCTTCTCTTGGTGAACTTCCTCCTCCGGGGGTGCATCTGTAGACGAATTTGCCGGTGATCGATCATAATGATGGTCCTGTTCAACCCCCTCCTTCGATCCAACATCCGGAACGACTTCTGGCAGATCCTTTCTAGGACTCGGCTCCTCTTTCCCGTTATGAGTTGCCCTAGAAGTGTCCTCTGCCTCGTATGTCCATTCTGGTGCACTCTCGTTGAGTCTCGAAGCAAGAACCGTCGCAGCTCTTAACGTTTCCGTAACCCGTTCTGTTTGGCTTCGCAAAGCTCTCGATACCGTAGAGGTCCTATTGTAAACATCAAGTTGCCGACTTCTCAGAGCAATATGCTTCTGAGCGACTCCCCGAGAGGCGCTGAGAAGTGCAGCCAAATCCAGCAACCTTCTTCCAGACATGACGAGCAATTCTCGTAGCTGCGAGTGTTCACCGAATCATGTTGTTGTTGTGGCGGGTAATGTCCAGATATCTCAGATCATGGTGTCTAAAAATGTGAAGTCAAACATACTCGAGTATGGCCCAAGCTCTTCCATGACACCATGACGCGCTCCCGATGTCTTGCCGATCTCGGTTGGCAGGGTACGTGCAGGGGTAGTGTAAATGCCAGGCGGGAGCACCAGGGGGTGTTAGAATTCTGTGCGCAGCCGCAGATTTGGGCCGAAAACATACTAAAAACACCCTACTTTACTAAATTATAATAAATTAAAGAATATTCTATATATTCTATAATTAATAATTCGAGATAAGATGGAAAACAGCTCTAACCTATACTATTCAGAATTTTGATAAAATAGCTACCTCTCTTATACTATAAATATAGTAGATTTACTAGAGGATTTAGTAAGAGAAAACTCTCTACTAGAATATCTCTTTAACTATTAGTTTCTAAAGAAAACTCTCGTATATACACTTAGTCTATATACTCTAGAGAGTTAATATATAAGATATTACGTATAGTTTAAATATAAGTAGTTATAGAGTTCTAAAAACGTAGTTTTTAGTATATTTTCGGCTAAAATCTAGGACTACGTATAGAATTCTAACGACCCCTAGTCCTTAAAGATTTTTACTATCCTAGTAGTACCCTCGAGGGAGGGTTAGTATATAGTTAAGGTTCGCCTAAGAAACAATGCCTTTTTAAGCTATAATACGATTATACGCTAAGACTCCTAGGTATTAGTAACTTTTTAACCCTTAAAAGGCTTTTAAATCTTATATAATTAATACCTAAGTCTTTTCGCTAAGCTTTATTAACTATAAAGGTTATCCGAGAATTAGAAGGGTATACTAGGGGCTTTAGAGGGTTAGAGAATTCTATATAAGTATAAAATTTATATAAGTATTTACTTCGAGCTATATAAAGCTAAATATAGCTACGCTATACCTTATAGAGTGTTGGTACGACCTGGTTGTCGTAAAGGGTGATACACAAACATAATCTCTCTTTGTATTCATTCGTGTATGAAGAGTAAAGGTAAAGAGAGGTGGTACCCTACAAGCTTAAGTATATGAGTGGCAAGCCACTCACATGACCTAAAGCATATAGATCCACCAGGCTCTCTGTAACGAATACTCAAACTGGCTAACTAAACTTGGCTGGGTGTTCGCTGGTTGGTATGCTATGATAAGAAGAAGACTATCGGGTTGTTCACTTGGAAGTGAACTCGTTACTTGTATCAAAGANGGTGTTCGCTGGTTAGTATGCTATGATAAGAAGAAGACTATCGGGTTGTTCACTTGAAAGTGAACTCGTTACTTGTATCAAAGATGTCAGACTAATATGATAAGATTGATAACTAAGTTGAGCACGAAGTGTAACGAATACTCAAACTGGCTAACTAAACTTGGCTGGGTGTTCGCTGGTTGGTATGCTATGATAAGAAGAAGACTATCGGGTTGTTCACTTGGAAGTGAACTCGTTACTTGTATCAAAGATGTCAAACTAATATGATAAGATTGATAACTAAGTTGAGCACGAAGCTCCTATCTAATGGCAGACGTGCCAGTCTTATATAGAACCTTCATACCCCGCGTATGGTCCGAGTATAGAGTAGTATAAGCCTTCCTTATACTTCCTTATACTCCGGTAGTATAGAGTAGTATAAGCCTCCCTTATACTTCCTCATACTCCCTAGTCACATGATCTTCTGTAAGGAAGAAATCCTTGGATCGCCTAGCTACCCTAAGCGATCCCCATTTGCTATAAGAAATCTGAATGTGCCTGTCGAGGGTTGCGCCTCTTATTATGACAAGTATCACGTGAACACGTGATTCGTGACACGAAGCTCCTATCTAATGGCAGACGTGCCAGTCTTATATAGAACCTTCGTCCTCATAGAATAGCTGTAGATAGCTGGCTATTCTATGTTCCCACAAATAGCTGGCCTGNTGCCAGTCTTATATAGAACCTTCGTCCTCATAGAATAGCTGTAGATAGCTGGCTATTCTATGTTCCCACAAATAGCTGGCTATCCGTAGCTATTTTGATCACGTGACAACTTAGATACAAAGAAATCCCTGGATCGCTTAGCTAGCCTAAACGATCTTGTTTTACTATAACTTCCTGGACGAGTCTGCTCTGGGGTTGAACCTTATTAGGAACAGACATCACGTGAACACGTGATTCGTGACACTCTCGTACAAGGTGCTATTCACCAGAATTATATACCGACATAGAGGTACGATAAGTACTCGGTACTACGCGTATATAATAGAAGATAATACTATATAAATATAAGTTTTAGAATTACGCGATTTAGCTAAAGTTCACGGGCGTATATTATAGGTAGTATTATCGTAGGACGTAGTAGTTATATATATACTAGTATTATATATATGTAACGAATACTCAAACTGGCTAACTAAACTTGGCTGGGTGTTCGCTGGTTGGTATGCTATGATAAGAAGAAGACTATCGGGTTGTTCACTTGGAAGTGAACTCGTTACTTGTATCAAAGATGTCAAACTAATATAATAAGATTGATAACTAAGTTGAGCACGAAGCTCCTATCTAATGGCAGACGTGCCAGTATTATATAGAACCCTCGTTCCCATAGTCGCCATGGTCGAACAGTCGCCCATGGTCGACACGGTCGACCGTGTCGGCCATGTCGCTGGTCACGTGATTCCAACCCAAGGAAATCCCTGGATCGCTTAGCTAGCCCAAAGGATCCCTTATTTGCTATAAGTCTATAGATGTGCTTGACCTGTCAGGACGCCGCCTGGTCTTCACTTATCACGTGTGCACGTGATTCGTGACAATATACTAGCTATAATCCTAAGACTTCGTAGACCGCGTATATGTATATAACTTTAGGTAGTAGAGCGTTAGTCGAGAATAAAGAAAAAATTATAAGGGTTAAGGATTTTTTAGGCTCTATTTACTTAAAATATTAGACCTTTATATTATCTTAATTTAGTATACTAAGTATTAACTATACTTAATTTAGTTATATTCTTGTGACGACACGTACGAGATGTTGCTCAGAGAGCGTCCAAGGTGTAGGTTATGGAATCGTAGAACTGTCTATTCGAAGATTCTAAGCTAAAGAGAGAAGAGAAGAAAGGACAGAAGTCCAGGAGCTGGAAGCTCTTATATACAGGAGGGGTACCAAGGGTTATAGCTAACCGAGCCGGGCTCGGGAAGCACGGCGGCCGACGGGTGCCAGCCAGGGGCTGGTTTGAGGCATGGTGGCGGTGAGAACCGTCACAATTCTAAGTCCTTAAATTAGTACTCTACTCTAAGTAAATACAACTTTAATATTACGGGTTAATATCCTATAGATTAAATATATAATCTATAGGATATTAACCCGTAATATTAAAGAAGAAATAACTATTAGTTAACTTCTTAATATCTTATAGGAAAATAGATATATTAGACCGGATTATATACTAATTTCTTTAAGAAAAACAAGCTCCTTTACTACTCTTTTATCTTATAAAATAACGTTACGAAATCTTAAATTAATACTAATATATTCGTTATTCGATATAGTAAAGTTTTTAAATTAAGGCTAATAGGACATACGATTATTCTATATCTTTCGCTATATCTATAAATTCGCACCTAAAATCGAGGTTATAACGGAAAGCGGGGAAACGAGTAGTGTAAACTTAGCATAAGGATAGAACTATACTATACCTGTTTTATACGATATTATCGATTAATATGCTATAGATACGGTGGATCAAACCTACACAATATCGAGAAAAATATTATCTTAATTAAGTATAGTTTACTTGGTATATGGAGGTCTAACATTCTGAGTAAACAGAGCCTTAAACAGCTCTACAAAAAGTTACCAATAGTTACAGGGACTCGAGGGTTAAGAATTGTGTAAGGGTCTGACTTTTACTATGTATATACTTCCCATACCCTTTTTTTTTGAGGGTTAGACAAATTTAAGCCTCGTCCGAGCCTCTCCCGAGGGTGTGACTGGGCCAGCAAAACCCTTTAAGGGTGGGAGCACCTGGGAGGGACTTGTGTGACTCGATCTAAATATTCCATCTAAATTTGGATCGAACCAGTATGGGGATATAAAAAAAGCCTGCAAAGACTCCTGACAATAACTTGCCCATTAACAAGAAAGACAAGTGCTTGTTTACGTATGTTGAAGATAGTGTGTGTTGTTGGTCGAGTATGCATGGGAGGATAGCAAAACCTCGGCTAATTAATATTGGTCGCTCTACATTTTTCAATTAGAGTACAGTACTCGAGTAGATCTCTTCGCGTGGGTGTAATGTGCAATATTTTGTTCTCCAACTTTGTAGATGATTTGCTAGACATTAAGAAATTAAACTAAAGCAGCATGATAAAGCTATGAAGACTAAATAATAAGACATGAATCGTCAAGGGGAATCTACCACATCCTCCAATACCCAACTCCATTCCTCCACCATCCCACCCAGACCGGACGCTTCGTTAGACAAAAGAAAGATGAGATGATAAATGAAAGAATATGACAATGAATGACACCCACTCAAGCCAAAATTTGGCAGGCCCCGACCTCTTTCCCAACCTCAGCCACTCTCTTCAACACACTTAACACCGGATGCTCGAGTGTCAAACTCCTAGCCCCGGCTTCTACCTTTGCAACCCCACCCGCTCCAAGAAGAGCAGCCTTCAAGGCCACCAACTGTTTAGAAGCAGGCGAGGTAGCAAGAGCATCAACACACCCCTTGATACCCCTCATCTTCTCAGCCTCGAGGCATTTCTTCTCATCTCGTTGCTTCAATACAATCCCATCAAGGAACCCCGCAAGCGCGGTATTGAACGCGGGCACAGCAGTCTTAAAGTCACCAGCAAGGCCAGTGGCACTTGGGGGAGCAGCTGTAATCTTGTGTTCGATTTTGTCAATCACGGCACTGGCAAATGGTGCAATCAAGCTGTCAATAGCTGCCATGGTTTCGTCATAAAGCTTGGTGTCCATGCCACCGGTTGGTTTCGCGCCCCCCATTCTGCTTTGATAGTTCGCAATTGCAGCGCTAATTTTGGGCAGAGCAGCGGTGGGAACAGAAATGAAGCCTCCAGGTGTGGTGTGGGAGCTTAGGTCGGTAGCCGGGGTTGGGGTTGGTGTTGGGGTTGGTGTCGCTTCGTCAGGGTTGAGGAGACCCCCCAAGAGAGATGGAACACCACCTGCAATTGCAGGTAATGCACCAGCAACTGCAGGTAATACACCTGCAGGTATTGCAGGTAGACCTGAATCTTGTTCTGGTGTTGGCGGCGGGGTCATTGTGGGGGCTTGTAGTGCAGTGCTCGATTGCACATCATTAGTTTGTTGCGGGCTCTTCGATGTAGTTTGCCCTGGTTTTCCGGTTTGTTTCCCAAGTCCAAAAAAGTTAAACCCTTTCTTGCCTTGGTCATCTTTGGATGTTTCATCTGGCTTCGGGTCCGGTTGTTTTTCAGATTGTTTTCCAAGTCCAAAAAAGCTAAACCCTTTCTTTCCTTGGTCATCTTTTGATGTCTCATCTGGCTTCGGGTCCGATTCTTTTCCAGATTGTTTTCCGGATCCAAGAAAACTGAACCCTTCCTTCGCCTGGTCGTTCCCTGGTTTCACCTCTGTCCATTGTCCTGGTTGTGGCTCCGATTCTTGTTCTGGTTTTTTTCCTGAAAATCCCGGAAATCTGAACCCTTTGCTTCCCTGGTCCTTCTCTGGGGTCGTTTCCGGCTTGGGTTCTGGTTGCTTCTCTGGCTTTTTCCCTGAAAAGCCTAGCCACGAGAACGCGCCTTTTCCTTGGGGGTTTCCTGGCTCTTGTGGAGTATTCTTGGGTTGTTCAGGCTTCTTCCTGGGGTGATTTGCCGAAGGGTCTCCACGTTTGGATTTATGGTTGTGGTTGATAAGACATTTTGACTTCTCGGTAAAGTAGTCTGCTAAGCTTTCGTCTGACGCAAGCACATCGTCGGGGATAGCAGCGACGATGTTGAGAAATGAAGAAATATTTTGAACTGTAGTGCTGCGAAATGGAAAAGTAGGAAATTCAGCTGGCGCAGCTGATGAGCTTGGAGTTGGCTTTGGGAAAATTGCAGCAGCAGAACTGAGCTGGGCTGTGTAAAGAGTCGTCGCTAGTGCAAAGGAGTGTAGGAAGTGCATTTTGCAAATACTAAGTGCTCTGACCTGAAGGATACAAAGCTAGAGAAGAAATCTCGAAGGAGATACCAATGGATCGAGCATTTCTTTGAGGTGGACGCTCCGCTCCTTATATCATCTGCTCGACGAATTGTATAATACAACTTATTCCCAATCAAAAGTGATGTGATTCGATTTTAAAACTGATATCGATTAAAATGAAATTCTCGACCGGGCCATTCTGATAGGATCCACACTATTCACCCGGATGATCACCTCGGACGAACTCTTGGTACACCGTAGATCATAAGAGGATGGAGGTCAAAGACCCTACTCTTGGCTAGTAATTTGATAGTTGGCTAGGGCCATTCAACAAATCAAGCCATTGAAATTGCTCGCTAAGAGTCTTTGTGGATTAGACTACCACGAGGCTACCCCTTTCGCGGATGGAGGATCTCCATTTACCGAGTGAGGGGTTAAGCGAATCAACCGACAAGACGGACACGCCGACGACATCGCGTTCTCTAGATCACCATCTTCCCATCCAGGTAACTCGCAAACATACCCGGAATGCTCCAAGCATAAAAACGAAACGAAACATTGAAACAAAGATGCGTGGGGAGAGCTAAGCTTCCTCCCTACTGACTGGAGAATACCCACATCGCCATGGAAGAATTAAGGTTTCTCGGTTTTCGCCGTGTCCGTCTCCCCCCACAAGGTGACCTCAGTCAAAATATGCTCAGTGATAAATACGATGGTCTCCTTCTCTTTAGAGGAATGTGGTAGATGATGGACCGATCTCATGTGAAGAATTCAAGTTCGGATTTTTTTGACCTGCTTCGCTTGAAACAAGGCAATCTTATCTACGAGAAGAAATCTAACTTCGAGGTAGTTGGCCATCCAGGTTTTTGGAGTGTGGAAATGGCAGCGAAAATAAGAGAGTGAGTGGCTGTCATAACGCCCTCGCTCTTTCTGATGGGTTGTAGGAAAGCTCGATGTGAACAAATGGGAGTCCGGGTAAGAGACATGGTCGCTGCCCTTTGCATGCCTAGATCAGAAAGATAATATTTCAAAGTCTCGTACACTAACTTGGTTGTACGAACGATTGAGAAGAGTTTTCACCTTTCACGTCTTATTATCCTAGGTATACTAGGGCAATTGCGTTACTTGCGCCAGACGTTTAGCATAATAATTCCTCGTGGTGTATACAGAGCAGTGACCAGGACTCTAGAAGATCAATTTCATACTTCTATTTATTTTGAATTAGTCTATTGACTCACAATCTGGGTATATCGCTAGTCCTTAAACGCCGCCTATTCTGCATATGTTTTATTTGTCGCGCTCTTGTTGCAAGTCCGCTCGCTTGATCAAAGACCCCAAAAAGTTGTCATTTCCCTGAAGGCGTCAATGGCTTCTTCAACCCTGATTTTGGCCTGACGGTACGCGGGGTTTGGACTCCAAATCCACCAGGCGTACCTATTTTACCATTTCCAACTTTACTCCACAGTCTTTGTGCAGCAGGAGTAAGTGAGCCTGTCCCAACTCTGGGGCTACTAGGAAACTTGGGAACTGGAGTTAAGTCCGCTCTACCCGTCATACCACTTTTGATAGACGCTCGCTTTGTTTGGGCATTCTTGTCGACCATTCTATGGTGTAGATCTTCCCTTCTGCTTTGCTTTTTGATGACAAATGGATTTTTGACGGATTCGCCTTTCCCTAGATTAATTACTGGCGCAGGTGGACATTCGTCAGCTTCTGGTTCATCATCTACAAAAGCATACCCATTAACACGTGGGGTTTCGCTCCCATCAAAGCCTGACTCCAAGTCACTAGCTCGCCGCCGCCCAGCGATTGCATCCCTGACTGCAGATAGCGAAGGTGAGGGAGGAACATTCAGTGCTTCTGTTGCAATGTTGCTTTCTGGCATTCGGGTGTTTGCGTATGCAACTCCTTTTGGAACTGCGGTTGAATCCTCTTGGGCTTTTTGAGCTATTGTCTGAATGGAATCTTCCACGCTGTCTGGCATGAACATAAAGCCGTTCCTAGGTTGATATTTCCATGAGTCTGGTTTTGCCGGTTTTTCTTCTACATCTCGAATCGCGAGCTTTTTTCTTTCGCCGCCATCGTCGTGGATAGATGCTCGCGATTCTAAGAGTTTCAGCTCAACTTCTTTTTGTTTCAGCATCATTTTTGAGGGTAATTTATTGTTGGTTGACCACATCCATGCATATTTTTCCGCCCGTTTTTGATTCTGCTTGTCCAGGAGCTTATAAAAGCTTTCATTGTCCTCGCTTGTGTATAATGACTGGAACTTGTCGAGGCTCATATTTGTATCGATGCGGACTCCTGGGTTTGCCATGGCGGTGGAAGCCATCAAATTGTTTGAGGTTACCGACATGGGGGTCTCGCCTGCATAGCCATTTGGTGTCTCTGATGCTCTCACGGGTGTTTGTATCGATGTCCCTCGCCTTCCTACTCTTCTACCCGGCGTCATAACATGTTGAAGTCGTCGGCCAGCACTGGTGATCCATGCCCCATCTCGAGATTCCAATGCATCCAAATATTCCTGCTGAGTCTCTGCCTCTACAAGTCCTGGGAAGAAATCTCGAGCGATGATTTCGGAGATGGCATCCGTATATGATTCCTCGTCGATGACATTTTTGGGCCGCTTTATGCGCTTTGGAGGCGGTGGAGGTGGCATAAGCTCTGTATCCACCGCGCCACGAGCAAGCGCCTTTGATTCCATGGCTGCTACAATATGCAATATCCACAGCGCAGAAGGTAGAGACGATCCGTTGAAAACAAGAGGAGATCTACTCGTAATGGTACCCGTGCTGTCCGCCTTCCAGGTAGAAGCTTTTGTGGTGAGCTGGCAGGTCGTGGTCAGACTGATGTGGGGGAGGAGTCAGACGATGAGGACAGCGATCGTGGGGTGCAGTAAGGTGCAGTACAATGCAGTGCAGGTGCTGTGGGATGCTCAGCGCGTTGACGTCTTTCTCTGTGTGTGTACGGGCAGAAAATTTGGAAATGCTGAGATGCGCAAGTTGTGCCTGAACAAATGAGGTTGAAGAAGTCATAGGTAGAGTAGTCACAGCCTCGGGACGTAGGTCATGACAGACCGGGCTAACGTCGGCCCAGTTTGCTTTTCTGATCCCCGCCCATCCACCATGGAGAGAGCTGCGCTCGCTGGGATTGCCATGGACCATTAATTTCTGCTTCATGAAATTCTGCCCTACCCGCAAATCAAATTGTTCAGAAGAAATTCAACTTTCCTGGTCCAGCGGACCGTTTCTCCTGTTCCCCCAGCGTCTTGAGCTCCTACTCGTACTTGCAAGGTATACCCAACTGTTTTGCGTCACTCGTACTCGGACAGGGACAGGAAATACACCCCTCCCTCCACCATCACCGACCCTCTCCTCCTCTTCTTCCTCCCCACTACATCATGGCGACTCCTCAAGCGCAGGCTGTTGCCCTAAAGGACCAAGGAAATAAAGCATTCGCAGCTCATGACTGGCCTACTGCCATCGATTTCTACACAAAAGCCATAGATTTAGACGACAAGGTCCCAGCATATTATTCAAACAGAGCTCAGGTACGATCTCCATAAAGCTGGGTTGCGCCCCCTCCTGTGACTAACAGCAGAAGGCGAACATTAGGTCAGAAGCCTACGGGTATGCTATAGCAGATGCTACTAAGGCCATTGAACTAGATCCCAACTTCGTCAAGGTACATCTTCTTGCCCACGTGTGCCGACATCCCCACTAACAATTATCGCCAGGCCTACTACCGTAGAGGTGTTGCCTATGCTGCAATTCTCCGACCTGCAGATGCTCAAAAGAATCTCCAGATCGTCGTCAAAAAGGCGCCTGGCGACAAAGATGCCAAATTAAAGTTGGCAGAGTGCCAAAGAATTGTCAAACGAAATGCATTCGAAAAGGCCATCGAGATCGGAGACGAGCCCTCGGCAGCTGAAGGGTTGGATATTGATTCCATAGCAGTGGATGCCAGTTACGATGGAGTCCGACTAGAGAAGGAGATGACACAAGAATTCATTGATGACATGATTGAGCGATTCAAAAACGGAAAGAAAATACACAAGAAATATGTTTACCAGATTGTTCTAGCTGTCAAGAAGATTGTCTATGATGAAGCAACAATGGTTGAGATGAAGATCCCAGATGATGCAACCTTGACTGTCTGTGGAGATACACATGGTGAGTCAAAGTCGCCAAAATGTTTGCCGGGTTCTAATGTCGTTATAGGTCAGTATTTTGACTTGATGGAGCTCTTTAGGTTGAATGGTTTCCCCACCGAGAAGCACTATTACCTATTTAATGGTGATTTCGTCGATCGAGGATCTTGGTCTACTGAAATTGCTCTTCTTCTCTACGCATATAAGTGGATTCGCCCAGGTTCCTTCTTCATCAATAGAGGAAACCATGAAACGGACGACATGAATAGAGTATATGGATTTGAGGGAGAATGTAAAGCTAAATATAATGGTATGTCATGTCCATTTCTTCAAATTCTTAGCGAAAGTATATATGTCCGATAGTACTAAGCGTAATTTAGATCGAGTTTTCAAGTTGTTCTCGGAAAGCTTCTCTGCACTGCCCTTGGCAACTCTCATTGGCGAGAAATACCTCGTACTTCATGGGGGGCTCTTCTCCGATGACAAAGTCACGTTGGATGATATCCGGAAACTCAATAGGCACAATCAACGCCAGCCTGGCCAAGCAGGCCTGATGATGGAGATGTTATGGACAGATCCACAAACGGAACCTGGTAGAGGACCAAGTAAGAGAGGTGTTGGTATGCAATTTGGACCCGATGTTACCAAAATATTCTGCGACAACAATGGTTTAGAGGCTATCATCCGAAGTCATGAGGTGAGAATGGAAGGCTACGAGGAGGAACATGACGGAAAATGTATTACAGGTACGAAATTCAATCGTCCAGTCTCCCCTTCCATGGCTAACTTCAAGACAGTTTTCTCTGCTCCAAAATACTGCGACAGCACCGAAAACAAAGGTGCCTACATCAACATTGGACCTAATTACAAGCTCGAATTCCACAAATTCGATGCAGTCCCACATCCAAACATCAAACCTATGGCGTACGCTCAAAACAGTCTCATGTCGATGACTTGATTTAGGCAATGCCACAGTTTCTTTTCAATATTCTCCAGATGGATATATGCATCGTCTCAAGGCGGCTTTATGGAATGTATAGCGGGAGTTTGGGGATCTACAAAAAGCAAGAGATAAATAAAGCCTTGATGAATTGTGTGCAGTAAGGGATGGTGCATCGTAGAATAGCCAGGCGCCGTGCATCCATGTCGATGGAAATAAGACATCTTTAGAACAGAACCCGTAATTTGGTGCCGTTTTCTGCCCTAATTGAAGTAGTTGACACAATGTCATATAGCAACGTTTCGCTCTCTTGTTTAGCGAAACTTCGTTGTTTCACTGCTCCTCGACCCAGATGATTTGCACTTGACAGACTCCTCTAGTATGCCTTTGCGACAATTTTCACTCGGAATCGCAATGCCTTCCCAGTCAATGAATCAATCATTCCAAACCCGCTCCTCACCATCACGGGCCACCAAACTACTCAACCAATTCCCCGCCCCCCGAACCGTCCACCCCACCACGACGCCCTCCTCCTCCCCACTCCAGCCTCCCACAGCTACTAAAACGGGACTCCGATCCTGGCGCGGGACTCTCAGCCACACATCTCGACCACGGATTTTCAAAATATCGATCGGGATTGCGGAGCCGGTGAGGCCGAGGAACTGTGTGAGGGCCGAGTGGAGATGCGACCAGACGGTTTTGTTGTCGAGGGGGGTGGTGGGTTNATTTTCAAAATATCGATCGGGATTGCGGAGCCGGTGAGGCCGAGGAACTGTGTGAGGGCCGAGTGGAGATGCGACCAGACGGTTTTGTTGTCGAGGGGGGTGGTGGGTTGAAGGAGCGAAGGGGTGTTGAGCGACAAGTGGATGTAGGCGAATTGGGGGCGGGAGATGGTGGGTGTTTTGAGGGTGTGGCCACGGGAGTAGGGTGGTTTTTGGGTGCTGTGTGGATGTGAGGCGGGGTTTGAGGAGTTGTGCATGGGGGTGTCGTCTGCTCTGTCCTCCATGATTTTTGGGATTGGAGTCTTGCTGTGGATGTTCACGTTTGAGATGGGTTTGTTGTGGTTGTTACGTTGATACCTCGAGGTTCGGGAGAATGAGTGAAGGCTTGGCGGTGAAGTCAGGAACGGGAGAATTTCTTCGCTTCGCTTAGGTCTGAGAGTCTGAATTGACAACACAAGATGAAGTCACCATGTCAGAAAATTGATTTTGCAATACCACGTCTTTCAATGTGTATATCCGCATATACTCCACAAATGCGATGAAAGCTGGATACCTAGTTTGTGAAGCAGAACGGTATCGCTATCAACCGTGCCGCGCCGCATTATAAATTTTGGCTGTGGGTCATAGGATAGTCATGTAACTACCTAGGCTTGTCCGAATTTCCATATCATAAACTGTGAGGCTTAGCTCAGTACTTTCAAGCTTTAAGCCCTCACTTTTGGTCATCACTCACCAGTCTGATCGGTTTCTCTACTAAGAGACCAAGTACACAAGTGTCTGTGCTTGGAGGCGAGAGGTATGAGTAGCAAGATACTATAATTCGTGTGAGAAATCCAATTGATTCGAGTTATATTTTTTACCTAACTGTCTATTTCAAAGTGATTATTACACAAATCCTGAAAATCGGCCATATCCTCATATTCAAAGTATGGCTAGATTTTACATGTGCGAGCCGGACAGGGCCTCACTGTTAGCGATCAGAAACCGACAGCTCCGCTTTTTGTCGTATTGGCTGCAGCGAATGCCTTGAACCATGTTTTGCAGTGGTCAATACGATAGTGCTCAATAACGAGAATTCGACCTAACTCTTAGAAGAAGATAACCTTGCTAGGAAGCTTCAGTGAGCTTATGTTAGCCATGACGATGGGCACCAGATACAATTAAGGCTATTTCTCCCATTCCCCCATCTCTCAACACCCCAAGCTTCTTCTCAAAACAACCAGACAACCTCAAGATGGAAGCCAACAAAGCCTCTCTCATCACAGGTAGAAACAGAAATCCGTAACTTCTTATCTATAACTCCACCCAGGTTCCAGTCCTAAAGCCAAGCTTACATACTCTCTCAGGAATCGATCTTGGACTAATCACCAAGTATAGTACCTTTTCCACCCCTAACTCTGATAAAATATGGTAAATGAGAAGCTGGTTAAGTGCTTAATTATTCTACTATAGATGCAGCTAGTTTATGTATAGCTAGCTAACAAAGAGTCTTTAACGAAGTAGATATAATATAGTAGGACGGATTACGTAATTTTAACAGCCCCCTTAATCCGTACTACGAAAAGTAAGGCTATTCCTAGATTCTTAATCCTAGTATATCCCTAAATTTATATAACCCTTCTCGTAGGAGAACTTTTATAAGACTATTAGTAGCTATATAGTTTATAGGGATATATTTATATATAATTATACTAAATTCCACCTATTCCTACTACTATTAATACTAGATTCTAATATATTTTATCTAGGGCGTATAGTAAGGGTTTTTAGATAGCGTAATAGCTCCTTAGTTATTAGCGAATATAAGTATAGGTTTATTATTTGTTTAAATACCGAGTTCCTAGAGTAATTATTGAAGCTGAATAGCTTCTTTTCTAGCTAAAGTTAACTAAATAACTCGGCTTTATAGGTTAATAGAGCTATAGTAGCTTATTGTTTTAAGCTCTACGATACTGTGACGGTTATGGTCACGAGGGCTGGATGTCACATGCTCGCTTAGCGAGACGCTAGCGCGCACGACCTGTATTTAGTTCCCAGCTCTCTCGAGCTCTCCTTCTTTCCTCGTCTTTTGTCCTAAGAATAGAGTGTTAATTGTTCTGAGTTCTACCTGAAGCACGTCTGTCACAGATATAGCTCTACTTCTAACATTAAATAAGTATTCTAACGTTAATTAGCTAGTATTTTTATTATCCGCCTAGCTAGTATCTATATATCTTTTGAGTTTTATATACTATCTTTTAAAAATAAGTATAAGATTAAGTATACCTTTAAAATATTAGAATAACTATTAGAACACTTATTTATATATTTTTATTAGTTAGTAGGAATAGTAGCTAAGTACTAAGACTAGATATACTATATCTAGACGCGTTCCTAGTATTATATGTATAATACTACTAATCTTTTACTAGTATTTAGTAATTACTTCTAGTTCTACGTCTAATCCAGGGAGTGCTAGCTTAAGGCAATAGTTTAGATCTATTAGTAAAATAGATAGATTATAATTACTTATATTAAATTAATCTAATACTTACTTAATATATTGTAACGAATACTCAAACTGGCTAACTAAACTTGGCTGGGTGTTCGCTGGTTGGTATGCTATGATAAGAAGAAGACTATCGGGTTGTTCACTTGGAAGTGAACTCGTTACTTGTATCAAAGATGTCAAACTAATATGATAAGATTGATAACTAAGTTGAGCACGAAGCTCCTATCTAATGGCAGACGTGCCAGTCTTATATAGAACCTTCGTTCTCTATGGATCATATGGACACCACGATCCATCTGATCCAGCTCACACTGGCTCATATGATCCTCCGTGATCCAAGCGAGTCACGTGATGCTAACCAAAGGAAATCCCTGGATCGCTTAGCTAGCCTAAGCGTCCCTATTTTGCTATAAGAGCTTTCGATAGTGCTTAACCTGTCAGGTCGCCGCCTGGTCTTCACTTATTTACATGCCGAGCCCGTGATTCGTGACACTTAAGTTCTTAGAGTTATTATATAAAATCTATAATATTATCGTATTTTTAAGGGTTAAATTATAGTATTTATTACATAAACGAGAAAGATATTCGCTAACGTACTTCATAAGGAGTCCGGATTTATAAGCAGTCCGGATTTTTTACCCCACCATTGACCACCCTACACACTTTCAATCTACATAACTTACCCAATTATTGTTCAAATGTCTCGAAAAGAAGGTCAAATTGCTCTTGCAATCAGTGCATACAATAAGGGTCAATTTACAAGCTTAAAAGCAGCTTGTACAAGGTACGATGCGCCATATTCTACTACTTACGACCGCGTCAAGGGAGCTATTCCACAACGCGATTTCCGACCCCGAAACCAGAAACTCACCGACCTCGAGGAATCAGCACTTATACAATGGATGTTATCAATGGAAGCTAGAGGTCTGCCAGTACGGAAAGATTCGATACGCCAAATGGCCGATTTACTACTGGAAAAGCGAACTGGAGTAGGTCGAATTATTGTCGGAAAATGCTGGGTTGACAACTTTATAAAGCGCCACGACTCTTTACGGACGAAATACACTCGTAAATACGACTATAAGCGCGCAAAATGCGAGGATCCTACGATTATCCGAGATTGGTTTCGATTAGTACATAATATTGTTGCGAAATATGGTATACTAGCGGAGGATATATACAATTTCGACGAGACTGGCTTTCAGATGGGAGTAATTGCGACCGCAAAAGTTGTTACAGGGTCAGAATATACAGGACGGGCTATTCATATACAACCAGGGAATCGCGAATGGGTTACAGTTGTCGAATCAATTTGTGCAGATGGATGGGTGTTGCCTCCAATGGTTATATTTGAGGGCAAGGTGCATATATCGACTTGGTATACAGATCAATTACCAGCAGATTGGACAATTGCACTTAGTGATAAAGGGTGGACCAATGATTCCTTAGGTCTTAAGTGGCTTTCAGACGTATTTGAGAAATATACCAAGGACCGTGTAAAAGGAGTATATCGACTTTTAATCCTCGATGGCCATGGTAGTCATTCTACTCCCGAATTCGATCTTTTCTGTTCAGAACATAACATCATAACGCTTTGTATGCCACCGCACTCATCTCATCTTTTACAGCCATTAGATGTTAGTTGCTTTGCAGTTTTAAAGCGACTTTATGGACGAGGAGTCGAGGAGCTAGTACGAGCCGGCACATATCATATCGATAAACCAGACTTCCTTTCAATATATCGTGTAGCCCGTACAAGTACTATGGTCAAAAACACAATCTGTAATGGATTCGCAACTACTGGCCTTGTCCCGTACAACCCAGATCAAGTATTGAGTAAATTACATACTCAATTACATACGCCTACTCCTCCTTTACTTTCTCCAAACCTACTACCTTGGGTCCCTGAGACACCCCATAATACATATGAGGCAGATCAGCAAACCCAGACAATTAAAGCATCTATTAAACGACGTACAAACGTTCTCTCAAGCCCTACTGCTATTGCATTAGATCAATTGGTTAAAGGGTGTAAGATGGCTATGCAATCAGCTACGGTTTTGGCAGAGGAAAATCGTCGTTTACGAGCTGAATCTGAACCTCAAAAGAAGAAGAAGACTGTGCGACGTCAATATATTGCTACTGGGGGTGTTCTTACAGGTCAGGAAGGGAGGGAACTTATTCAAAATAGTGATAATATGGTTTTTGATGAAGCTGTGGCCCCGCTAATTGAACCACGAATTCGTGCACCACAAACCTGTAGTATATGTAGATCACTAGCGCATACTGCTCCTAGGTGTGACGGTTCTTACCGCCACCATGCCTCAAACCAGCCCCTGGCTGGCACCCGGCGTGCCCCGTGCTTCCCGAGCCCGGCTCGGTTAGCTATGGCTTGGCACACCTCCGGTATATAAGAGCTTCCAGCTCCTGGGCTTCTGTCCTTTCTTTCTCTTCTCTCTTCAGCTTAGAATCTTCGAATAGACAGTTCTACGATTCCATAACCTACACCTTGGAGGCTCCTTGAGCAACACATCGTACGTGTCGTCACACTAGGTGCCCAGATCGAGAATAAGAAAGATAGTATAGTTTATATAAATAAATATTAAGTGGTTAAAGTTCTATGGTTTTTAAAAGTTG